CCGAATAGCAATTGCTTCATCCGTCTGTAGGATTCGCAGTCTGACGGAATTAGGTCGACTGCTGTTAACACGATAGATTATTGCAATATACAAAAATTTATGAATCATTAAAGTAAATGTGGAATAATGCCACAAGCATATAGTCTCCTCATATAATAAGTCAAACGGGAAACTTTCTTTGATATCAATAAAACATGAAAAGGCTAAGAGAGGTCGGTAGATCGATTATTGTCATTATTATTATTATTACTATTACTATTATTATTATTATTATTATTATTATTATTATTATTATTTAAACACATAAACATAGGTACAAGGAGACACCAATAAGATATGCGCCACACGAATCATTCGATTTATGTAAGGGCTGGGATACTGCCCGGGTTCCCAAACAGAAGAGAGATCGATGGAAAAATGTATACAAAAATAAATGACTTTAGACATACTACTTTTTTAATTATAGAATTTCTAATAGTATAAATTTTACAGGATTCTGATAGGATATTCTAATGCACTTGATGTCTCAAGCTAAAATTAAGAGTTTAATACTTAGAAGGATTAAATATAAGGCCATTAATAATAGACTATCGTTTAATGAATCTAGATCTCAGTTACAAATTGATATCTATTTTGGTGAATAACTCAATTTAGACGTCCAGTTTCATTATGATTATTTATAAATTTACTCATTTAAGTAATGTATTCAATGATCTTAGGATATAGATAAATAGGTGACTTCAGAATTAAATAAAAAATACCCATCATTTGCGAATGAAATTACAATACAGATAAGATAAATGAGAATCATTTTGTTATAACTTGTGCCCCATGTCCTTATTAATGTATAACTTAATGATACCGTCAATTAGAGAACATTGAATTTTCGACTGGACTAATGACGTATAAAACCCGTACGATCAGTCTAGAGTTTTTACCGGTCCTGTTTACCGCCTAGCTTTGCCTGTTGAGTCCAGAACACTAATCTCAGCCTCCGTGATACTAGGTTTATATACCAACCAAATAGACTACATCGTACTATAAAATAGGAAACAACATTTGTACAAGATTCAGCCAAATGTGGCTGTGAATGTGGAAGATAGTAATTGATAGACTGGGAATAACTCAAGAATGGTAAATCGTATAACAATATTTTATGGGTCAAAATAAAGCTTATGATAAGAGGAACATAAATATGCATAGTTTAGTTATTTAACAATTATATGATAAAGATATACGTCTAGTATTAGTCCAGAAATAGATTCCGACAGTTACCACTCATTATTCTCATCAGGATATAACAGATTTCCATAACATTTATTTTATTGAGTATCCAGTTATGCTACGAAAAAAAATATATACATCCATTTCCAACATTGATAGCCTTGTACAATAGTTTTAAGAGCTATAACTAGAATTAGTAACCAGAAACAAACTGTTATTGAAATCCTCATTATATAGAGGATCAGTGTTTTGTTGAAGAACAATTACATTTTATATATCATTATTACTAAGTAAAAAATAACCAGTCATTGGTGAACTAATCTCCATGGACACATTTTTAAATTTCATAGCTAAACCATCTGATAACAAAAATAAATACACTTTAATAATTTGAGTAGATGATCATGATATATTATGGATTAATCGACATGCGGAAATACTAGTAATTATCATCTCTTATCAACCAACAAATCTAAAGAGGGAATATTTTTACACAATTGTTACAAATCAGTTTCAAAAAACTATTTACTACTTTATATACAAGGGGGTTTATGAATATTATAGTAATTTCAATAGTTAAGTCAATTGAAGCTAGACCACCGCCCAGTACTTCCAGGTTTTCCATGGTGGTTTAGCTTCAGTTGACTCATGATCTTAACTATTAAAATTAATCTATATAGCTTAAAAACCTTTCATTCACTTGATCTGCTATCTAAAAACAATCAAATCAAAACGTAGAGCAATAAAAGTTCTTTACAAAGCCTAACAGATTACTCACTTATGCCTGTTACCCTCAATGGAGCATAGGCCGCCGACCAACATTCTCCAATTCACTTTGTCCTGGACCTTCCTTTTTATTTCTATCCAATCGTTGCTCATTTTTCTCATATCTATCTCCACCTGGAGCCCTTTGTGGCCACTGTCGGTCCCAAGCCCAGACAAAGAAGGAGGGTTGGGCATGAGGTTAGTGACCTCATCCCATAGAAAACTAACTTGCTAAAAAACGTTAACCAGAAAAAATAATTCAAAAGCTAAACAGATAACTCACTATAAAATAGAAGCTTAATAGTTTGGATGTTAATCACTAATTTTTTTAGATCAAATTTGTTGATAATGTCAAATAAAGTCATCATTAAATTAGTTATCGATTATTGCTATAAAATCTAATCTGATCTACCATAATGGAATTAATAAGACATTCATGATATCAATCTAAACTTAACGATCTCCATAACCCCATACTGATTAATAAAACAATTTTACTTATGTATAATAATAGAATCTATGCTGAGACTATAATTTATGGATGACATTCTAGTGACATTAGATTGACTTTGAGAGTGTCCAAATAATAACTAGAACCAAATGAGGGTTATAAACATGTGTGAGGAATTATAATTATAATTTTACAGTTGATGGTTATAGTTATGAATTAGGTTTAGGGTTTTCACCACGAACTTATATCAGTTATAATACCATGAATCTATATAGCCAAATAGATGAGTGAATTTTGTGCCGAAATCCGAGATCTATTATCTTATACCTGATTGGTTCATCCATAAATTATAATCTCGTCTAATCTATCAATATCTACACTATACATTTGATACCCTATCTTATTTAATTAACATTTTGAATGTTTCTTTATAATAATCAAATAAAACAACACATGAAATGAACTACTAAAATGACTTATGATTCATTCTATAATAAATAACAACATAGTTTAAGTTCCAAATAAATTTTCTTCTTAATCTTAGTAGTTATAATAGTAGTATTTATAGCAATTTAGTTTCTTTTTTGTACCAGTTAACCATTCATTCAATTTTTTTCATGTATACATTCATTCATGTATACAACAGGTATAGTTAAGACAATAATGAAAATGGTATATATTCTGTCAATTATAACTAAGAAAATATGAAAAAAAATAAAGAAAACAGCAGCAACAACAACAACTGTTTTCTTCCAAAATTCTGTTTATTGGAAGAAAAAAAACCCAACTGAAACGATGTATTGATCAAGATAAGTCGATTAAGAATGTTCCAAGGAAAATAATCGATATTTTTTCTTGTAATAGATAGATGGTGACTAGTTGTGGAAATCAGTTTGATGCGCGTTTCCTCCTATTTGGGACTCGTCAACTGGATGTACCTGCATCTTAGTGTTGATGTTCACTCTAGGACACGAACCTAGTAAAGTTCGCTTCAAACTCCAACGCGCTATCCAATTAGCTACTGAGTTTTGATAGCTACTCGTTTGTGCAATGGGGTGACGTTTGACTCTACTTGGTATTGTTTATTTGAATCATCCCGTCTGCAATTGATCAGTCTGTTATTGGCATATGTGTATACTGAGCAAATTGCCTCGATATTGCCTTACTTCACAAGCTTTTTAAGCAAAGATGGATAGTGGCTAATAGTGGAATTTAGGAAGCGCGTTTCGTCCTATTTGGGACTCATCCACAAATTCCCATTTTGGAAAAAAATATTGAACATAGGTTTTGTCACAAGTACAATATATATTTCTAGTTTCATATCTGTAACTTCAGCCAATTCCCCGATACTGAACAATATTTATGAAGTGTCTTACATTAGAAACAAATAGTTTTTATTGGTAAGTTATCAGTAGTATCTTCTATAGAAAAAAATGAAATAATCACTCAACGTGATCTGGTTTTCTATTAAAGCTTAAAACCAGAAAAACTAGAAATTGTTTACAAAGTTTACATATAATATTAAACTAAGTATTCTTACTTGACTAAAAATTTTGGATAACCATGATAGGAATTTGAAGATAAGATTATATTCATTTAAAGTTGTCGTCCTTCATTAAATGTATTCAGCGCAGTATCTACCTGTACAGAATTATTTATTTAACTAATAAAATTATGGACATTATTGGTTGAGGTTAGATATTAACACCATTGGATGCCGGTCGGCTCAGTGGTGTAGAGGCTAAGCGTTCGCGCACGAGAGTGATAGATTCTGCGTTTGGATCTCGCGAAGCGGGACCGTGGATGCGCACTGCTGAGGAGTCCCACAATAGGACAAAACGTCTGTCCAGTGCTTTCAGGTTTTCCATGGTGGTCTACCTTCAATGGACTAATGAATTGAACTATAAAACATGAATTATAGTTTTATGAACACTAATAATTAAGTTATTGTTGTTATACTACTGAACTAACTTTCCTGGAAATTAGAGTATATTAATGAGCATCGTTTATTTCAGTGATTGATAAAACTTTACCAAAACTCAAGTTATCTTTTCAATAAAAAGCTTCATATCTTTGGTCATAATCAATATCTCTAACATGAGCAAATAAACTATTTATTATTTACTTTATAATTGACAGCTATTAACGCTTGACTTTTAGTTTGTATAGGCTAGTTGACTGAATGTCATATCAACAAATCCACATACTCCAGAGGGCCTCTGAACTACAATTGACTGACCATTTGGTAGTGTCTAATGTCATGTTTGTTTAGTCCTTTGTAATACTAGTTGAATTCCCTCGATTAAGTTTCAATGTGACCACTAGTCTATGTGACTCGACATTGTATGTATCATGTCGTAATGTTAGGAGGTTGAAGGTAGTCAGTACGTTCGTTACAAGTGCCAAATAGCATGAAATCTGGTTTAGAGCTTCTTGAAGACCATCTTGAATCACCCAACATGTCGCTAAGCTAACGAAACAGGTAAATTAACGATGTTAGTATTTATGCTATTTCTTCATTTCATAATTTCTATTTGAGTATTGTATTGTTCTTTTACAGTCGAAACAAGAACAAATATCAGAACTTTTATCAAAAGCTGATGATTTAGTTACACAACAAACTTCAGATAACCAAAGTCAAGTGTATGCAGCAATGGCTGAATCATTAAACCGTGCTTGGCGTGATTTACTCGGTATATTAACTCAACGTGGAAGATTATTAGATTTAGCTATGGAATGCTTTAATTCAGCTGACAATGTAATTCAACAAGCTGAAAGAGTTGAACATTTATGCATTACTGGTGGTTGGGGTCATGATATCAGTTCAGTTCGTCGTTTAATTGAAGTAAGTTCATGCATTATCACTATCCTTGCTTCTTTGATTCGTAGTAGTATTGTTGTATACGACAACATCGGTGGGAACAATCACACGTATTTTAATACAGTATTATAGAATATCTTGGTAAAATCCGAGAACAATACAGTAGATACTTCATTTGCAAAATATCCATCAATTGTCTCAGACTTTGTTATTCCTCCATTTCCATATATGTATATATGGCAAGACTATAATATATGGACGAACCAATCAGATATAGGATAACAGGTCTTGGATTTTGGCGCGAAATTCATCCACTCATTTGGCTGAATATCATTTCAGCATTATAGCTGATGTCAGTTCATGATGAAAGCATTAAATTTAATTCCTAAGCCTAACATTCAATTATAAATCGTAATCCTAGTTCGTCGAACTAATATATAATTCTAGTAAGTAGGTGGAAAAGCGAGAGTTCGAAGAACACGCTGTGACATGAATTCGAAGTAGACATGAAAAAGATGAATAGCAATTGGGAAAGATTGGCCAGAACAGGGTTGGATGGAGAATGCTGGTGGGCGGCCTATGCTCGTCCACTAGGAGTTACAGTTGGTAGACATTCCAAGGTCATTTTTGCGTTGCTCAAATGTCGTCCATAAATTAAAGTCATACTGTAATAATAATAATAACTATGGTGTCAATGAATAACAACTCATAGTTTACTACTTATTTCGAGAATGTAAACAAATTATGCTTATTCTTCTTGTGTTTATTTTTTGTTAACAACTAAAAAGGATAATCTGTAAACAAATTTACCTTACAAAAAGAAAACAAAATAACTAGAATTGTGTACACTGTTACTGTGTATGCGTTAACAACAATACTATTCAATTACCTTTTTGGATTGTAAATATAAAAAAATGTTATTTTACAAATAGAACATGATGTTACCGTGATGATTCACAATTTTCTTTATTTTTTTTTCATTTTTTTTCCTTTGAAACACCAATGTTGACATATTTTTTGGTTCTTCATTAATGATTCATCTGTTCTTTTTTCTTGCTTGAAAAGTGATGTTGGTTTAAAGAGGTCGTTTTTGAAATAAACTTTAATTCCTAAATCTGAATATGGAAATTCCTCTTTATTTCCTAACTTTGGTTAATCTGAATAATAAACTGGTAAAGATTTATTTTGTAGAGATCTAAAAGAAAAAGATTATGAAATATATCTATGATCACTATCACTGCATAAAGATACACTTACTTACTTATTTACGCCTGTTACTCCCAATGGAGCATAGGCAGCCGATCAACATTCTCCAACCCACTCTGTTCTGGGCCTTCCTTTGTAGATCGATCCAATTTTTGTTCATTCTTCTAGTGTCTATCTCCCTTACTCGGCGTAATGTGTCTTTTGATCTTCCTCTTCTCTTTTGATCTTGAGGAGTATAGGTGAGGGCTTGCCTTGTTCCTCAATGTCTTTTCTATCCACTTCCAGCGTTTCTTTCTGATTTCTTCTTACGCTGGAATCTCCCATAGTAGGTTGTTGCTGATAGTGTCTGGCCAACGGATCCGAAGTATTTTACGTGCACAACTGTTATTAAACAGTTCACGATGATGGATTTCGTAGTTCTCCAAGTTTCTGCCCCCCATCTGTGTTGAAAATGCTGACTTTGGTGTTGGTTGACAGTTGTTTTGAGTTAAGGGTGTTCTAATTACAAGCACTTCCGGGATGTATCTTTTCATTTTTACAGTAACTTGGATGATTCTCCCGGTATCCCACATTGTAAAAACACTAAATATACCTAAATTAATTGTTGTTCTGGTTGTGAGAAGAGGCATCAGCCTCGTGTCTTCCAAAGGAACTCGGCTTTCACCATGAGACGTCATAACTCTTCTAAATAAAGACCTTCTAACTGCCAGGGCAGAGTTTAAATGGTTTGAATTATTTTTGTCTAGTTTGCGCTTTTTTAGCGAGTTAGTTTTCTACAAGATTGGGTCGCTAACCCTATGCTCAACCCTCCTCTTTTATCTGGGCGTGAGACCAGCAGTAGTCCTAGATGGGCTTCAGGCGAAACCATAAAGATCCACTGAACAACAAAAATACCATCTTAAATCACATTTACGTTAAAAGGACGTCTTCTGCAATAGGCAAACAAACCTGAAAACACCAAGATTCAAATTTCTAAAAATCTAAAAACCACAAGCAAGTTAATGGTTTTACTTGAGGACTAAAACATTACAAACAGATGTGGATGATTGTTTCATATTAATCTGATAAACTATGATCCTTTACTCTCATGACTGACGGGATATAAAACAGGACCTTCAGTTTTTTTTATTATTTAAGCTAATTTCATTCCATAATGAAAATTATGTTTAAATTGAGCAAAAGAGTACAGATAGAAAAATCTATATGTGGTGTGTGCTACTGATATCGACAGATATATGTAGCATGTATCATCAATCGAAAGTGAAGTACCTGGTGGTAGAAAGTTAAGAAGATCGAAGAAAAGAAAACGAGAACGGAGAATGATTGGCGTGAAAACAAAAGAGTAATAAAGCCTGAGACGATTGATAGACAGTTTGCAAATGAAGTATTTTACTAAGAAGTTCTGAAATTTCGCATTCAATTACATTCGATTTTCCCCACTTGTGTTCTCGTTCACTATACATACACATATCCGTTGTATATGACAACATAATAGGATATCTTTTGTTATTTAAATCTGTTATTAAATTTTCAATTTATCACTGATAACAGGAACATGAAAATCTAAAACGTACTGGTTTACTAGAACCATCTCATAATCTCCTGAATTCAGCTAATAATTTATTAGAACTACTTGGTCGTATGTCAAGCCAAACTGGCAGTTCAACTTCTACATCAAACACTGGTCCTAGACATGCAAGTGTTGTAGCACGTGAACACGTAGCTGCAATTACTTCAAAAGCTGGAATGGCTAGAAGACATGCAGAAGATATTTGGAATCGTCGTGATCATCTACTTCAATTAAGATTAACTGTTGTTTCTATGGAAGCAGAATTAGAACGTATTGTTGATTGGTTTGTAAAGGTAAATATTTTAAATTAATTCTCTAAGACCTAATATACTTTTAAAAGTATATACTTTCACTAGGTATTCACTACTTATCTTAACAAAGATGACTATAAGAATGGATTGTATAACGGCACTACTGTTTTATCAGTATAGGGTTGTGGGGATCATGAAGTTTTTGATTGAGATCATGAACCAATCGATGTTAGACCACTATTGAAAACCTGGAAGCACTGGACGGCCGTTTCGTCCGATTGTGGGACTCCTCACCAGTACGCATCCACGATCCCGCTCGCGAGACTCGAACCCAGAGTCTCCAATTTCGCACGCAAATGCTTAACACCTCAACCACTGAGTCGTCATCCAACCGTGTTAATGTCTATCCTCAACCAATCCTCGAAATTTCGCGACCATCTTCCATTGTACTGAGGTAGACACGTGTTTCTACTCGACATGGATTAGCTCCACTGGTCACGGCTTCTCACCAGAACTCCGAGAATTGTTTTAAATAATCACTTTCAGCAACACTGTTTTTTACATGACTACTTATCTGATGAGTATGTTCTTATTGAATAAAACAGTAGCTATAAGTGAGAGCATACATCATTTCACACATATGAATTAATTCGGCTATCGTAATAATAATATATTAGTCAGCAATTACACGGTGTATAGTTACTTATAACAATATACAAATGGTAATTAATAACAGATAGATCATTTACAATACAAGTAATCAGTTTTATTATCTTTTCTATTCTAGACTGGTGAACCACGTTTTTCAGACTTACAAGTTGGAACAAGTTTATCTGAATGTCAAACTAATTTAGACAGACTGATGACATTAGCAGACGAAGTACGTGATTTACAAAGTGCTCATTCACATTTAACTCAAGATCTTCATCAAGCAACAACTACCGATTCTTGGCGTAGAAAACGTGAAAAAAGTGTATCTGAAATATTACGTGCACAAGAACAAGAACTAGGAATCCATTCTACATCATTAAGTATGGATGTAGATAATGAAAATGAATTGAAAAGTATTCATGATTCCGATACATGGCGTGTTACACATGGTGCATATTCTGAATTAATTACACGATTAAGAACTACTGAATCGTATATTTGGGAATTTTTAGATCGAATTGAAAATCGTAGACGTCAATTGCATACTAGTGTGATTTATTATAGTGAAATCAATGTGGTGAGTTTGAAATGATTAGCTTATTATTATTATTATTATTATTATCATTAAGTCAGTTAACTTTATGGACGTTTATAAAGGATAATTTACAAACATTTTCACTTTAACTAAAGTTTATCGCTGGAACTTACAATATTGAATGAAAGCTCCTGTCAAGTGATAAATTAGAACTTAAAAGAGAAATAATCAATGTTTAACTTTTAAAATCCCCACAATATTTTATAAGTTGCCCATCTAAGATTGTCTCTTCTCAATTTTTTTGCCCTTCAGTTACTTAGCCAAATCTATCAGCTTGAATCCGATATGAAAAGGACACGAGATCTTCAGCAAACTGGATTAGAGGAAATTTATTATAATAAATTAACTGATCTAGAAGTACGAGTACCTGGATTAAAACAAACAATGAATGAGTTAAGAACAAGTTATAATGAAAAATTAGTCCATCTAATTTAAGATCACAACTTGGTGTGACAACCCAATCTTACATTGATGATTTGGATCTCACTACAATAGCATCAGCTTCAGTTACTGGAAAAATGCGTGAAGTTGAAGAAGGAATTACTAGATGCCGAGATCTGCTGAACCAACATAAAGAATTAACTATTAAAGTGCAGAAACGTGAAGAAACAGAATTTCGGTTAAATGAAGTAGGTTATGATACGTATTTCTTTTTAGCTAGTTACTTTTTTATTGTTACAACGACATTAACAATTGTCTTTACATTAAGATGGAATTCTACTGAGCCCATATTAATGTAATGATTGTTTAACTACTTATAAGTAGTATAAAAATACAATGCATCAGTTCGACATCACAATACCAACGTATTACTCAAATTTTTTTCTGTTCATTTTTGTTTTAGCTGAGCATGTGGTTAAGTCAAAGGATTCACCGTTCGCTCGTGGAATATGGAAAGTATGGCACAACAGTCGAACAAGTAGCAGATTTTGAAGATGTACATCGGCGTCTTCAACGTGAGCTGCAATCTAGAGAACCTGAATTAGAAGAATTAAGAATTGCGATTAGTCGACTATCTCCACCTGCTGGTAGATCGAGCTCACAGGTAATCTCTAGTTCATTATCACTGGGACACTTTTTAATTGATTGTGTCGTTATTTGTTCAGAAGTGATGGTACATTCTAGTTACTTAAATAAAGCCTATCTAACAAAATACCATATTCAGTTAACAGATTGAGACGTAATGCGTGTGAAATAATCCTATCAGCATAACTGAACAGAAAATTGAATTATCTGACATTGTGTTCAGCTATCGTGAAATCCTATGAGAATTCTGATTCGTCCCTTGTACCTAACACTGAAGGGATATAGTGTCACAAAAAATATTTGTAATGCTTATAGGATTTTGAGGTGTTGCTGTTGATGATGATGATGATGATATTTTAAACCAAAGATAAAGGTTTTATTAACGTTATATTGAGTGAGTTGGACAATCCTATTGTGAAACTTTTATGACCGTTCTAATTAACATTATCAGCCTAAACATAAAAACTAGTCCATTTACTTTTTGTACAGATCCGTAGAAAAAATATCCCAAACAGATCTTTTGCTGCAGCTGTTAGAACTTATTCCAGTCATCTGCAGTCTTTTCAAAGTCTATTATATTTTAATAATCGACATCATTCATATAATTACTGAATATAAAAAGTTCTATTCTTTCAAATAAATACTAGTTAAGAACACCAATTTCACCAAGTTCAGCGAAGAAATCTCTTTTCAAGACTGATAGGTCCTGGGTTTGAATCTCGCGGGGCGGGACCGTGGATGCTCACTGTTGAGGAGTCCCACAATAGGATGAAACGATCGTCCAGTGTTTCCAGGATTTCATGATGGTCTAGCTTAAACTGACGCATGATCTCAACTTTTGAAATTACTACAATCTCCACAAAACCCCTTCTGGTAAATATGTATGAGAACGTTTTGTTAAACTACTAGTTCCGTGAGGAAATGTGAAAAGGGATAAACCAAGATGATGTAATATGAGACATAAGTAAAGGGAGAAGTGCAGTGATGATAATAATTAACAATAACGATATGACGTACTCCTTTTGTACGTATAGTTCTGTCTTCAGCTCATGGTTGGCAAGAGCTTCGGCTATTTTTAGGAGTTGGATACGAAGAAATCTAGGAAGATTTGAACGAATCATATATACAGCCTTAAAATCAAACTGTGGATCAGTAGAATTATTATAGTCGATTAGGTGTTCAAGTATAGAACTCCTAACTGCTTTCCTCTCACCCTTGTAAAACCAAACTGGGACGTGTTCCTGTATCCGAGTTGAAAGCGAGCACTGGCTTCGACCAATGTGCCTTGTTCCAAAAGAGCAGATGAACTGGTAAATGCAGATGGAGGCGATCAGACTCGGAAGCTTATCTTTAATGGATACAGAAAATAAATTCCTACTAGTAAAGGTTATTTTATTTTATTATCACAAACGACTAATGTTCTCCCGTAAAAATCGATTGATTTTCCTCCATATAAGATAAAACCATCAAACGCCATTTAAATATCACCCGGTTTATTCTTTTTTTTTTTGAAAATCTTTCTGCAGGATCGTTTAAATGAACTGTCATCTTGTTGGACACGTTATAGGCAAATAATTCAATTACGATTGGAATTAGCTAGTCAATTCTCTTCTTTACTAAAGGGTATACGTGAGAATGATGCTCATTTTAATTCGACAATTCAAAAAATGAATGAAACTGATAAAATAAAATTAACAACAACTAATTTAGATTTTCATCCAAGTTGTGTAATTGGTACTGCCGATACACAACAAATAGCTGAACGAATTCGACGTGAATTAAATATGACTACAAGTAGTTTAGAAGAAGAACAAATAATCATTCGTCAATTTATCAATCACGTGAGTATAACAAAACAATCATTTGGATCAAACTAGAGTTTTTTCCGTAATTTTGTAGTGTCTTTTCTAAAACAAAAACAATAAGAAGATACGGAACCCACATAGAATATTCCTAGGAGTATTTGAGTAAAATATGTATTCAGACAGAAGGGTAAATGAGGTAATGGTTATAATAATGTAACTTAGCACCAAGATGTGAGTAGTTTATCGAGTCCTGGGTTCAAGTTGGGCGTGTGAAATAGTGGGTGTGGATTGCTGAGAAGTCCCATACTAGGACGAAACATCCGTCCAGTGTTTCCAGGTTTTCAATGATGGTTTAGCTTAGATCGGCTCATGAATTCAACTGTTAAAATTATTAGCATTTTATAAATGCATAATACATACATCGGAAGAATCTTGAAATAATGATGCCGTCTGGCAGTGAAACGAATTCCTTCATACTGATGGTTGCTTTTCGGTGTTCTAAAGCGCCATTGTCATTGGGACATTGTAAGGCGTGTCGCCACTGGTAACATAAATGAATTTGACTGTCATGTGAGCGGAATAGGTCAACTTTGCATTGTTTATGCTGTGTATAATTGATTCACGTGATCATCGATAGGAATAACTATACATGTGACGTGAATGTGTATATGAACGGTGCGAACGGTCCACCAAAGTGCTTTGTACCTGTGTGGTTGCGCCACAGGATTGAGTTGTACTATTCACATTGTAGCGTTAAAGCCTATATGGTGTCTGGTTCTCCTGAAAACCAATGTGAAATTACTCTGGCCCACAAAGGTATATTATATTGTGGTGTGTGCCACTTATATTGACATAAGTAGAGTATGATGTTAGTCATGAACAGAAGGTCTGGCAGTAGAGAGACAAGAGGATCGAACAGTAAAGAATGGAAACAGTATGCAATTTGTATGAAAATGCAAGAACAACGAAGTCTGAGTCGTTTTGAGACAATAAATGGACATTTTGCAGATTAAGTATTTACTTTAAGATTGTTAGATTTTATCAACAAGTACTGTAATTTTGTGTTAAATATATTCGATTGTCCCCACCCGTGTTCTGTTCGCTACAATATAACTAACTATAACAGTGAACAACCTAGTAATATTTTTACGAAACTTTTTTTTAGCAAATATTTGTTCTTTCGATCTTTTTCTTATACAGATTACTCAAAGAGCTGATCAAGATTTGCAAATAACTGAAACAGTTCATTTCTGTCAAGTTCAATTAGAACTAAATAATAAACGTTTAAATCAATTACGTGATTCTTGGGATAACTGTCAACAATTATGGGATCAATATAAACTTGCTCAAGAACAATGGACTATATTTACAGAAACAGCTCGTCGTGTAAGTTATATCATATTATTAAATGAATATCACTATATGGTAATAACTGAAGAACTGTCAGTTAGTCAGTTACAACGTAGGACCAGGCACATACATGCATCGGTCCAAGTTGCCACACCTCATTAGCACAGCAAGACGAACACCAGATTCATAGGAGAACTGTAGATTAATACTTCACAGTGGTATCTATAGAAAACTGAACTCAGAAGATCAGTCTCATAACGTAAAGTTTAATTTAAGGCTTTTGATTCAGAGTTAAACAGTTCATAAATTAAACTACAGTTAATTCGTGATAAATATTAATAACCATTTATAACTTTATTTCAATCTCAACATGACTAAATATTGTTAGTCAAGATTTTGCACTGAAACTTCAGAAGTTCAGATGGGACTATAATTTATGGATAACCTTTGAGAGACGCTAGACTGACCCTGAGATTGTTCACTTAATAACCAGGACCAAATGAGGGTTATAAACCTGTGTGAGGAATTAGGATTTTGATTTACAGTTGACGATTAAGGTTAGAAATTAGATTTTGGGTTTTTTTCACGAAATGACATCAGTTTTAATGCCAAAACTCTATTTATCAAATTGATGAGTGAATTTCGCGCCAAAATCTAAGACCTATTATCTTATATATGATTGGTTCGTCCATAAATAATAGTCCTGTCGAAGTTCATTTCAAAGTTAGTTATAAATGAACATTTAAAACAACTTTTCAAAGATTTCTAACCGTTACTACTACTGCAAAGAATATCAGCCTTTAATGGAAACTATCTTCAATCCAAATCTATTTCTACTAACCAGATAATTAAACAATAACCAATATTTGTTTTCTGTTTCATCATTTACCATAACTTTCTAAGCATTTGTGAATACTTTGAAGAATTCAGTCAAGAGTCTGTTAATTATGAGTTGATTTTTAATGCTGTCAAGTAACTTATTTACTCAATAAAAATGTATAACCATTTGTATAGACATTATTTCTATTATATTTTTGTGATAATATAGTTGGATGAATCGATAACATCATCACTTTCACGTATGTCCAGAACACCATTGCCGAATCAACCACATGAACTTGCAGAAGCTTTAAGGGTTCATCATAATGAACGCAATGAAATTGATCATTTAACATTGAATTTAAAAACAGAAGCTCAACAATTAGGCTCCATGATTGGTGCACAACCGGATGATCATGACTATAATAGTCAAAGTTGGAGATTTATTGAAGTTCCGAATAAATTCATTTCTGGTCTACCATTATCAACTATGGGAAAACGTTTACGTTCAGAAATGTGTTTACAATTAGCTGGTTTAGAAACAAGGTGGAACGCATGGGATAAAGCATGGACATCAAGAAGTATACAACTGGAACGACGTGGTACACATTTTGGACAGTTAACAACTATTGAGGTAAAATTATTTCGACTTAATTTGTTTATTTGGTGTTTTTATTGGAGAACTTTCGAAAAGTATTCTCATCGTTCTCGTTACTTAACATTATATATATATATATATATATATATATATATATATATATATATATATATATATATAGTCTGACATAATTATTTAATCTTAACTTCCGAAAACGCTACATTGGTTAAAGTGGACGCCCACTTCATCTTCGCCTGCATGAGGATCAATTAACCGTCAAACGCCGTGATCTATCCTCGATTACATCCATGCCTGTGAACAACTGTGTACACACATTCGACTGGTAAAATGTTGAGATCTTGAGCAGAAGGAATTTTAGAAGCTTGGCACTCCGGTCAATCAGCAGTCAACAAACACATTGAAATCGACCCAAACTATTAACCAATCAGAATAATCGTGGACAGATATAGGACTAATAATCAAATCAATAGTATTGTTCAGAAGAACGATGAAAGCTCCATGACCAAACCATACAGCTCCAAGAACAAAACGCCACATGAATTATCTAACTGAGCTACAAATCTTCATCATCATCTCACGATAGTTTAAATAATGTTATAAGCTATTACTTTTGCAAACGTAACCATGTTTCGAATCATTGATAAAATTAACTTATGATTTAATTAATGATAAGAGCAAAGTTCTGTTGTTATTATTCAAGTGTGAAATAGTAAAGATTCGCCAATAAACGATTCGTCAACATTTATAATTGAATGGTTACTGAATGATGATCAATGTCATGTATATCCGGTCCTTGTTAGTGCAAATCGAATCGTACCAACCAAGTTGCATTGTGGCCACAAGTCTAGGTGGCTTGTTTTATTTTGAAAACTTCACTGAATTATACTGATACATACATACTGAAAGCCATTGTCTTTTATGTCCAATCCATTATTCGTCATTGAAAACTGTTATCCTTAGAAATCTGTATAATTTATTTTTATTTTATTTATTTTATTTGAACACATAAATATTGATAAAAGAGGGCACCAACTATAAATGCGCCACACAAAACAACGAGAATTCGGAGAGAAAAAAAGAACAATAACGAACAGATTAGTGTAAGGTAGTGTGATGTTAGTAAAAAAATAATAATAGTAATGATGGGGGTAACGGGAAGGTACAATCAGAAGAAACCCTTCAGTTAAGGAAGAAACAACCACTTTTTATGAAGACAGTAAAAGAAGGTTTTAGCAGGATCGCCACTGGCTTCTATTCTGAGCCATATCGGATAACGTCTCGAGCCACTGTGTTGCACCATCTCTCAGACCCCAGCCAGGGAGTGGTGAAGGACCAACACAAGCCAGCCCTCTGCAGAACTCTTTCATACCACGACACCATGTCATATACTGACCACCTCTCCGCTTTTTCCAACCAGTCCCGGCGTCCGCAAATAATGCACGATGTGGAATCCTCTGGGACGACATTCGTAGAACATGTCCAAGCCACCGAAGTCGATGTTTCAAGATAGTGACACCAATTGAATTATCGTCTCTGTGCCCAAACACACGATGCCGAACCTCTGCATTACTGACATGGTGTTGCCACTGGATGTCAGCAATCCTTCGGAGACAGCGATGATCGAACACAGAGAGTCGTTTAACGTCCTCAACTCGAGGAGGCCAGGTTCACAGGCATAGAGAAAAACTGCTCTTACCGACAAGCTGTAGATCCGACCTTTTACAACCAGACTAACATCACGAAGGCGCCTAAGGTGGACCAGATTGGCATAGGCCGCTCTGGCTTTCACTATACGTGCATTAATCTCATCACTCACACCCCCACCAGCACTTATGCAGCTACCTAGATACACGAACTTCTCGACTGCTTCTATCTGCTCACCATCTAGGGTGAGTACAGGATTAGAATCCTGCCTGTCTTGTAAAAGTACTTTGTACTTCGAAGGTGTAAAACACATACCATACCTAAGGACGCTAATTGCCAACTGATTAATTGTGGATTGCATGGCTTGAGTGTCATCAAACAGTAAGAAAATATCATCCGCGTACTCAAGGTCGAGAAGTCTTTCTCCAGGCAACAGATCCACACCACCATTACTTACATCCATCAGAGCTGTTTCCAGAATGCCGTCGATGGCAAAGTTGGGGAGGAATGGTGAGATTGGGCAACCCTGCCTAACCCCACTGCTTGAATGAAACAAAGGAGAGAGGTGGTTGTATGCCCTCACTCTACCTGAGGTGTTTGTACATAGTATAGGGCCTTTAGGATGTTAATAAACTTCTCAGGCACACCCTTCATCAACAGACAATCCCAGAGAATAGTCCTATCCAACGAATCGAAGACAGCCCTAATGTGAAGAAACGCTACAAAAAAATTATATGTTTTAAAGATAGAAAAGCACTTTTCTCTTTAAACTATGCGTTATGATCAGTATGTCACTGACAACTTAAGACCTGATAGAAATGTTTACTGCTGGAATTCTCAGAGTTTATGGAACAGTAAAAATGATTTTGGGTAATAGGGTAAAACTAAGAGTAAGTACTATGAAAGTGCATTATAAAACGTATAATTTAAATAAAATAAAACAAACAATGAAACTTCAACAATCTCCACAACCTCACACTGATAATTATCATATACTCGCTAGAGACAGTCCTTGAGAGGTAATTTTTGAAGTTCTGGTAAGGAGTCGTGACCAGTGGAGTCCAGTCGGTGTCGAGTGTAAAGCAGTTACCCACTGAAGATAGTCGTGCAATATCGCGAATTAGTTGGAGTTAGATATTAACAACGTTGGATGCCATCTTAGTGGTCTATAGGTTGAGAGTTGACTCACGAGACTCAAGGTCCTGGGTTCGAGTTGAATGTATGAAATTGTGGATGCGCACTGCGAAGAGTCTCACATTATGACGAAAGAGCCGTCGCTCATACAGTGTTTCCAGGTTTTCACTAGTGCTCTAGCTTAGATCGACTCGTAAATTCAACTGTGAATGTATTTTAAACATATTTTTCATTCATATATTTGTGCACTTTACTCAGTATATAGTAATACTAGAATCCTCTTCTATACGATAATCTATTTTGTAATTAGTTATATAACAAAACTTAAATGTTTTATGATGTATATATTATATATTTTCAAGGAGATAGAAGCAGAAATTATTTCAGCTGAAAGAAAATTACAACAGATTATGGGAATGGTTTCATTAACTGCACCATTATCACAAGTTCAAATTGCTGATAGAGATCTTAGTCAAATTGAGGCTACGATACCAGTAAGTATATATGATTAGATAATAAATAATATTTTCAGTATAGAGTTGTGGAGATAATTATGTTTTTGATTGAGATCATGAACCGATTGATGTTACACCATGTGCTCACTAGTGACTAGCTTCATGAGGGAATTCTCGGAGTTCCAGTGAGAAGCCGTGACCAGTGGAGCTAATCCATGTCGAGTAGAAACACGTATCTACCTCAGTACAATGGAAGATGGTCGCGAAATTTCGAGGATTGGTTGAGGATAGACATTAACACGGTTGGATGACGACTCAGTGGTTGAGGTGTTAAGCATTCGCGCGCGAAATTGGAGACTCTGGGTTCGAGTCTCGCGAGCGGGATCGTGGATGCGTACTGGTGAGGAGTCCCACAATCGGACGAAACGGCCGTCCAGTGCTTCCAGGTTTTCAATAGTGGTCTAACATCGATTGTTTCATGACCTCAATCGAAAACAACATTTTGTTAGTTTTTAATAGTGTATTATTCTTTAAATTAAATGATTGAATTCTAAAATTTTTTATTATGTTTCTATTCTTACTTTAAACAGAAGTGAATCTACTCATCTTAGAGAAAAATCCAACTTTGATATACGATTAATTAATACTAGAATAAGTCATTGAAAAGTAAACAATATTATTCACTTGATGTTGTTTACTTGTATCTTCCTACTGTTATTTAGAACTGCAACTGACCAGTCTCTTGTTGGCATATGTGCATCCAGTGCGGACTGCCTCGATATTGCGTGAAGTTATAAACTTTATAAGACAAAACGCGCGTCCTGAATTCCACTGCTAGCCACTATCCATCTTTGCCTATAAACAATATTATGTTGTTTTCAGAATAAGGTTAACAGTTTTCAATATATATTAATATATGCTCTACTCACTGAGAATGATATTGCGTTTATTAAAGGTTAGCTAAAAATAAGTTACATAAACTCATGTACGACCTAAAGTTTGTAAATCATGGTACAAATCTAGGCTATTATTAATTTTTGGTGTGGCTGGAGACGTTAGAATGCAGTTAAATAATCTATCAAATGACTTTGATGGCATTTTGTTCTCTGAGCTGGATGGTTTGGTCGTGGAGCTTTCATCGTTCTTCTGAACGACATTATCAGCACAAACTTCATCTAAAAAGCTCCACGATCAAACCATCCAGCTCAGAGAGCAAAACTCCATCAAAATCATCCATCTGAACTACGAATTTTCTCCATTATCAAACAATGCTATACTATAAATGAAATCCCGATTAACTTGATATGAAAAGCTGGATTTAATAATAAATAAGTGATATAAGTATATATATATATATTTTATCACTTTCAGGTTTTACACAGTCGAATACGTTCTAGTGCACCTGATATGAAATTACAGTTAATTCAAGGTGAACCATCACCAACGGAATATACTGGAACAAATATTGATTTGTTAAATGTTTCAAAACGTCATGAACATCTTGAAACACGTTTAACAACATTCACACAAGAAACTGTACGATGTCGTACTGAAATTAATTTAACTCTACGCTTATTAAATGCAGTAGATACAGCACAGAAAGCCTTATCACAGATAACATTTAATTTAGATCGTGTTAAAAATCAACTACCAGAAATTTCTTCAGAAAATCGTTATCAGATTGAAGAGATACGTTTTGATATATCAGAACAAATTAATAGAGGACGAGTACTAGCTGATACACATATACCAGTCTTGGAACAATTATCTATTCAATATCCACGCCGTAAGTTTACTCAATTTTTGTTAATGAAAGTATATCAGCTAGATTATGTATTTATTTAGAGGATAATTCTCAATTCTAACTTACATTCTTTAAAGTATAGCTGAATATCCGGATGAATATGGCAACTGTTTCATTCTAATGAAGGAATAACCAGAGCAAACACAGAAATGACACACTAGGTAAAGCCAAACAGAAGAAATGAGGTTGAAGATCAATGAAATTACTTTGGGGTGTTTTTTATTGTTAAGATAACTGAATAACAGATTATCAATGTTTTACTATAATGAGATTGTAGTGAACGAGAACACAAATAGGCAAAATCAAATGTATTTCAACATAAAATTACAGAATATCTTAGTAAAATCTGAGAACCATACTGTAAATTCTTCATTTGCAAAATGTCAATCAATTGTGATTACAATTGATTGACGTTACCACTGAGCTATCCGAGCCACCTAGACTGGTGGCCACATTGCAACATAGTCGATAGCATTCAGTCTGCACTAATAAGGACCTAACACACATGACATTGATCAACACCCAGTGATCAATCAATCCTGATTACATCTCAGTCCTACAGGAGGTCGGTCGCGGCCGGGATAGCTCAGTGGTAACGTCTCTGACTGTGAAGTTGGGTGACACGGGGTCGAGTTCGTCAGGGAGCACCAGTTCCCTCAGGATTGCAGATACACCTTGCTGACAATTGCCAAGTAGCACGAAACCCGGTTCCAGGGTTTATTGTCGACTACCTCCAACCACCATCTAATGTCAATCAATTGTCTTAAACCTAACTATTCCTTTTGTAAAATATCCGTCAATCGTCTCACACTTCATTGTTCCTTTAATTCCATATCAATCAATCTCTGTTCTCATTCTCCGTTCTTCAATCCTCTTAACTTTCTGCCATCAGACATATCGTTTTCGATTGATGATACATACTACTAATATCTGTCAACATCAGTAGCACACCACAAGATGAATATTCAATAAAATGGTCATAAATGTCAGTCAGTCAGATACAACGTAGGACCAGACACATATGCATATCGGTCCAAGTTGCCATGCCTCATTACCACAACAAGATGAACACCAAATTCATAGATGTAGTGGCAATATATAAAAGAAAGATTGTATATAAGGATATAATACATGGAGAAAGAATTAATTCATAGAAAGAAAGATATAAAATAATTTTAACCTCACGGTTTAAAGGAAGACAAAGATTGTATACACCCACGTCTTTGTGATCGATTCTGAGCCATATCACTCAGAGTCTCTAACCACTGGTTACGATAGTAGCGCAGACATCAGCCAAGTAGTCTGCATCTACCAACATGGCTCAGACTAGAAGTTAATAACTTCAAGGACTGATGCCATGTTTTGGTTTGGCCACGCCTAACTTTCTTCCTACCATCCCCTACACTAGTCAGCTCTGAGCGTCGTGGTAATCGGTGTTCAGGCATACGCAACATGTGGCCCAACCATCTCAGTCGATGAAGATTCACAACCTCATCAACTGATTTGCCATCATGATTTCCTGATACCCTGCGTCTAACCTCACTATTACTTACCCTATGATCCCAGCAGGTGCGAGCAATATTTCAAAGACTTCCGTGGTCAAATATTTGTAACTTACGAGTATCTTCTACTCTTAATGGCCATGTTTCGCAACCGCAAAGTAGAACAGGACGAACCACCGCGCAGTATACTCGTCCTTCATTCGATAGACCAATATCTCGCCTTCACGATAGGTGACGTAAGTTAGCAAAGGCCAAACGAGCTTTTCGAATCCGTGCTGAGATTTCATCAGACACCAAACCATTAGGGCTGATCAGACTTCCAAGATAAGTGAAGTTGTCGACGCGTTCGACCACTTCACTCCCTATCCTTAGTTCAGGTGTTGACGCAGGCCAGTCGTGAATCAACAACTTGCGTTTAGAGGAGGAGAAACGCATCCCAAACATTCTGGCATTGTTGCTCAGTGCTATCAAAAGACTCTGCATTTTATCAGCGTTCTCATCAAACAGGACTATGTCATCGGCGTATTCTAAGTCGATAAGTGGACCTCCTGGAAGGAGATCAATGCCCGAAAATCCAGTCGACGAGAACGTTGTTTCCATCAGCAGGTCCATGATGAAATTAAACAAAAATGGAGAAAGTGGACAGCCTTGACGGACAGCACTTGAGTTTGAAAAAGTAGATGACAGTTCGTCATAAGCTCTGACTCGACTAGTAGTGTACTATACTACTGTAAACAGATAGTTGAAGAATAAATTATTAAGAAACTTTCATACAATACAATACACTAATGCTTAGTTACATTCCAGTTATCATACATCATACATCATTCAAGCATCCTTTCAACAATAATATTCATGCATTCATCTTGAAATATTCATATATTTCTTTTTACTATGAACTATGAAAGTTGTTCCTTTCCTACCGTATTACTTTACTATCCCATATTGATAATCCTAATCTGATTCTTCTCCTTCTGTTCTTCTTTTTGACTTATTCTTTAAGCTATGGAAGCAAAACAATTTATCCAACCTATTGTAAATGAGTTTCAATCATCTATTAATAATTTAAATCAATTATCAGATGAAATTCGTATAAGAACAGAACAATCTATTAATTTACAACGTTTACAACCTACACATGTATATGATGATCAAATGAAAGCCACTACACTTACAATGCCAATAAAAGCTAAACCACCAACAATTATTAAACCATTAGAAAATATAACTATAGAAGAAGGTAAAAAAATCATTATGGAAACAATATTTGATTCTGGTCTTCCGCCAGGTAAGCAGTCATTTCAAAACAAACTAATTTTTTAATAGCTGAATTCATAAGTCAGTGTAAGCTAGAACACCATGGAAAACCTGGAAGCATTGGATGTTCGTTTCGTCCTAGTATTAAATTACCGAAATCTCAACAAAACCCAGCTTACTAGTAACTGGCTTCAAGAAGTTTTTCCTGTAGTTCTAGTGAGAAGCAGTGACCAGTGGAGTTCAGCCGGGTTTGTTGTGAGACAGGAACTCACTGAATACAATGGAAGATGGTCGCGCAAATTCATGAATTGGTTAGAGTTAGACAACACCGTTTGATGCCAGCCGGCCCAGTGGTCTAGACATTCGTCCACATGGCCGATAGACCCTTGGTTTGAATCCCGCGTACGGTATCGTGCATGCGTACTGCTGAGGAGTCCAATACCAGAACGAAACGGCCTTCCAGTGTCTCCAAGTTTCCCATAATGGTCTAGCTTTAACTGAATTATGAATCCAACCGTCAAATTACTAAAATCTCCACAAAACCCCCCTTCAGATAACTATATTTTGTTAAATCTCCATTCAAAGTAAAATAACAATCTCATATTTCTGATGTTTAGTGAATTAATGCAAGTCACTTCTTCAGAGAATTAGTTCAATTTATTTGAAACTATCAATTCCAACCTTAGCATTGATACCTTTAAAAGATAACAATCGTTTATTTATTTATGGCATAATTTGTCCTTAACTACTTATAATCTAATAATAGTAAAAATAAGAGTTAAAATGATAACATACTTTGTATTTGAAACATTTGGAATATAGTTGGCTATAATATCATGATTTATATGAATGCAATATCAAAACTGTGAATAAAATAAATATTCACACTTTAGAATAACATCATGAATGGATCAATGTTAGACTACTATTGAAAACTAGGAAACACTGTACGGCCTATGGCTGTTTCGTCGTAGTATGAGACTCTCCAGCAGTGCGCGTCCACGATCCCACCCATCCGATTCAAACCCATAACCTTCGGTCTTGTGTGGAAACTTTTCACCTGTAGACCACTGAGCCAACATTTTCATCGTTGAGTAACATCTACTGGAGAACAATTATTGACCAAAAACTGTTAGCCAACTGTCTTATTTTAATGTAAGATTATAGGATAGTGAGGATTTTAATGTTTACCCCATCAATGGCCTTCATGTCTACAAAGAATGAATTGAATTCCGTAAAGCTTTAATTAAACATTAATAATCAAAGAATAAAATCTTAAAAATAATTCCTAACTTTGGTAATTAATAAGTCATCAGTACTTTGACACGAGAAAATTAATAATCACCAATAAGACTAGATAAATAAAGGGTTATAAAATAATCAAGGAAAGATTAAGGAAGAGAGCTGATTCAGTCTGTTGAATGTCAAGTCGACATCTCGAGTTATCGTTTCACATAATTAACGGATATAATTTTATCTTTACTATAAAAAGAATAAACAACTGAGTAGATAATATGCGTTGCATAACACATTCTTTATGTTTCATCAAATGGCATAATATTTATGGATAATTGTAATACTTCATTTCAGATTTTAATATAAGCCTTACATAAGCATAAAAGATCATAAGCTTGGTAACAAATCTTTAGATACAGTTGTCATAACTACTCATTTAATGAATGATTAAGATTTAAATCTTTAGCAGGATAAAATAAAAATTAAATGCATTATTCATGATTAAATCACCGTTTAAGTTCTCCAATTTTTCTAGATGCTAACCCGTATGATACTAATCAATTACAAGTAACTTGGTACAAAGATGGAATACCTGTAGTTACTCCAGACTATGAAGTTAATTTAACAGAGGACACAGCAAGTTTGAAAATATCTGAGACTTTAAATGAAGATAATGCTATATTCACATGTTATATTAGTACACCATATGGTAAAGCTGAGACAAAATGTACGTTAACAATAATAGATACGATTAGTCCAGTACCAGTCAATGAAAGTTTAGTTCAACCTACTAGGAATGTAAGAGAACAAAAACCTATTCCTGAACTTGGTGATCCGCCTGAATTTATCAAGTAAGATCATTTGTTTTTTATTTTGTTTAACTGAAAACATGACAGTTAGGGTATTATTTTTCATCTAATAATCAATAATAACATTGGGTTCTTATAAGCTATAATATGTGTTTTAAGTAACCTATGTAATGAATGAGAAGACAGGTGAGGATCTCTTGCTAAGATATGAGAACCATACATTGAATAAATCACTTGTGAATTTCCATCATTTGTTCTTCACTGTTATAAATTGTCGTTTGAATGCTTACCAACTGTTAGTCATGTACAATCATGAACAATCATAACACGATCTCTTGTTATAACAGTAAACATTTACAACCTACCGTAATGCATATTGTTAAAACATTTTCAAAAAACAATCAAATCAGTATAGTGTATGCTACCGATGTCGACAAATAGAATTAGTATGTGCTAATAATCGAAAGTGAAGGTTACGAAGATCGAAGAGAAGAGAACGAGAACCGGGACCACTCACCACCATTCTCCATCCAACTCTGTCCCGAACATTCCTTTCAAGCTGTTTCCGGTTGCTATTCATTCTTTTTATGTCTGCTTTTAATTCTCATTGGGATGGGTTCCGTGGTCTGCCTCTTTTCCTTTTTTATTCAGACTTCCAAGTTATCGCTTTCTTCGTGATACAGTTTGGTAATTTCCTCAATATACGTCCTAATTATTTCTAACATCTTTTTCTAGTCTCCTATTCAACTGGAAATTGGTTTGTTTCCTCCTACAGTAGGATGTTTTCTGATGGTATCCAATCAACGGACAGTGAGAAAGTTCTCTGATACTCTTTTTTAAACAAAATATCTTAACAATTTAGTCAACTACACAATTGCATATCTAAACATTCATGAACTTCCATTCTGAAATACGAAGTAGTAGTAGTAGTAGAAGAAGACAAAGAAAAAGAAGAAGAAGAATGATAACTCTAGATATTTTGCTACTCGCTTGGTATTATCTAAAATATGAAATTTTATTCAGTTCTATTGATGTTCCTCACTAACTAATTGTCACTTTCATCAGTGTAAATGTGCCTTAATAGATATTCACAAGTATTTAGAATATGCTTATCATATTGTCCACATTGACAGTAGAAATTTTAACGATAAATACTTCGTATATAATCAAATACTAATTATAATATTAATGTTTATTTCACTTATAGACATCTTAAATCTATGTGTATAGATGAAACTAGTGAATTGGTTTTAGATTGTCAAGCAGTTGGTTTACCTGTACCAATTTTATCATGGTATAGAAATGGTCAATTAATTGATCAAAATCCTGATTTTAAAATTACTCAATTAGCTGGATCAGGAATATTAAGGGTAAGAATGCACATCTCAATTTTTTTGTTTGTTTTATTATTGTAGTTGACTGATTGGTTTTAACTTGTATTTCGAAATCAAAATAGATTTATTTAAATGGATAGTCTACCATCCTTTCAGTCAGTTATCAATGAACTTGGAGGTTAAACGGTGTTTATCCCTTCTCTGTTGCGCAAACAACCGATAGATACTTGTTCCTAAGATGACGGAGAGATTTCTCCTTGAAGTATTTCATGATAATATTGTTTGGAAGAAAAATAAAAACTTCACAACAAAGTGATCCAAATCAAAGATTAAAACAACTTCTAAGTGGGTTGATATCGATCATGAAGGCCTGAACTTGTGACTACAGAACCCAAAAAACAACTATCTGAGGTCGTTTGCACGTGACCACTTTGCGATGAGTTTTTAATATTTCTGCTCCATACTCCTCAGACCGTACGGCCGAAACGTTTCAGGGCAAGGTCTGGTAATCTTTCTTAGAGCCGACCTTCTCTGGCATCCTTTTCCCATTGAAGGAATGAGCTATAGCAAAAGGTGCTGATTACCTGAAGGAAGTGCTTTACCGCTTCTATATCCTTTGAAAGTAGTAGTAATACAACGAACATTCTGTAACATAACAATAACATGGTAATTCCTTATATTTCATTATGAATGGAATACTACAAAGTTTAGATACATTTTCTAAAATACCAACTTGATACGATTGATCCAACGTTAACTAATACTGTAGCACATTTTTAATTTAAATAGTCACTTGTTCTAATTTATATATCCTAATTTTTTGATAACAGATTCCACAATGTCGAATAATGAATCATTCTGGATTATATTTATGTCGTGCTACTAATCCTTATGGTGAATGTTCAACCACTTGTCAAGTGGATATAAATCCAGCTAAGCCACCAATAATTATTCAACCATTACAAAATGTTAATCTTAAAGTTGGTGATAGATGTAAATTAACTGTTCAGTATAAGGTGAGAAATATGAATAATTATTACTATTGAGATAAAGATATCTTTTCAAAGAATAAATTGTCACTTATAATTTAATATACGTAGAACATTGCTAAGTATTTATCTAATTTAGTCGATATTCAAACTGATATCATGCACTGAACTATTAGAAATGAAGAGATATTCGACATCTGTTTCTTCCTAGTATGAGGCTTCTATGACTCAGATAAGGATTGAAACTATGTATTTCAGGTTGTCTGACGAACACATTATACTTAGGCTGCTTAGTTAGCTTTTACAGGTCTACATTTCAACAATAATCAATTTACAATACGCTCCAATCACCAAACTGTCTTTAGTGAGTTATTATTTCATTCTCCACTGTATTTGGGCAATTAATACTTCTCATTAACAACACAGAATTAAAGTATATTACAAAACAACGAACACAATTTGAAATACTTTAGTTCGCTTAAAAGAAAAACTTTCCCTATATGTCAACACAGAACGGTGTCTACAAACTAAGATGTGTCGATTGTGATGCCTTCTATATTAGAGAATCATCTTGCGAAAGCCAAAGAACATATTAAGTACATAAAGAAACCACATAATAATACCAGCAAATAGCATTTCACGCCATTTTCAAGAACCACCAAATCGATTTCAAAAACATCAAAATATTACAAAAAGCAAGGATGAATAGTGGCTAGCAGTGGAATCCAGGACAAAGCACGTTTCGTCCTATTTGGGACTCGTCAGGTGGATGTACCTGCATGAGTTGATGTTCACTCTGGGACTCGAACCCAGTACCGTTAGCTTCAAACGTCATTGCGTTATCTTTGCTTATAATGCTTGTAAATTAAGGCAATATCGAGGCAATACGCACAGTATGCACATATGCCAATAAGAGATTGATCAATTGCAGTCCTAAACATCAATGGGAAAATTCAAGTAAAGCAATACCAAGTGAATTATTACAAAACGATTTTTCCGATTACAATGAAAGGAGGGTAGCTGAAGCTTTCCATATAATGCTTAATCCTATTGCTCTCAATAGAAAAAAAGGCCTCACTACACATCCGACTTGGACTATCTATCCAAAATACCATATCTGATATTATTCATATTTCACACTATTATTATACATACAAATGAAGCTCTATCCTTTCTCACCAAGCAGGTCACATTTCTTCATCCCTGACCTTGTACACCTACACACACACACAAATTTACGTACATATCGCTTATAAATCACCTTGACCGAAATGACATGACATTGATTTGTTCAGACCTGTTTTTTTTATTGATCGCACAAAATATTCTTGTGTTATTTCTTTGTACTATTTAAACTTGGATTAATTTTGATTTGATTATTTATCTACTCTGAAGAAGTGGCTTACACTGAGCCACTCATTGGGATATTACAATCTACCCAATGCACAATTCATTCGAAATGATCAAGTCAAACTTTGGTAATGATACCTACATTCTCATTAGAACGTTTTGTTAGTTTCACATTCCCGAAACTGACTAATCCAGATACATACTGATTATTTTAAATCCCATATGAGAAAAACGACTGCACCGTGTTTAGAGTAACTGAATTTGGCAATCAACACCTAACGAATCAAATAAGTTATTTTTAACAGATCCTTTGAAATAACTTGTAAAGAACAAAATGCACTAATCACAAATGTACTGAGCAGATTGTGATTTCGAGACTGGAATCCATTAGTCGACATCAGTTCAAGTCAATCAATGTGAAATTTTAATCCTGACATAGAGGTGGACAGTCCTCTTTAATTCTAATGCATTTAACCTTAATGACTATTTACTAATAAATAGACCAAATGTTTTTATATTCAGTAAAGAATTAATTGGTCATATTCGCATCTTTGTAATCTAGGATACGTGACCTAATCAATATAAATTCTATGTTAATTGTCATTCTTTTAATCGAAATGATATATAGCGAAAATTACAATTAAGTCTGTCAATTGAGATCATGAAACTATCAGTGTTAGACCACCATTGAAAACCTGGAAGCATTGGACGGCCGTTTCGTCCTAGTATGGGACTCCTCAATGATGCACATCCACAATCCTCCACACCCAACTCAAACCCAGAAGCCTTGGTCTCGTACGCGAACCCTTAACCTATAGACCACTGAGCCGACATCCAACGTTGTTCATCTCTGACTTCAACCAATCCATTGACACGGCTGAATTTTTCTGATCACGAACTCTTACTAGAACTCCGAGTACTATCTGTTGAAGCTAATCACTAGTGAGCACGATATAAATATCAAAATAGGGTGGTAAAGATTTTGAGTTTTACTGGTCTAACAATGATCGGTTCATGATATCAACTAAAACGCAACACTTTCTACAACCCTATACTGAAATCTATCAATTTTTTAAGAAATATATACATTTACATTTATGCAATAATTTTGATTTTGTTCAGATTTTAATATTGGCTGATAATCCCCGTCAGCATGTTGGGTGCTAAATCGTTTCAAAGCAAGAATCTGATATATAAAAACAACTATCCTAAATGTTCAGCATTATTTATTATTCGCTGTACAATTATTCACTTAGAAATCTGTATCTGTTTTGTAAAACAGTTGTAACCAGCAAATAAATAATTCCTTTCCTATCCAAAATGTTGAATAATTGAATTTGCACAGGTACATCCAACTGATCAGTCCCAAATAGGACGAAACATGTGTCATGGATTCCATTGCTTATCACTTTCCATCTTTGCTTATACATTAATTAATATAAACTAACATTTAGGTAGTGTTCTTCGGTTTATTATTATTGATTATATACAGGTAGTATTTAGTATATGATTGAAAAAAGCGACTTCTTCACTCGGTATTTCCATGGTCAGTGACAGTGTATCCAAATAAACTCCCCTTGTTCTACTTGATATTAGTATTTCCGAGGAGATTCATATCTTACATATGTTTGTATAGATCTAAAGACTTTTATCGAATAATTAGAATATTTTGTTTCTCGCACCATTAAATGCACAAATATTTAAGTGAAGCATGTTCGGTGAAACCAAAATTTATGGACGGCCTTTAAGCGACGTTAAGTGGCCTTGAGAATGTCCACCAACTGAACAGGACTAAATGAGTGTTTTGAACCTGTATGAAGGATAAGGATTATGATATACAATTGATGGTTAGGAATAGGGATTAGATTTAGGGTCTTCATCACGAACTGACATAAGCTAAAATGCCAAGACGCTATTTAGCCGAATGGATAAAGAATTCGTCGCCGAAATCCAAGACCTGTTATCGTAAATCTGATTGGTTCGTTCATAAATTATAATCTCGCCGAATATTCTTTTCAGTAATTTCTCATTACATTATATAATCATATGTCCAAATTATTATCTTAAACATATATCTAAGTTTATGTGCAGAGATAGATGGTGGGTGGCAGGGGAATCTAGGACGCGCGTTTCGTCCTATTTGGGACTCGTCAGCTGGGTGTACCCGCATCCCAGGTTTGATGTTCACTTTGGGACTTGATATCTAAGTTTAACAAAAAAATACACCTTTTTTTGAAATGAAGATACTTTAATCTGGGATCGCAGGTAGAATTGAAACAAAATAGTTAACGTTTAAATGATCAGTGTGTAATGTTAATTGAGTTACAGTAAAAAAAACACAACAACATTTAATTGAGGTCATTTTTCACAATGTTTATCTACATTAAAGAGTGAACTTCCAGTTGAGGTAGATTGGTATCATAATGATTTGCCAATTCAAGGAGAAGTGGGTCGTCGACGTATTACAATGGAATTAAATAATATGATCAGTTTACATCTTCTTATGGTAAGTTTTAATCATAATTAAATAAAGTTTGAATTACTATTCTCCCATTTTTTAATGAAATAATCTTCAAATATTGTTGGAAAGGTGAATTAAACAGATTTCATTCTAGTCAGAGATATACATCTTGCAAAATTTACTTTGGGATGGTTTATAAACTCTTAGTTATTCAACATTACAGCACGTAAACTTGCTTAGTTTTATTTGGTAACTATAGGCATACTTAGTGACATATCTCGCACAGTCAGCAGTCCGATGCTTCCTGAAACATTGCTAGTCTTATGATTCACTGTTACTGTTTGAAAGATCTTACAGATTAAACTGATTGATCTTTACATGGCTACATTGAATACGTTTTCTAGTGTCTACATCATGGCATACACTGAAATAATCTCAAGTTTTTATTATAATCAGAATACTACACAATAATCTTCATGGTTAATAAAAGACCTCATCTTTCACGTAACACTAAAGTTATGGCGTAGTGAACAAGAACAGAAGCGGGGACAGTCGAACTTATTCGAACACAAAATTACAGAAAAACTTAGTAAAATCTAATTTTCATACAGTAGATACTTCATTTGCAAAATGTCAATTAATTGTATCAAACTTAAGTGTTCCTTTATTTCCATAGGAATCATTTACTGTTCTTGTTCTCTTTTCTTCTATCTTAACCTTATGCTACCAGGTATTTCACTTTTGATTGATGATACATACTACTTATAGATATCAACATCAGTAGCACATACCACAATAGTAGTTTTTTCAAGAAAACAGCAAGCAAAACAGTCACCTTATTTTCATTGAAAGATTATATATATATCATTATTACATAACTTTTACTTAAATAATACTTGTCTGATTAGATGAATTGGCTGATGAATGGTGGCCAACAAAATGTTCAGTTTATATATGATTACAGTAATCTGCCTATTCAGGGATGCTCTATATCTTTTGTGATAAGTGACATAAGTTACAATGTGTTTTATCTGAAAGGCATAGGTTTTACTTTAATACATACTAATTTTCATTTAAAAATGCATAAGCGAAACAAGATGCTTCTTTTCACTTTTGTAAGCATTGTCAATCAATAGTACTTTTACAAAAAGAATTGGTGCGACGTACACCATAACCTTCAGGAGGAATGACTTCTTTCACGGATTAGAGTATATCTTATTTAAGAAAAATGAAAAAAAAAAGAGAATCAAGTTCAGGGCTAGTTTCACTTGTTACTTATTAACGTGGTATATATCTCAGCGGTTATCGTTAACATTAGTCGAACTACATTGTCCAATTTGAATTAAGAGAACAAATTTGTAACTATTTTCATATCTTTCATAAACTAAGTACTCATTAATGAATATTCCTTTGTCTTGTGATTGAATGGTAACATATTTATATTTAAATGATTTTACGTCTTCATTCAGAGAATTCAAAAGTAGATTATTAAAATTTTGTGTTGAATTAAACATGTTCAGATCCTGAATGGATTTTTTCTTATGATCGTTATTTCGTGCTTCATTTATTTAGGTTTCTGATTTAGAAGACGGAAAGTATACTTGTACAGTTCGTAATGCAGCAGGCTCAGCTACTACATATTGTAATGTTACTGTTCAACCAACAGATACAAGAGAATCTTTATTAGCGTCACAAGTGACACTACGACCAACAGCTCCACGTCGTAGAAGGGATTTACAGTCTGATTCAGATGAAGTATTTGAACCAGTTAAAATACCACGAATAGTTCAATCACCTATCGGAGTCACAGAAGAACAAGTGATTCCAGTTAGTGCAGTTAAAGGAGCCTATCCAAAATATACTCAAAGAGCTGTTTCAGTACCACCTACAACAACAGCCTCTGTACCTTTAAGGTGAGTGAACTTTGTTACTATAACTTAAAATTTCACTACTGATATGAAAGACTGAATGGATAAAATCCTAATGGTTAATAAGATACCTTTATTGATGCTTTTTTCAAAAGTCTGCGACTTATTATACGTTCTTAGCTCATGACTAAATAATGTGATAGCGTTTTGTCTAAAACCAAATAACCGTCAACTGGGTCAACGTACTATGTTAGTATAATAAACTTTAGAGCATGTTTATATGAACTGATCATACTACCAGGTTAACCAGATTTTATCAGGTAAAGTTGATCACAAATATTTAGCGTACTGACTAAGTATCAAGTATCTTGATCAAATGATACGTTTTGAAGTACTTACACATTACACACTATTTTATGTTTGCTTTCATAACTAATCTAACAACAATTATGTCTGATTTTTTAAAAATTTTTAATAAAAATATCTGAAGAATACAAAAAAATGCCACGGGAGGACGTCCAGTATCAGATTATGGCAGACCCCCACAGTTTATTCTACCATTGCAAAATTCTGGAGTGAATGAAGCGGAAAAAATCAAATTAGAATGTCAAATTACTGGGATTCCTGCACCACAGGTAAAATATTCATTTCTTCTTTGTATCGTTTACTTTGAATTTATTAAACAAGTGAACAACGTGATGGTGTTTGAAGCCAATGGTACTGGGTTCGAGTCCCAGATTGAATATGAACTTCGAGATGGTGGTACATCCAACTGATTAGTCCCAAATAGGACGAAATGCACTTTGTCCTGGATTCCGCTGCTAGTCACTATCTATCTTTGCTTAAAAAGTTTGTGACTTAAGGCTATATCAGGGCAATCCTCACAGTACGCACATATGCCAACAAGCGACTGATCAATTTCAGTCCTTAATAACAATGGGAAGATTCAAGTAAAACAACACCAAGTGAATCTAAAATTTAATTTTCTTATAGATTAAATGATTAACTTGCCAAATAATTTCATGGTATTAATGTTTATATGGAAAATGTTTTCATTGAAAAGTAAATCAACATGAACGATCTATAACCAAAGAATTTAAGAAGTTAGATAATAGTCAGGTTTATAATAGCAATCTAAAATTGACTGTCTAGTCACGCAACCTAAAGATTCTGAGTTTGACTCCTTGCTGACGAGGTGACTCATATAAGAACGAAACTAAACGTACTATGCTTCCGGATTCCCAGTGGTTGTCCAATAGATGTCAAACCACTGTCTATACTACCTTTAAAATAATCTAGCCATTGATTTCAACAGCCTCATAGTATCAGCTATAGTCTTGTTTTTAAATTGACTCGGTGTTTAATTGATATGGGATAGACTAACTTCTTAAGAAAATCACACATGTATTTTAATCACTCCTTGTCGATAACCGCTGTTATATCGCTATTGGTAAAACGTCTAAGTTCAATATATAGAAGGAAGGAAACATCTTGTATTTAATATTTGGTACAATATTTTGAATCTTTTACTCATGAGAATAAGAATCAATCTGACAAGTTGATTATCGGAAATTAATTTGATGGACATTCAGTTTGGAGTTGCAGAGATTTTCAAAATTTCACTTAACTCATGAACCGATCCGTCGTTCAACTCTTTCAGGTTTTTAGTGGTGGTCTAACTTAAATCATTTCTTAATTTTAATTAAATACTGGTTCGTTAAACCCAATTTCTTTTTAAGGAACCTTTATAAGCTACTGTTAAAGATTCAGTAGCATGTTTGTAAATGGTTAGATTTCAAGAATATGAACAGAAAGAAAAGAGTATTCAGAAAAGAAAATTTTCTTTTCGATGAAATCATTTACTTCAGCTGTATATTCATATTTATAGTTGTTTGTCATTTATATATATACTACAGAAAGATATAAAAGATTGCATCATAAAGTGATTCGGAATTTTAGATATCAAACGAGGATGCACAATAATCAGGGAGTTCGAGAGGAGTATGGTCAGAATTATGACAGATAATTGTTCACTTGACAGATATGAAGGAAAAAAAGGGTGAAAGTTAAAGGTCATAACAACAATTGAATTATAATCATTGATTGGTTAATGGTTAGCTGAAAAGTTTAAAACCCATCAGAAATCACATCAATAGATACAGCTCTCTTGATCCATTCAAAATATCAGCATAAGTTGTAGAAAAAAAAGCTTCCTTGAGATCTTGACTCATGTCAAGTTACACAAAAAGATCTAATAATCTTGTAGAATTGATTGATCGAGTTATTAAAAATTTCTGTAAGAAGGGAAATAAAAATAGTTCAATTATAAATGACATTTTGGATTTTAGATCGAAATAAAGTACATTTTTATCTGCTCTTTGTTTCATACAGAGTATATGGTTATGAATAATGAAGCGCTGGAAGTCCTAGATATGACGCATTTAGGAAACATAGTAAGGTTGAGGATGCCTTCAACCAAATATTCCATTTATGGAAAAAGGCATCAAAACGTTGTGGAGAGTTTATTTACGGGATTTAACGATCTTGGTTGAAATAAAATGAGCAGTGTAACACTTCTGATATTAGTCTTTTAAGTAAGACTGATTTGTAGCGAAATTTATGTACGCTACCCTCCAAGATTATTACTACCATTTACATCTTAATTCTACTAACTCTAAGATCAATCTTCATTAACCTTCTGTGACTCTCACAGTACCCAGTACCAAAGATTGACGCCTTATATTGATAGAAAACTTTATTTAAAATTAATTATACAAAGTAATTCACAACAGTATCTTAACAATAAAATCTGTAGAAACATTCAGAAAATGAAACTGTTACTGACATTTACATTTAATACAAACTCTCTATCTTGTTAGACCCTTGGAAGATGAATTAACCCGATTTTGTGTTGATTTTTACTCTGACACACTATATCGACACTTATCTTATCATACAATGTAATGTTGTCTACAATGTTATCATTTTCACTTGTATTTTAAAGATTGCTGATTATTATTGAACAATGTAAGTTCATTAAGGATACAGAGTTATTCAGAACTATCGTGATTAGTCATGTCAATTAAGATCAATCATTTATAATCACATACTATTCTTATATCATCATAATTTAGAACAAACATTCAATTCTATCGAAAAAATTTATGATTACTGTATTACCACATTGATAATTATACTCATACCGTGATCTTATTATGACAGCTCGATTAAGTTCATTTAAATACTGTTAATTTTACTTTCCAGAAAAATCTTTACATTTTGACAGGGTTGATCACCTTTCGATAGAATATATAGAAATATATTGTTACTTACATTATAAAACATGTGGTCAAAATATGATGAGAGCGATTCAATTGTTTGTGAATAGATGAATACTTACTGATGAAAACCAAGGTTACAAAACAGAAGACGTCACACAACACTATAGAGAACGAGAACACAAAGGCGGACCGACCAAATGTGGAGTTACAGGATCGCTTGGTAAAATCTAAGAACCATGCAGTGAATACTTCGTTTCTAAGATGTCCATTAATCGTCTCAAACTTTATTATTCGTTCATTTCCATATCAATCACTCTCTGTTCTCTTACTCTTCTCTTCTATCTTCACAACCTTCTACCACCAGGCATTCCACTTTCGATTAATGATACATACTACTGATATCTGCGATATCAGTAGCATACACCACAGCACATCCATATTTTATTAAAATATTTATCTAATGAATTAATACACTTACTTTTATAAATTAACACCATAGAATCGTTAGAATTTATCTGCATAATATTACTGAAATGAATTCATTTTTAAATATTACATTATTTTTACTATTTTTTACTTTTAAAGGTTACTTGGCTTAAAAATGGTATCCCATTAGCTAGATCTAATTCATATGTAACTAAAGAGATTGGACAATATCACTGTCTAATCTTTTATGATGTATTTCTTGATGATCAAGGTGAATATACATGTGTAGCTGAAAATCCTTATGGAAAAGCATTTAGTTCATGTAGAATGGATGTTGAACGTGAGTTGAATATTTTTAAGAGCCAAAGTTTAGTTTAGTATTCAGACTACTTCATTTAACCGATAAAAGGGTAAGACTATAATTTATGGACGAACCAATTAGATTTAGGATAACAGATCTTGGATTTTGGCGCAAAATTCATTCACCCATTAGTCCAAATAGCGTTTTGATATTTTAGCTGATATCAGTTGGTGATGAAAATCATAAATCTAAATCCTACCCTTACAATCAACTGTAAATCGTTGTCTCTATTCTTCAAACGGCTTTATAACCTTCATTTAGACCTATTATGTAGGTGGATTCTCTCAGGGTCACCTTGGCGTCGCTTAAAGGTCGTCCATAAATTATAGTTTCACCGACAAAAGTTTAATTCTACTTTCAATATTAAGTCTCATACTACCTAAACGGAATGAACATTAAATAAACAGGAATTTGTTTACTTAGAAATAGAATATTTTTGAATGAATAGCTGACTTCGTGCTTACATTTACACACATATTATACGATCACGATTTAATATTCACAATTGAAGTAAAAGATGAAATTAAACTCATCTTGGATATAGTTATAAGACGACTATACTGAAATTTCTCAAATTACTATCATAAATTGTCCCTAGTCACCCTACAAAGAATAACCGATGAAAAATATCAATACACTCACAGTCGGTGTTACGCACCTAGGTACAGACATCCATTATTTTCAGGAGAAACTATATCTATCAGTGTAGGATTGTAGAGATTGTTAATTTTTAATTGAGATTATGAATCGAGTAATGCTGAACCACCACTGAAAACCTAGGTGGGTAAATGTCTCACATCAAACACGGATCAGCTACACTGGCAACGGCTTCCAACTAGAACTCTGAGAGTTACCTCTCGAAGCCAATCATTAGCGAGCACATGATGCCGGCTAGGTGGTTTAGGGGTTAAGGGTTCGTGTGCGAGACCGAAGGTCGTGAATTGTGGATGCGCACTGGTGAGGAGTCCCATACTTGGACGAAACGGCTATTCACTGCTTCCAGGTTTTCAATGTTGAACTAGCATTGATCGATTCATGATCTCAATCAAAAGTATATCCATTAATACAATGTGGTTTAATTAGTACTATTTACTTTTCGATTGATGATAGGGTTATTTGTTAGGTAAAGTGAGTTGTGGAGATTACTCCTATTTGAATCCCTTAGATATTACGAACTACCATCAGCTAGAGAAGTGATTCTGATGAATAATAAATAGAAAAACTGCTATCCAGAGCTCTAACTGACTTCAATTCAAAACGAGCAATCTTTTAAAAAATAGCGTATTATTTTGACTAATAAGTTGTACTTAAACCGTTTATAACGAAGAACAAAATCCCATGATACCACCGACTTTCACATAGTGCAATAGCCTTAATCTGGACTTCATATAGATAATAACGGAAGCAAGTTTAATGGAAAAAGTATGTATGTTATATGAACACATACCTCTAAAAAGAATGCATATAGCTTTACATTTATTTCTATGCTTACATTTTAGCGATTTGTGAAGATGAACAACCAACTGATAGTGAACCGACGTTAGTAAAACCATTACCGCCAAGTTTATCTGTTGTAGAAGGTGGATCAGTTGAGTTAACATGTCAATTCACTGGAAGGCCAATACCTTCCATAGTATGGCTTAAAGATGGTAAACAACCACAATCTTCAATTAATTTTCAGGTTAGAATAGTTAGTCTTTTTTGAAGTATAAATCACATTATTTTTCTAATTGCTCCTCTAACAGTCAGGCCGAAATAGAAAACTCTAGAATTGACAAGGAATGGACAGAAACTACTTTAGGCAGATAAGATGAAAGACGACCAATGCTTTAAAAATACTCATGATAAAAAATCTGTAATGTACGCATGTTTTATACTCTCAAAGACCAAGTATCACTACCACAACTAAGACCATAGTGGATTAATATGCAGTATGAACTCCTTTTGGTTGATAGACGAACATCCCGTATACTCTTCAGGTGACATAAGTTGGTAAAGGCCACCCAAGCCTACGAAATCTTTAGCGAGATTTCGTCACACACTAACGCACCAGGGTTGATGAGACTCCCAAGATAAGTTAAGTGATCAAACCATTTAACTAGTTTATTCCTTATCACTAGTTCAGGCATTGACGTAGACCAGTAAAACTTTGCATGTTTGTCGATATCGCCAAAAAATCAGAACTATGTCAACTGCGTATTCTAAGTCTTTAAGCGAACCTCCTAAAGAAAGATTAACCCCTAAAAGCTTAGTTGAAAAAGATTTTATCTCATTAACTATATTAAACAACTTACTGCTCAATATACCGTAACTAAATAATATATCTGACTAGAAGATATCATACTCACTGTCATTACTCAAATTCACTACAAATGTAAATAATCTGTGTAAAATATTATTAACGAATTAATCATATGTATTTGGAAAATCTAACGTTTCGCCTGGCAATCTGACCCAAGCTATTTCAAGAAGTTATAATCAAACATCAAAATTACTGATTAAAAATAGGTACATGGTCCTCCCGTTCACTGTATATTGAATAGATCATCCAATCGACGTTAAAAATGTTTAAAGTAGATATTTGCTTTAACGTTTAAGAGATATATAATGTGAAACAAAAGCGTGTTCAGATAACAGATTAAGTGTATCCATAGGTTGAGTGAGAAGAAGGCTTGAACCAGATTGACAGGCCAAATGTTAGATTTACTTCAAATTCATTCACTGAGATTTTACAAATACATTCTTCCTGCTTAATGTCTCACAACAACTCGGTGCCCAAATACTGTGAACCTATTCAATCAAATTTAGACAAAAGTTCTTATATAATGAATCATATATATGTATATTGAGTTGTAAACATAGACTTGAAACTTTGTATCCAATGTACTGAACAAGATGATTAGAATAATGTTCTAACGCCACCTATCAATAATTCTTATCCACGTATATACAAATAGCTATTATTATTTTTTGATGAAGTTTTGTTCTCTTAACTGGATGGTTTGGTCGTGGAGCTTTCACCGTTCTTCTGAACGACATCATCAGCAAAAACTTCTACCTGAGCTACAAATCTTCTCCATCATCTCAGTTATTATCATTGTTTTATTGGTAAATTAACAGGTTGATTTATTTTATTCTAAAAGTATTCATGTATTAACTTTTAGACATTTCAAGATTCTGGTTTTGCACGTCTTTATATACCAAAAGTTGAAAAAGATAAAACTGGTCTATATGAAGCTGTAGCAACAAATCCATTAGGTAGTTGTTCTACTACTGTATATATGGAAATACTTCCATCTATACGAACATCTATTGATTTATTGCCAACAATTTCACCAGTGATGAGTGGAAGTTCACCGGAATTTACGCGAATATTTAAGTAAGTCTGATACATAAATATTTTCTCAGTATGGGGGGTTTGTGGAGATTGTATTAATTTAATAGTTCAATTCATGAGTCGATTTAAGCTAGACCAACATAGAAAACCATTGGATGCTAGCTCAGTTGTCTAAACCTTATGTGTTTGCTTGAGAGACCATAGGTCCTGGGTTCAAGTTTCTTGTGCAGGATCATGTATGCGTACTGCCGACGAGTCTCATACTGGGACGAAAGGGTTGTACAATGCTCTCAGGTTTCCATTGATGAACTAGTTTAAATCGACTCATGGATTCAAATATTAAATTATATAGATATTTAATGGAAAAAAGTTGATAATTAATAAATTTATCTATTTTTATTCATACATTATATCCTTTATTTGTTTCAAATACTTACAGAGATGTTTATATTGAATCAGAACGTTTAGAAGAAGTGGTACTTGAATGTTCAGTAGTTGGTGTTCCAACACCAATAGTGTATTGGACACATAATGGAATAATTATCAGACCAGATGATCAACGTTATACTATTGGCCAAGGACCTGGCCCAAATGATCATTGTTTAATTATCCGACGACCAGGACCAGAATCAGCAGGTAATTCTACATTCTAATTATTATTTATTATAAAGGGTTTTTCTTTCCTATTTCTATAAAACTATGATTTTGTCTCGGTTTAAAGTGTAGTCATTCTTAATGGATGTCAGTCATATATAAACTTATTTCTAAAATGCTAGTATACTTTTACTGTTTATTCGCCATAGGTTGCTAGTTAATCCAACTAAGATAGAATGACATAGTTACTTGATAAATCAAGATAAATATAGACGAAATCGTTGAAGTACCCAATATATAATTATATGAACCAAAATATTATGCTACTTGCTTTCTCTAAAAAGTACTCATTTTCTATTAAATATTTTATGAGATTCTTGGTTAGTTATTTCATTAAGTTTAATTGAGAATAAAAAGTACTGTGTTAGGTAAGTGATCGAAGCTTCTAAGCCAAACTGTTGGAAGTTCCTCAATAACTTTTCATCTTGAAGAAATCGAAATAAACTAAACATTATGTAAGGAGTCACTGTGATTCGGAAATTTTGGGCATAATAAAATTATGAATTACTTGAATAGTGAAAATAGTTTACTATTTATCATTCATGATTTGTGCTCAATTAGATAGATAATATCCAAAGTTTTTATAAAGAAAAGTTATTACATGTTATGTAAATGTCGGTTCCTACACCCAGATTCCATAATAAGTGTAGCGAGGTTGACAGTTGCCAAGTAAGGAAAGTAGAACATAAAATAGTATGCTGACTTAAATTAGTCGCTTAATCATATTCTTCTTCTTCTGTTTCTGTTAATTTTAAAGTTATTTTCCTAAAATACTTTATTGATCAATAGGTCGTTATCAAGCTATAGCTGAAAATCTGCATGGAAGAGTTACATGTTCAGCATTTATAAGTCCTATTGGTTATAGTCAAACAATAATTAAAAGACCTCCATCTACGATGAGTTTAACAAGGCATACAGTTACACGACAAATATGTCCACGTGAAACATCATTACCTCCATCACCAGCAAGTACTGCTCCAATCATTTCACCACAATCATTTGCTACAGTTCAATTACCTTTATCACCAGTACGATTTCAAAGAGAAACATCAGCTCCACCATCACAATACTATTTGACAAGACATCATTTACAAATAAGACCAAGACAGCCAACACCACCAATTCAACTGACCTTTGCATTACCACGCAAAGAACAATCATTAAGTCGAACAGAGGTAAAATAAATTGTTTAGAGATAGTTTAAAATTAGTAGTTAAATATGTTAAATACCTCTTTGTACGTTGAAATTTCTTAGTATGCATAAATTCTTAACTCTATGATTCCAGTAACATAATAATTCGTCTAACATGGATCCATTCAGGATCTCAATCAAAACTCAACAATCTTCACAACCCTATATTTATAATTGTATATTAAACATTGTTAAATTCCTTTCATTTTGATCAGATCACTTTTTGATATCAATATATAAGTTGATCACATTTAAATTGTCAATTAATTAAGTTAACTTAAACCATACAGTAATAGTCTAGGGAACTATTTCAGTCTTATTTCCTTTAAATTTTAATGTTTAACTGATTAATATTGACTACTATCTGATGGTTCTCATGTGTTTTGACAAATCGGATATTATTCTGAAAATGAAACAATGTGACGGAATCCAAATATATAGTTTTACTATTGTTTACACTGTAGGATGACGTCAGAATTCTATTGGGGATATGTATTATGAGCATTGAAATGCATTATAGCAGTTTGAATGTGTTAAGTACCCATTAAGGTGAATAAATCTTTATGGAACTTAGAAATTTTTTTATTGTCACCAAATGATATTTTATACAAAACTTCTTGTGAATTAGTATCTGTACTTTATCACTGTATTGGTTCACGTAATATGTATATCAGTACTAAACCAACATCTACGATGTTAATACAGTAGACCTTAGAGAACTATATATTGTACTAAACGTTTATTGAACGAAGTGAATATTATCAATATGGGGTTGTGGAGATTATTAAATTGTTGATTGAGATCATAAACCGATTGGTGGTAGATCAACATTGAAAAGCTGGAAGCATTAGACGACCGTTTCATCCTATTGTGTGGCTCTTCATCAGTGCACATTTGCGACCCCGCGCGAGGGATTCGAACCCATGGCCTTCAGTATGGAGTGCGAACGCTTAACCTCCAGACCACTGAGCCGGATTCAACGGTGTTAATGTCTAACCCCAAACAATCCTCAAAACTGAGAGACAATCTTCCATTGTACTGAGGTAGGTACCTGTTTCTACTCAACAAGGTTTAGACTCCACTGATCACGGCTTCTCACTAGAACCCCGAGAGTTCCTCATGAAGCTAGTCACTAGTAAGCACATTGTAATTATCAGTATGTGGTTGTGGACATTATTAAGTGAATATCATTATCATACATACAATAAACGTCGTTTAAGCTAAAATGAAAACATGTTCAATATGATTATACAGTAGTAGGTGAGTGCTTCAATTCTTTTCGGATTTCCTTAACTGAATATGTAATTCAGTCAGTTTTTGAGATCGAACCTGAGAATTTTGACTTCCTCTACTAGTTTTTAATAGATAACTATAAACATGGAAAGACTCTCTGTTTTATAACAAACAATCCAAGGTTTGAAGCATTAGTGAATTTAGGATATAAAAATTAGTAAATCATTTCTAAACAACAAAAAACTACAATATTTTTAGGTAGATGGACACCTTCCAAATTAATTTATTTTACCTCATTACCTGGAGATCTTCCCAAGAAAGAACCTACAAAATACAACACTAACAGAAACAATAATTCTATAGAGAATAACATGTAAGGTTAATAATCTTTATGTCATAGTTCCTTAACTAATATTAATTTCATTTTTAATCCTTTAGATAATACGACCTATTGATAGTCAGTTAAAATTACAAGGACAAGTAAAACATTATAGTAGTACACAACATTTATATAAAAAACAAATTACACCAATTGTACCAAATATTGAAACACGTTATTCACGACGTGTTGCTAGTCAACCACGTCTTTCACCAGGTTATTCATCAGAAGAAGAACATGAACATAGTATGTCCGTCGTACCAATGGTACGTCATTATAAAACACGTATGGAAAGAAATCTAGTAAGTAGACCATATATCATGTCTGGTTATAGTTCAGTAAAAGAACATAAACGTACATTACATATTACACCAATGAGACGTGAATATCAAACATCATTAGAACATAATTTACCAGCTAGGCCGATATTAGAAAAAGGTTATGCAGCCGAAGAAGGACGTGAATATGAAATGAATGTTGTACCTATTGTACCTCACACTGATTATAAAACTGAATTAACAACTGATATTTATAGTAAACCAGAGCTGACACCAGGCTATACTACAGAAACTGAACATATTCGATCATTTGAAATTACTCCAATGGTACCGGAATATCATACAAAAATGGAACGAAAAATAGCAAGTCATCCCATACTTGAAGCTGGTTATTCATCAGAAGAAGAACATGAACACAAATTGGACATTATTCCCATGACTACTTCATATAAAACTGAACTGAACACTGACGTATCCTCTAAACCAGAATTGATGCCTGGATATGCTGTTGAAACTAAACATCCTATCAAACTTGAAGTCACACCAATAGTTCCAGAATATCGTACTGAATTAGATACAAAAGTTGCTAGTCATCCACATTTAGAGGAAGGTTATACATCGGAAGGTGAACATGAGCATCAAATGGAACTGATACCGCTAGTACCTGAATACAAAACACAACTGTCAACAGATTTATCAGCAAAGACTGAAGTGATTAGTGGTTATGAAAGTCGATTACATTATGAAAAAACTTATCTTATGGAAACTCAATTAAAACAAGTAAGATACTGATGTTTAACACTAGGAATAATATATATCAGTTACAGAGTTAATCTTAGTCAAAATTATTATGATATGGATTACATTGCAAGTTTGTATCAGTATACTTTGTAACCCGACACAATTAATATGTAGCAAATAATTGTATAAAAGGTTTAGTTATCTGTCATATAAAAAAAAGAAACTCAACTAATTGTCCGATCTCCATATTTACTTACAAAATTCTAACATTTCATCACAAATCTTCGGAAAAAGATCACATGAAGCAGTGAAACTATAATTTATGAACGACCTTTGAGCGACACTGAAGTGGCCTTGAGACTGAACACCTGATTACGAATAAATGAAGGTTATAAAGCAGTTAAAATTCTCATTTACAGCTGATGGTTAGGGTTAAAAATAAATTTTAAGGTTTTCATCACCAATTAACATCAGCTATAATGTCAAAACTCTCTTTAGCCAAATGTATGAATGAATTTCGAGTCGTGACTCATTATTTTATATCTGATTGGTTCGTCCATAAATTGGACTTCATTAAATCGTTTTAACCCAATAGTTGTTCCTGATATTCTATTCGTTTTTTAAGAAGTTTATTTAGAGAATTAGATGAAAACAATCATGATAGTAATTCCTACACTAGTTCATATGGGATTTATCGTAATTCATTAGGATATGTAACATTATGTGATACAGGAACATGATTAAGTTATCAAATATGTTTTGAGAAGTGAAATGAATAAAACAAGAACATCTAGTTGATGAAAGGGAAAAAATATAAATTATGATTTACTAAGAACGTTTGTGCCAAGTTCTATTTTCATCAAGACTAATTCACAAAGATTTTTTAAACTGGAATGACATACAGTATTTCATTCATAAAATTAAATAAGGTAACTGTCATTTTACTGAGGTTGTATAAAATAGTGTAATCTGGTCAGTATTTCCATGATGATGAAATTGTTCTATTCAGAAAATCTAGATTCATTCTCCTAAGTTATTTTCGTTATCGTTAGTTTGATAGAATATTGACATTGTTTTGAGATGTGGAATGGTTCTTATTATGTCCTTGTTATATCGGTTATTAATTATAATTGAAGAAACAAACGAGGAACCACTGCAATACATATGAAGCGAAGAAAGAACACAAAGACTGGTACAAATGAAGATTCATTTACCCCAAAAATACGAAGGCGGCTCTATCCGTATATACACTCATTTATACATCGATTAGTCACCCATTTAGGATGAAATCACGTGTATGAAAAAATATTCAGAATGAGAACAAACCACAAACCATAAGCATAGATGAACGGTGGCTAGCAGTGGGAGCCCACCCCATTACACTAGCAGGTCCTTATCAAAACTCAGTAGTTAAGTTGATAACGCGGTGGCGTTTGAAGCGAACGGTAATGGGTTCGAGTCCTGGAGTGAACATCAATTCTGGAATGCAAGTACATCCAAATAACGAGTCCCAATTAGGATGAAACGTGGGTCCTGAATTACACTATTAGTCAGCATCCATCGTTACTTAGAATGCTTGTGACTTAAAGCATTGAGTAATCATCGCATTGAATTAAAAAAAAACGGACGTAATGTAGAACAAAAGCCACAATTAGTACGATTTTGCCTATTTTTCCTAGTCGTATCAGTCTCACTTCTTCTACTCTTATCTAGGGTAAATATTTGGCGTTTCTGTTCTTTTTTTACTATCGTTATTGGTAGAAAATGAAGCAATACTCAGTTAGTTAATTAAACAATGTACTATGAACAGTAGTTTACACATCATGTATCCCTTTTACACATAATATTTCTGCATACTATTTATTCCAGCTTTACAAATTGATAATATACAATCGATATGTTTTGAGAAAATTCCTATTATATTGTCTATCTCTTTTATTTTAATAGTATGAAACTGCAATTTCAACTCATCTACCAAGTAGACCATCTTTAACATCAATATTTGAGTCGACTTTTGAACATGAAACAAATATGAATGTCGTTCCAGTTGTACCACAGATTGAACATCATAAAAGTCAATTGATTACTGATTTCTACGCTAGAGTATGTTAAATATTCCTAAAAATGTTCTGATGTTATTATGTGTGCGTAGAGAGCGACTACTTGAAGTATAGATGTTTAACAGTCAAAAATAATAATAACTTCCGGTGGCCTAGCTAAGATCGACTCATGAGTTTAACTGTTAATAAAGACTAGTTGGTCCTCACAAATAACAGTCTGAAAAGAACTAATATCAACTAAGAAGTGATGAACGGTTTTCATATCCTTCTGCTTAATTGTGTTTAAACTGGACTGGTATATTTAAAGTTTCAATGAGTACCTTAAAATAAAATCATATGGTTGGAATTCAGTATTAAATAGTTTAGTGCTTTCACCCAATCCTTTTTATTGTGCTATACCACGTGACTGGAAACTAATAGTTTTTCCCTTTTTCACCCAGAACACTTTTCTGTTAGATACTCATAACTTTCTACAGCTTTCACACATTAATTTAACTTACTCTTTTTGGAGATATTGTTTATGCGATTTATTTAAATCGAATAATTTAGAAAGTCTATTTTTGTAGTAACACCTAATGACCGGAAACCAGAGCTTACAACTCATCTAAATCTATAAGTAAAAACACAGATTTTTTAATCAAAATAGGGGTTTGTGGACAGATGTTTGTCCCGGGATGAGACTCCTCAGTAACTCATATCCACGACCTCACATGTGGCAATCGGACCCATGAGCGGCCTCGCACACGAACCCTTATACTATGAACCACCGAGCCGGCATCTAACCGTTTTAGAGTCTAACTTCAATCAATTCGAGGTATTGCGTAACCCTTATCTATTGCCTGTGGCAGAAAACTGTCTCACACCTGATATAGTTAGACTCTACTGCTTACAGCTTCTCGCTCAGACTTTAGGAGTTGCATCTTGAAGCTAGTCACTGGTGAGCTCAAACACGTGGTCATTGTTTGTCCAATCCTGAACTCAAATAAAATGGTATTAGAATCATAATGAACTGCAATACAATCATCAATATGGTTTTACTAAACTGAATTCTCTAACAAAACCGAATGCATGTACCGTTTTGAAAATATAGTTAAGAAACTCCTCTACTTTTTGACTCACTAGCTCTTAAAAAATATTTTCTCCAAATTGATTTTACATTCATTCCCTAATGTTCTCATATTTTTTGAATAAAAATATTCTTCTTCTAAACGGATAAACTAGACAATTCATTTTATTGTTTATCATTCGTACTCTTCTAGTACCGTCCAGTAGATGTAATTGTTGAAGTACCTATTCCACCAGAATTTGTAAAACCTCTAGCAAATGTTGTAGCTGATGAAGGAGCATGTGTTGTTATAGAAGGTCTTGTAAATGGAACACCACAACCCAAAGTATCATGGTATCGTTCCGGACGTCAATTATCTGATGGTCCTGATTTCCGTTTAGATTATACAAATAATCGTGTACGATTAACACTCAGTGAAGTAAGTTATTTTCCATTCTTATCAAAAATAAGTTAATTGTAATTAGTGAATTTTTTTTAAGTTTTTTAAATATGTTACATAATATTCAATTAACTGATTGGGTTCAACATTTTAAACAAAGTAATCAAACATTTCGAAAGATCTAAGTAAATATTTCTATGCTAAAAGATTTTATATGAATAAAAAATCCAAATGGTACTTTGGTTTCTGAAGAGTGTTGAATATCATCGTCTATTTAACTGACTGACTTTGGACAATCAATAATAGCCAAGTAGTATTAATCCAATTTGGATTACGCTGACTAAGATTTGATGAGTTCATCTATTCTATATCAAACTGTGTTATAATGACTATACCGAGCCAATCTGTAAATGATGTACCTATGTCAACCAAAAGTGATCAAATTTCAGTCCAAGATATTATTAACGGGATAATCCAAACCATTTCAAACTGAATTAATTTCCACAACTATTGTACAAGTAAATGGTTAGTTGCACTCAGTAGTAAAGTGGCACGGCACTGGGTTCGAGTCCTGGAGTAAACATCAACGGACACCCTGGATTTCACTTTTAGTCACACTCCGTTCATTCTGTATCAACAAGTAGTGTTGTGTTGTATTCGACTTATGTTGGTGAATATAAATAACATGTAACACCAATCAGAAGTTGAATGTCTGTCAAAAACAGGATTGAGAAAATTGAACAAAAAAGAACCGAAAAGGAAAAAAAGGAACAGAACTAAAAACAGAATTGGAAAAATTATGAAGGATGCGCACTGCCGAATCATCCCATACTAGGACGAAACAGTCATCCAGCATGTACAGGTTTTCAATGGTCTAACATTTATCGATTCATAATGTCAATCAAAAACTTAACAATCTCCACAACTCTACACAGATAATATGTTTCAATTTTTTTTCTTAAAAATTAAAGGCATTTCCTGACGATGCAGGTGAATATACTTGTGAAGCTGAAAATATTGCAGGTTGTGCACAAAGTACTGCAAATTTAATAGTGCGTGGTCGTTTAATGACGCCAAGATTTATTAAAGGACTTGAAAATCAAATAATATATGAAAGAGAATCAGTTCGATTAATTGTTAAAGTAGATGGACATCCACCACCAACAGTTACATGGTAAGATTATTTACATTATTTAAAATGTGTATAGTAATTATTTTGGTTATTTTGTTAAATAATTGTTCATTTTCATTTGTGATATACTTTTTTCTCTTACTTACTTACACCTGTTAATCCCAATGAAGCCACCGACCAGCATTCTCCAACCCACTCTGTCCTGAGCCTCCCTTTATAGTTCTATCCAATTCGTGTTCATTCTTTTCATGTCTGTCTGCATTTCTCGGCTCAATGTGTTCGTTGGTCATCCACTTTTCCTTTGGCCTTGGGGATTTCACGTGTGGGCTTGCCTTGTGGCGTAGATGGGTGAATTCTTCAATGTGTGTCCTATTCACTTCCAGCGTTCCTTCCTGATTTCTCCCTCCGCTGGATTCTGGTTTGTCCTCTCCCACAGTATGTTGTTGCTGATAGTGTCTGAACAAAGGATCCAAAGTATTTCGCGTAGACAGCTGTTGATAAACACTTGTATCTTCTGGATGATGGCTTCCATAGTTCTCCATGTTCCCGCTCCATACGGCAGAACTCCCTTGACACTTGTGCTGGAAATTCTGGTCATGGTGTTGGTTGATAGTTGTTTTGAGTTCCAGATGTTCTTCAACTGTAAATATGCTGCTCTTGCTTTGCCGATCCGCACCTTCATATCTGCATCAGATCCACCGTGTTCATCAATGATGCTGCTCAGATATGTAAAGATTTTTACATCTTCCAAAGCTTCTCCGTCAAGTGTGATTCCATTGGTGCATGTTGTGTTGTATCGGAGAATCTTCCTTTTCCCTTTGTGTGTGTTGAGACCTACTGCTGCTGAGGCTGCTGCTACATTAGTCGTCTTATCCTGCACTTGTTGTTGCGTGTGCGATAGAAGATCCAGATCATGTGCGAAGTCTATGTCTTCCAGCTGCATCCTGGATGTCCACTCTATCCCATGCTTCCCTCCCAGACGTCGACATTTTTTCTCACTGACTGAAAAACAGTTTTAACTTAATTTTTTATATCAAATATAACTTGGATACAACAATAATGATTACATTGATTGAATTTTATAAGTGATTAATAAGTTGAATTTCATTTATTTAATTCAAAAACAATGTTTAGTTTTTTCTAAAATGATTTGGTCTATGAAATTTCCGGGTAAAACTTTCCTAAATTAATCAAATTTTCATTATAAATGAAGAATAATGAAATATCAGAAGGGATTTTTGTGGATATTATAGTAATTCCAATGGCTGAGATCATAAGTCAATTGAAGCTGGACTATCATGAAAAACTTGGAAGCACTGGACAGCCGTTTCGTTCTATTGTGGGACTCCTCAGCAGTGCTCGCCATCAGCTTCAATTGACGCATGATCTCAACTATTGAAATTACTACAATATCCACAAAAACCCCTTCTGATATTAATCAACATATGCTCAGTAGTGACTGGTTTCAGTAAGTATTTCTTGGAGTTCTAGTGAGAAGCAGTGACTAGTGGAGTTCGACCGGGTCTGTCGTGAGATAGTAACTCATTGATGACAATAATAGATCTGTCACTGAATTTCGTGAATTGGTTAAAATTAAACATTATCACCGTTGGGCACCGGCTGGCTCAATGGTGTAGAGGTTAAGCGTTCGCACACGAGACTGGTATGTCCTGGGTTCGAATCTCTGGTTACAAAGAAGAGGTATGATCTGATTAATGAGAAATAATTTCCTGGAAAATTTAGTAAAAATATATCATTTAGTTGTATGCTGTACCCTCTCGATGAACAGAATGATCAAATCCATATGTCACATAATACATTATTTACAAAATTGATTCTTTTGAATATTTCAGGACTCGTGATGGTCATGAGATTACAAGTTCTCCGAACTATATACTTGAGTGTGAAGGTAATGGTATTTATGCACTCAATATACCTGAAGCATTCTTTGAAAATTCTGGTCGTTATTCTGTAATTGCTGAGAATCCAGCTGGAAAATGTATTTCTTCTGGTTTGTTAACTGTTTTAGGTAAGTTGTTCTGTAATAATATGAATAAAAATTAAGTAAATAATATGGTGTTGAAATGATGATAATTTGCATCTCATTTATATGCTCTTAAGTAATATTGTACTTTATAAAATAGCTGTCACATAGAGGCTTAGTAAATTATGAAAATCATACATTAAATACATTCTTTGAAATTCTTATTTGCTCTGTCCTTTACATACTCCATTATTCCTCTAATTCTGTTGTAATTTTGATTACTCTCATATGTGGTCTTGAGTGCTGTTAGAGGTATGAGGGCGGTTATCACTTTCCGGTTGCCCACACCGTGGAAGGGTTCTTCTGGAAGCGCCTGAAAGGGAAATTGGATTAGAGGTGGTCTTAGTGACCTGGGAGCGTGACCGCAGAGCCCAAGGGACAACTGCTTGAGGCCGGTCGCGCACGGCCTTTTTGTGGAAGGTTTTTGACGTGTTAGCTCCATTTTTCAAAGGGCCTTACCGCCGGAGACGGAAATCCGTGAGGTAAGGTGAGGTGTGACATTTTTAGGGCCGACCTTTTCTAACCCCACCCCCCTTTGTGGGAAGGCGGCATCGCTGTCATGCTGGTTGTCTGAATGAAACACCTTACTGCTGTCACACCTCTGTACAGTCAGCAGTACGACTTCGCCTTCGGACCTTAAGGTTTGTTGCTTTTAGTCTTACCGCTCTTCAACCGACCTGTCTGACATGGTAGGATCTTGAGGAACGGTTGTTCCAGCCAGTATAGCTCGGTTGCTTCATCACGATAGGCAAGCCCGACCACCACCTCAAGGTAGCAATCTTCTGTCACCAGGCACTGAATTTCCATTTGGTGCTACATACTACTTGTATCTGTCAGCATAAGTAGTATGCACTACAGAAATAATTGATTTAATACATTTTTCAATATCGATTTGTGTATTGTACACTACTAAACTATCGATTTTATTTAAACATTCATCAATAATTTGAATAAGTTTAACTTCTAATCATTGGGTTTAGTATAAATGACAAGTCTATAATGGTATGTATTGCATCAAGTCAACTAGTACACCAATATCATGCATACCTTGAAATATCCAAAACATGAATAACCTAACACACCAACTATCGTTCAGAGGTCTATGGTTATAACTTAAAGACAATTCTCCTTTTTTTTTAAACTTAAACTCTTTTATTTCTAATTCTTTTACAGAACCAGAAAGACCTTATCCCCGTGAATTAGATAAGTTATGTCTAAGCCAGTTGACAGTGCAAGTAGAAGGTCTAAAACAAGTTCAAATACCATCTCCAGAACCTCGACCGTACCCTGAGAAGCCATATTTCACAAAAGTACGTCAATTATGAATATTTGTTTATTGATCAGATATTTGTGATTCACTTCAGTTGTGACTAAAGTGAAAATGGTTATTTTTATTTATTATGTATTGAAATGTATATATTACTGACACTTGCCTTACTGCAATTGATAAAACTTGTCCAATTTACTTCACTGAATGAGTTAAATTCCGGATATTTTTTGCCTAACCCTAATTCATACTTTATTACAGAAAAAAAACTTAGTTTCACCATCAAGATCAATCCATTCATAACATAAATCAGTAATCGATTTTCATTTCTGATTACCCATACATAATAGTATTAAATGAATGGGGATATTTACGGTTTTACTATATTCCAAGGTAGATTTTGTCTTGGTTGAAAAACCTTTTGATGAATAGATCGACATGTTGATTAACGTGAAGTCTAGTATATTAGTCGATAGGCTAATGAATTCCACTCTCGAACAACCCTAAGGTTTAGGCAATCTTACTCTTAATTCAGTCAATATGACATAGTGAGCAGTAATTCTCTTCGCATTACTTGATGATTGTTTATTATGACCTATGAAGTTAACAGACAAGTTTATTTTACTAGCATCTGATTACATATGTTTCTTGTGCACTCTGAAATCACAGGATGTTAATACATTTCCGAATGCAAGATGATTTCAACACGGCTAAAATGAAGATATGAAATTGTCATCAAACTTACACTAAAACGTAGCTATTTTTTCACTTCGGTCATAGTTGTTGCTGCTTTAATTTTGTTGAACTAACGTTTCTCAGACTAATGTAACGTGACAAACACTCAATGTGCTCAAATGAAACGTCTAAACCCATTTCCATCAAGTAGAAAAGTGCGGCCTGCTTGAGCATCTGGGCTACCTGTTCCTGCCATCTAGATATTTCAAAAAGTTATCTATTTTTGTTTGTTTTAATATATCATTATGTTTATTAATCGCATAACCTATTCTGCTGCGTTTCTGAAAAGTGTACAACCTTTCGTTGTCAAAGTTACAAAAAACTCAATAAGAGAGAGTGTGGTTGCTGGCAATATACAACGAAAAGAATGTACATTATTCAGATGTTCATTTACTGGACTGCTAACATCTAACTGGCGATCACTTAATGTTTATCGTCAGGACCGACCAAGAAGAAAGAAACGGAAACTTGTTGAAATACTTTGCGCTGAGAATTCTATATCGTACCAAAAATATAATATTGAATAAAGCTGATAATAATAATTATTATTATTTCATATGTAAGAAACTAAGATGAATTTCAGCTAGAAGTAAACACCTAAAATGCATTTGTATCAAGCATTAATTTTAATCTTATTAGAACTTTTGACGTACTTTAGTGAATTCTTCAAGAAAAAAATTGTAATTAAACTCAATGTTATCTGGATTTATCTCGTATATTACCATGATATTTACACTAATTATTGTCTTTTCTAACATACATCTTTTTCATATTAGACCTTCAGTCCAGAAATAGAATTATATGAGGGCGAACGATTAATTTTAACAGCTGAAGCTTGTGGTAATCCAATACCATTCATTAAATGGTATCTAAATGGACAACCTTTAGTTGATAGCCCAGATCATCAACAAACTCAAGTTGGACCACCAGTGTCTGATGTGAATGAATTACAGCCTCATCCAGTAATCATGACAGGACATTTAATTATGAATGAACTATTCTCAGAAGATTCTGGTCTTTACACATGTGTAGCAGAAAATATAGCGGGTCAAGCAGAAGTTATGTCTAATATAAGCGTTATAACGAAAAGTAAATCATTAAGTTTCCACATTTAAATTTTTACACTTTGTGAATTGTTAAATTTTTCAAAGATCATTATGAATTAAAACTAACAAAAGTGACAAGAAGCTTTGTTTTTAATATTAATTATAAGAATCCAAGTAATCATTTATATATTCCACCGCTCATTCAATGTATGAGCTTCAGTTTAGTCGAATAACAAATCATTACCTCTTTTTCTACGTCCTATGATTTGAAGACATAATTAAGGTTTAGAAAATTACTGTTAACATACTACTAGTGTGTTTAATTGATGGAAAGTAAAAATTCAAATGATTTCAAATAGTTTGATTGGAATAGTTTTCACTTTAATAATGGTCAGGATGAGTTTCTTCAGAAAGGTGTTTAGCGTTTTTGGAAAGACACAACAAATTTATTTTTATGGATTTTGGTAGAATTTCATCTACTAAGATGGATGATGGTAAATCAATTGGTGAGGTTGTGAATCTTCGTCGACTGCGATGGTTGGGCTACGTGTTGCGTATGCCTGAACACCGATTACCACGACGTACAATGCTCACTAGTGTTGGGGATGGTTGGAAGAAAGTTAGGCGTGGCCAAACCAAAACGTGGCATCAGTGCTTCAAGTCACTAACTTCTAGTCTGAGCCATGTTGGTAGATGTAAACTACTTGGTTGGGGTCCGCGCGACTATCGTAAGCAATAGTTAGAGACTCCTGGAGACATGGCTCAGAATCGATCACAATGGCATAGGTGTATACACTACTTATCTTCCCTTAAACTATGAGACTAGAACTGCTTCATATCTTTCTTTCTACGAACTAATTCTTTCTTTCTGTACCATAACCTTATACATAGTCTTTCTTTTATACATTAACACCACTGAGTGAACTACTTCTATGAATTTGTTGTTCATCTTGTTGTGCTAATGAGGTATGGTAACTTGGACCGATACACATATGTTCCTGGTCCTACGTTGGAGCTGACTGACTGACTGACTGACCAAGATGGTTTGTCTACTCGTAAAGCTTTTCGAGTCCTTCTGAACAGCACCGTCAGAAAAAGCTTCAGATAGATATGATCTACTTGAATATCTTTACATATAATTGACAGCCTGTTCTGTCGATCTTAAGCCCAATTTGTTTTTAACAGAATGGCTACTTATTTTGTTACTTATTTAATGAAAAAAGTGTATAAGTTTATTACAGCCTTCTTTGCTATATAGATTTATGCTTAGTAATGATTTAATTTTGTTTAAAACTAGCTATAAGCGATACAAAAAAGCCAACTGTTCAACCACCGGAGTTTATTAAATTCCCAGAATCTCCAATAAGAGTTCAACCTGATCAAGAATTGATATTAGAAGTAGAAGTTAAAGGTTTACCATTGAATTCATTGAATTGGTATCATAATGGCATGATTGTATATAGTAATCCGAATCAATTCATTCAAAATATACCAAATACAGGGATTACAAGATTAATTGTTCAACAAATTCAACCAGATGATCAAGGAGAATGGTTAGTGACAGCTACAAATCCAGCTGGTTCATGTTCAAAATGTCTTCAAATAATTTGTGAAGAACCTATGTGAGTTTTTATGAGAGTTTTAAGCACACCAAATTTTATATTATGCATTTATTTCGATCTCTTCATTGAATAAAAAACTATGAAAAATGAAAAAGCAATTATATCAATCAGTAGGTTCCGCTTAAAATATCTGAGTTACCTATTCACTGAACAATTCATTCACATCTTTGTTAAGGTGTATTTTATAACGATTTTTTTAGAAATCACTCAATCAAAGACTTAATAATCTCCAGAACTCCATACTGATAATTACCATGTGCTTACTAGTGACTAGCTTTGTAAGGGAATTCTCGGAGTTCTAGTGAGAAGCCGTGACCAGTGGAGTCTAATCCGTGTCAAGTAGAGACAGGTGTCTACCTCAGTACAATGGAAAATAGTCGCGAAATTACGTGGATAGGTTGAGGTTAGACATTAACACTGTCGGATGCCGGCCCAATGGTCTAGGAATTAGGCGTTCGCGTGCGAGACCGAAAGCCCTGGGTTCGAGTCTCGCGAGCGGGATCGTGGATGCGCACTGGTGAGGAGTCCCAAAATAGGACGAAACGGCCGTCTAATACTCCCAGATTTTCAATGTTGAACTAACATCATTCGGTTTATGAATTAATTTTCAGATCTGTTCTACCAGAGCCAGTTGTTCATACTGAATATGAATTGAAATTAAGTCACCCATCAATGGATATCACTGATTTATCGCATACATATCAACAACAAACAATATTTATACAACCAGAAATGATTCCACCAAATTTCATTGAACGATTTCCTAGTGAACTTAAAATAAATGAAAAGATCCCATTACATATACATGGCAGAGTTTATGGTCAGCCCAAACCAAGCGTACAATGGCTTAAAAATGGGAAACCATTGTATTCAAATGAAAGGATACATTATCATGTATTGGTAAGTATCAACTGCTTTTATTTTCTTTTTCATGGAATTCAATCTTATTCTGTATTCAGGTTAATTAACAGTTTATTGATTAATTCCAGTATGACTATCAAATTTAATAGCAATCCATTAGCATTATTCACTTTATAGTTAGTGATTTCCACCTACTGATATATTCAACTTAAGGGTGGAAGCGAATAACTGTTAATAACATTGACAGACAGGATAACAAATTTTTTCTAATTTGATCATGAAACCTTTCACTATTCTGTACCAACTTCTCATTCAAAGTCACAGCATCTTAACCTTCACAGATTGGACTAATTTCTAAGAGGTAATGTTCAACTAGTAGGTTACTGGCTCATACTTTACTTCATCAACTTAGCATGAGACTCTTCAGAAATGTGTATGCACAACCCCGTCTTCAGGAGTTAGATACTTGAACCAGCGGTCTAAAAGATAAGCGTTCGCGCATGAAGCCGAATGCCCTTGATCTGATCTCTGGTGGAGTGGTTGTGGGTGCTCACTGCTAAGGAGTTCCATACAGGGACAAGGCATCCGTCCAATAGTTCCTGGATTTTAATGGTCGCTTAATTAAAATCATTCTATAATCTTAACTACGAAATTCGAAATATCCCTATAGATCCCTTATAGTAAAAGTTTGTAAAAGTAGAGTTCAGCTAGAAGATGATATTCGTATAATTTCTATATATTCTATTGCATAAATAATATAATAATCTTTTCATATATTTATTTTATTTTAACCCTTTTCATTTGTACCTAATGATTTGTAAAACGATTGAAAGACTCTAGATTATAATAGTTATCTTTTTAAAACTAAAGTTTCGCATCCTAGTAACTCTGACGAACAAACTAGGAAGATTGGTATCATCATTTGTATGATGTAATGGTAGATAATGTTGCTCAGCAACTAATGTATAGTCTTACCATTGAAATAGCAAGTTCATCAACTATGAAACGGTATTATATGATTTAGAAATTTTAGTGTTCATTCCATTTTGTTTGAATTTCAAATTTACCTTGTTGATAAATGCTAACTGATACAATTAATTAAATTGATAAATTACCATCGAAATCCTGTTACAATAGAATGACATATTTTCAATACTGATGTACGTACGTACGAAGATCTACGTTGTTACTAAACGACTGACTGACATATTTCCAATAACCTATATCTTAGTGATAAATACATTGTATGTGAAATACTTATGAAACAATAACTAGTCGTAAGTTAGAGGATAGCACTACATTCCACTCGTTGTTCGCTTTCAGACAGTAATTAAAATACCCGAGGTACAGACATTGACATTAAAATTGATTATTTATGTATTTTTATGAGATATTGAGACCAATATAATTACAAACAATTTTGTTTATCAGGACAATGGTGAAGTGGGATTGGAAATTACAGAACCAACTGAAGCTGATTCTGGGATTTATGTAGCATCAGCGAAAAATCCTGCTGGAGAAGATCATTGTATTGTTAACGTAAGTAAATTTGTTGATGATTATTGATTTCTTTTGTGATAATTAGAAAACATCCATTCATCTCTTTTAAGCAATGTGATATCCTCACGTGTACCGTAACATTCAAGAAGTGTCGCAATCTTTTTCTTGTAGCTATCCGTTGTACAGCTGTCAAGCGTTGCCCCAACTGGTCAACCACCAGTATTCTGTCGAGGTCCTCTCCCTTGGTCTCCGACAGAAGCTGGTCCGATAATCACCTGTCCTGGTGTGTTAAACCTACAAGAAGGTCAGCCTGTTCGCTTAGAAGCTGAAGTAATCGGGAAACCAGTCCCAACAGTATCATGGTTTATTAATGGTCGTCCGATTACCATGGATAAAACGCACAAGGTAAATACTCCCATATGTTATAAGTACTTTTGACATGAAATAACTAGTTATATTTTAAAACTCATTTCCATCAAAACCTAATATCTACTTGAATGTCATTGGACAACTGTTTTGTTTTTACCAGTCATATCTCAGTGATAGGTACACATGACTTTACATGCAATAAAATGGATCCATGAACGCAAACGAAGCGTCTTGTCAGTACCTATATTCCATGGATTTTCAAGCTTATATCGGTTTATTGGAGAATTATCTTGATATCTTTTAAATGTTTGTAAACCAAATAGTTATATCTTCTTTTCTATTTTCTAAACCCTTACCATTTCAGATCGTCCCCATGCGTGCAAACGTATGTTCACTAATTCTAGACACACCCGTACCTAATATTGATTCTGGTGTCTGTAGTTGTATTGCTACTAATCAATTTGGTCAAGCGGAACTTCGATTTAATATACATGTCGAAGGTAAACCACAAACAATTTTACAGGCTCCTCGGTTCATACAAAAACCACCTACTCAACTAACAGCACCCCTTAATGAAGAAGTTACATTGCATGCGGTTGCAGAAGGAATACCACAACCAGTACTTTCATGGCATAAAGATGGAAAGTAAGTTTATTGGCCTATATTAAATACATTGGTTAGGTGAAACATATAAGCTTGTTATGTTAGGAGATAGAAAGTTTTTCTTTACTTTGGAAATGTTCATTAGTACTGATGTAAAATGATCTCGATCATAAAATACAAATTTAACCAAATCAACCAATCAAAATTTAGAAAAACCAATAGTAATTACAGTTATGCATCCTAGTGAGTCCTACGAACAAACTGGGAAGATTGGTATCATCATTTGAATGATGTAATAGTAGATAATGTTGCTCAGCAACTAATAGTGTATAATCTTTCTATTGAAGTAGCAATTTCATTAACATTTGTTGTAAGAATGATCTCAACAAGAGAAGTGGCCAAACTTTGATTTGTAATTATTAAGTTTGTTCGAGAAAAGTTTACAGCCCTATCAAACTGAATTCAGTCCAACAGACACAGAAAAAAGTTCCTTGGTAACATCTAGTTTAAAAAACCAAGTAAGTGTTACTGTTAAATCTAGATTCATATTGTTGTACGAAAAGATTAGATAACTAGGTACATACTGACTTAGGTTCTTTGTAAACTGTTTCTTGAAGTATGTTATTGTTTATTATTTAAACACTTAAACATTGGTACAAGGAGACACCAAATAGATATGTGCCACATAAATCATTCGATTTGTGTGAGGGCTGTGATACTACCCGGGTGACAAAATCAACACAGGTGGTTTTATTAGGGGGCCACACCCAGAGCCTTCAACCTAAAAGTCTGATCCACAAGGCACTGGAGCAACGTGAGGAGATGCAGTCTTATGGTAGCCGGTGACCAACGATTGGTTCATACACCATTTGTTCCTTCAGGATCCTGGAGCCAGCCCATGTACACCATTGGTTTGGAATCAGGGTTTCCCAACTCACTTAGGTGGACTCTCTGTGTCCACCAACCCGATTAAAGCCCCGGACATTCGCCTTTCGTCCTCTCTATTTCGTAAGCGACAGTAATGCTGCGAGAAGGCAGTGAGTAGGACTCGCCTGTCACCAAATTAGCATTTACTAGTTCATCAATTATAAAAGATATAATCAAATTTATCAAGTAATAATTCAAGGAAATAAATCTATTCAATAATTATATTTTAGGTTATTCACTGGAACATCAGATGGTCGTATTCAAATTTCAACAAATGAACTAGAGACAACACTTCATTTTGCAGCTTTACAATCTGAAGATTTATGCACATGGCAGTGTTTAGCAGCAAATATAGCTGGAACTGCTTCAGCAAGAACAAAAATTTTAGCACCAAGTAGGTCCAGCTTTTTTTGTTGAGAGATAATAAATAACTGTTACATGATTTTTATTGAAGGGATTATATTCATTCAGTAGTTCTTTTTGAATATATTACTCGTAAACGTATTCGATATAAATTATTCTTCGTATAGATTTGTTGTCAAGTCAAATTCATAATGATTCTGTAGAATATATACCATTTTATTAACGTATGTACATTAAGCGAATGAGTTTTGATATAAACTTTGTGTTTTACATTACTGTTTAACGAAAAGTAAATTTGTACTACATGGACCTTCAATTAATATTATTTACCTATAAATTCAAGGATATTATATCTACAACGAATAGATTACGGGACACCACATTAAAATAATACGTACACTGATGAGTAGAAAATAACTTAGCTCCAAAGTCTAGAACTTCTTCTTGATCACCTTTCACACGTTAATATAAGTTGTAGTACAAAATTATAGGGTACGAACCATTACCGATTATTGTTTGGCGAAGATGAATCTAGGATGCCTGTTTTGGCCTAATTGGGACTCATCAGCTGGATATACCTGCATCTTAGAGTTGATATTCACTCTAGGTCTCGAACCCAATATTGTTCGCTTTAATACGCACATTATGCACATATACCAATAAGAGACTGATCAATTGCAGTGCTAAGCATCATTGGGAAGATTCAAGTAAACGATACCAAGTTAATTTAAACTTCACCACGTTGCATAAGCAAATGTCTGTCAGCACTCAATAGCTAAGTGGATAACGTGGTGGTGTTTGAAGTGAACGGTACTGGGTTTAAGTCCCAGAGTGAACGTCAACTCGGATGCAAGTACGCCCGACTGACGATTCCAAAGTAGGACGAAACGCGCGTCCTGGATTCCACTGCTAGCCACTATCCATCTTTGCTTATAATGCTTGTAAATTAAGGCATTATCGAGGCAATCCGCACAGGATGAACATATGCCAATAAGAGACTGATCAACTGCAGTCCTAAACGTCAATTGGAAGAATCAAGTAAACAATACCAAGTGAGTTTATTGGTCGGGTTTTTCGGTACAAAAGGAAGAATAACATGAAACTAATTACTTCTGCGAATTTAATTAACTTAAGAATAAATATAGTATTTGAAGTGATGTATAGTAGTGAAAATAAATTGTGATTTGTCGTTGAGTGTGGACAAATAGCCAAAGCCTACGGACTATTAAATATGTGACTGTCTTTCTTATTATTGATTTCTACTCTGGACTCACTGTGTTTGACTACTTTTAGTCATATTGAGTAATGTGTTCTGTAGTATTAATCCGGTTTTGTTGTATCCTAGTGAAGATTAAATTACGAGCAACTTCTGAGATCTATTAAATGACTTATAAGCTTCATTTTGACCTATAGATTATCATTATACAATTTGCTGTTTTCAAATTATGTTCAGTTTATTGGTTACAGTCTCCCACATTCACAGTCACGTTTTGGTTTGATTTTGCAAAAAATGTTGTTTTCTATTTCATGGTCTGTTTGGCTGGTATATAAACCAAGTATGTTTGAAATAAATGATCCGCATAGGAGAAGCTGTTATTGGCGTTCTGGACTCAACTGGATGGGCTAAGCGAACAAAGGACCGATAAGGACGCTAAGCTGCTCATACCGGTCGAACGTCATTGGTTTAGCACGACACTAAGATTGCGATTATACGAATAAATCACATGGTAAAAAGCCGGACTTAAAGTCACAACAGGTTCCCTATTTAGGATCGCGAATCCCGGTTGTGATATAACGTGATTAGTCTTATTAACATATTAACGTATCATTGTAATATAAGTGTAACAGAAGAAAAATATCGTAAACCATCCGTTATATCAGATGACTTTTCTATTTTAATGATCTTTTTTTATTTACTTCATATTTAGTTGAAGAGAAACCTAAAGAAATAATTCGAAAGTTTAGTATACCAAAGAAACAACCAGAAGGGTAAGAAATAATTAGTTTGTTTTTTCCCATTAATTATTACAAACGATTATAAGTAGTTTTCTTTAATAATCTCCAGTCTGTGTATGTAGTCATATAATCAGAACCACTCATTTGTCATCTTAATATATAGTCATCATCACAGTAGTCGTGATGAAGGTCGATTGGCTGTTACGGTGTGAAACTGATCAACAAATATGTTATTTAAACTCTCACTACATTAATCGAATATAACCGACATGAAAGAATCCCTTATTTTATATGGCCTGATGCATTGAACTTCACTTATACGTAAAGCATTTATGGTTGGTTGGTGATTATTCTAGAATAGATTATGCAAAACATTTATATACTTTCTGGAAGGACGGAGTATGTTTTACGATAGTGGAGGACAAAAGTATCTAAAGCATTCGAGAATTAAATTCCGCTTATCTTCAAGTTAAGATAACAGTAATAAACTTTACATGTGAGACCCGATCTCAAATCATATGAGAGAGTTGTTCAATGTTTTCTGAATTCTAGTAACTCTTCAGTTAATCCTAACCCATGAGTGTTTATTATCATATACAGTTAGTCAACTCTGACAAGCATTGAAACGTGGATAAAATAAATTAAGTAGTAAACTCCGATAAGTAGAATGCATAATTTTAATATCCTCTTCAGCAATACTGATGTCCTAATCTGGCCATTTTCTTTAAAAACTAAGCCATGACTTTATTTATAGCGGTTAATGAATGTTTTTAATCATAATCACACTTAAAAAAATACTTTTCAAGTAAACATAATTTGAATACATTATACTACTTACAAAATGTGAGTACTATAATCTACAACAGTTAGAAGGGAGAATGTTTGTGTTATCTTCTCTCATATGATCAATTTCTTATTACATTACGTTATTGATGAAAATATCAGACTGAAGTGAACTGTTAAGATGTCTACAAGGTTTCGACACTTTTTTTCAATCAAATTTTTACTTTCAAATGATCACTTTCTCCAATACAACCAGTGATACACGTTATATGTCAATATCCTCTAAACACCAATTTGTAGGCGTAGATTGTATACTGAAAACATGATTTATCTTAGTATAATACTGAACATGTTATAATGTCATATATTCGAAAATGTCCCCAATTCTAAAAATTCCCTCTTTCTTAATTAGAACAAGAAATATAAACAAACAGTATTGTTTTTCAATTAGATTTCCCTTTGAATTTACTATAATATACAGTAATATTCACATATATGTATATGGAAAATAGTAAACCAATCAATACAATTTGTTTTTCAGGCTACAAGAAATAACCTCCCCTTATCCAATAATAATGTCACCACCTCAGTCAGTATGTATAAATGAAGGTGAAAATGCTCGTTTTACAGCTCATGTTGTTGCAAATCCATCACCAATTGTAACATGGTACGTCAATGGCCAACCTGTACCTTCCTATGGAATTATGCAAGCACAACAACCGGAAAGTGAAGAAATACGATACATCAGTAGATTTGATGGTTTGATTTATTATCTAGATATGCAGAAATGTAAACCTGAAGAGGCAGGTGAAATATATATTGTAGCTCAACGAAGTGATATTTCACCGGAATTAGTAAACATTGAACCAAATGCTGTTGTACGTGCATCTGCTAAACTGGAGGTGATACCAGTAATTGATTTACGTGCACAACTCAAACCAATACCAAGTAAGTTATGAACTACATAAAAACTTAAAATTAATTGTTTTACACAATTATGAAGCAGGCTTTATACAATAAAAGTGGAAGACATCAGGTCAGGCTTTCTAGCCTATCTATAATAATTGGACACATACTCTGTCTCAATTAAATACATCAATTGATTTGATTAAAACATTACGAAAGACAATAAATTTCAGAAAGTCACTGATTTGACAACCAATAAGTAAACTTGATATTTCCACATAAAGCTTTTTGACAAATGATTCCATCATTTTAAAATTCATTTACCAAGTCTTTGTTTCAGCAAATCCAAAATTTTATAAACAACCAGAACCTGAAGGCAATGGATGGCCGTTTCGTCCCAATATGGGAAGACTCACAAGTGTGCATCCACTACCATGCACATTAGACTTGGACCCAGGACCTTCGGTTTTGTGCACGAACTCTCAACCTCTAGACCACTGAGCCGGCATCCAGCGGTGTTAATGTTTAACTTCGATCGCTCCATCATCTTGCTCAACCTTCCATCCATTGTGTGAAGTGAATAACTGTCTCCACTCGAAGTGGATTGGACTCCATTTGTCATATTAATTAAAATCCAGAAATTTTATCTATGATGACAAAGAGAAATGTTGCAATGCTTTAACACTTTATAAACTAGCTTTGTTACACAGTTTTAAGGTTTAGTCAGGAGGAGTCAACAGATGCAGTATGCATACTTGGTGCTGGAATAAAATCACAAGACTCTATTATATTTGTCCTGCACCTATTTTACAATTTAATTCAGTACTTTCTACAACATAGGCGTCAATTATACGAGAAGATGTGGCTTTTTCATAAAACATTACTCATATTTATTTTTAAAGTTGAAATCACCAGTCAATCTAAGCTAGACCACCATTGTAAACCTGGAAACATTTGACGACCGTTTCGTCCTAGTATGGGACTCCTCAGCAGTGCGCATGCACAATCGCGCACTCGTAACATGAATCTCAGTCAGTCAGACAACCACAACGTAGGACCAAGCAAATATATGCATCTGTTCAACTTGCCACACCTCATTAGCACGACAAGATGAACAACAAATTCATAGAAGTAGTTCACTCAGTGGTGTTAATGTATAAAAGAAAGACTATGTATAAGGTTATGGTACAGAAAGAAAGAATTAGTTCGTAGAAAGAAAGATATGAAGTAGTTCTAGTCTCATAGTTTAAGGGAAGATAAGTAGTGTATACACCTATGCCATTGTGATCGATTCTGAGCCATGTCTCCAGGAGTCTCTAACTATTGGTTACGATAGTCGCGCGGACCCCAACCAAGTAGTTTGCATCTACCAACATGGATCACACTAGAAGACTAGGACCTTCGGTCTCTTGCGCGAATGCTTTACCTCTGAGCCGAGACCCAAGTGTGGTAATATCTAACTCCGATCGATCTATATTTACCCACTAATGCTACAATACCGTGATGAATAGTTTAAGTAAATTTATTATTGACTAGCTCTAACCTATGGTATTCGAAGAAAAATTTTCGTAACCAAACTTAAGTAGGAACTTGGTACGTAACGTCACGGTATCACGTTCAATCCTAAGTAGTATATATCTAAATTTCAATTGAGATTCCAATCCATGTTTAACATGTAAATAAAAAATATGTACATTTTTTTTCTTTCTTCCAGAACCGTCTATTGAAGTAATAGCTGAAAAAGTTATGCCAGCACAAGAAGGTCCTGCAATGCGTGCACCACGGTTCTTGAAATTTTTACAACCCCAAACTGTTCCTGAATCTTCAGAAATAACGTAAGACAATGTTTAATTTGAAGGTTTTTTAAACCTTGAGTACAAGTACTATCCCACAATAAATAAACATTAGTGCAGAAATACGTCTGTAATGAATAGACTCTCAAATGATGACAACCAATTCATTGTAATATAAAATTACAGACTTCTTTCCTTAAATATGTAAACCATACGTTCAATACTTCATTTGAAATTTTCCATCAATTGTCTTAAACTTTATCGTTCCTTCATTGCCATAACAATTACTCTCTATTCCCTTTCTCTTCGATCCGTCCTTCCCAACCTTTTGCTACCAGGCATTTTACTTCTGATTGGTGTAATATACTACTTATGTCGATATAAGTACCACACACCACACATCAAGTTCTTGTACAATAAAAATAAAACTGTTATATATGGTAAAAATTAAAGAGTATTATGATTATAAACTGTTTGTGAAGCTGAGTTTTATAGACATTGTAGTAATTTCAATGGTTGCGATCATGAGGCTAGACCGCCATGGAAAACCTGGAAGCACTGCGTGACCATTTCCTCCTATTTCGGGACTCCTCATCAGTGCGTATCCACGATTCCGCCTCGCGAGATTCCAATCCAGGACCTACCAGTCTCGCGCGCGAGAGCTTAACCACAAGACCACTGGAAATTCATGAATATTGTAATTGAGATAACTTCTCAAATGTCCAAGTCGTTGTAAGTAATCCATTTCACTCACAGTTACACCAATCTCCTCATTTTGGAAACAAAATAAAATTGACCTCCAAAGTGTTATGTCGCTATGTTAACTGTAAATCTCCTCATTATATTTTATTTCACTATATATAGGTTTTCAGTTGAATTCGATGGGGAACCAGCACCTGAAGTTACCTGGGCACGTGAACAAGTCGATATAAATAATAGAGAAAACTATAAGGTATGCAAAATATTTATATTTTACAGTAAGTTTTACGATTTGGTATAGAATAGATGGACTGTGGATAATAATGAAATCCAAGAAACATGTATCATGTTATTCAAGACTGATTAGCTAGATATATCTGAATCTTAGTGTTGTTTACATTGAGAATTCGGCTCAATAGCCTACTCTTCTAAAGCTATAGATTTATCCACTGAACTACAGAATTCAAATAATCATTCACCTGTACAATGGGTGTAATTTTTATATCATTATTATTAGAAAAAGTTTGAATGATCTATAGAATGTCACTTAGTTTAATTTTAAGAGATGCAATGGTGAAATATTCTAAATACCAAATAATAATAGATAATGTTACTGAGTTTCCATGTACTAATTTGTCTTGTTGTTATAACTATTTAAAACATGTAAAATTTGTAACCCACTACCCCATAGTTAAGGAGTACCGATTTGATGATAAGATTGGTTAACAGCACTAGCTTGCTGTGGGAGTGAATAAACCAGCCTTCAGCAGAAGATGAAATTAGGAAAAGACGATGGAAGTGGATAGGATATACATTATGGAAATCCTCACACTGTATCACAAAGCCAGTACTAAATTGGAATCCCGAAGTGAAACGGAAAAGTGATTATAGAGCACACTGACTCAAGAATTCAAAGTAGACATGAAAAGGATGAATAACAACTAGAAACAGTTAGAAATAACTACTTAGGATAGAGCTGAATAGACAATGCTGGCGAGTAACTTATGCTCCTCCAAGAAGGGTAAGAGGTGTATGAAACTAAGTAAGTAAGCTGAAATATATTATTTCCAATAAGTTATTCAAAAATTCTATCCTGAAGGTGTAGTATTGTGTACCATATATACCATGTGACCCTTAATATACTTTAAGTTAGAATTAAAAGTACGTCTTCATATAAAACTACAATCATTTTAGACTGAATTTAACAGTTACTTCAATTGGTATTATCTGAAAAGCCATTAGAATGAGATGCATCGGTTATCTCAATGTTAAGATTTAGATGAATTGTATGAACTGCTTTGTTCAATACATTCCAACCCTACTTACAAATACTTTTTTTGTCTTTCACAAATAGATAACAACAACTTCTACAACTAGTCAACTTGTTATTTCAAAAGTTCTTTTAGAAGATACAGGGAATTTCTCAGTTACATTGCGTAATCCAGCTGGACAAGCTTGCAGTAAATCAAGGCTTACAGTGACACAAATTAAAGTATCAGGAAAAGCTCCTGAATTCATACCACCATTAATAGAATCACAGATTGTAGAAGCTGGAGAACCAATTACATTTGAATGCAAGGTTAGTAATATATTTTCAATTTATTTCTTGATTTAGTGCACTGAATTACAATTATATTGAAGAGTTAATTAACTTTCACTTAATAAAATTTTATAACGGAAAATAAAGTGAATAGATGTATCAATTGACCAAGTTCATGTGAACTGGTTAAGTGATGACCACCTTCACTTCTTTCAAACTTCATAATCTCAAACTGGCCGTCCAGTACTTCCAGGTTTTCCATTTGTGGTCTAGATTCAATTGACTCATGAACTCAACTATGAAATTATTATAATATCCACAAAAACCCCTTTTTGATAATATTCATAATTGCTATTAATTCATATTCAGCCACTTGATTACATAATCAATCGATTATTTTAGCGCTATAATTTCTTATTAATATGTTTGATGATCTAAAATCTTCTCTTGCTTATGATATTTATTTACATTAACATTTATATGTTTTTCGTCTTATTGTGGGACTCCTCAGCAGTACACATCTACGATCCCGCCTTGCGAGATTCCAACCCAGGACATATCAGTTTCACGCGCAAATGTTTAACCTCTACACTAGTGAGCCGGTATCCAATGATGTTAATGTCTAACTTTAACCAATTCATGATATTGCGTGACCATCAACGATTGTGTTTAAGCCTTTCTCATGCAAAAAGTCAAACTCTTCTTTTTTGTTTAAAATCAGTTTACATTTTCTTTTAACTTACTTGGTGATTTTGATTTTGTTTTCAATGTTTTCTCTTTTCTGCCCCTGTTGTTCATATTACCAGAGATGACCCATTTGGCTCGACAATTAATAACTTAACCAGTTAATGTATAATCAAACAGTCTGAAATGTTTCAGATACATATATATCACATCTTATAAAACTATCTAAATTTATAAATTTTTAACACTGGTGTTTTGTATATAGAATAATTAATATTGATTTTAATTTTCTATTTGATTGAAATATAGGTTACTGGTGAACCAACTCCACAAGTTCATTGGGAACGAAATGGAGAGCGGTTACCTCTAAAAGATCTTGAATATATACGCGTATTTGATGCGCCACCGTTTCATACTCTTGTATTATGTGAAACTGTACCAGATGATTCTGCTGAGTATCGTTGTGTAGCAATAAATGCTCATGGACAGTCAATTTGTAAAGCAAATGTTACTATACAAGGTAATTTCAAACGGAGTCATCGTATATCAATTATAAAGTACTGAAATTTCATAACAGCTTTTTTACGTCCCGTTTTATCAGATATATATCTTTTAGTCAGACAGTTTAATTAATAACTCTGGAATGTGAAGATATAGACTGCTGATTCCAATCTCGTGGGGATCTGAATGCTAAAGCGCAGAAACACTTAGTTGATAAATCCTAAACACAGCAATCCATGCCCTTTAAATATAATTTCTGTTCATTCCTTGATAAATAAAACAAGGTCGTTGAGGGTTTATAAATTTTAGAAACAGCAATGTCAGCTACAAAGAAATTTCACTGTTGCTGAAATCTGAGAGTTCTAATCATATTTCATTGGAAACTCAACATTTAAGTATAAAAAATAGTGTGACATTTGTGGTCTACAAGAGAATACAATTCAGTGAACAGAAATAGTTAACCGATTATCACAAGGCATAAAAGACTTCTGTTCAATCAGTAGCAGCGTCCTATGTGCCCATTATTGAGTAAATCCATACTATGAGGAAACAGCTGTCCAGTCTGTTATAACTCTTGGTCTTGTGTCTTATTAGTACACAACATAATGATACCGCCAATTAGAGAACGAGCAGTCTCCGCGATACAAATAATGTATTTTAGACATACTGGGTTTATATACAAACCAAACAGACCACATCGCACCACAAAATAGAAAACAACATTTATACAAAATCTAACCAGGAGTGACTGTGAGTGTGTGCTATCAGATTTTAATAATTTAGTTTGAATAATTTATTTCCTGACTAAACATTTTTGATTTTTCCCCATACAATAATAATGAGTAAAACGTTAATGATTTTGCTCAAATGAAAACCTAACACATGATTTTATTTCTATTTTTGCCTCAAAAAGCTAAACCAGCTGCTATTGTCCCACCAAGAATTATTCAAGAACCAAAAAGTGTAACTGTCATGGAGTCTCATCCAGTTCAACTAATTGCACTAATAGAAGGTACACCGAGTAAGTAGAAATATACAATTCATTAATATTGATGATTTATATTTTCATATACAGAACATGCCAACTGAATTATACAGTTACTTTGAGGATTTTATCATTAGTTCAGCTTTCATGCACCCATTTAATAGAAATAATAACTCATCAAGTCCACCAATGATTAGTTTATGTCAATAATAGAAATAAACTTCACCAAATACGCTGCCAATGTATACCCACGCAAATTCTATCTACCTAAACTCACTCAATCACAGAACACGAGCAAAGTTACCTGATTTACATTGTATTGTTGCAACTCCAAAACTCACGTGATTATAACATCAGTCATATTATTTTATGCTCTATAAATAACTAGGTCATCTGTAGTACAAATAACGGGCACAGACTATTCAGTACTAATTTGTGAATGACAGGTATATCAATCATTAGTGTAATTATTATAAACTAACAATTTGAGGAATATAGGAATATTTGAAATGAAATATTCAGTCCATATACACAGTTTAGCAAATCTTTTAAAATTCCACATCTAACACTTATTTATTCATACTTAATAGATTTGCATTGATGTTATACACTTTCTAATTACTTACACAATTACCCACATAAATCATTTGATTTGTGTGAGGGCTGGGATACTACCCGGGTGACAAAATCAACACAGGTGGTTTTATTAGGGGCCACACCCAGAGCCTTCAACCTAAAAGTCTGATCCACAAGGCACTGGAGCAACGTGAGGAGATGCAGTCTTATGGTAGCCGGTGACCAACGATTGGTTCATACACCATTTGTTCCTTCAGGATCCTGGAGCCAGCCCATGTACACCATTGGTTTGGAATCAGGGTTTCCCAACTCACTTAGGTGGACTCTCTGTGTCCACCAACCCGGTTAGGGCGCCGGACATTCGCTTTCCGTGAGTAGGACTTCTCTGGCAGTGGTTGTATGTACGTGGCCATGTGAGAGCATTTGGAGAGGTAGAGTTGACTCTTCCCACTCTCGGTCCTACCAGAGCATTTGGAGGCAGGAAGTATTACATCATAGATCAACCAACCTATTATAAGAGTTAATAAAAACGTATATCATAAAGACAATTCAAAATAAATAAATATATTCTATTTGCATAGGTAATCATAATTCATTTCTCTTGTTTGTTTTTATATTCAGTGCCAGAAATTACTTGGTTACTAAATAATGAAATTATTAAACCATCGCGTTACTTTCTTCCTGAAATTCGATCAGATGGTTATACAATACTTAATATTTCTAGTGTTTATCCAGAAGATACTGGAATTTATACAGTACGTGCTGTGAACTCTGGTGGAGAAGCTCAAGCATCAGCGGAAATCTTAATTTCTGGTTAGTTTATACTTTTACTATCATGGAACCTCTAGGGTATATATGTATGTTGAGTCTTCTGTAAGCAGTCTCTTTCTTATGACCAAGAATATTTTGATATCAAGTGACTAAGTTACTGTTTCTGTCGATCAGTCTAAAAGAAGTACTGATTTATTCATGTGTTTCTCTAGTAAATTAGTCATGTGAAGAGTATAGTATGAAAAATGTTTATTTCTTACCAGTATTCTTTGCATTTCAAAATGATGAACCGGTTAAATGTATATTGATTTAAAGAAAAAAACAATTGTCCCTTCAAAATGAAGATAAGCTAATTTAAAGTTGCAAACATTGTTTGGTAATAAAAACTAACAATAAAAATACCATGATTCAAATACGATTAAGAAAATATAACACTCAAACTTACTTTGGTAAAATGTTCACTATTCTAGGTATGATGAATGTTTGTCTATTGATTTTATCAGTTGAATCATTAATTGATTTTATATTACAGTACACTTACATACTTACGCTTGTTACTCCTCGTGGTGGAGCATAGGCCACACACAAGAATTCTTCAACCAACCCTATCCTCAACAAACCTTTAAACTTGTTTTCAGTTGCTATTCATCCTTTACATGTCTACTTCTAATTTCCGACGCAGTGTGTACTCGGACCTTCGTATTGTTCGTTCCCCTTCAGGATTCCAAGTTAGCGCTTGCCTCGTGATGCAGATTGGTGACTTCCTCAATGTGTGTTCTATCCACCTACAACATCCTTTACTAATTTCAGCTGGAAATTGGTTTGTTCTCTTCCATAGTAGACTATTGCTGATGGTATCCGGCCAACGAATATTGAGTATCTTAAGTAGACAAATGTTTAGAAATACTTGTACCCTTTGATGATGTTTGTGGTATTTCTCGAAGTTTCAGCTCCGTACAGTAGAACTGTCTTGACGTTCGCATTGAAGATTGTGACTTTGATATTGGTTGACTGTATTTTTTGAAGTTCCATATGTCCTGCATCTGTAGGAATACTGTCCTTGCTTTGACAATCCTCTCCTTTACACCTGTATCAGATCCTCCTTGTTCATCAATGGTGCTACCCAGATACGTGAAGGATTCCACCTCTTCCAGAGTTTCTCCATCAAGTGAGATTGGTTTGATGTTCTCCGTGTTGTATTTGAGGATCTCGCTTTTTCCCTTATGTATGTTGAATGTTATAATACAAGTTCGGTAAAAAAATTATGAAATTTTCTCATTTGTATAATATTTTAGCTCCATTACAAACTGCTCCACAATTTGTGAAACCTTTACCTACTGGGACACTGGAAGTAAAAGAAGGTGGACGAGTATTCTTGGAAGTTCAAGTTTCAGGCGAACCAATACCTCAAATTGATTGGTATCATAATGGTCAGTCTTTACAATCTGGACCAATTTGGAAAGTAAGTGAGCCATTTATGTTAAGATTATTTGGATTCATGAAAAAACCAATTCCTACTTGTTCTATGTTATTGTACTGATGAACAGATCCTACACATCATTATCAAACCTACTTCAATATTTCTTCTATTACGTAAAAGATTTAAAATGAAAGATTTCCAGTCTGACAAAATTTCAATATTCAATGTTTACATAATCTCCAAGAGAAGGGGTTTTGTGGATATTATAGTAATTTCAATAGTTGACATCATGAGTCAGTTGAAGCTAGACCACCATGGAAAACCTGGAAGCACTGGACGGCCGTTCCGTCCTATCATGGAACTCCTCAGTAGTGGGCATCCACGATTCCACCCCGCGAGATTCGAACCCAGGACCTAGTGAGAAGCAGTGACCAGTGGAGTTCATGCAGATCTGTTGTGAGATAGTAACTCACTGAAGACATTGGTGGATGTGTCGCCCAATTTCATGAATCGGTTGAAGTTAGACATTAACACCGTTGGACACCGGCCGGCTCAGTGATGTAGAGGTTAAGCGTTAGCTAGCGAGACTGATAGGTCACTTGCATAAAGAAAGTAAAAGAAATTTGCAGCAATGATCACCATCGGTTACTTTTCTGAGCCATGTCTGATAACATTTCAGACCACTGTATTGCATTATCTCTAGGACCTTTTAATAATCTTGTTCGACTCAACAACCTATCAATTAAATGAATAACACTTAATGAATATTTATCTTTATAAATGTGAAGTTTATCACCACTAAGATTATAGTCGTGGAATATGGAAAAAGTAGTATCGAAATTTTGACAGTATAATGTCTACAGAAGGGAATTTTCTTTACTACGACATAATTTTTTTAGATCTATACACAATCATATTTGTATCAGATGTGTTATATGACAAAATATTTAGCTTTCTTGATGGGAATTATTAAACAAAGATGGATGGTGGCTGGCAGTGGAATCCAGGATCCGCGTTTCGTCCTATTCGGGACTCGTCAGCTAGGTGCACCTGCATCCCAGAGTTAACATTCACTCCGGGACTCGAACCTAGTGCCGTTCGCGTCAAACGCCGCCGCGTCCCGGAGTGAACATCAACTCTGAAATGCAGATACACTCAGTTGACGAGTCCCGAATAGGACGAAACGCGGATCCTGGACTCCACTGCTAGCCACTACCCATATTTGCTCATAAAGATTGTGACTAAATCCGATATCGAGACAGTACGCCTAGGATGCACATATGTTAACAAGAGACTGATCAATTGTAGGCTTAAACAATAATGGGATGATACAAACAAACAATACCAAGGGAATGATCAAATTTATAAAAATTTTGTTTATTCACAATTTCAGGTTAAAACTGATAGATATACTTCACAACTTGAATGTAATGTAATCTCCATGAATGATGGTGGTGAAATTCTTGTCAGAGCAACTAATTCAGTTGGTCAAACAACTACGCAAACAAAAGTGGTGATAATCCGATCAGGTATGTTAATAATTAAGTTTTCTATGTCACTAAGCTTTTTTTCAGAAATAAGTACAAAATATTTATAATCAATAAGATTTCCACTCATTCATAAACCATAGAGTTTTAAAATCAAAAACACTAGTTATCCAATATGTTGTCAAGTTACTCTTATCTTTCGATCTGTCTAGTTCACCGTTATTTTTAATACTTCTCCATGACGGATTCGACCACGTGTCACCCAGCTTCACAGTCAGAGACGTTACCATTGAGCTATCCAAGCCGCGATTGACCATCTGTAGGATTGAGATGTATTTACAATTGACCTTATCTCAACATAATTTAATCTAGACAAATGTTAAAAATTCCATTGAGTAACTTCATTCAGCTGAAAACACGTATTTATTTTGTTTAAAATTCCCTAATAGGACCCAAACCAACTCCACCAGTTTTTCAAAAACGTCTTCAACCTCAAGTAAAGGCACCAGAGCATCACACTGTCACGTGAGTTATTATTTAAGTGTAATTTGTCATAGCAGTCATTGTATCTTCATTTTTCCATACGTGTTACGAATTTTTCTAACCTTTCTATAACTCCTTTAACTCAGTTAGTGTTTGTAATAGATGGTTGATTGTTTACACAGCACAACTTGCAAGAACGCCTGGATAGCCGAACGATTATCTCGCACTATTTTATATTGTTCAAACTCAAAGATTATTTTAATATTTATTCGTAATATCTAAGGCCATGAAATATCGTAATTAGTATATCGCGGTACGGCCCCCAAATGCCCTGATACGACCGAGAGTGAGGAGAGTCAACTCTACCTCTCCAAATGCTCTCACATGGCCACGTACATACAACCACTGCCAGAGAAGTCCTACTCACGGAAAGCGAATGTCCGGCGCCCTAACCGGGTTGGTGGACACAGAGAGTCCACCTAAGTGAGTTGGGAAACCCTGATTCCAAACCAATGGTGTACATGGGCTGGCTCCAGGATCCTGAAGGAACAAATGGTGTATGAACCAATCGTTGGTCACCGGCTACCATAAGACTGCATCTCCTCACGTTGCTCCAGTGCCTTGTGGATCAGACTTTTAGGTTGAAGGCTCTGGGTGTGGCCCCCTAATAAAACCACCTGTGTTGATTTTGTCACCCGGGTAGTATCACAGCCCTCACACAAATCAAATGATATTTGTGTGGTGCATATGTATCTGGTACCCCCTTGTACCGATATTTATGTGTTCAAATAAATAAATAAATAATACTTGCATACCTAGACTCTGTGATACAAGACTGGACAAAAAGTTTATCATCATTTGTGAATGTAAAAATATATTCAAAAATGAAGAATATTTGAGCGAACAATTGTTTTCAATAAGTTCATCATCAGGCTCTACAGTTATAAGTCCATAATTATAATATTTTACAAAGGCCAAAAAAGTAAGGCATGTATTAATGAATTTGACAATGTTATGTGTTATAAATGGTAAACGTTTGCATCTGTTACAATAAATACACTTTAAAATTGTATTATTTGCAAATTAGATAGGTCATTCAATAAAGGTCAGGATGATTTGGGGTAAAGCGTCCAGTCGCAATAAGTAGAATAACATTATAGCAAAAATGAAAATGCAAAAAAATTGTGTGGATAAAATGCATAGTAGGAGTATTTAATCTTGTCAACTGAGATAATAATAATAATAAGATTGTTGTGTGTTGTGTGTTATCAAGGTAATTACGATAAACGAATTGGGAATGATGGATGTGAAGATTAAGATAAAGGTAGTCAAAAAAGGGGGTAAGATGTTTATAATATTCAGTTCAGGTATCCGGTGGGCCAAGGTAAACATAGAGGCTGGATATACTTTTTCTGGATACATAAGTTTGGTTTTCTGGAGTTGATGCAGATGGTTTCAGCTATGTAGAGGAATCGTATTCTAGCCCCTTGAGGTAGATATTTTGGAACCTGATATAAAATAGAGAAAGCTTCCTATATTTTGATATGATGTTCACTACCTGCCAAGTGTGAAAGAATAGTGCTGTTAATCGATTTAGTAACTCCTTTTCCCAACCATGCTGGTATATGTTCACGAACACACAAGGATAAAGCCCTCTGAGTACGGCCTATATAACTAGCTCCACAGGAGCAGTTGAATTGATATACACAGACGGAGGAGCCCATCTTCGGTAACCTATCCTTGATTAGTTGTGTGAGTACTGGTTTAGTTGAGAAAATTGTGTGTAGCTTGGCGGCGTAAAACGTCCTTTCGACAGATCCTTTGAGTCGACGTGTTAAAATATCACCCACTACGTCCCCTTTAAAGTCTAGTCTCAGATATAGGGTTTTTTACTGACTGTGTCACAGTTTCTTCTTTTTTAAGTGTTTTCTACGAGGTATTTTTTAACAAAACTATCTGGATAGCCATTATTTCGTAATGTGTCCTTTAGTATATCTATTTCGCCATCCACACTGTCTTCAGAACATAATAACTTGATTCTGTGATTGAGACTGGACACTTTACTCCAAATCATTCTGACCTTTATTGAATGACCTTTCTAATTTGCAAATAATACATTTTTAAAGTGTATTTATTGTAACAGATGCAAACGTTTACCATTTATAACACATAACATTGTCAAATTCATTAATACATGCCTTACTTTTTTGGCCTTTGTAAAATATCATAATTATGGACTTATAACTGTAGAGCCTGATGATGAAGTTATTGAAAACAATTGTTTGCTCAAATGTTCTTCATTTTTGAGTAAAAATATATTGCAACGATCATTGTGTCGAATGGTAACTTCCAACTAAAGTTACGTCCTTGTTTAATAAATCCGAACTAGTTGTTTATATACTAAATTCGCAGAGAATACCTTCCAAAGTTGAGATGGTGAAGATTTGTAGATCAGGTGGATGATTTTTGATGGAGTTTTGTTCTCTGAGCTGGATGGTTTGGTCGTGGAGCTTTCATCGTTCTTCTGAACGACATCGCCAGCACAAACTTAAGATGAAAGCTCCACGACCAAACCATCCAGCTCAGAGAACAAAACTCTATCAAAAACTTCCAAAGTTTCACATTTTCATGTATTTTTCACGTCTGAATAATTCTAAAGTGCAGCAACAACTATTTTGTTTCGATTTTGTCTAAAAACACAGTACACAGTACATTATTATTACAAATCTATGATATCCGAACCTCACTTCTTAAAATGGCTAAGTCTTAATTAATTGGTATCATGGAAGCAGAAATGAAAAGGATGAATAGCAACTGGAAAGAGCTGGAAAGGGTTGTCCAGGATAGGGTTGGATGGAAAGTGCTGGTTGTCTGCCTACGCTTCTCCACGAGAGGTAACAGGCGTAAGTAGGTAGTAAGCAGTATGTTTTTTATCCGACAACCTTTGTCGTATGGATACTTAACTTTCCGGTATTTAGTTAAAACCGTTCTTATGGCATGATGTGACTAAACTATGTAGTGTGACGACTTTTGACAAAAGGATTGTCCAACGACATGGAAGATAAATTAAGTGTTAAACCACTTCAACTCGATTGCAAACTCTCATATATGTAGGAATGACTCTTAAGCTACTTTGTTGAGCATTTAAATATTTCAAATATCTTTTTCAATATTTAGGTTGGAATGTTCAGTAAATGGATGTCCGGAACCAACTTTACGATGGTTTCATAACGGTGTGGAGTTTGAACCAGTTTTAATATCATCCTTTTCTCATGAAATGGCTGCTAAGAGAGAATTATATGTTGATGAGGCGACACATACATATACCTTACACATACATGATTTAAACGCTTTTGATGTTGGAGAAGTTATGGTACGCGCAGAGAATGAACTTGGCGTAACTATGTGTAGTAGTGTATTAGAATTAGAAATTCTTGATGGAAAAATTGTTGAACCACGTTTTATACGTCAACCACCGGAAAGAATTGAATTACAACCTGGAGATAGCGCTCAATTAGAGTGTGAAGTGGAATCAGAACCACCTGTTACATTTAAATGGTATTTAAATGGAATACAATTGGATCAGTCAAATAAACGATTTAAAGTTCTTGAAGATGTAAATCGTACAACTCTTATAATTCCATCTGTTCAACAAGATATTCTTCCTAGTGAAGTGATTATTGAAGCTGCTGGTCAAACTGGTACAAAGATTGTAAACATCTTCAATTCTAGTAATGACAGCTAAAACAGATGATTTATCAGTACCTGAACCACCAGAATTACGTTTTAGTCGACAACTTCCATCAAATTTAGCATATAGTGAAATGGATGATACAATAATTCTTGATGTAGAAGTGGATAAACCAGAAATATCATCAATTGAATTACCTAAACCTACATTTAGTTGGTATATGAATGGAATAGATATATTTTTATTACCACCTCATAAGAAACCTGAACGTTATAATGTTTCACAAGATAATCCATGGCATAGTCGATTAACTATTAATAAACCTGGTACATGGGATTTTGGTGAAATCACTTGTTTTGTAACACGTTTAACTGATAAAAAAGAAGAAAAAATTTATACTTCATGTACTCTTGAACTTACTTATCAACCAATTAAACCAGACGAACAATCTAAACCAATTATATCAAGACTTGAATTTGCACCACAATTTATTCAAGGTTTACCAGAAAAATTAACACCAGAAGTTGGATCAACTGTTGTAATGGATATTATATTAAAATCGAATCCAATACCTGATATTCAATGGGTAATAAGTTCACCATTAACAGCTGAAAGATTTGAATATTTCGGTCCAGAACAAATTGATAATGAAACATTACAATATCGTGCTATATTACATAATTATCAACCTGATAAAGATGATAATACTATGCTACAAATGATTGCTACTCATCATTAGGACAGTCTACATCAATATGTCATATACAACCAAAAGAACAAGAAATTGTTAATATACAATTTGCTAAAACATTAAATTCACAATTAGAAGTTGTATTAGATCAATCAATTGAATTAGAATGTTCTATTATACCAACTAACATACCAATTGAATTTCGTTGGTATATTAAAGGTGTAGAAATTACTGCTGAACATATACCATATGAAATAAATACTACTGATTTTACATCTATATTAAAAATTCCTAAAATTAATTCTGAAATGATTGGTAGTACTATTAGTGTATCAGTATGTTCTCCATATAGTAATGAATTAAAAAGTTCTTGTGAATTATATACAATATCTGAATCTCATTACCAATTATTGAAGATATAATTACTGAATTACCAACAACTCCAGAGATGTTAACAATTGAATCAAAAATAATTGAACAAGAATATGAATTTAGTTTTATTAAACCAATTCATTATGAAATATATCAAAATTCAAATGAAGAATATACTTTAGAGTAAGTTTAAATTAAAAAAAAGTCCACCCTTGAAATGTCCGAATACTACTTTTCTTTATTGGTCGAGATTAGAATTGACGGAAGAACCAATCAGATATAAGATAACAGATAATCGGTTTCGGCGCGAAATCCACTCATCCATTTGGATTAATAACGTCTTGGTATTTTACCTGATGTCAATTCGTGATGAAAAACCATAAATCCAATTTGTAATCCTAACCATCAGCTGTGAATCATAATCCTTATTCTTTATGCTACTTTATAACCCTTATTTAGCATTAGTTGGTGGGTAGACAGTCTCAAGGTCACTTTAGCGTCGCTCAATTGTCGTCCATAAATTATAGTCTCACTTTTGAAGAAATATGAGTTGCATTCAGTTACCAATTTTTAGAATGATCAAATCTATTACTTACTTACTTACTTACTTACTTACTTACTTACTTACTTACTTACTTACTTACTTACTTACTTACTTACTTACTTACTTACTTACTTACTTACTTACTTCCTTACTTACTTACTTACTTACTTACTTACTTACTTACTTACTTACTTCCTTACTTACTTACTTACTTACTTACTTACTTACTTACTTACTTACTTACTTACTTACTTACTTACTTACTTACTTACTTACTTACTTACTTACTTACTTACTTACTTACTTACTTACTTACTTACTTACTTACTTACTTACTTACTTACTTACTTACTTACTTACTTACTTACTTACTTACTTACTTACTTACTTACTTACTTACTTACTTACTTACTTACTTACTTACTTACTTACTTACTTACTTACTTACTTACTTACTTACTTACTTACTTACTTACTTACTTACTTACTTACTTACTTACTTACTTACTTACTTACTTACTTACTTACTTACTTACTTACTTACTTACTTACTTACTTACTTACTTACTTACTTACTTACTTACTTACTTACTTACTTACTTACTTACTTACTTACTTACTTACTTACTTACTTACTTACTTACTTACTTACTTACTTACTTACTTACTTACTTACTTACTTACTTACTTACTTACTTACTTACTTACTTACTTACTTACTTACTTACTTACTTACTTACTTACTTACTTACTTACTTACTTACTTACTTACTTACTTACTTACTTACTTACTTACTTACTTACTTACTTACTTACTTACTTACTTACTTACTTACTTACTTACTTACTTACTTACTTACTTACTTACTTACTTACTTACTTACTTACTTACTTACTTACTTACTTACTTACTTACTTACTTACTTACTTACTTACTTACTTACTTACTTACTTACTTACTTACTTACTTACTTACTTACTTACTTACTTACTTACTTACTTACTTACTTACTTACTTACTTACTTACTTACTTACTTACTTACTTACTTACTTACTTACTTACTTACTTACTTACTTACTTACTTACTTACTTACGAATCTACACCTGATACTCCTCGTGGAGGGGCATAAGATTCCCTCCACCACTCTCTATCCGACCTTGTTCTAGGCAATCCTTTACAGTTTTTCGTAGTTGTCATTCATCCTTCACATGTCTGCTTCTAATTTCCGACTCAGTGTGTACTTGGACCTTCGTATTGTTCGTTTCCCTTCAGAATTACAAGTAAGCGCTTGCCTCGTGATGCAGTTTGGTGACTTCCTCAATGTGTGTGTGTTCTTGTGCATGGGATAGGATGGCTAGGTCATCTGCGTAATACTATACGTCTAACTGGTCCTGAGCTGTCCATTGTACTCCGTGCTTTCCCTCAGATTTAGAGGTCTTCATAATCCAGTCAACCACCAGAGGAAAGAGGAAGGGAGAGAGTGAACAGCCTTGCCTGACTCCAGTCCTTACTTGAAATGCATCTGTCAGCTGAAGCAAAATATAGCTTGGTTTTCTCCCTTACGAATATCTATCGTAGATATCCTGCCAGTGCCCACTTTACAAGATAACAACGCAACTCAGATCAAGAACACATGACTGATCTGACTAGAACGTATATTTTCACTTCAACAACCGATAATAACAAATAATGACAAGGGCATGGAAATATGTACCACTTGTTTTACTTGTGAGATTATCTACTTGTTTGACAAAGTAAACAAACAATCACTATTTTCCTCACCCATACATTATTAAGTTTGTTTAGAGTTGGTGATTTTACGTTTGTTGTTTGATCGGGATTATGTTAGTTCATCTAAAAACAGAAATTTCAGGCTTCAGCAGTAAGGAAAACTTAAATGAGTGATCACTATTGTTACTTGGAAATCTAGTATGTATGGTTCTGACGTCTGATAATTGATTTAAGTATTATAATATATATTTGTAAAGATTTGGGTTTAGACAATCGAGTCTTAAATATGACTGAAAAATCTAACTGCCGTGTATTTTATTCTACTCTTAACATACCCTCGAATGAAAGTTAGGACGATAGGCACTCATTATACCTGTCTAACATACCTCAGTGTATAAGGGTAAACAAGGTGTTCAGATAAACTACATTTCGTTAAAAACTCAACAATAAGATTGTCCTACGTATATTACTATCAGCACTCGTAAACGACATTGTAAAGATTGCTCAGCAATCTATTTTAAATGTTTGATTTCCATCTAATAGGTAAACAACTAGTCTTTAACTTCAGTAAGTTTTGTATGTTGTATTGGTTGCAAATTTATCTGAGCCATAGCACCATCGAGAACTAGGATGTACTGAACAGCTGTCTCGTTTTAGTATGGGGCTCCCTAGAATAACACACCTAGTCAGGACCTTCATTGTCCACAGTCAACACTTAACCACTAAAACCACTAGCTTTGTACCCATTGGTAAATTCCCAACTGTCCGTCCAGTGCTTTCTGATTTTTAATGATGCTTCAACTGAAATCACTCGGTAACAAACACAACTTTTAATCTAAGCTAATTCTTAATGTATTTTAATTATCTATCATTAAACATTTAGATTAGAATGTCAGTTAATAACAGATCAACAACCAGCGTCTATTAAATGGAGCCATGAAGGTATTGAATTAAATATGTCTGATCGTATCGAACAGGTCTATGAATATGAAAGTGGTTTAGCTATACTAATTATACATAATATTACACCTCAAGATATGGGTGAATACACTTGCACTGCTACACAAGCTGATCTTCAACCTTCACAAGTTGAACCAATACAGAAAACAATCAGTACGAGTACTGTTGTGGATATAGAAGGTATGCTAAAAAATTACAGTGATTACTGAAATATTGCTTAATGACAAATTTCCCGTTTATTACATGTATATATATGGTTTAGAATGGTCTGATATCAAGCTAATGACGTAGGTCGTAGTGATTTGATAAATCACTAACCATAAATTTCAATTCAGGCAACATGTTCTCGAACTAATCCCAGTTACAAAGTAGTGAAAAGCAACAAATCATTCTCCATACTCAATACTGACTTAAGTAGCCTTATCTCGTTAAAAAACCAAGTAAAATTGATAAGGATAACAAAATGGTTTACTATAAAACTATTTTAACATTTATGAGTAATCACGGAATGTAATGTGCAACACGTTTCACAGAAATTAATTGTGAATAACAGAAGGGGAATTTTATGGATATTATAGCAATTTTAATAGTTGGCATCATGAGTAAATTGAAGCTAGACCACCGTGGAAAACCTGAAAGCACTGGACAGCCGTTCCATTTTGGGTTCGAATCTCACGAAACCGGCTCGTGAACGCGCACTGCTGAGGAGTCATACGATAGAACGAAACGGCCGTCCAGTGCTTCCAGGTTTTCCACGGTGGTCTAGCTTCAGTTGACTCATAATTGTAAATAATCAGAAGACTTGATGTAATGAACGAAAATGCAAACCAACAACTAAATTATCGTAAAGACATTCACCAGAATTACCTGGTTTCAATAATAAAACGTTTAATATGACTATCATTGCATAACACCTCTTCATTCGTCAGATGCAACATCAAGTGATTATTTAAATATCATAATTATAACCAAGAAAAGACCTTCGTTCCCATACGATAAATAAGATAATTCAGGTAAAATCTCAAAGAGAAAAAAGAATAGTGATAGAGTTGACTAAGCAATAATTAATATACAAACGAAAATAGATGAAAAAGATTTACACACAAACCGATGAAATGTGAAGCAAGGACAAAATCAATTAACAACTGATAAAATATAGGATGACAATTAATGAAATCAAAAAACCGCGGTATAAATGTGGCAAAGAACATGGTGTAATTTGAGAAAATAACTAGTGTTTAGTTGATGTGGAGGGTCCGATTCACTAGAACTACATCTAAGCCGTTATCAAAAGTGTTATTAGCAGATATCGATTACTCCTCAGTGGTTTGGGAATTTTCTATTTACATTGTTAGAAGGCAGTTAGCCTTTTGTTTTGTTTTACGATGGTGATTACAGCGAACAACGAGGGAATATTGATGGACAGAAATTATGGTCTGGTCACGTTGTTGGTGTGATTGGTTGAATGTTCAGAGTGAATGTGTGTGTGTATGTGTAGAGATTAGTGAGTTTGCTATTCACAACACACAAGCACATTTGTCAAGCAGTCAGTCGACCAGTCGTTGGACAAACTCCACTTAATATACCCGTTATTATAGCTTGCTGATTATGTTGAAATGTGTTTTCGCATAAATCTGTTAGTGATCTCTTCCATCTTGTAATGTGATATAAACAATGTGAATAAATTTCAATTTGTTTTGTTCTTTGAAATCAGTTCCTGAAACGACAGAAGTTGTGCCAACAGTAACTGAGAAGGTTCTCACCTTCTTACAACCAGTAACACCGAATATCCACATTGTACAAGACCATAAGGATCTTGAGTGAGTTATCGTCTTGCGTTTACTTTTTTCTCATGTAATATTGATGATGACGTGATATCGATTAATACGCAGTGTAATAGAATCGTGGCTTGAGACACCAGTTTTAATCTGTGTGTTTGACTAATCCGTGTGAATCGTAAGGAGAACAGCCATCCTTGGAAGAAAGTTCATACAGCCAGTAAAAATTGCCAATTGAATTGACTGGAATGTGAAAGTGCTTGATTGAAACCACCAAAAAAGTTTGGATGATAATGTAACCAACCGAACCGAACTGACCTGGCCTGACCTGAACAATACTGACATATGCAACATCTAACCAAACGCGTTTTTGTTGTTGATGTGGGATATGTAAATGTTAAATATGATAATTGTGAAATTAAAATTGAGTGACAATTTCCTTGGTTGATTGATAAGTTGTCGCAAACAACTCACACAATTAATTGGTTAGAAGTGGGTAGATTAGTTGAGACACTTTATTAGTGAAAATGAACAATGTAGAAATGTGTTTTATGTGATGAGTAGGAGCAGTGACCAGATTGTGTTCCGTTCGTATATGGAGTTCATGGGACAAATGGATATGCATCGATGTTGATTTTTACGACGCACTTCGAATCTAGTATTTATCATTCAACTATGTGAATTTCAACTTCATAGATGTCTATTGAAATATACATGTTGCACAGGACGTGTATGATGTTGAGTTCGATCTCAACTGAATGTTGATAATTAGTGAATGACGAATGCACTGACCATTAGGTACCTAGTCTCATATTACACTGTTATCAATCGAAATGTCGAAAACATGATGCATTGAAACACAAACGAGTATTCCATTATTATATTTATTTGTAGACTGGAATGTCAAATTCAAGCAGATTTAAAACCAATTCAAGTTGTCTGGGAAGTTGATGGCAAGGAATTAACTCAATCTGATCGCAATGAAATGATCTATTTTGAAGATAGTGGAGTAGCTCGTCTAATAGTACATCAAGTGGTTCCATCGGATTCTGGTGAATACACTTGCAAAGTTCATGGTGAGGTGATTGAAGCTGAGACCAAACAACAAATGACCAAAACAATTTCATCTGGCTCAATTGTTACAATTGAAGGTGAGTGAAATGAACTAAGATGAGGTGATAAGCAGTTAATAAGAAGTAACTTTACAGTGATTTCTAGTTTCTACCATTTCTCTAGATCATTTGGACTTGTGGAAAATTATGTTACAGTGAGACAGAGCACAAGAATCACTTAATTGAACTTTCAAAATTTATGTTGTGAGAGGGATTTCACTGAGTATATTGATTGACCACGTTAAGTGATGGTAATCACTGATAATGCTGAGTATACTGGATTGTTCAGGTTAAATCATTACAATAGCCACTTACTTATCATCTTTCCATTTCACCTGATTCCTGACATCATTGTTGTTTATCATTCTTTTAGTTAGTTAATAAATTGTATCTCTTACTGTGTGCTAACTATTTGGTGAATGGGATGCAGTTGAGCATCCAGAAACGTTCCGGTATATTTAGAGTTGACTGGCTCAAACATGAGAAAGATTTCGCAGTCGAAGTTGTGTGCACAGTAGTCTACACGACCGAATTGATGTTGTTTAAGATAAGTGGTGACTTTTGATAGGTATGCGATTTGCATTGATATAGGCGAATGTGAAGAGGAAGAGGATGACCACTTCACTGATGTGATGTTGTTTGCAGTCGGAACAATCAGTTTTGTGAATAATATTTGCATTATCTTCTCGTACTGTTGCCTCCTCTGATTTAGACGGTAACGATTGGAGTGATTCTTTTAGCTTGTGGATCACGCCTACTGCTAACAGCCACGAAAATCTTGTCGTAATCTATGATATGAATTTTATATCTGAAACGACAATCCGTCTGTTGGAGTTCACCCCTGATTTCGTGTCTAGTGCTGAATGTGACAAGCATTTTCTGATTGAATAGGGTTTTTAGCAATCCTTTACTCCAAACAATAATCATTAGGTGCACTTTTCATGTCTATGTCTGGTAGGTAGTTGTACTGCAGTGTATCTTCAACCTATTGAGTAGGCCTTGAACTTAGTTGACCTTGTGAGTGTCTGATTTGTTACGATTGTAGTCGATAGTTTGGTGTGTTTGCGTTGTGTTGCGAAACACCAGATTTTTCAGTCCTGTATTGATTCTGGCGATCGGAACGTGAAGGAAGGTTATTTAGTTGTTCGCCTGCATTCCCATTGTGAATTTTATGTCATCGAAGATGTTATTAATTGAATTGTGGGTACTTTTCAGCACATTCCGTTTGGCGGTGATGAGCATGTTATCCACATCCACATCGAGGGTCCAAATAGTTGTCTTGATCAGTGGTGAAATTAAATCTTCGAGTCTGTGCACTACTTCTTCCACAACGAGTCTGGATATCAGTGATCTAATTGACATTCTTTTTGTCTGTTTCAACACTTGATTATTGAATCGGACACACATTGTTAGTCTCAGATGGATGAGCTCAATACATCTTTGACATTGGTTCTTTGTGTGATTTTGAATTTTTTTACATTGGTGACTGACTGGGTGGTATAAAGTTTATTATTATTATTATTATTATTATTCGCTTGCCAAGTTTAGTTCAAGTCACCTGAATAAGGCTATAATGTCAAAGAATGCCATTAGTGTGCTACTGCATTTATGGCATTCCTAACCAAACCCTTATGTTGTTTGGAAGGATTGATGCAGTGGTCGTCGAATCCCACGTAATGTTTTAGAGTTGTTGACGTTTCTGTTGACAGATTGTATATATTTGTGTGGACCATAGGTAGTGAGACAGTTAAGTGTAGGGGAATTCTTGGTGTATGTGTTATCGGAACCATGGAAGAACATTTCCAGTACAATGTGTTTGCCATAAGTCCTGTGTCGTTAATTGGTCTAACATGATGAGTTATTGCGGTAGGTCCTATCAACCTGGTTATCCAGATTCCTGAAGGGATTTATTTGCACTGATTAGTACACAATTCAGTTCCCCAATAGCTCCTCAGTCATCCTGATGTGTTCTCTTATGTCCATTTATATATATATATATATATATATATATATATTCTGTCATGATTATGTTTTCATTTATGAGAGAGAGATTCTTTAAAGCCGTCTGTTGTACATGGTTGAGTGGAACGTACACCCGTGATATCGTTGAGTCTGTCGGTTTGAGACATTTGTAAAAATACTGTTTAGGAACTTCAGTAAATTCCTTTTCATCCAGTCCAATAATGTTTCTGTTAACTGGTCTATATATAGGAAGGAACATGGTGTAATTTGAGAAAATAACTAGTGTTTAGTTGATGTGGAGGGTCCGATTCACTAGAACTACATCTAAGCCGTTATCAAAAGTGTTATTAGCAGATATCGATTACTCCTCAGTGGTTTGGGAATTTTCTATTTACATTGTTAGAAGGCAGTTAGCCTTTTGTTTTGTTTTACGATGGTGATTACAGCGAACAACGAGGGAATATTGATGGACAGAAATTATGGTCTGGTCACGTTGTTGGTGTGATTGGTTGAATGTTCAGAGTGAATGTGTGTGTGTATGTGTAGAGATTAGTGAGTTTGCTATTCACAACACACAAGCACATTTGTCAAGCAGTCAGTCGACCAGTCGTTGGACAAACTCCACTTAATATACCCGTTATTATAGCTTGCTGATTATGTTGAAATGTGTTTTCGCATAAATCTGTTAGTGATCTCTTCCATCTTGTAATGTGATATAAACAATGTGAATAAATTTCAATTTGTTTTGTTCTTTGAAATCAGTTCCTGAAACGACAGAAGTTGTGCCAACAGTAACTGAGAAGGTTCTCACCTTCTTACAACCAGTAACACCGAATATCCACATTGTACAAGACCATAAGGATCTTGAGTGAGTTATCGTCTTGCGTTTACTTTTTTCTCATGTAATATTGATGATGACGTGATATCGATTAATACGCAGTGTAATAGAATCGTGGCTTGAGACACCAGTTTTAATCTGTGTGTTTGACTAATCCGTGTGAATCGTAAGGAGAACAGCCATCCTTGGAAGAAAGTTCATACAGCCAGTAAAAATTGCCAATTGAATTGACTGGAATGTGAAAGTGCTTGATTGAAACCACCAAAAAAGTTTGGATGATAATGTAACCAACCGAACCGAACTGACCTGGCCTGACCTGAACAATACTGACATATGCAACATCTAACCAAACGCGTTTTTGTTGTTGATGTGGGATATGTAAATGTTAAATATGATAATTGTGAAATTAAAATTGAGTGACAATTTCCTTGGTTGATTGATAAGTTGTCGCAAACAACTCACACAATTAATTGGTTAGAAGTGGGTAGATTAGTTGAGACACTTTATTAGTGAAAATGAACAATGTAGAAATGTGTTTTATGTGATGAGTAGGAGCAGTGACCAGATTGTGTTCCGTTCGTATATGGAGTTCATGGGACAAATGGATATGCATCGATGTTGATTTTTACGACGCACTTCGAATCTAGTATTTATCATTCAACTATGTGAATTTCAACTTCATAGATGTCTATTGAAATATACATGTTGCACAGGACGTGTATGATGTTGAGTTCGATCTCAACTGAATGTTGATAATTAGTGAATGACGAATGCATTGACCATTAGGTACCTAGTCTCATATTACACTGTTATCAATCGAAATGTCGAAAACATGATGCATTGAAACACAAACGAGTATTCCATTATTATATTTATTTGTAGACTGGAATGTCAAATTCAAGCAGATTTAAAACCAATTCAAGTTGTCTGGGAAGTTGATGGCAAGGAATTAACTCAATCTGATCGCAATGAAATGATCTATTTTGAAGATAGTGGAGTAGCTCGTCTAATAGTACATCAAGTGGTTCCATCGGATTCTGGTGAATACACTTGCAAAGTTCATGGTGAGGTGATTGAAGCTGAGACCAAACAACAAATGACCAAAACAATTTCATCTGGCTCAATTGTTACAATTGAAGGTGAGTGAAATGAACTAAGATGAGGTGATAAGCAGTTAATAAGAAGTAACTTTACAGTGATTTCTAGTTTCTACCATTTCTCTAGATCATTTGGACTTGTGGAAAATTATGTTACAGTGAGACAGAGCACAAGAATCACTTAATTGAACTTTCAAAATTTATGTTGTGAGAGGGATTTCACTGAGTATATTGATTGACCACGTTAAGTGATGGTAATCACTGATAATGCTGAGTATACTGGATTGTTCAGGTTAAATCATTACAATAGCCACTTACTTATCATCTTTCCATTTCACCTGATTCCTGACATCATTGTTGTTTATCATTCTTTTAGTTAGTTAATAAATTGTATCTCTTACTGTGTGCTAACTATTTGGTGAATGGGATGCAGTTGAGCATCCAGAAACGTTCCGGTATATTTAGAGTTGACTGGCTCAAACATGAGAAAGATTTCGCAGTCGAAGTTGTGTGCACAGTAGTCTACACGACCGAATTGATGTTGTTTAAGATAAGTGGTGACTTTTGATAGGTATGCGATTTGCATTGATATAGGCGAATGTGAAGAGGAAGAGGATGACCACTTCACTGATGTGATGTTGTTTGCAGTCGGAACAATCAGTTTTGTGAATAATATTTGCATTATCTTCTCGTACTGTTGCCTCCTCTGATTTAGACGGTAACGATTGGAGTGATTCTTTTAGCTTGTGGATCACGCCTACTGCTAACAGCCACGAAAATCTTGTCGTAATCTATGATATGAATTTTATATCTGAAACGACAATCCGTCTGTTGGAGTTCACCCCTGATTTCGTGTCTAGTGCTGAATGTGACAAGCATTTTCTGATTGAATAGGGTTTTTAGCAATCCTTTACTCCAAACAATAATCATTAGGTGCACTTTTCATGTCTATGTCTGGTAGGTAGTTGTACTGCAGTGTATCTTCAACCTATTGAGTAGGCCTTGAACTTAGTTGACCTTGTGAGTGTCTGATTTGTTACGATTGTAGTCGATAGTTTGGTGTGTTTGCGTTGTGTTGCGAAACACCAGATTTTTCAGTCCTGTATTGATTCTGGCGATCGGAACGTGAAGGAAGGTTATTTAGTTGTTCGCCTGCATTCCCATTGTGAATTTTATGTCATCGAAGATGTTATTAATTGAATTGTGGGTACTTTTCAGCACATTCCGTTTGGCGGTGATGAGCATGTTATCCACATCCACATCGAGGGTCCAAATAGTTGTCTTGATCAGTGGTGAAATTAAATCTTCGAGTCTGTGCACTACTTCTTCCACAACGAGTCTGGATATCAGTGATCTAATTGACATTCTTTTTGTCTGTTTCAACACTTGATTATTGAATCGGACACACATTGTTAGTCTCAGATGGATGAGCTCAATACATCTTTGACATTGGTTCTTTGTGTGATTTTGAATTTTTTTACATTGGTGACTGACTGGGTGGTATAAAGTTTATTATTATTATTATTATTATTATTCGCTTGCCAAGTTTAGTTCAAGTCACCTGAATAAGGCTATAATGTCAAAGAATGCCATTAGTGTGCTACTGCATTTATGGCATTCCTAACCAAACCCTTATGTTGTTTGGAAGGATTGATGCAGTGGTCGTCGAATCCCACGTAATGTTTTAGAGTTGTTGACGTTTCTGTTGACAGATTGTATATATTTGTGTGGACCATAGGTAGTGAGACAGTTAAGTGTAGGGGAATTCTTGGTGTATGTGTTATCGGAACCATGGAAGAACATTTCCAGTACAATGTGTTTGCCATAAGTCCTGTGTCGTTAATTGGTCTAACATGATGAGTTATTGCGGTAGGTCCTATCAACCTGGTTATCCAGATTCCTGAAGGGATTTATTTGCACTGATTAGTACACAATTCAGTTCCCCAATAGCTCCTCAGTCATCCTGATGTGTTCTCTTATGTCCATTTATATATATATATATATATATATATATATATATATATATATATATTCTGTCATGATTATGTTTTCATTTATGAGAGAGAGATTCTTTAAAGCCGTCTGTTGTACATGGTTGAGTGGAACGTACACCCGTGATATCGTTGAGTCTGTCGGTTTGAGACATTTGTAAAAATACTGTTTAGGAACTTCAGTAAATTCCTTTTCATCCAGTCCAATAATGTTTCTGTTAACTGGTCTATATATAGGAAGGAACATGGTGTAATTTGAGAAAATAACTAGTGTTTAGTTGATGTGGAGGGTCCGATTCACTAGAACTACATCTAAGCCGTTATCAAAAGTGTTATTAGCAGATATCGATTACTCCTCAGTGGTTTGGGAATTTTCTATTTACATTGTTAGAAGGCAGTTAGCCTTTTGTTTTGTTTTACGATGGTGATTACAGCGAACAACGAGGGAATATTGATGGACAGAAATTATGGTCTGGTCACGTTGTTGGTGTGATTGGTTGAATGTTCAGAGTGAATGTGTGTGTGTATGTGTAGAGATTAGTGAGTTTGCTATTCACAACACACAAGCACATTTGTCAAGCAGTCAGTCGACCAGTCGTTGGACAAACTCCACTTAATATACCCGTTATTATAGCTTGCTGATTATGTTGAAATGTGTTTTCGCATAAATCTGTTAGTGATCTCTTCCATCTTGTAATGTGATATAAACAATGTGAATAAATTTCAATTTGTTTTGTTCTTTGAAATCAGTTCCTGAAACGACAGAAGTTGTGCCAACAGTAACTGAGAAGGTTCTCACCTTCTTACAACCAGTAACACCGAATATCCACATTGTACAAGACCATAAGGATCTTGAGTGAGTTATCGTCTTGCGTTTACTTTTTTCTCATGTAATATTGATGATGACGTGATATCGATTAATACGCAGTGTAATAGAATCGTGGCTTGAGACACCAGTTTTAATCTGTGTGTTTGACTAATCCGTGTGAATCGTAAGGAGAACAGCCATCCTTGGAAGAAAGTTCATACAGCCAGTAAAAATTGCCAATTGAATTGACTGGAATGTGAAAGTGCTTGATTGAAACCACCAAAAAAGTTTGGATGATAATGTAACCAACCGAACCGAACTGACCTGGCCTGACCTGAACAATACTGACATATGCAACATCTAACCAAACGCGTTTTTGTTGTTGATGTGGGATATGTAAATGTTAAATATGATAATTGTGAAATTAAAATTGAGTGACAATTTCCTTGGTTGATTGATAAGTTGTCGCAAACAACTCACACAATTAATTGGTTAGAAGTGGGTAGATTAGTTGAGACACTTTATTAGTGAAAATGAACAATGTAGAAATGTGTTTTATGTGATGAGTAGGAGCAGTGACCAGATTGTGTTCCGTTCGTATATGGAGTTCATGGGACAAATGGATATGCATCGATGTTGATTTTTACGACGCACTTCGAATCTAGTATTTATCATTCAACTATGTGAATTTCAACTTCATAGATGTCTATTGAAATATACATGTTGCACAGGACGTGTATGATGTTGAGTTCGATCTCAACTGAATGTTGATAATTAGTGAATGACGAATGCATTGACCATTAGGTACCTAGTCTCATATTACACTGTTATCAATCGAAATGTCGAAAACATGATGCATTGAAACACAAACGAGTATTCCATTATTATATTTATTTGTAGACTGGAATGTCAAATTCAAGCAGATTTAAAACCAATTCAAGTTGTCTGGGAAGTTGATGGCAAGGAATTAACTCAATCTGATCGCAATGAAATGATCTATTTTGAAGATAGTGGAGTAGCTCGTCTAATAGTACATCAAGTGGTTCCATCGGATTCTGGTGAATACACTTGCAAAGTTCATGGTGAGGTGATTGAAGCTGAGACCAAACAACAAATGACCAAAACAATTTCATCTGGCTCAATTGTTACAATTGAAGGTGAGTGAAATGAACTAAGATGAGGTGATAAGCAGTTAATAAGAAGTAACTTTACAGTGATTTCTAGTTTCTACCATTTCTCTAGATCATTTGGACTTGTGGAAAATTATGTTACAGTGAGACAGAGCACAAGAATCACTTAATTGAACTTTCAAAATTTATGTTGTGAGAGGGATTTCACTGAGTATATTGATTGACCACGTTAAGTGATGGTAATCACTGATAATGCTGAGTATACTGGATTGTTCAGGTTAAATCATTACAATAGCCACTTACTTATCATCTTTCCATTTCACCTGATTCCTGACATCATTGTTGTTTATCATTCTTTTAGTTAGTTAATAAATTGTATCTCTTACTGTGTGCTAACTATTTGGTGAATGGGATGCAGTTGAGCATCCAGAAACGTTCCGGTATATTTAGAGTTGACTGGCTCAAACATGAGAAAGATTTCGCAGTCGAAGTTGTGTGCACAGTAGTCTACACGACCGAATTGATGTTGTTTAAGATAAGTGGTGACTTTTGATAGGTATGCGATTTGCATTGATATAGGCGAATGTGAAGAGGAAGAGGATGACCACTTCACTGATGTGATGTTGTTTGCAGTCGGAACAATCAGTTTTGTGAATAATATTTGCATTATCTTCTCGTACTGTTGCCTCCTCTGATTTAGACGGTAACGATTGGAGTGATTCTTTTAGCTTGTGGATCACGCCTACTGCTAACAGCCACGAAAATCTTGTCGTAATCTATGATATGAATTTTATATCTGAAACGACAATCCGTCTGTTGGAGTTCACCCCTGATTTCGTGTCTAGTGCTGAATGTGACAAGCATTTTCTGATTGAATAGGGTTTTTAGCAATCCTTTACTCCAAACAATAATCATTAGGTGCACTTTTCATGTCTATGTCTGGTAGGTAGTTGTACTGCAGTGTATCTTCAACCTATTGAGTAGGCCTTGAACTTAGTTGACCTTGTGAGTGTCTGATTTGTTACGATTGTAGTCGATAGTTTGGTGTGTTTGCGTTGTGTTGCGAAACACCAGATTTTTCAGTCCTGTATTGATTCTGGCGATCGGAACGTGAAGGAAGGTTATTTAGTTGTTCGCCTGCATTCCCATTGTGAATTTTATGTCATCGAAGATGTTATTAATTGAATTGTGGGTACTTTTCAGCACATTCCGTTTGGCGGTGATGAGCATGTTATCCACATCCACATCGAGGGTCCAAATAGTTGTCTTGATCAGTGGTGAAATTAAATCTTCGAGTCTGTGCACTACTTCTTCCACAACGAGTCTGGATATCAGTGATCTAATTGACATTCTTTTTGTCTGTTTCAACACTTGATTATTGAATCGGACACACATTGTTAGTCTCAGATGGATGAGCTCAATACATCTTTGACATTGGTTCTTTGTGTGATTTTGAATTTTTTTACATTGGTGACTGACTGGGTGGTATAAAGTTTTATTATTATTATTATTATTATTATTCGCTTGCCAAGTTTAGTTCAAGTCACCTGAATAAGGCTATAATGTCAAAGAATGCCATTAGTGTGCTACTGCATTTATGGCATTCCTAACCAAACCCTTATGTTGTTTGGAAGGATTGATGCAGTGGTCGTCGAATCCCACGTAATGTTTTAGAGTTGTTGACGTTTCTGTTGACAGATTGTATATATTTGTGTGGACCATAGGTAGTGAGACAGTTAAGTGTAGGGGAATTCTTGGTGTATGTGTTATCGGAACCATGGAAGAACATTTCCAGTACAATGTGTTTGCCATAAGTCCTGTGTCGTTAATTGGTCTAACATGATGAGTTATTGCGGTAGGTCCTATCAACCTGGTTATCCAGATTCCTGAAGGGATTTATTTGCACTGATTAGTACACAATTCAGTTCCCCAATAGCTCCTCAGTCATCCTGATGTGTTCTCTTATGTCCATTTATATATATATATATATATATATATATATATATATATATATATTCTGTCATGATTATGTTTTCATTTATGAGAGAGAGATTCTTTAAAGCCGTCTGTTGTACATGGTTGAGTGGAACGTACACCCGTGATATCGTTGAGTCTGTCGGTTTGAGACATTTGTAAAAATACTGTTTAGGAACTTCAGTAAATTCCTTTTCATCCAGTCCAATAATGTTTCTGTTAACTGGTCTATATATAGGAAGGAACATGGTGTAATTTGAGAAAATAACTAGTGTTTAGTTGATGTGGAGGGTCCGATTCACTAGAACTACATCTAAGCCGTTATCAAAAGTGTTATTAGCAGATATCGATTACTCCTCAGTGGTTTGGGAATTTTCTATTTACATTGTTAGAAGGCAGTTAGCCTTTTGTTTTGTTTTACGATGGTGATTACAGCGAACAACGAGGGAATATTGATGGACAGAAATTATGGTCTGGTCACGTTGTTGGTGTGATTGGTTGAATGTTCAGAGTGAATGTGTGTGTGTATGTGTAGAGATTAGTGAGTTTGCTATTCACAACACACAAGCACATTTGTCAAGCAGTCAGTCGACCAGTCGTTGGACAAACTCCACTTAATATACCCGTTATTATAGCTTGCTGATTATGTTGAAATGTGTTTTCGCATAAATCTGTTAGTGATCTCTTCCATCTTGTAATGTGATATAAACAATGTGAATAAATTTCAATTTGTTTTGTTCTTTGAAATCAGTTCCTGAAACGACAGAAGTTGTGCCAACAGTAACTGAGAAGGTTCTCACCTTCTTACAACCAGTAACACCGAATATCCACATTGTACAAGACCATAAGGATCTTGAGTGAGTTATCGTCTTGCGTTTACTTTTTTCTCATGTAATATTGATGATGACGTGATATCGATTAATACGCAGTGTAATAGAATCGTGGCTTGAGACACCAGTTTTAATCTGTGTGTTTGACTAATCCGTGTGAATCGTAAGGAGAACAGCCATCCTTGGAAGAAAGTTCATACAGCCAGTAAAAATTGCCAATTGAATTGACTGGAATGTGAAAGTGCTTGATTGAAACCACCAAAAAAGTTTGGATGATAATGTAACCAACCGAACCGAACTGACCTGGCCTGACCTGAACAATACTGACATATGCAACATCTAACCAAACGCGTTTTTGTTGTTGATGTGGGATATGTAAATGTTAAATATGATAATTGTGAAATTAAAATTGAGTGACAATTTCCTTGGTTGATTGATAAGTTGTCGCAAACAACTCACACAATTAATTGGTTAGAAGTGGGTAGATTAGTTGAGACACTTTATTAGTGAAAATGAACAATGTAGAAATGTGTTTTATGTGATGAGTAGGAGCAGTGACCAGATTGTGTTCCGTTCGTATATGGAGTTCATGGGACAAATGGATATGCATCGATGTTGATTTTTACGACGCACTTCGAATCTAGTATTTATCATTCAACTATGTGAATTTCAACTTCATAGATGTCTATTGAAATATACATGTTGCACAGGACGTGTATGATGTTGAGTTCGATCTCAACTGAATGTTGATAATTAGTGAATGACGAATGCATTGACCATTAGGTACCTAGTCTCATATTACACTGTTATCAATCGAAATGTCGAAAACATGATGCATTGAAACACAAACGAGTATTCCATTATTATATTTATTTGTAGACTGGAATGTCAAATTCAAGCAGATTTAAAACCAATTCAAGTTGTCTGGGAAGTTGATGGCAAGGAATTAACTCAATCTGATCGCAATGAAATGATCTATTTTGAAGATAGTGGAGTAGCTCGTCTAATAGTACATCAAGTGGTTCCATCGGATTCTGGTGAATACACTTGCAAAGTTCATGGTGAGGTGATTGAAGCTGAGACCAAACAACAAATGACCAAAACAATTTCATCTGGCTCAATTGTTACAATTGAAGGTGAGTGAAATGAACTAAGATGAGGTGATAAGCAGTTAATAAGAAGTAACTTTACAGTGATTTCTAGTTTCTACCATTTCTCTAGATCATTTGGACTTGTGGAAAATTATGTTACAGTGAGACAGAGCACAAGAATCACTTAATTGAACTTTCAAAATTTATGTTGTGAGAGGGATTTCACTGAGTATATTGATTGACCACGTTAAGTGATGGTAATCACTGATAATGCTGAGTATAGTGGATTGTTCTTTTCGGTAGTTACTTTGATTGATTTTGATATTAATTTATCGCAATATCCGCTGTATATTTTTTTCTCCCTTTTACTTGATTACACTTCAACGTTTCTATTTTTTTATCGCTGTTCTTTCCGTCGTTTTTCCTTTTTATTTTTACTTCCTATCGCTTTTTCTCAGTTTGTTGTAGAATGTCTTTGTGCTTTTCCTTGATTTCTTTTTCTTTATATGATGTTCTTCCTTTTTTAGTTCCTTTTTGTCGAAGCTTACGTAATATTTTATGACTATTTTATTGTGTAATTGTTATTTTATGAAATACTTTTTATTTATTTCATTTTATATGGTATCAATGAATAATTTTTTTGTTTATTCTTTTTATTTTTATGAACATCTTCATTGAATCACCAGCTGTTGAAAAAGAGGACAAATTCATTTCACCAATTTTTGTTCACGAGTTAACACCATTAAATATTTCTGAAGGTGAAGAAATTTATTTAACAGCTACTGTTAAAGGAAATCCTCAACCTGAAGAAGTGATTTGGAAACATAATGGAAATATAGTTCAACCAGACGTAACGGATGTTGTAATGTTCTATACCCCAGAAACAGGTGTTTGTGAATTAACAATATCTGAAGCATTTCCTGAAGATTCAGGAATTTATTCTGTTGAAGTCCAGAATACTGTTGGTACGGCTGTTAGTCAAACTGAAGTAGTTGTATTGGTAGAGGTAAGAAAAGAACCTACAATTTTAGAGTCAGAAGATCAGAAAGAATCAATTGTTGAAGATGTTTTGAACGTTGTTACTGATATTTCAGGTGATAAAGCAGTTGTATCTACGGTCGAAGGTGTAGAGTTACTTAAACAAGAAGTAGTTGTTAATATAGTGCAAACTGAAAAAACGGAAATGTATTCAATGATTGAAACTCTTCCAGAAATACCACAAGCGGCGATTTATGAACATATCATAGAGGAGACTGAATTCGAAATAAGTTTGGAAGAACCGCTAGAGATTAGTGATGATGAGTTATTGCTCGATGAAGGAGTTACACCAACACATGTAGTTGTATTGGATGTTCTTATACCTCATGATTCTGTGAGCATTGATGAAACAAGTATAAGCGTAGAGGAAGCTGGCAAGGCTCAGTCGATCCCAAGTGTCACAGAAATTTCTTTACATGACGTTTCTTTAGCCGCGGGTTCAGACGTAAATATAACCGAATTAAAAGCTCTCGATGCCAAGGTCACAACACAGGAAGAAAAAGAGAAATCCAAAGAAAAAGAAGATCAACAATCAATAGCAACTATGAGTTCAGATCTGAACGAACAACAAACAAAACAGCAAAGCAATGACACAAAAGATGAAACGAAAGAGCTAACCACAAAACCAGTTAAAGAAGAAATCAAATCCATAAAGATGGAAGAAAAAAACCATCCAAAAAAAGTTGAAGATATAACTGATGAGCTAAAAAAAATGGAGACGTCAGAGAAGGTCTCAGTGAAGGAGGCTGTGGTGGACGAGACCCCAGTGGAATCGGAGACAGTCCCGGTCTCAATTGTTAGCAAAGGAGTGGTAGAGGTGACGGACATGAAGAGCACAGTCGGAGTGACAGAGGAATCTGGTAGTGTGGCGGAGCAGGAGACGTTGGTTGTTGAGCAGGTGGCGGAATCCAAGGAGACAGTGACTGTTAAGATGGAGGAGCGGGTTGTACAGGAGGTGGGGAAGGAGTCGGTCCCAGAGACGATGGAGTGGGTTTCAGAGGGTGTTGGTGAGTTGGAAGAATCCGACCGTCAGGATAGTGCTCGTGTTGTGGAGCAGCCGAGCGAAGTAGGTGTTGCAGTTTCCGAAACGCAAGTGGAGGTGGAGACGGTTGAGTTGGTGTCAGTGAAGGAGGCTGTGGTGGACGAGACCCCAGTGGAATCGGACACAGTCTCGGTCTTAGGTGTGACGGAGGAGAAGAGCGTGGTCTCAGCGACAGAAGACTTTGCCATGGAGGTGGAACAGGTGACTTTGACCGTGGATGAGGTGTCACCTCGTATGGAATCCCTGACGTCCTCAGCTGAAGAACGTGTTGTCAGTGAGGCCGTTCCACTGGAGGAGACGGTCTATGATGTGTACGAAACGGAACAGGTTGAAGCTGTAACACGACCTACCACTGACGCTGTCGCTTCTGGTGTTGTCTCCTCGACTACTCCTTCTCTGTCTGACGTTGTCAGTGCTGAAGAAGTTCCTTCTGAGGCGAGTTACTGATATGTGCATACACACAATGCACAGCCTTAGGCTTAGTGGCATGGCAAGTTCTTCCGCTTCAGTCGGTTTTGAAATAACTGGTGAATTTTTCGAGGTTTTATCGTGGAAACTGTCAGATGTTGCGCCTCTTATTGCATGCATGTCCCGTTAGTTAACAAGTTGTCTAGTACGCTCCTTCAGTCTCATCTCCTAACAAACATCATGCATTTGCATTGTATTAGTGTTTGGATAAATGTGATTCTGAGACTGTTTGTTTCTTCTCTGAATTTTTGTGAGACGACATTTCACTTGTCATGGATTGTTCACCTGGTAACTTGTGACCTATTCACTTGATCTTAGTGTTTGTGAGAGAATGTATTTGTGGCCTACTCCATATGACTGCCATTTGTTGGATGTTGTGTTTGAAACGTGTTTGTTTGTGGTATTTTGTTGTTGTTGCTGCTGTTGTTTTTGTTGTTGTTGCTGTTGTTGTTGTGGTTGTGGTTGATGATGATGTTGTGGTTGACGATGGTGTTGTGAATTGGAATGGATTTATTGTTAGTATTATAGGTAACATTTACTGGATTGTTCGATCTGACATTTGGTTTTCCGGTAAATATTAACTCTTTTCCACTTGATCGGTATTGTTGGTTGTCATTTATCAAATGTGATATGGTGGTTGATTTTCTGATTGTGAAGCTGATGAGTAATCTGTCATTGAGTTGTGTGTGATTTCGATATTCAAGTGATGGGAGCATGTGTAGCTGCAAAATCCACCGATAAATAAATGTCGAGATAATCGGTTTTAGATGATGACTGTTTGTGCTTAATAGTGGTGATGTGCATGAATGATAAAGATGTCGACAGGTTAGAACCGTTCCATGTCTGATATTGGTATGTCGTCTTTGTGTTGTGGTGTGTAGATATAGGATTTTTAATGATGAGGAACGAAAGTGTTTAGCGTTGGTGGATTGTCTGTGGAAGACAATATAATTGACTTGCGTGTGGTTTTGTTGATGTTGTTCTGTGTGTGAAGAATGACGATTGGCTAAATAGAGGGTACAGATGAGGACACCTTGTCGTGTGTGGAATTGCCTGAAAGAATGACAGGTTTGATTGTATTTCGGTGTTGCATAGTTGGTTGCTGAACCCATTCTCTCATGATGTTGCCTTTAGTATGTGACACTGATAATTTTAAGTGTTTGAATCCGGTGAAAAGTTTGTATGTGATAGTGCTGCGTTGACGTCGGTTATAAGCGACATCTGTGAAGCTGGCTGAATCATGGATGATAAGTGTTGCTCTGAGTTTCTTGTCAAGTGAATGTGTAAGAGGTGATTAGTGAAGTGTGTTAGACAGTGCTTAGTGTTTAAAAGACTTATGTGTAGTACTTTCGCATCCTGTCGCCTCTGATAAGATGTCAGTTTGATCCCACCGCTTGATTTTGTTTCCCCGAATGCTGACACTTGAAACAAACACGTCATACTCATAATGTCGTTCTTTTGTATACCAGCAGGTAACGGAAGCCGGAGACACAATGATGGCGAAGACCGCCGAGGTCATTGTTGAAGAAGGGAAGGAGTCTGTGTCACAGACCATGGAGTGGGTTTCAGAGGGTGTTGGTGAGTTGGAAGAATCCGACCGTCAGGATAGTGTTCGTGTTGTGGAGCAGCCGAATGAAGTGGGTGTGGCGGTTTCTGTAAAGCCCTTTGAAGTGGCAACACGTGAGAAGGTCTCAGTGAAGGAGGCTGTGGTGGACGAGACCCCAGTGGAATCGGAGACAGTCCCGGTCTCAATTGTTAGCAAAGGAGTGGTAGAGGTGACGGACATGAAGAGCACAGTCGGAGTGACAGAGGAATCTGGTAGTGTGGCGGAGCAGGAGACGTTGGTTGTTGAGCAGGTGGCGGAATCCAAGGAGACAGTGACTGTTAAGATGGAGGAGCGGGTTGTACAGGAGGTGGGGAAGGAGTCGGTCCCAGAGACGATGGAGTGGGTTTCAGAGGGTGTTGGTGAGTTGGAAGAATCCGACCGTCAGGATAGTGCTCGTGTTGTGGAGCAGCCGAGCGAAGTAGGTGTTGCAGTTTCCGAAACGCAAGTGGAGGTGGAGACGGTTGAGTTGGTGTCAGTGAAGGAGGCTGTGGTGGACGAGACCCCAGTGGAATCGGACACAGTCTCGGTCTTAGGTGTGACGGAGGAGAAGAGCGTGGTCTCAGCGACAGAAGACTTTGCCATGGAGGTGGAACAGGTGACTTTGACCGTGGATGAGGTGTCACCTCGTATGGAATCCCTGACGTCCTCAGCTGAAGAACGTGTTGTCAGTGAGGCCGTTCCACTGGAGGAGACGGTCTATGATGTGTACGAAACGGAACAGGTTGAAGCTGTAACACGACCTACCACTGACGCTGTCGCTTCTGGTGTTGTCTCCTCGACTACTCCTTCTCTGTCTGACGTTGTCAGTGCTGAAGAAGTTCCTTCTGAGGCGAGTTACTGATATGTGCATACACACAATGCACAGCCTTAGGCTTAGTGGCATGGCAAGTTCTTCCGCTTCAGTCGGTTTTGAAATAACTGGTGAATTTTTCGAGGTTTTATCGTGGAAACTGTCAGATGTTGCGCCTCTTATTGCATGCATGTCCCGTTAGTTAACAAGTTGTCTAGTACGCTCCTTCAGTCTCATCTCCTAACAAACATCATGCATTTGCATTGTATTAGTGTTTGGATAAATGTGATTCTGAGACTGTTTGTTTCTTCTCTGAATTTTTGTGAGACGACATTTCACTTGTCATGGATTGTTCACCTGGTAACTTGTGACCTATTCACTTGATCTTAGTGTTTGTGAGAGAATGTATTTGTGGCCTACTCCATATGACTGCCATTTGTTGGATGTTGTGTTTGAAACGTGTTTGTTTGTGGTATTTTGTTGTTGTTGCTGCTGTTGTTTTTGTTGTTGTTGCTGTTGTTGTTGTGGTTGTGGTTGATGATGATGTTGTGGTTGACGATGGTGTTGTGAATTGGAATGGATTTATTGTTAGTATTATAGGTAACATTTACTGGATTGTTCGATCTGACATTTGGTTTTCCGGTAAATATTAACTCTTTTCCACTTGATCGGTATTGTTGGTTGTCATTTATCAAATGTGATATGGTGGTTGATTTTCTGATTGTGAAGCTGATGAGTAATCTGTCATTGAGTTGTGTGTGATTTCGATATTCAAGTGATGGGAGCATGTGTAGCTGCAAAATCCACCGATAAATAAATGTCGAGATAATCGGTTTTAGATGATGACTGTTTGTGCTTAATAGTGGTGATGTGCATGAATGATAAAGATGTCGACAGGTTAGAACCGTTCCATGTCTGATATTGGTATGTCGTCTTTGTGTTGTGGTGTGTAGATATAGGATTTTTAATGATGAGGAACGAAAGTGTTTAGCGTTGGTGGATTGTCTGTGGAAGACAATATAATTGACTTGCGTGTGGTTTTGTTGATGTTGTTCTGTGTGTGAAGAATGACGATTGGCTAAATAGAGGGTACAGATGAGGACACCTTGTCGTGTGTGGAATTGCCTGAAAGAATGACAGGTTTGATTGTATTTCGGTGTTGCATAGTTGGTTGCTGAACCCATTCTCTCATGATGTTGCCTTTAGTATGTGACACTGATAATTTTAAGTGTTTGAATCCGGTGAAAAGTTTGTATGTGATAGTGCTGCGTTGACGTCGGTTATAAGCGACATCTGTGAAGCTGGCTGAATCATGGATGATAAGTGTTGCTCTGAGTTTCTTGTCAAGTGAATGTGTAAGAGGTGATTAGTGAAGTGTGTTAGACAGTGCTTAGTGTTTAAAAGACTTATGTGTAGTACTTTCGCATCCTGTCGCCTCTGATAAGATGTCAGTTTGATCCCACCGCTTGATTTTGTTTCCCCGAATGCTGACACTTGAAACAAACACGTCATACTCATAATGTCGTTCTTTTGTATACCAGCAGGTAACGGAAGCCGGAGACACAATGATGGCGAAGACCGCCGAGGTCATTGTTGAAGAAGGGAAGGAGTCTGTGTCACAGACCATGGAGTGGGTTTCAGAGGGTGTTGGTGAGTTGGAAGAATCCGACCGTCAGGATAGTGTTCGTGTTGTGGAGCAGCCGAATGAAGTGGGTGTGGCGGTTTCTGTAAAGCCCTTTGAAGTGGCAACACGTGAGAAGGTCTCAGTGAAGGAGGCTGTGGTGGACGAGACCCCAGTGGAATCGGAGACAGTCCCGGTCTCAATTGTTAGCAAAGGAGTGGTAGAGGTGACGGACATGAAGAGCACAGTCGGAGTGACAGAGGAATCTGGTAGTGTGGCGGAGCAGGAGACGTTGGTTGTTGAGCAGGTGGCGGAATCCAAGGAGACAGTGACTGTTAAGATGGAGGAGCGGGTTGTACAGGAGGTGGGGAAGGAGTCGGTCCCAGAGACGATGGAGTGGGTTTCAGAGGGTGTTGGTGAGTTGGAAGAATCCGACCGTCAGGATAGTGCTCGTGTTGTGGAGCAGCCGAGCGAAGTAGGTGTTGCAGTTTCCGAAACGCAAGTGGAGGTGGAGACGGTTGAGTTGGTGTCAGTGAAGGAGGCTGTGGTGGACGAGACCCCAGTGGAATCGGACACAGTCTCGGTCTTAGGTGTGACGGAGGAGAAGAGCGTGGTCTCAGCGACAGAAGACTTTGCCATGGAGGTGGAACAGGTGACTTTGACCGTGGATGAGGTGTCACCTCGTATGGAATCCCTGACGTCCTCAGCTGAAGAACGTGTTGTCAGTGAGGCCGTTCCACTGGAGGAGACGGTCTATGATGTGTACGAAACGGAACAGGTTGAAGCTGTAACACGACCTACCACTGACGCTGTCGCTTCTGGTGTTGTCTCCTCGACTACTCCTTCTCTGTCTGACGTTGTCAGTGCTGAAGAAGTTCCTTCTGAGGCGAGTTACTGATATGTGCATACACACAATGCACAGCCTTAGGCTTAGTGGCATGGCAAGTTCTTCCGCTTCAGTCGGTTTTGAAATAACTGGTGAATTTTTCGAGGTTTTATCGTGGAAACTGTCAGATGTTGCGCCTCTTATTGCATGCATGTCCCGTTAGTTAACAAGTTGTCTAGTACGCTCCTTCAGTCTCATCTCCTAACAAACATCATGCATTTGCATTGTATTAGTGTTTGGATAAATGTGATTCTGAGACTGTTTGTTTCTTCTCTGAATTTTTGTGAGACGACATTTCACTTGTCATGGATTGTTCACCTGGTAACTTGTGACCTATTCACTTGATCTTAGTGTTTGTGAGAGAATGTATTTGTGGCCTACTCCATATGACTGCCATTTGTTGGATGTTGTGTTTGAAACGTGTTTGTTTGTGGTATTTTGTTGTTGTTGCTGCTGTTGATTTTGTTGTTGTTGCTGTTGTTGTTGTGGTTGTGGTTGATGATGATGTTGTGGTTGACGATGGTGTTGTGAATTGGAATGGATTTATTGTTAGTATTATAGGTAACATTTACTGGATTGTTCGATCTGACATTTGGTTTTCCGGTAAATATTAACTCTTTTCCACTTGATCGGTATTGTTGGTTGTCATTTATCAAATGTGATATGGTGGTTGATTTTCTGATTGTGAAGCTGATGAGTAATCTGTCATTGAGTTGTGTGTGATTTCGATATTCAAGTGATGGGAGCATGTGTAGCTGCAAAATCCACCGATAAATAAATGTCGAGATAATCGGTTTTAGATGATGACTGTTTGTGCTTAATAGTGGTGATGTGCATGAATGATAAAGATGTCGACAGGTTAGAACCGTTCCATGTCTGATATTGGTATGTCGTCTTTGTGTTGTGGTGTGTAGATATAGGATTTTTAATGATGAGGAACGAAAGTGTTTAGCGTTGGTGGATTGTCTGTGGAAGACAATATAATTGACTTGCGTGTGGTTTTGTTGATGTTGTTCTGTGTGTGAAGAATGACGATTGGCTAAATAGAGGGTACAGATGAGGACACCTTGTCGTGTGTGGAATTGCCTGAAAGAATGACAGGTTTGATTGTATTTCGGTGTTGCATAGTTGGTTGCTGAACCCATTCTCTCATGATGTTGCCTTTAGTATGTGACACTGATAATTTTAAGTGTTTGAATCCGGTGAAAAGTTTGTATGTGATAGTGCTGCGTTGACGTCGGTTATAAGCGACATCTGTGAAGCTGGCTGAATCATGGATGATAAGTGTTGCTCTGAGTTTCTTGTCAAGTGAATGTGTAAGAGGTGATTAGTGAAGTGTGTTAGACAGTGCTTAGTGTTTAAAAGACTTATGTGTAGTACTTTCGCATCCTGTCGCCTCTGATAAGATGTCAGTTTGATCCCACCGCTTGATTTTGTTTCCCCGAATGCTGACACTTGAAACAAACACGTCATACTCATAATGTCGTTCTTTTGTATACCAGCAGGTAACGGAAGCCGGAGACACAATGATGGCGAAGACCGCCGAGGTCATTGTTGAAGAAGGGAAGGAGTCTGTGTCACAGACCATGGAGTGGGTTTCAGAGGGTGTTGGTGAGTTGGAAGAATCCGACCGTCAGGATAGTGTTCGTGTTGTGGAGCAGCCGAATGAAGTGGGTGTGGCGGTTTCTGTAAAGCCCTTTGAAGTGGCAACACGTGAGAAGGTCTCAGTGAAGGAGGCTGTGGTGGACGAGACCCCAGTGGAATCGGAGACAGTCCCGGTCTCAATTGTTAGCAAAGGAGTGGTAGAGGTGACGGACATGAAGAGCACAGTCGGAGTGACAGAGGAATCTGGTAGTGTGGCGGAGCAGGAGACGTTGGTTGTTGAGCAGGTGGCGGAATCCAAGGAGACAGTGACTGTTAAGATGGAGGAGCGGGTTGTACAGGAGGTGGGGAAGGAGTCGGTCCCAGAGACGATGGAGTGGGTTTCAGAGGGTGTTGGTGAGTTGGAAGAATCCGACCGTCAGGATAGTGCTCGTGTTGTGGAGCAGCCGAGCGAAGTAGGTGTTGCAGTTTCCGAAACGCAAGTGGAGGTGGAGACGGTTGAGTTGGTGTCAGTGAAGGAGGCTGTGGTGGACGAGACCCCAGTGGAATCGGACACAGTCTCGGTCTTAGGTGTGACGGAGGAGAAGAGCGTGGTCTCAGCGACAGAAGACTTTGCCATGGAGGTGGAACAGGTGACTTTGACCGTGGATGAGGTGTCACCTCGTATGGAATCCCTGACGTCCTCAGCTGAAGAACGTGTTGTCAGTGAGGCCGTTCCACTGGAGGAGACGGTCTATGATGTGTACGAAACGGAACAGGTTGAAGCTGTAACACGACCTACCACTGACGCTGTCGCTTCTGGTGTTGTCTCCTCGACTACTCCTTCTCTGTCTGACGTTGTCAGTGCTGAAGAAGTTCCTTCTGAGGCGAGTTACTGATATGTGCATACACACAATGCACAGCCTTAGGCTTAGTGGCATGGCAAGTTCTTCCGCTTCAGTCGGTTTTGAAATAACTGGTGAATTTTTCGAGGTTTTATCGTGGAAACTGTCAGATGTTGCGCCTCTTATTGCATGCGTGTCCCGTTAGTTAACAAGTTGTCTAGTACGCTCCTTCAGTCTCATCTCCTAACAAACATCATGCATTTGCATTGTATTAGTGTTTGGATAAATGTGATTCTGAGACTGTTTGTTTCTTCTCTGAATTTTTGTGAGACGACATTTCACTTGTCATGGATTGTTCACCTGGTAACTTGTGACCTATTCACTTGATCTTTGTGTTTGTAATTGAATGTATTTTCTGTCTGTTTTTCCTTATCTGATTTTTTATTTTTACAATGTTTGTGTATTTTTTCTTTGGCTTTCCAAATTTTTAATTTTTGTGTGTTTTTATTTTCAGTTTTTCTATTTTAATTTCTGTTTTTCTTGTGCTTTTCTTTGCCTTTTTCATCGATTACCTTATTTTGAGTTTTCATTTCATTCACGTGACTTCGCTTCCTCATATTTCTTCCTTACTCTTTCCTTGTCTTCTTTATTCCTTTTTGTCCCAACTTATTATCCTAACTTCGTATCTGTAATATTAATCCGTTTATCTTGTATTATATCCTAATAGTTTTTATCTAATGTTTTATCGTTTGAGGACATATATGTAATTACCATGAAGTCCACTTTTTTTCTGTCCAAATCTTTTTGAATTTTTTTTCTGAAAAAAATCTTCGTTTATCTCATTTAACTATTTGAACAACAGTATGATATTATCAAAAGGCTTTTGTTGAGATTTTTAGAAGTTTCATTAATTGAAATCATGAGTCAATTGAACCTGGATTACCATGGAAAACCTGCAAGCACTGGACAGCCGTTTCGTCTTTGTATGAGACTCCTCAGCAGTGCGTATCCACGATCCCGCCTCCTGAGTGATCTAGTGGTCTAGTGATTAAGCGCCCTTGTGCGAAACTTATAGGCCCTGGGTTGAAATCTCGAGGGGGTCGGGATCATGTATGCGCACTGCTGAGGAGTCCCATCCTTAGACAAAATGGCTGTCCAGTGCTTCCAGATTTTCCATGGTGGCTTAGCTTCAAATGACTCATGATTTCAACTATTGAAAATACTATGATAGTTCGTTGATTCATATTCCTCCTATTATTGATCAATTGTTTCTTCTTATTCTTTAATAACTGTGTTTTCTCTTCTAGTAAACATCATTGTTTCTAATCCATATTGTTTATAAATTTCCATTGAAATATATTAATTATTATTTTCAAATGATTTCATTTTACGATTATGAACACTCCACGAAATATATCAAAGTATTCATGAATACCTTTAGATAACTTAAAAAAAAAAACTATATTGTTTACTACATCGTTTAAGTTGAATAAATGTTCATTGAATGAATCAGCACAATATTTATATCTTATCTTAATATTTTATAAGTTAACATGATTTTGTCAAAATTAAATAAACATGAATAAAACTGAACTTTCTAATTATAAACTAAATATCTTCTCTGTTGTTTTTTTTGTGCGTTTTTTTTAATCAACATAATACACCCCATTGAGACATTAAATAAGAAAGATTGATTCAGTGAAGAGTTCATATTTCGTCGAATTCATTTTCAATTCTATACACTCATATATATATACTTATTTTTTAGGATGATAATACTCTTCTTCCTTTACGTTATCTACTCCCCCCTTCCATTCGTTTATTTATTTTTTTGTGTCTTTTATCCTTCTGATTATATCTTATCATGCTAAACCATTCTTTCCTAGCGATAATTTCCCTATCTATTTTTACAATGGACATTTAAGTCTTTAACAATTATTAGTTTCCTTGATTATTTAAAAAAAAAGTTTTTTCCATACCTTTGTTTATTCTACCTCATTGTTACCATGTCTAACAGAAGCTTATTATTATTATCCCGGAAAATAAGAATATATACTTGTGATTGTACAGTCTTGAAAATGAATCCACCGTAAAGAGAACTTTTCGCTGAACTCATCCTGCTTATTTAATGTCTTAATAGTTGTAGCTCGTAAACACTACTGGAAAATTTCCCCAAGAAACCATATTGAATACTTAGGCCATTAACAATCAAAGGATTACTAAACGTTCCTTGTTTTATAAAAGATTTTTTAATACCTTTTTTTATTTTGCCTCACTATCACCATGTCTAACAGAAGTTTATTATTATTATTATTATTGTCATCCTGAGAAATATGTACTTATACTTGTGATTGTACAGTCTTGAAAATGAATCCCCCGTAAATAGAACTCTTCACTGATTCAATCTTTCTTCTTCTTATTATTATTTTTCTTTAAAATCAATAACTGATCAATTAATATGAATAATAACACAGACTTGCTTGACGTTACAATTTGTTCTTTATCTACACATTACTTATCTTAATGATAACCTTGATAAACATTATGCATGAAATAAAATGATGTATTATGTAACACATTCAAACAGGATACGCTTTTTACATTTTCTTAAATATATATATCAATGGTGATGGTGATGGTGATTACATTTGTTGTTTAAGCATGATGAATAAACTATTATTATGTTACATAACTATTTGGTGTTATTTATTCACGCTTTTTTATTATTATATGTTTGTTTATTGGCTGTAATTTAAATGTGAATACTAATTGATTAGAGTAGTATATTATTTGATATGCTAATTACTATTCTAATTATTTATTATTAAAATTTATTTTAAATTTTTAGGTAAAACCTCCAGAATGTTCAAAACCGACTGGTTAGTTATACATTGTAATAATATTTTTATATACTTTTTGTACCTTTTTTTTATAATTTGAAGATGCTTTACATTGTAGACTGATAACTATTGGGAATAAGGAAGCATTAGACCGTTGGTTCGATTATGTATATAAGTTCAGATTGATCCTTACTGATATTCCCATCAAGGAATGAATCTAAGACTATTAAGTCTCGCTTTAATCTCATTACGTTCTATTTTCTATAAAAAATATGGCATATTATAAGGATTGATTCATAAAATCTATTTTCATGTTGACCATTCTCATTCATAGAAATTAAAAAGATAAGTAATAACTGACCCACTTTCAGATAATCAACTTGATCATGAGACATTGTCTCTTTTAAACAATCTTCTTCAATAAAGTTTCAGATGTAATTGTTCAAAAAATCGAATTTTATATGAGTAGAGAATATTTTCTTCAATAAATTCTTATTTGGTTTCATAATTTGAACAACAATGATGAGACTGTGATTAAAATTTGTTACCCTCACCATCCACTATTTTAGGAGTATAGAAGAAACCAATAATCGGTTAATTTCAACTCTATAATTATAATTATAAATTAATAATTCAAAGGAAGAGCTTAAATGGATTGGTTCTTTTTTTTAAAGATTAATTCAATTTGTATATAGTACTCGTATTAGAATGACCTCAATTTTAGTTACCTGGATCTGTACACCTATTTTATTTTAGCGTGGAATATCTCAGAAGTGAGTACTCAAAACTTCCTGAACTAATCTAGAACTAGATCACTACACTGCAAGCAATTATGAATTAAATGAAGGTGTTTTTTAGTTTGATCCATGGAGATCTCTCAGTTTTATGCAGTCCAATATTTCTCAATAGAACTTCAGGAAATTATCTTGAAGCGAGTTACTAGTGAGCACATGATGATTATCATCAGAATAAAGGGTTTTTGGAGATTGTAGTAATTTTAATAGTTGAATTCATGATTCGTGACATATGGAGTTCACTTCGTGTCGGGTAGAGACAGGTATCTACTTCAGACAATGGACGAATGGTTGAGCAAGATCATGGATCGATTGAAGTTAGACATAAACCCCGTTGAATGCTGACTCAGTAGTTCAATGGTTGAGTGTTCGCGCGCCAGACCGAAGGTCCTGGGTTCCATTTGGGCGTGGGGGGTCGTGGATGTGCACTGCTGAGGAGTCCCACACTAGGACGAAATGACCATTCACTGCTTCAAGGTTTTCAATGGTGATCTAGATTACATCGACCCATGAATTCAACTATTAAAATTACTACAATCTCCACAAACCCCAATTCTGATCAAAATGTATCTGTGTCAAATACTCGTATACCTGTTATATGATTGTTGTTAATCAAATCCTCAAGTACCCTGTATGGACTATGTCTTTTTCAAAGATATTTTATGGTTTATACTAGACGCTTCATAAATCTCTTTTACGGTTTATGAACTTATTTTATACTGGCTAACTGTTGTACTTCATTTTATTCTTTATTTAACCGTGATTCACTGTATAAGCTCCCACTAATCTTTGTGCGACCGATGTTTAAACGTTATGTTACAGAAACACATCTCGTCAATAAATTTCACACATCTATTTTTTACTTAAGTAATCAGGTTATTGTACTTTCAATACAGTAGTTCAGTTAACATCAAACAGAATGAATCAATCTCATCTCCGGCAGATTATCCACTAATATTTTTCCAATTAAAGGATAACAATTAAAAACGATTTTTAATTTCATTTTAGCTCCTTCAACCCCTGTCAATATAAAAGTTATTATAATTCCACCAGAAAGTCCATCTTCAAAATCTAAACTTCATATAACTTGGCAACAACCTGATGATATTCCAGTCACTAATTTTTATATAGAATTAAAACCATCGAATTCCAAAACATGGCAAGATGTATCTGCTGATTTCACTATTACTGAACCTGATGCAATTCTGCCAACTGATAACTTGCAAGAATTTGTCAGTTATGAATTTCGTGTTATTGCTGAAAATGAAGAAGGCAAAAGTCATCCGTCAATACCATCGAATTCTATAGAATTAGGTAGGTATGATCACAGGAAAGTAAAGATTGCTTTAAACAAATCCGAATTTAGGTGATGATAATCAATAATGTACTAAGTAAATATTCAAACAAAGGTGAGAATCAAAAGTTCAGGTTAGAATTTACAATTAGAATACAGTGAAAAAAACTTCAGGAATATGGAAAAGCATTAAGCGTTTGAAATAAAATAAAAAAATATACGCAAAAATTAGGTCATGACTGACAGTCCTTAAATTTAAAAATTCACAATAAAATAATACTCTACGAAATCTAAAAGCGTTTTTATTCATTTCATCTAGGTATACCGCTAGAATTTATTCGCCCACTGACGGATATAACTGTCAGCGCAGTGACAAATGAACCAGTCATACTTGAATGTCAACTATCTCGAACTCCACGTGAAAAGATCCAATGGTTTAAGGATGGAAAAGCACTACCCAGCAGACTGTCGAGTAGAATAAAAGTTGAAGAGTTGGAGAATGGAAAAGTTCACCGAATTATCTTCAGTCCATTGACAGAGGAAGATCTAGGTGTTTATTCTGTGAAAGTAGAGAATTTGACAAGTGAAGCACGAGTGGATATGAAGAGTGAGTTATTAATTACTGTTAATAAAGCTCATACGGAGTCTCGATTTTATTATTCTTTATTTTATTTCTCAACTGAAGTTATATTTAACTATTAAAGACCCACTTTTATTTGGTATATTTAAATTTTCTTAACAGAAACAAAATAATTGTCTTCTAGAGTGCCTCCTTTCTTCTTATGTTTGAAATTATTGTAAGTAGTAACGCTAATAATACATGTTGAATATTGGAATGAAAAAAGTTGTTGAATTTTCTATCCACTTACAGTTGCACCAACACTGAAGCTGTCGGAATCATTCTCTGACAAAGTCATCATGAAAGCAGGAGAGGCGGCCGTCTTCGAAATACCATTCGTCGCCAGTCCGAAACCGACAGTGACCTGGTCATGGAGGCCAAGAACACGTCCTGATGCGGAGTTGGGATCAGCTCAGACTCCACGATTTAAGGCTGACGTGGTGTCCGGACTGACATCACTTCCAGTGAGTAAGGTGAAGCGTGAAGATGCTGGTGAGTACAGTGTGGTCATCAGTAATGAATTGGGCGAGGTGACAGTGAGCATTGAGTTGATTGTATTGGACAAACCATCTGTACCTCGCAATTTAGTTGCGAGTGATAACACTGGTGAGAGTGTTTTGTTCAGTTGGACGGAACCAGAATTCCTCGGTCTTCATCCTGATGTAGGAGTTAGTGATGGATTGAGTTACGTTGTCGAGATGCGTGAGTCAAATCAACGTGCGAGTAGGTCGGTGACAGTGACGAGTGAATTGAATACTCTTATAGACAAATTGCAAGTAAACAAGTCGTATGTGTTTAGTGTTGCAGCTAAAAATGATGTCGGTCAGTCGGAATTCGCTGAAACGAGTCCAGTTTCGACGAAGTTGGAATATGGTAAGTTTGTGTTTGTATTGTATAGTTTTGTTTATGATTGAATTTTCGAGGCTATTGACCTTGTCGGCAAAGCATGTTGTTACTCGGTAGATCTCAACAAAAGTGATTGGATAAGGCTTTCCAACTGACAATGCTTGAATTTACCTTTCAACTGATTTTGAAGTTTTTTCAACCGGACACAAGGAAAATGAAATTCCTCGTTCACCTCTGCTCTGAATGTGAACTGAATTGAGTAGCGACAATTATTGAGTCGACCCAAAATCTCATTGAGGTCCATTGATTTCCGGTTAGGAAAAATGTCAGACGGTTCCTCACAGAGATCTATGTATGAATTTAGAGTTGCTTAAGTCGTTCAACTGTCTATGCTGAGGTACGCTAAACACAATGTTGTCGAGCTGAGTATGAGTATGAGACTATTGGAACGTCTGTTTAGCGTTTAGACAGCTCTGGTCTCACCAAAAATCTATTACAAGTTTCATGGTGTACATTCAGCTACTCACATAGATCAACATTCCAACAACACAGGCATGTTGAAAACACGTAGATTTGTTGGTGATTTTATTTAATGTTGTCGATGATGCATAGACTCAATTCGTCTATGTGCATTAAATGTTCTAGCACGCGAGCAGTTTGTCACTCTTCACTCTGTTTTGTCTCAATTGTAAACTTTAGAGTATGATCTGCAAACTGTGGTTGAGTGATTCGATGCAAAAATTTCTTAATTGTATTTAATGCTGGTGAGTTTGTTTCATCCAAAGGATAGTCGCTGAACTCCTTGTCAATAAATTCATATTGTTGATGTCGGAGAGATGAAAAATCTCCAATGCGTTCGGAAACACCTTTCAGTTTGAGCGATTGAGAAGCTTGTGGATGTGTAGACAACCCGATAAAACCCATCTGAAAGCAGGGTATCGGTCAAACACTGTCACTATCTAAGGAGTCTGACTTAATAGTTTGTTGATGACTACAGTGTAGATTTTTCTGTCTCTAGTTCTGTAGGTGAACTTCTGATAACATCTACTGTATGAATCCATGATGTGGACTAGTTGGAATGTTATTCTACCGTTCTTTGTTCCAGTAGTGCTCTGTGCATCGTGACTGTATAATGGATTATTTATTAGTTTTAGTTAAGCTATTTGTGCATTGTGGATTGTTTTGACCACCTACTGGAGTATGTTGACTGACATCATTCAACTGTAGGAACGCCGACGAGATTGTGCAGGTACATTTTAATTGTGGTCCTTTGTTTGACCCTATTTGCATTTCGTGAAGCACATGGGAAATGTGATGCATCACTCATTCAACCTCTGTTTCACGATTCGATTAAGAGTTAGTGAATACTCATAAGAAATAACGGCATTGAACCACGATTTATGTGTTCAACTGAACACAAAATGAGCCGTTGGCTCGACCGAGATCTTACGTATTGTCGATCGTGTTTTAAATGCCTTGTTACAGATATGTGTATAACATTGTCACTGATTATCTAACAGTGTGAGTTACATTTTGAATGTAATTTGAATGCTTTCTGAAACCACTAGGTCCACCATCGAGTCCAGTCAATGTGAAGGCAGTCGTCAATCCACCGAAGGCGTCTATCAAAGATCAAACGATAGAATTGACGTGGGAACAACCAACCGACCAAGTGTCTGCCAGTGGACCGGTCACAAACTTCTACATCGAATTGAAGCCTGAAGATTCAACTCGATGGCAGGACGTGAGTGCCGACTTCACAATCACTGAACCACACTTCACACTTCCTACTGATAAATTGCAAGAGTTTGTGAGTTATGAGTTCCGTGTAACATCAGAGAATAAAGCTGGCAAGAGTAAACCTTCTTCGCCATCGAACGCTGTTCAACTAGGTAAGTGATAACACTTGTTTCAGAGTTGTATGCATGTGTGTGCAGGTGTCTGTGCGTCTATCTATATGCAGCGAATTCCAAGTGATTTCGATTTAATCTGTCTATTGGCCACGATGAATGTATCCAAATCAGGTGGAATTGAGTTGGAGAGTAGGATGGACTAAGTCCTTACGAGAAACTTGTACTAGTGTGATCATTGCATGTCGCCTATTAGATTGACCTGTAAGAATGATCGGTCAGTAGTAATAGATGATTGATGTTGCATAGACTGAAGCAGCAGTTCATGCAGCTGTGCGTCCAGTTGAAGAATGTGATTGTGGGAACTAACTACTGAACGTCCTAGGTTACTTCGTTTTTCCAACTGACTGATTACCAACCAAAGATAAATGGTAGATCATCTGGCAAATATATCAGTGGTCTTTATGACGAACGAGATAATGAGTGGTTTCAGGTGGCATTGATGTTTCTAATTTTCAATTGTACATGAATATCGTTAATTTGCACATTATCAAATTCGAATAATGGGCGTTTGGGAGCTGTGATAGTCATTGAGTTTGAGATTTATTTATTATTCTGTAATGTAGAAGTGGTTCTGGATGAATGTATCAGTGTGGAATCTACCCATGTCAATGTTTGCTACTCACCGAATCACTGAAAGATGTGGAAAATGATCTCAGAGTATCACACTTTATTGGTATTTTGAAGTGAAGCCATATTTTGATGCGGAATCTGAATGTCATGGGCAGAATATACCACTAGTGATGGATAGTTGAGAGACTCATTTGGATGTGCCTACTACCTTATTTAACAATCCATCTGTGTATTGAATCCATTTAGATTTGTGTAATAGACTACTGGAATGCTACATTCAAGCTTAATACTCACCAAATAGTATCATACCTAATTGATTTCAAGTCATTTCTATATTCGGTTTGTTTATTATTAATGTGATCACATTTCAAAACAAAACCAGTATCACTTTCATGAGTAGTAGCAAGCGCAAAATCTTCTTTTCCATATTCTAATAGAGTTGTTATTCATTTCATCTAGGTATACCGCTAGAATTTATTCGCCCACTGACGGATATAACTGTCAGCGCAGTGACAAATGAACCAGTCATACTTGAATGTCAACTATCTCGAACTCCACGTGAAAAGATCCAATGGTTTAAGGATGGAAAAGCACTACCCAGCAGACTGTCGAGTAGAATAAAAGTTGAAGAGTTGGAGAATGGAAAAGTTCACCGAATTATCTTCAGTCCATTGACAGAGGAAGATCTAGGTGTTTATTCTGTGAAAGTAGAGAATTTGACAAGTGAAGCACGAGTGGATATGAAGAGTGAGTTATTAATTACTGTTAATAAAGCTCATACGGAGTCTCGATTTTATTATTCTTTATTTTATTTCTCAACTGAAGTTATATTTAACTATTAAAGACCCACTTTTATTTGGTATATTTAAATTTTCTTAACAGAAACAAAATAATTGTCTTCTAGAGTGCCTCCTTTCTTCTTATGTTTGAAATTATTGTAAGTAGTAACGCTAATAATACATGTTGAATATTGGAATGAAAAAAGTTGTTGAATTTTCTATCCACTTACAGTTGCACCAACACTGAAGCTGTCGGAATCATTCTCTGACAAAGTCATCATGAAAGCAGGAGAGGCGGCCGTCTTCGAAATACCATTCGTCGCCAGTCCGAAACCGACAGTGACCTGGTCATGGAGGCCAAGAACACGTCCTGATGCGGAGTTGGGATCAGCTCAGACTCCACGATTTAAGGCTGACGTGGTGTCCGGACTGACATCACTTCCAGTGAGTAAGGTGAAGCGTGAAGATGCTGGTGAGTACAGTGTGGTCATCAGTAATGAATTGGGCGAGGTGACAGTGAGCATTGAGTTGATTGTATTGGACAAACCATCTGTACCTCGCAATTTAGTTGCGAGTGATAACACTGGTGAGAGTGTTTTGTTCAGTTGGACGGAACCAGAATTCCTCGGTCTTCATCCTGATGTAGGAGTTAGTGATGGATTGAGTTACGTTGTCGAGATGCGTGAGTCAAATCAACGTGCGAGTAGGTCGGTGACAGTGACGAGTGAATTGAATACTCTTATAGACAAATTGCAAGTAAACAAGTCGTATGTGTTTAGTGTTGCAGCTAAAAATGATGTCGGTCAGTCGGAATTCGCTGAAACGAGTCCAGTTTCGACGAAGTTGGAATATGGTAAGTTTGTGTTTGTATTGTATAGTTTTGTTTATGATTGAATTTTCGAGGCTATTGACCTTGTCGGCAAAGCATGTTGTTACTCGGTAGATCTCAACAAAAGTGATTGGATAAGGCTTTCCAACTGACAATGCTTGAATTTACCTTTCAACTGATTTTGAAGTTTTTTCAACCGGACACAAGGAAAATGAAATTCCTCGTTCACCTCTGCTCTGAATGTGAACTGAATTGAGTAGCGACAATTATTGAGTCGACCCAAAATCTCATTGAGGTCCATTGATTTCCGGTTAGGAAAAATGTCAGACGGTTCCTCACAGAGATCTATGTATGAATTTAGAGTTGCTTAAGTCGTTCAACTGTCTATGCTGAGGTACGCTAAACACAATGTTGTCGAGCTGAGTATGAGTATGAGACTATTGGAACGTCTGTTTAGCGTTTAGACAGCTCTGGTCTCACCAAAAATCTATTACAAGTTTCATGGTGTACATTCAGCTACTCACATAGATCAACATTCCAACAACACAGGCATGTTGAAAACACGTAGATTTGTTGGTGATTTTATTTAATGTTGTCGATGATGCATAGACTCAATTCGTCTATGTGCATTAAATGTTCTAGCACGCGAGCAGTTTGTCACTCTTCACTCTGTTTTGTCTCAATTGTAAACTTTAGAGTATGATCTGCAAACTGTGGTTGAGTGATTCGATGCAAAAATTTCTTAATTGTATTTAATGCTGGTGAGTTTGTTTCATCCAAAGGATAGTCGCTGAACTCCTTGTCAATAAATTCATATTGTTGATGTCGGAGAGATGAAAAATCTCCAATGCGTTCGGAAACACCTTTCAGTTTGAGCGATTGAGAAGCTTGTGGATGTGTAGACAACCCGATAAAACCCATCTGAAAGCAGGGTATCGGTCAAACACTGTCACTATCTAAGGAGTCTGACTTAATAGTTTGTTGATGACTACAGTGTAGATTTTTCTGTCTCTAGTTCTGTAGGTGAACTTCTGATAACATCTACTGTATGAATCCATGATGTGGACTAGTTGGAATGTTATTCTACCGTTCTTTGTTCCAGTAGTGCTCTGTGCATCGTGACTGTATAATGGATTATTTATTAGTTTTAGTTAAGCTATTTGTGCATTGTGGATTGTTTTGACCACCTACTGGAGTATGTTGACTGACATCATTCAACTGTAGGAACGCCGACGAGATTGTGCAGGTACATTTTAATTGTGGTCCTTTGTTTGACCCTATTTGCATTTCGTGAAGCACATGGGAAATGTGATGCATCACTCATTCAACCTCTGTTTCACGATTCGATTAAGAGTTAGTGAATACTCATAAGAAATAACGGCATTGAACCACGATTTATGTGTTCAACTGAACACAAAATGAGCCGTTGGCTCGACCGAGATCTTACGTATTGTCGATCGTGTTTTAAATGCCTTGTTACAGATATGTGTATAACATTGTCACTGATTATCTAACAGTGTGAGTTACATTTTGAATGTAATTTGAATGCTTTCTGAAACCACTAGGTCCACCATCGAGTCCAGTCAATGTGAAGGCAGTCGTCAATCCACCGAAGGCGTCTATCAAAGATCAAACGATAGAATTGACGTGGGAACAACCAACCGACCAAGTGTCTGCCAGTGGACCGGTCACAAACTTCTACATCGAATTGAAGCCTGAAGATTCAACTCGATGGCAGGACGTGAGTGCCGACTTCACAATCACTGAACCACACTTCACACTTCCTACTGATAAATTGCAAGAGTTTGTGAGTTATGAGTTCCGTGTAACATCAGAGAATAAAGCTGGCAAGAGTAAACCTTCTTCGCCATCGAACGCTGTTCAACTAGGTAAGTGATAACACTTGTTTCAGAGTTGTATGCATGTGTGTGCAGGTGTCTGTGCGTCTATCTATATGCAGCGAATTCCAAGTGATTTCGATTTAATCTGTCTATTGGCCACGATGAATGTATCCAAATCAGGTGGAATTGAGTTGGAGAGTAGGATGGACTAAGTCCTTACGAGAAACTTGTACTAGTGTGATCATTGCATGTCGCCTATTAGATTGACCTGTAAGAATGATCGGTCAGTAGTAATAGATGATTGATGTTGCATAGACTGAAGCAGCAGTTCATGCAGCTGTGCGTCCAGTTGAAGAATGTGATTGTGGGAACTAACTACTGAACGTCCTAGGTTACTTCGTTTTTCCAACTGACTGATTACCAACCAAAGATAAATGGTAGATCATCTGGCAAATATATCAGTGGTCTTTATGACGAACGAGATAATGAGTGGTTTCAGGTGGCATTGATGTTTCTAATTTTCAATTGTACATGAATATCGTTAATTTGCACATTATCAAATTCGAATAATGGGCGTTTGGGAGCTGTGATAGTCATTGAGTTTGAGATTTATTTATTATTCTGTAATGTAGAAGTGGTTCTGGATGAATGTATCAGTGTGGAATCTACCCATGTCAATGTTTGCTACTCACCGAATCACTGAAAGATGTGGAAAATGATCTCAGAGTATCACACTTTATTGGTATTTTGAAGTGAAGCCATATTTTGATGCGGAATCTGAATGTCATGGGCAGAATATACCACTAGTGATGGATAGTTGAGAGACTCATTTGGATGTGCCTACTACCTTATTTAACAATCCATCTGTGTATTGAATCCATTTAGATTTGTGTAATAGACTACTGGAATGCTACATTCAAGCTTAATACTCACCAAATAGTATCATACCTAATTGATTTCAAGTCATTTCTATATTCGGTTTGTTTATTATTAATGTGATCACATTTCAAAACAAAACCAGTATCACTTTCATGAGTAGTAGCAAGCGCAAAATCTTCTTTTCCATATTCTAATAGAGTTGTTATTCATTTCATCTAGGTATACCGCTAGAATTTATTCGCCCACTGACGGATATAACTGTCAGCGCAGTGACAAATGAACCAGTCATACTTGAATGTCAACTATCTCGAACTCCACGTGAAAAGATCCAATGGTTTAAGGATGGAAAAGCACTACCCAGCAGACTGTCGAGTAGAATAAAAGTTGAAGAGTTGGAGAATGGAAAAGTTCACCGAATTATCTTCAGTCCATTGACAGAGGAAGATCTAGGTGTTTATTCTGTGAAAGTAGAGAATTTGACAAGTGAAGCACGAGTGGATATGAAGAGTGAGTTATTAATTACTGTTAATAAAGCTCATACGGAGTCTCGATTTTATTATTCTTTATTTTATTTCTCAACTGAAGTTATATTTAACTATTAAAGACCCACTTTTATTTGGTATATTTAAATTTTCTTAACAGAAACAAAATAATTGTCTTCTAGAGTGCCTCCTTTCTTCTTATGTTTGAAATTATTGTAAGTAGTAACGCTAATAATACATGTTGAATATTGGAATGAAAAAAGTTGTTGAATTTTCTATCCACTTACAGTTGCACCAACACTGAAGCTGTCGGAATCATTCTCTGACAAAGTCATCATGAAAGCAGGAGAGGCGGCCGTCTTCGAAATACCATTCGTCGCCAGTCCGAAACCGACAGTGACCTGGTCATGGAGGCCAAGAACACGTCCTGATGCGGAGTTGGGATCAGCTCAGACTCCACGATTTAAGGCTGACGTGGTGTCCGGACTGACATCACTTCCAGTGAGTAAGGTGAAGCGTGAAGATGCTGGTGAGTACAGTGTGGTCATCAGTAATGAATTGGGCGAGGTGACAGTGAGCATTGAGTTGATTGTATTGGACAAACCATCTGTACCTCGCAATTTAGTTGCGAGTGATAACACTGGTGAGAGTGTTTTGTTCAGTTGGACGGAACCAGAATTCCTCGGTCTTCATCCTGATGTAGGAGTTAGTGATGGATTGAGTTACGTTGTCGAGATGCGTGAGTCAAATCAACGTGCGAGTAGGTCGGTGACAGTGACGAGTGAATTGAATACTCTTATAGACAAATTGCAAGTAAACAAGTCGTATGTGTTTAGTGTTGCAGCTAAAAATGATGTCGGTCAGTCGGAATTCGCTGAAACGAGTCCAGTTTCGACGAAGTTGGAATATGGTAAGTTTGTGTTTGTATTGTATAGTTTTGTTTATGATTGAATTTTCGAGGCTATTGACCTTGTCGGCAAAGCATGTTGTTACTCGGTAGATCTCAACAAAAGTGATTGGATAAGGCTTTCCAACTGACAATGCTTGAATTTACCTTTCAACTGATTTTGAAGTTTTTTCAACCGGACACAAGGAAAATGAAATTCCTCGTTCACCTCTGCTCTGAATGTGAACTGAATTGAGTAGCGACAATTATTGAGTCGACCCAAAATCTCATTGAGGTCCATTGATTTCCGGTTAGGAAAAATGTCAGACGGTTCCTCACAGAGATCTATGTATGAATTTAGAGTTGCTTAAGTCGTTCAACTGTCTATGCTGAGGTACGCTAAACACAATGTTGTCGAGCTGAGTATGAGTATGAGACTATTGGAACGTCTGTTTAGCGTTTAGACAGCTCTGGTCTCACCAAAAATCTATTACAAGTTTCATGGTGTACATTCAGCTACTCACATAGATCAACATTCCAACAACACAGGCATGTTGAAAACACGTAGATTTGTTGGTGATTTTATTTAATGTTGTCGATGATGCATAGACTCAATTCGTCTATGTGCATTAAATGTTCTAGCACGCGAGCAGTTTGTCACTCTTCACTCTGTTTTGTCTCAATTGTAAACTTTAGAGTATGATCTGCAAACTGTGGTTGAGTGATTCGATGCAAAAATTTCTTAATTGTATTTAATGCTGGTGAGTTTGTTTCATCCAAAGGATAGTCGCTGAACTCCTTGTCAATAAATTCATATTGTTGATGTCGGAGAGATGAAAAATCTCCAATGCGTTCGGAAACACCTTTCAGTTTGAGCGATTGAGAAGCTTGTGGATGTGTAGACAACCCGATAAAACCCATCTGAAAGCAGGGTATCGGTCAAACACTGTCACTATCTAAGGAGTCTGACTTAATAGTTTGTTGATGACTACAGTGTAGATTTTTCTGTCTCTAGTTCTGTAGGTGAACTTCTGATAACATCTACTGTATGAATCCATGATGTGGACTAGTTGGAATGTTATTCTACCGTTCTTTGTTCCAGTAGTGCTCTGTGCATCGTGACTGTATAATGGATTATTTATTAGTTTTAGTTAAGCTATTTGTGCATTGTGGATTGTTTTGACCACCTACTGGAGTATGTTGACTGACATCATTCAACTGTAGGAACGCCGACGAGATTGTGCAGGTACATTTTAATTGTGGTCCTTTGTTTGACCCTATTTGCATTTCGTGAAGCACATGGGAAATGTGATGCATCACTCATTCAACCTCTGTTTCACGATTCGATTAAGAGTTAGTGAATACTCATAAGAAATAACGGCATTGAACCACGATTTATGTGTTCAACTGAACACAAAATGAGCCGTTGGCTCGACCGAGATCTTACGTATTGTCGATCGTGTTTTAAATGCCTTGTTACAGATATGTGTATAACATTGTCACTGATTATCTAACAGTGTGAGTTACATTTTGAATGTAATTTGAATGCTTTCTGAAACCACTAGGTCCACCATCGAGTCCAGTCAATGTGAAGGCAGTCGTCAATCCACCGAAGGCGTCTATCAAAGATCAAACGATAGAATTGACGTGGGAACAACCAACCGACCAAGTGTCTGCCAGTGGACCGGTCACAAACTTCTACATCGAATTGAAGCCTGAAGATTCAACTCGATGGCAGGACGTGAGTGCCGACTTCACAATCACTGAACCACACTTCACACTTCCTACTGATAAATTGCAAGAGTTTGTGAGTTATGAGTTCCGTGTAACATCAGAGAATAAAGCTGGCAAGAGTAAACCTTCTTCGCCATCGAACGCTGTTCAACTAGGTAAGTGATAACACTTGTTTCAGAGTTGTATGCATGTGTGTGCAGGTGTCTGTGCGTCTATCTATATGCAGCGAATTCCAAGTGATTTCGATTTAATCTGTCTATTGGCCACGATGAATGTATCCAAATCAGGTGGAATTGAGTTGGAGAGTAGGATGGACTAAGTCCTTACGAGAAACTTGTACTAGTGTGATCATTGCATGTCGCCTATTAGATTGACCTGTAAGAATGATCGGTCAGTAGTAATAGATGATTGATGTTGCATAGACTGAAGCAGCAGTTCATGCAGCTGTGCGTCCAGTTGAAGAATGTGATTGTGGGAACTAACTACTGAACGTCCTAGGTTACTTCGTTTTTCCAACTGACTGATTACCAACCAAAGATAAATGGTAGATCATCTGGCAAATATATCAGTGGTCTTTATGACGAACGAGATAATGAGTGGTTTCAGGTGGCATTGATGTTTCTAATTTTCAATTGTACATGAATATCGTTAATTTGCACATTATCAAATTCGAATAATGGGCGTTTGGGAGCTGTGATAGTCATTGAGTTTGAGATTTATTTATTATTCTGTAATGTAGAAGTGGTTCTGGATGAATGTATCAGTGTGGAATCTACCCATGTCAATGTTTGCTACTCACCGAATCACTGAAAGATGTGGAAAATGATCTCAGAGTATCACACTTTATTGGTATTTTGAAGTGAAGCCATATTTTGATGCGGAATCTGAATGTCATGGGCAGAATATACCACTAGTGATGGATAGTTGAGAGACTCATTTGGATGTGCCTACTACCTTATTTAACAATCCATCTGTGTATTGAATCCATTTAGATTTGTGTAATAGACTACTGGAATGCTACATTCAAGCTTAATACTCACCAAATAGTATCATACCTAATTGATTTCAAGTCATTTCTATATTCGGTTTGTTTATTATTAATGTGATCACATTTCAAAACAAAACCAGTATCACTTTCATGAGTAGTAGCAAGCGCAAAATCTTCTTTTCCATATTCTAATAGAGTTGTTATTCATTTCATCTAGGTATACCGCTAGAATTTATTCGCCCACTGACGGATATAACTGTCAGCGCAGTGACAAATGAACCAGTCATACTTGAATGTCAACTATCTCGAACTCCACGTGAAAAGATCCAATGGTTTAAGGATGGAAAAGCACTACCCAGCAGACTGTCGAGTAGAATAAAAGTTGAAGAGTTGGAGAATGGAAAAGTTCACCGAATTATCTTCAGTCCATTGACAGAGGAAGATCTAGGTGTTTATTCTGTGAAAGTAGAGAATTTGACAAGTGAAGCACGAGTGGATATGAAGAGTGAGTTATTAATTACTGTTAATAAAGCTCATACGGAGTCTCGATTTTATTATTCTTTATTTTATTTCTCAACTGAAGTTATATTTAACTATTAAAGACCCACTTTTATTTGGTATATTTAAATTTTCTTAACAGAAACAAAATAATTGTCTTCTAGAGTGCCTCCTTTCTTCTTATGTTTGAAATTATTGTAAGTAGTAACGCTAATAATACATGTTGAATATTGGAATGAAAAAAGTTGTTGAATTTTCTATCCACTTACAGTTGCACCAACACTGAAGCTGTCGGAATCATTCTCTGACAAAGTCATCATGAAAGCAGGAGAGGCGGCCGTCTTCGAAATACCATTCGTCGCCAGTCCGAAACCGACAGTGACCTGGTCATGGAGGCCAAGAACACGTCCTGATGCGGAGTTGGGATCAGCTCAGACTCCACGATTTAAGGCTGACGTGGTGTCCGGACTGACATCACTTCCAGTGAGTAAGGTGAAGCGTGAAGATGCTGGTGAGTACAGTGTGGTCATCAGTAATGAATTGGGCGAGGTGACAGTGAGCATTGAGTTGATTGTATTGGACAAACCATCTGTACCTCGCAATTTAGTTGCGAGTGATAACACTGGTGAGAGTGTTTTGTTCAGTTGGACGGAACCAGAATTCCTCGGTCTTCATCCTGATGTAGGAGTTAGTGATGGATTGAGTTACGTTGTCGAGATGCGTGAGTCAAATCAACGTGCGAGTAGGTCGGTGACAGTGACGAGTGAATTGAATACTCTTATAGACAAATTGCAAGTAAACAAGTCGTATGTGTTTAGTGTTGCAGCTAAAAATGATGTCGGTCAGTCGGAATTCGCTGAAACGAGTCCAGTTTCGACGAAGTTGGAATATGGTAAGTTTGTGTTTGTATTGTATAGTTTTGTTTATGATTGAATTTTCGAGGCTATTGACCTTGTCGGCAAAGCATGTTGTTACTCGGTAGATCTCAACAAAAGTGATTGGATAAGGCTTTCCAACTGACAATGCTTGAATTTACCTTTCAACTGATTTTGAAGTTTTTTCAACCGGACACAAGGAAAATGAAATTCCTCGTTCACCTCTGCTCTGAATGTGAACTGAATTGAGTAGCGACAATTATTGAGTCGACCCAAAATCTCATTGAGGTCCATTGATTTCCGGTTAGGAAAAATGTCAGACGGTTCCTCACAGAGATCTATGTATGAATTTAGAGTTGCTTAAGTCGTTCAACTGTCTATGCTGAGGTACGCTAAACACAATGTTGTCGAGCTGAGTATGAGTATGAGACTATTGGAACGTCTGTTTAGCGTTTAGACAGCTCTGGTCTCACCAAAAATCTATTACAAGTTTCATGGTGTACATTCAGCTACTCACATAGATCAACATTCCAACAACACAGGCATGTTGAAAACACGTAGATTTGTTGGTGATTTTATTTAATGTTGTCGATGATGCATAGACTCAATTCGTCTATGTGCATTAAATGTTCTAGCACGCGAGCAGTTTGTCACTCTTCACTCTGTTTTGTCTCAATTGTAAACTTTAGAGTATGATCTGCAAACTGTGGTTGAGTGATTCGATGCAAAAATTTCTTAATTGTATTTAATGCTGGTGAGTTTGTTTCATCCAAAGGATAGTCGCTGAACTCCTTGTCAATAAATTCATATTGTTGATGTCGGAGAGATGAAAAATCTCCAATGCGTTCGGAAACACCTTTCAGTTTGAGCGATTGAGAAGCTTGTGGATGTGTAGACAACCCGATAAAACCCATCTGAAAGCAGGGTATCGGTCAAACACTGTCACTATCTAAGGAGTCTGACTTAATAGTTTGTTGATGACTACAGTGTAGATTTTTCTGTCTCTAGTTCTGTAGGTGAACTTCTGATAACATCTACTGTATGAATCCATGATGTGGACTAGTTGGAATGTTATTCTACCGTTCTTTGTTCCAGTAGTGCTCTGTGCATCGTGACTGTATAATGGATTATTTATTAGTTTTAGTTAAGCTATTTGTGCATTGTGGATTGTTTTGACCACCTACTGGAGTATGTTGACTGACATCATTCAACTGTAGGAACGCCGACGAGATTGTGCAGGTACATTTTAATTGTGGTCCTTTGTTTGACCCTATTTGCATTTCGTGAAGCACATGGGAAATGTGATGCATCACTCATTCAACCTCTGTTTCACGATTCGATTAAGAGTTAGTGAATACTCATAAGAAATAACGGCATTGAACCACGATTTATGTGTTCAACTGAACACAAAATGAGCCGTTGGCTCGACCGAGATCTTACGTATTGTCGATCGTGTTTTAAATGCCTTGTTACAGATATGTGTATAACATTGTCACTGATTATCTAACAGTGTGAGTTACATTTTGAATGTAATTTGAATGCTTTCTGAAACCACTAGGTCCACCATCGAGTCCAGTCAATGTGAAGGCAGTCGTCAATCCACCGAAGGCGTCTATCAAAGATCAAACGATAGAATTGACGTGGGAACAACCAACCGACCAAGTGTCTGCCAGTGGACCGGTCACAAACTTCTACATCGAATTGAAGCCTGAAGATTCAACTCGATGGCAGGACGTGAGTGCCGACTTCACAATCACTGAACCACACTTCACACTTCCTACTGATAAATTGCAAGAGTTTGTGAGTTATGAGTTCCGTGTAACATCAGAGAATAAAGCTGGCAAGAGTAAACCTTCTTCGCCATCGAACGCTGTTCAACTAGGTAAGTGATAACACTTGTTTCAGAGTTGTATGCATGTGTGTGCAGGTGTCTGTGCGTCTATCTATATGCAGCGAATTCCAAGTGATTTCGATTTAATCTGTCTATTGGCCACGATGAATGTATCCAAATCAGGTGGAATTGAGTTGGAGAGTAGGATGGACTAAGTCCTTACGAGAAACTTGTACTAGTGTGATCATTGCATGTCGCCTATTAGATTGACCTGTAAGAATGATCGGTCAGTAGTAATAGATGATTGATGTTGCATAGACTGAAGCAGCAGTTCATGCAGCTGTGCGTCCAGTTGAAGAATGTGATTGTGGGAACTAACTACTGAACGTCCTAGGTTACTTCGTTTTTCCAACTGACTGATTACCAACCAAAGATAAATGGTAGATCATCTGGCAAATATATCAGTGGTCTTTATGACGAACGAGATAATGAGTGGTTTCAGGTGGCATTGATGTTTCTAATTTTCAATTGTACATGAATATCGTTAATTTGCACATTATCAAATTCGAATAATGGGCGTTTGGGAGCTGTGATAGTCATTGAGTTTGAGATTTATTTATTATTCTGTAATGTAGAAGTGGTTCTGGATGAATGTATCAGTGTGGAATCTACCCATGTCAATGTTTGCTACTCACCGAATCACTGAAAGATGTGGAAAATGATCTCAGAGTATCACACTTTATTGGTATTTTGAAGTGAAGCCATATTTTGATGCGGAATCTGAATGTCATGGGCAGAATATACCACTAGTGATGGATAGTTGAGAGACTCATTTGGATGTGCCTACTACCTTATTTAACAATCCATCTGTGTATTGAATCCATTTAGATTTGTGTAATAGACTACTGGAATGCTACATTCAAGCTTAATACTCACCAAATAGTATCATACCTAATTGATTTCAAGTCATTTCTATATTCGGTTTGTTTATTATTAATGTGATCACATTTCAAAACAAAACCAGTATCACTTTCATGAGTAGTAGCAAGCGCAAAATCTTCTTTTCCATATTCTAATAGAGTTGTTATTCATTTCATCTAGGTATACCGCTAGAATTTATTCGCCCACTGACGGATATAACTGTCAGCGCAGTGACAAATGAACCAGTCATACTTGAATGTCAACTATCTCGAACTCCACGTGAAAAGATCCAATGGTTTAAGGATGGAAAAGCACTACCCAGCAGACTGTCGAGTAGAATAAAAGTTGAAGAGTTGGAGAATGGAAAAGTTCACCGAATTATCTTCAGTCCATTGACAGAGGAAGATCTAGGTGTTTATTCTGTGAAAGTAGAGAATTTGACAAGTGAAGCACGAGTGGATATGAAGAGTGAGTTATTAATTACTGTTAATAAAGCTCATACGGAGTCTCGATTTTATTATTCTTTATTTTATTTCTCAACTGAAGTTATATTTAACTATTAAAGACCCACTTTTATTTGGTATATTTAAATTTTCTTAACAGAAACAAAATAATTGTCTTCTAGAGTGCCTCCTTTCTTCTTATGTTTGAAATTATTGTAAGTAGTAACGCTAATAATACATGTTGAATATTGGAATGAAAAAAGTTGTTGAATTTTCTATCCACTTACAGTTGCACCAACACTGAAGCTGTCGGAATCATTCTCTGACAAAGTCATCATGAAAGCAGGAGAGGCGGCCGTCTTCGAAATACCATTCGTCGCCAGTCCGAAACCGACAGTGACCTGGTCATGGAGGCCAAGAACACGTCCTGATGCGGAGTTGGGATCAGCTCAGACTCCACGATTTAAGGCTGACGTGGTGTCCGGACTGACATCACTTCCAGTGAGTAAGGTGAAGCGTGAAGATGCTGGTGAGTACAGTGTGGTCATCAGTAATGAATTGGGCGAGGTGACAGTGAGCATTGAGTTGATTGTATTGGACAAACCATCTGTACCTCGCAATTTAGTTGCGAGTGATAACACTGGTGAGAGTGTTTTGTTCAGTTGGACGGAACCAGAATTCCTCGGTCTTCATCCTGATGTAGGAGTTAGTGATGGATTGAGTTACGTTGTCGAGATGCGTGAGTCAAATCAACGTGCGAGTAGGTCGGTGACAGTGACGAGTGAATTGAATACTCTTATAGACAAATTGCAAGTAAACAAGTCGTATGTGTTTAGTGTTGCAGCTAAAAATGATGTCGGTCAGTCGGAATTCGCTGAAACGAGTCCAGTTTCGACGAAGTTGGAATATGGTAAGTTTGTGTTTGTATTGTATAGTTTTGTTTATGATTGAATTTTCGAGGCTATTGACCTTGTCGGCAAAGCATGTTGTTACTCGGTAGATCTCAACAAAAGTGATTGGATAAGGCTTTCCAACTGACAATGCTTGAATTTACCTTTCAACTGATTTTGAAGTTTTTTCAACCGGACACAAGGAAAATGAAATTCCTCGTTCACCTCTGCTCTGAATGTGAACTGAATTGAGTAGCGACAATTATTGAGTCGACCCAAAATCTCATTGAGGTCCATTGATTTCCGGTTAGGAAAAATGTCAGACGGTTCCTCACAGAGATCTATGTATGAATTTAGAGTTGCTTAAGTCGTTCAACTGTCTATGCTGAGGTACGCTAAACACAATGTTGTCGAGCTGAGTATGAGTATGAGACTATTGGAACGTCTGTTTAGCGTTTAGACAGCTCTGGTCTCACCAAAAATCTATTACAAGTTTCATGGTGTACATTCAGCTACTCACATAGATCAACATTCCAACAACACAGGCATGTTGAAAACACGTAGATTTGTTGGTGATTTTATTTAATGTTGTCGATGATGCATAGACTCAATTCGTCTATGTGCATTAAATGTTCTAGCACGCGAGCAGTTTGTCACTCTTCACTCTGTTTTGTCTCAATTGTAAACTTTAGAGTATGATCTGCAAACTGTGGTTGAGTGATTCGATGCAAAAATTTCTTAATTGTATTTAATGCTGGTGAGTTTGTTTCATCCAAAGGATAGTCGCTGAACTCCTTGTCAATAAATTCATATTGTTGATGTCGGAGAGATGAAAAATCTCCAATGCGTTCGGAAACACCTTTCAGTTTGAGCGATTGAGAAGCTTGTGGATGTGTAGACAACCCGATAAAACCCATCTGAAAGCAGGGTATCGGTCAAACACTGTCACTATCTAAGGAGTCTGACTTAATAGTTTGTTGATGACTACAGTGTAGATTTTTCTGTCTCTAGTTCTGTAGGTGAACTTCTGATAACATCTACTGTATGAATCCATGATGTGGACTAGTTGGAATGTTATTCTACCGTTCTTTGTTCCAGTAGTGCTCTGTGCATCGTGACTGTATAATGGATTATTTATTAGTTTTAGTTAAGCTATTTGTGCATTGTGGATTGTTTTGACCACCTACTGGAGTATGTTGACTGACATCATTCAACTGTAGGAACGCCGACGAGATTGTGCAGGTACATTTTAATTGTGGTCCTTTGTTTGACCCTATTTGCATTTCGTGAAGCACATGGGAAATGTGATGCATCACTCATTCAACCTCTGTTTCACGATTCGATTAAGAGTTAGTGAATACTCATAAGAAATAACGGCATTGAACCACGATTTATGTGTTCAACTGAACACAAAATGAGCCGTTGGCTCGACCGAGATCTTACGTATTGTCGATCGTGTTTTAAATGCCTTGTTACAGATATGTGTATAACATTGTCACTGATTATCTAACAGTGTGAGTTACATTTTGAATGTAATTTGAATGCTTTCTGAAACCACTAGGTCCACCATCGAGTCCAGTCAATGTGAAGGCAGTCGTCAATCCACCGAAGGCGTCTATCAAAGATCAAACGATAGAATTGACGTGGGAACAACCAACCGACCAAGTGTCTGCCAGTGGACCGGTCACAAACTTCTACATCGAATTGAAGCCTGAAGATTCAACTCGATGGCAGGACGTGAGTGCCGACTTCACAATCACTGAACCACACTTCACACTTCCTACTGATAAATTGCAAGAGTTTGTGAGTTATGAGTTCCGTGTAACATCAGAGAATAAAGCTGGCAAGAGTAAACCTTCTTCGCCATCGAACGCTGTTCAACTAGGTAAGTGATAACACTTGTTTCAGAGTTGTATGCATGTGTGTGCAGGTGTCTGTGCGTCTATCTATATGCAGCGAATTCCAAGTGATTTCGATTTAATCTGTCTATTGGCCACGATGAATGTATCCAAATCAGGTGGAATTGAGTTGGAGAGTAGGATGGACTAAGTCCTTACGAGAAACTTGTACTAGTGTGATCATTGCATGTCGCCTATTAGATTGACCTGTAAGAATGATCGGTCAGTAGTAATAGATGATTGATGTTGCATAGACTGAAGCAGCAGTTCATGCAGCTGTGCGTCCAGTTGAAGAATGTGATTGTAGGTACTAACTGCTGGACGTTTTGCTTTCTTCCTATTTTATGTTCCTTCCGTTCTTTTTGTTGTCTCTTTTTGAGTGTATCTTCCTCGGATTGTTGATATTTCATTAGTTGACATTACATTTATTCCAATATAATCGTCACAGCATGCTTTGCGCGTAACCAAACTGTTATTAATATCGTCAAAATTCTAATGTTTATCCATTACATATCATAGCAATATTTTTAAATTTTATGACTTTCGCGTTGCCGAGTTTTTGTCTGGTCTCAGTAACGAAATGGATAACATTTTGGCTCTTGAAAATTAGAACTAGGTTTTATTTACGTCAAACTTTCAAGTTCTACGTAGTACGAAATACTCGTCCTAGGTTTTACTTCTATCTGCGATTCATTTTCACAGTATACACAATTTATTTGACAAATCTTTACGAATTTTTTTCAAAATAGAGGTGGACTGATTTAAGCTGAAAATTGTCGATGATTTTAGTAGTTATTTTAATTGATGTCTATATTTGTTGTGCTAATACATATTTTAGAAAGAGCAACAGAGGAGACTTTAGAAAAAAAAAGACTTTTGTAAATCAAAGCATTATGTCATAATTGGTGTTTTATTAAAATATAAATTTTATTAGCTGATTAACAGTCAAATAAGAAATAAGTAATATGAAACTGAAATTCAGGTCCTGAAAATGGATGGATGACATCAAATTGAGAGTGATTGATGTGTCTTTCATCTGATATAAAGTAGTTTCTGATCTCATTGAAATCCTGAACGGATTTAAGTAAAGCAACCACTGAAAACATGTAAGCACTGGATAGTCGTTTGACCTTAATGTAGGACTCCACGGCAATGTATATACTCAACCCCAGATGCACGAACTCTAAAACTTCCTGCATGCGCGGTCGTGGATGTGCACTGTTTATAAGCCCTATACTAAAGTTAAACGACCGTCTAGTGCTTCCAAGTTTTCAGTGGTTGTTTAACTTAAAACGGCTCAACAGTCTTCACAACCCTATACTTACAACTTCTGATCTATTTATTGCCACCGCCTCAGCAAAGCATAGTCTATTAGAAACCTTACATTGTTTTAATATCTTAAAGAATTTTAAAGAGTTTCGATTGTGTCCATTTTCAAGCAGATGATAAGCAATTGTACTGCTGAAAATGTCCTATCGTTTCAGCCGAAACGTTTTTGGAATATGCTCAGAAGTTCAGACACTAGCCCACCTATTTTGTTCTTCCAATGCATGTGTTTTTTGCATTTACGAGTCATGTTTATCACTATGAGATACTATATAAAGTTCCTGAAGAACAAAATCCCGAGCCTCATTCATTTCAGTCACTTAATCGTCTAGTGACTATTCAATGCAAAATATTTAGAGAACTAACTGGAATAAGAATTCTGGAACAACGTTATGCCGCCTACTTCTCTCCATGTTAACTTATAATATTAGCTCCTTCCTAAAACATGTTTAAATAACGGAAGCGTTGTATTTTGAATGAAGAAATGCTTCAAGGTAAACTAATAGAATAATTTGTTAAGATTCACAGAGCTTTTCGGATACTATTAAATTATAAAAATTGACAAAATTGTTTATTCCTATGATTTATTCTAACTTTCATGAAGTGAGCACTTTAATTAGTATAGTTTGCCCAGATCATTTTACAATACAGACAGGAAATAACAGTAATGGCATTGAAAACGAAAGGAAATGAGACATATTTTTACCCGGCCGTCTGTAACCGCGACTTTATATGTTAAAATGTATGTGTAACTATAAATATAACTTTAAAAATAAAAGTTATCCGACAACAATAAATATGTGGGTTACCATGAAATAATTATGAAATAATTTACAGAATATATCTTTGAATAACAGTTAAGAATCGAATATTTAAGTGGTTGAGATGATGAATCAATTGAAGCTAGACCACCATGGAAGACCTGAAAGTACTGGATCGCCGTTTCGTGCTACTGTGGGACTCCTCAGCAGTGCCCATCTGCGATCCCGAACGCGTGATGAGAACCCAGGACCTATCGGTCTCGAGCGTGAACAATTAACCTCCACAAAACTGAACCAGCCGGCATGCAACGGTGTTAATGTTTAACTTCAAATAAATTGAGCGACACATCCACCGTTGTCATCAGTTACTATCTCACAACAGACCTGGTTGAACTCCACTGATCACTGCTTTTCACTAGAACCTAGGAAATACTTCTTGGATATTTACTGCAGAACCACAAATACTCTTTCATCGAACTTCATTTCAAGAGGTATAATATGATACTCATCATTGATTGAAAATGAAAAATAAACACAAATCACTAACACTCTATACCTCTTAATTTCTCTCATTTTTCAGGCGTTCCACTCGAATTTATACGACCACTAACTGACTTGACTGTTGACAAAGTAACCAATGAACCAGTCATCCTTGAATGTGAACTATCTCGTACTCCTCGTGATAAAGTACAATGGTTGAAGGATGGGAAACCTATTGGTCGTCTACCAGACTGTGTGACAATTGAGGAGTTGGAGAATGGAAAAATCCTTCGTGTGAAGTTCACTTCATTAATGGATGATGATTTGGGTGTATATAGTTTACGTGTTGAGAAGTTATCTAGTGAATGTCGACTAGATATGAAGGGTATGTCCATAAATTTCGTGTGAATTTTTTTTATTTTGTTGTGAACTCCTTTATGAGTTACATATTAGTGCTCAGAGTAAAAAACTACATTTTCGATCAAAAGTTATACCAATCAAATTCAAGTCATGTGTGCTATAAATTTTACTCTTATTACTACTTTTATTACACTAGCATTGATTACTGCTTATGGCTAATTATCATATGTCTACACAGTACTCTTACTCGTGCCTAACCTACCAGTCAGGCTGCCTGAAAATTCAGATAAGTTAGTCAAACCATATCACACCATTTATTCAAACTCAAAAACTCGCTTAATTATATATATAATCGATTTGTTATACTAGAGGCGCTTTTGCATTCAAAGCACCATTCACTACTATTCGAAAACTCTATCTCTTCAAACCCCTTTCCTAGACTGTCATATTTTATCTCTAAGATTATGATATTGCTTTTAATCACATATCCTGAACATAAGGGTACATATTGAAGAAACAGATTTTAATAATTTTCTGCTTTACCTAGAATGATAAATGAAGTAAATATCTTCAAAATAACATTTTTCATACTAATATTGAAGTTGATTAGATGACAGTATAATCTTCTAATTGTAGACCATAATACTCAACGTCCCACTTCAAAGAGTTAAAATAAAATTGTTTAATAGACTAAAAAACTCTGCTTGTAAAAAATACATGAAGCATGGTTTATTCAAACACATTCACTTTATGAATCATGCAATCGTAAATCCAAAACCTTGAAATCAAACATTGAATGACATGCATCTTGTTAACTAACTGAAAGACATCTTAATGCTTAAATTACTTTTAAAACTGGTACATAAGTACTCATATGCTCTATGTACACTTACAGTACCGCCAACATTGAGATTATCCGATTCGTTCTCCGATCGAGTGATCATCAAGGCTGGAGGTGCTATGGTGTTCGAAATACCATTCACTGCCAGTCCTAAACCAAAAGTCGAATGGACATGGAGACAGCGAAGTCGACCAGATGGTGAATTGGGACCGGTACAAAGTCCACGATTCAAGGCTGACGTGGTGTCGGGATTGACGTCATTGCCTGTGAGTAAGGTGAAGCGTGAGGATGCCGGTGACTACACAGCGGTGATCAGTAACGAGTTGGGTGAAGTGTCTGTGACGATTCAGATGATTGTGATTGACAAGCCATCCGTACCTCGTGATCTGGAGGTGAGTGAGAACAGTGGTGAGAGTGTGTTGTTGAGTTGGAAGGAGCCCGAATTCGTTGGTTTGTCCACAACGACGACGACGGATGTGAGTGGTGCTGGTGGATTGTTGGAGTATGTGGTTGAGATGCGTGAGTCTAGTCAACGTGCTGGTCGTGGAGTGAGAAAAACGAGTGAATTGAGTGTGAGGATTGACGATCTTCAGATCAACAAGTCGTATGTGTTTAGTGTTGCAGCGAAGAATGATGTTGGTCAATCGGAGTTTGCAGAAACGAAACCAGTTTCAACTAAATTAGATTATGGTAAGTATATTTCTATTCAATTTTTTATTTTTTTTCCTTAGTTATTTCAAATTGTATATTCTAGATCATTTACAAATCAATATTACGACTACAACTGGTTATGAGTTGGATCACTAAAAATAAAATATTTCTTAATAAATGGTTCATGCTACTTAAGGTTGGTTAATCAAACACATTTTCAGTAGTTGTCATAAGGATAATTGGGAACCATCGTTTTTTTTTAGAACAAATACACATTTTTTTAAACCAATAGGTTTGATATTTTAGCCTTCGATCACTTCATGACTTAAATTCGCTAATATCTAATAGCTTATTTGATCACTTTTTTAGCCTACCTGGGTTAATCTTTTCATTCTCTATAAAATTAGTGTAGATGGGAAGTTATGAGAATAAATTAAAATATGCTTGCCAAGTAATAAATGACATTGATTTGGTTGTCTACATCAGGAAAATTTCAAGTGCTTTCTCATTGGATTAACAATATTCCAATAGATCACATCCTCTTATCAACAAACCTGTTACTGACAACAAGCTTATACAGCGTTCCACAAAGTCTTTAGAAATGTATATATATAGTATGTATTTGGTTACGCCACTAACAATAATAACACTAGCTCAACTACCGTACTTGCCAAAATTAATTCTCCACGCACATTTCACCCATTTCGATACCAATTATCAGAAAATTATAAAGAACAGCTTCATGAGTTTCCCAATTTCCTTTCCATTCCTCTTCTTGAGATTGTGAATTTATAACTCCTAGTTACCCTACTTCAGAATAAGTTGAGTAGATTCGAATACATGTTTGACTATCATACAGACCTCATTGATCATTAATCTTTGAAAGTGTTGAAGAACTACCTAAAGAACATAGAATAAAAGAATAAACACAGGAAAAAAGATTAACTCTAATCATTTCCCCATTGAATGCTAATGAGTCAAAGTTATTCACTAAATACTTTTAAACAACTGAAATAAAATATATGTATGACAAACAAGTACTGAATATTATGTTAATAAACTAAAATGAGTCACTGATGTGGATGTAATGTAGAATCGAAAAAGCAGTATCAGGAATCCAGTCAAGTTTCATTCTTCTTATGGCAAACATAAAACTGCGATCTATGTACAAAACAATTTTCACAAAATATGTATATCTAGAAATATGGTAGGAAGGATTATTATTGATTTGTATTCATTAGCTTGAATTTAAGCTTACAAAATCTCGGTATTTACAAAAACTCATCTTTAAAATGCAAGGTCCACCATCGAGTCCAGTCAATGTGAAGGCAGTCGTCAATCCACCGAAGGCGTCTATCAAAGATCAAACGATAGAATTGACGTGGGAACAACCAACCGACCAAGTGTCTGCCAGTGGACCGGTCACAAACTTCTACATCGAATTGAAGCCTGAAGATTCAACTCGATGGCAGGACGTGAGTGCCGACTTCACAATCACTGAACCACACTTCACACTTCCTACTGATAAATTGCAAGAGTTTGTGAGTTATGAGTTCCGTGTAACATCAGAGAATAAAGCTGGCAAGAGTAAACCTTCTTCACCATCAAATGCAATACGATTAGGTGAGTTCTATGTTTGAGTTTGTTGGGTTCTCTTCTTTAGTGTCTTTGTCTCTACCATATAAATAACTTTCCTATACATTATGAACTTCCTGTTTGTAAATCGATAAGCAAGTTGTTCTAACACCTGCTTCAGATCATGCGACAAGTGCATTTAATTTCCTAAAAATACTATATTTTATAACATTTCATAATGATCAAGTTGTGTCAATTGAATTGCAGTATGGATACTGGTTTTTGTAACCCAACACGGGATACTTTATTTCAAGATTTTAGGATGCCGGAGACAGTCAATGGAAATCTCTGATGTAAGTTTCAATAGAATTCGGTCAACCATATGGTTTGGACATATATTACATTGGTTACTATTCAGTAATCACTCAACTTTAAGTACATCGGTCCTACAGGACGTCAGTTTATTCCATAATAGCTCAATGATAACGATTCAAACTTCGACGTTGAACGAGGCCTAATCTAATCCCTTAGGAATCATCAGTTCCTTAAACATTACAGTTTTCTTTTGCTGACAAATACCAACTACCACAAAGCTCGCGCCAGATTACGTTTCTTGTCAAGTACTACCAAACACGTATAATCTCAGTTAACGTATCAGTAATATTTCAGTTCCACTTAATTTATCATTCATTATCAATAGACAATGAACCTTGATTGTCAAAATGATCTGTCATTCATCTAGATGTAATAAAAAATAACAGTAATGATGATCAGCTGTCTGGGATGATTAGAAATCATTTTACTACTGTATTTGTGAATAGCCTTTGTTCATTATAAACAGAGATGTATGGTGTCTAGCAGCGAAGTACAGGACGCGCGTTTCGCCGTACTCAGAAAACTTAAGCTGGATGTGCCTACCTCCTCATTCCGGGACTCGAACCCAGTATCTTTCGCTTCAACCGCCATCACGTTATCTATTTAGCAACTGAGTCTGATTACCTACTAGCATGTGCGATGGGGTAAAGTTTAATTTGTTTTTGTATTGGTTGTTTGAATCTTCCCGTAGATGTTTAGTAGTGCAATGGATCAATCTGTTATTGGCATATGTGCATCCTGTTTGGATTGCCTCGATATTCCTTTCAGTCACATATGACAATAAAAGACTGATCAACTGCAATCTTAAACATCTATGGGAAGTAGCAAACGTTCAATACAAAAATAAGTTTTTGTCCATGTTAGATACATTTGTGCAATGTTGCAATATCTACTTTACAAGCTGATATTTCATTCAGCTTTTTATTTACACAGAATGATTCATAAAAAGGTAAGTGTTCCACCTATATGTTAGAGACAAAATATTCAAAAGTTGAAAATTTACTATAGAACTCTACTAATAGTCATTTTAAGCATTAGTTTTATCATGAAATCCCTAAAATTCTGCTTAAATTCAACTCTACTTTTAACGGGATGTTATACAAACAAACTAACGGTGTAGCAATGGGATCCCCCGTGTCTCCGACTGTAGCTAACCAGTTTATGGCACATATTGAATCAAATATTTTCATCAACGACATTAAACCACGAATTTTGCTTAGATATGTAGATGATACCTTCGTTGTGATAAAAAAGACTCAGCTAAGATCTTTTTCGAAACGAATCAATAAACTTCCATCGAACATCAAATTTACGAACGAGAATGAAATCGAACATGGTGAGTTGCCATTTTTAGATTGCTAAGTGAAAAGAAATCAAAATGAAATCCTAAATCCATCCATCTACCGTAAACCTACACACTCTAATCGTTATATTGACTTCAATTCAGCACATCCATTCAGTGCAAAGATCTCGCTAGCCTTAAATCTTTTTAGAAGTACTAACAAGATTATCACATCGGGAGAAGATAAACAAAAAGAACAAAAGAATGCAACTAACATCTTACAACTTAATAATTTTCCTATGAAGATTATTAGAAGTATATGAAAACAAGACGTTTCATCATGTAATAATAATAGTTCGAATGAAATACCATGGATTGGTACTGCAGTTTTAACATACCGTCGTTGCACAACAGAATAACTCAACATAGAATTAAAGTATATTACAAAACGACGAACACACCTTGAAATACTTTAGATCGCTTAACAGAAAAAAATCCCCTTCATGTCAACACAGAACTGCGTCTTCAAATTAAGATGTGTCGATTGTGATGCCTTCTATGTTGGAGAATCATCTCGCGAAATCTTGACTCGAACCAAAGAAAATATTAGGAACTTAAAGAAAACACCTAATAATCACATAGAACTGGATAGACTTCAAATTAAATCAGCAATAGCAGTTCACGTTATTTTCAACCACCAACAAGTCGATTTCAAAAATATCAAAATATTACAAGATTTTTCCAATTACAAAGAGAGGAGAGTAGTTGAAGCATTCCATATAATGCTTAATCCTACTGCTCTCAATGGAAAAGAAAGCCTTACTATACATCCGACTTGGACTATCTATCCAAGATACCATATCTGATATTATTCACATTTCACACTATTATCTTACATAAAAATTATACTCTATCCTTTCTCACCATGAAGGTCACATTTTCTTATCCGTGATCTTGCACACATAAACATACACAAACCTCTATACATGTCGCTCATGAATCACCTAGACCGACATGACATGATATTGATTTGTTCAGACACAAATCACAAACACTCTATACCTCTTGATTTCTCTCATTTTTCAGGCGTTCCACTCGAATTTATACGACCACTAACTGACTTGACTGTTGACAAAGTAACCAATGAACCAGTCATCCTTGAATGTGAACTATCTCGTACTCCTCGTGATAAAGTACAATGGTTGAAGGATGGGAAACCTATTGGTCGTCTACCAGACTGTGTGACAATTGAGGAGTTGGAGAATGGAAAAATCCATCGTGTGAAGTTCACTTCATTAATGGATGATGATTTGGGTGTATATAGTTTACGTGTTGAGAAGTTATCTAGTGAATGTCGACTAGATATGAAAGGTATATTTAATGACTTTTTTTAAAAAATCGGAATATAGTTTGTATCTGCATATGATTCTATTCATTTTTCTTTATTTAGCTTAATTGGCGGTATACTTAAAATGTAAAATTCATAAAATCGTTAGAAGCATTATATTTCACTTAACCCTTTATATTATTTCTCACATAATTTTAATGGTTGAGATCATGAGTCAGTTGAAGCTAGACCACCACGGAAAACCTAGAAGCACTGGATGACCGATTCGTCCCATTGTGAGACTCCTCAGCAGTGCGCATCCACGATCACGCCCCACGATATTCCAACCCAGGACCTAACAGTCTCGCGTGCGAGTGCCCAACCACTAGACCATTGAACCGGCCGGCGTCTAACCTGGAAAAATACTTTGAAATAACGATCGACTTCGTCCATAAATCAGTTTTACCATCAAATGTAGAATTTAAATTGTTTTTTCAGTAGATTATAAACATCTTTACCAATGTGTAAAACTAGAAACTGCAATAAATTTAGATAAGGTTATCATTTGATTAGTGTATACAAAGATGTTCCGTCATGCAACAAATTGATGTATATCCATCATGTATTCTCGGCTGACCATTTTAAATTTTTTTACGTGGTATTCTATAGACTGTATATATTTCCTTGACTTAATATATATAAACTGTATTTTAGTTCAAATTTCGGTTTATCATATCTTCCAAATCTTTTTTCGGCAAATTACATTCTTGACTGACAATATTGTGTAGTTTTAAGATGACTAAGCACATTTATCATACTATTTCCATTCATTACAAAATGATCCACGCTTACGATAAACTGACTAAAAGGTAGGTCAGATGGTAAAAATCCCATTACTCACAAATTATCCAGTGCAAGAATATTTCATTCGAAATGCTATCAATTGTGTCAGTGTATATTGGTACGGAAATGAAACCTGTTCCACCAAAGTTTTAGATATGGACGGCTAATGACTCTATACAAATACAATACCAATATTGAAGGCTTTCTTCTCATAAACACTATTAATCATAAAGATAATGTTAAATCAAACTGATGAACCAGCCTCAACTATTTTCTCTGGACAGTTTATTTCATGATATTTAATTCTCAAGATAAGGACGGAATTAAAATAAACAGTTTTGTAAATATATGTAAGTGAATATTATACGTGATGAAGACACAAAAACGGTTGAATAAAGAACCTGTATTTTCATAGACATAATCTTTTTCTTAATAAACACATATTTTTGTAAATTTACAGTCCCACCAAAATTGAGATTATCCGATTCGTTCTCCGATCGAGTGATCATCAAGGCTGGAGGTGCTATGGTGTTCGAAATACCATTCACTGCCAGTCCTAAACCAAAAGTCGAATGGACATGGAGACAGCGAAGTCGACCAGATGGTGAATTGGGACCGGTACAAAGTCCACGATTCAAGGCTGACGTGGTGTCGGGATTGACGTCATTGCCTGTGAGTAAGGTGAAGCGTGAGGATGCCGGTGACTACACAGCGGTGATCAGTAACGAGTTGGGTGAAGTGTCTGTGACGATTCAGATGATTGTGATTGACAAGCCATCCGTACCTCGTGATCTGGAGGTGAGTGAGAACAGTGGTGAGAGTGTGTTGTTGAGTTGGAAGGAGCCCGAATTCGTTGGTTTGTCCACAACGACGACGACGGATGTGAGTGTGAGTGGTGCTGGTGGATTGTTGGAGTATGTGGTTGAGATGCGTGAGTCTAGTCAACGTGCTGGTCGTGGAGTGAGAAAAACGAGTGAATTGAGTGTGAGGATTGACGATCTTCAGATCAACAAGTCGTATGTGTTTAGTGTTGCAGCGAAGAATGATGTTGGTCAATCGGAGTTTGCAGAAACGAAACCAGTTTCAACTAAATTAGATTACGGTGAGTTAGTATATGGATACCATGTCAGTTTGAATTTGACTCTCAGTAACATCTTTCCAATCCAGTAATTATGGTTTTACTGTATTCATAATATTTTTACCTTAAATTCGCATTTCATCTGGTTGCTATTTCATTTAGTCGCTTGTCCAATAATAATCCAGTCTAATTATTTTTATCACTCTGACGAACAACCTAACTCTTAGACCAGTGGTTTTGTTCTCGTAATTTTCTCGATTAATATGATGTTTTTTTATGCACACATTCGTCGCTTACTTTCTATTTAGACATCTATATTGTGTACTTTCAAGTAGATTTCTCGACTTTGATTCTTGGATTTGAATGGATAAGACTGAATGTCTTGTGTGATGAATGTTTAGAAAATAATTTAGTTTTGATTTGATGAAGCTTCCTTATCGTACATCCATAGACACAGATTTCGTAAGGAACAAAGAGTATCAAAGTGAACGATTGTTTTCAATAACTTCTTCATCAGGTTCTGTGGTTATAAATCTAAAATTATTACTTATATTATAACAGAAAAAGTCTTAAAATTGAATTAATCTTTATTATGAATGAAAGATGACAAACTTCACGTCCATTGAGTCTTATGTGATACAAATTACTAACAAAATAATGTGAAGTCATAAATGTGAAGATAAGGTAATTTATAACGGGAATGAAAAACTGGAATGGTGGTCTGACTAAGATCCGTATGGTATGGTAATAACAATATTACTATTGCTAATAATAATGACAATAATATTAATTATTAATATGATCAGGCAAAATAAGGAAGATGAATGTATCATTAGGTATGGGAAGAAATGTCTTGGAAGCTGGTACAAATGGTAATGAAAGGAAAGGTGTTGGAGGATCCAGAAAACTTTTCAAAAAAGAGCCAGGAAAGGCTCTGAAAACACTTAGAAGCATCTTATTCAATCAGTGTTCACTAGAAGTTTTGTTAGAGACATCTAGAAAGTGAAAAGTCACGTGTCGAGCTTCTGATTACGTGATTAGTTATGCTGCTACTATGTTTAGTAGCATTCTAGAATTTTCCGGAAGCCCAAGGACATCTAAAATACTATAAAAAAACCCTAGATTTACTGTATATAAACGAACCTTTGGAGTAAAGCGTTTTCTTCTATATTTGCACCTTTTCTTTCGTGTTCAAGTCGATGTGTAGATCTAGCCTGGGGGTTACTAGAAGAGCTTAGGAACCGGATCTAGCGTTCGCTTGGCATTAATTGCACGGCCACTGTGATTCCCTACCACCCATTGATTAGAAATTGTACGGTGTGATAAAAAAATTTAGGGATTGGTGTACTTGTTTTGCAAGTGTTTGCTCAAGTGATAATGAACAAACATTTTGTCACCTTGAATAATTTTTTAATTATCGGAATGGGTTCTGTGGAGACTTTAGAAAGTTCACTGGTTGAAATCATGAGTCATTTGAAGCTAGACAACCATGGGAAACCTGGAAGCACTGGACAGCTGTTTCGTCCTAGTATAGGACTCCTCAGCAGTGTGGATCCACGATCCCGCTCACAGGACTCTAACCCAGGCCTTCAGTCTCACGCGCGAACGCTTAACCTACTGGACCACTAAGTCGGCATCCAATGGTGTTGACGTCTATGTATTCTAAATAAAATTCAAATGTAAAAATGCAAATTTTCACATCTAATCAAATCACTTGATGCTATTTCGATTTGAGCTAATCAGATTACAAAGATTTACAATTTACAGCCAATTAAAAAAATATTACAGCTGACATAATATTTGTTCATTATCACTTGAGCACACACATTCAAAAACAAGTTCATCAATCACCAATTCATAAATTTTTTAATCACACCCTAAAAATTATCATCACTGGGTGGTGGGGAAACACAGCCGTTGTGTAATTAATAGGAAGAAATCGCCATTCAGTGCTTCCAGATTTTCAATGGTGGTCTAGCTTCAATTAACTTATGATTTCAACTATTGAAATTACTATAATATGCACAAAAACCCCCTCTGGAATTAATGTTAACCCAATCTATTGAAGTATGCATTAATTTTCACCTGGCGTTATTTTTATTTGTATCACCCCATTGCACAAGCGAGTGTCTATCAGGACTCAGTATCTAAGTGGATAACGCGATAGTGTTTGAAGCCAACGTTACTGGGTTCGAATCCTTGAGTGAACATCAACTCTGAGATGCAGGTAAATCCAGCTGACGAGTCCCAAATAAGATGAAACGCGTGTCCCGAATTTCACTGTTACCCACTGTCCATCTTTGCCAAATGTTATTTTGTATTGAAAAATAAATAAAATGTTATTTACAGTTGGTGACAATCAGCCTGAGCTGAAAATAGTATTTTTTTTATAAAATTTAAGCTACCTTTTCTGAATATTTTGTCAATACGATAGACAGCACTGAGTAATGACTGACTAACAGTCTTATCATTTTCAATCCTTTTAATGAATATGATTTCAATTTTTTAACTGAAATATGTGTGTTTATATGTGCTGATGTAGTTTTTGAAAGATCGTCATTTTTAAAAACTGTATAATCGAACTTTTAATTACAATCCCCGAAATGTAGCATTTTCAAAGAATCATTAATCTGAGTGTATAAAATGTAAAGTACTAATCTACTTCTTCGCTTCGCCTACTGTTATCAGAAAATCATTCTCTAACTTTCTAAGATTCAGTGTATGAATGACCAAAAAATATATTCGAGTTTCAATGGTTGAGATCATGAATCCATTCAAGCTAGACCTGAAAGCAATTGATGGCCGTTTCGTCCTAATGTGAGACTTCTCAGCAGTGCGCACCCACGATCCCGCCTGGCGAGACTCGAACCCAGGACCTCAAATTAAATAGAGAAATTAAATAGTGAGATAAGATAGTAGATTGAATCTAATTATATTTTTAGGTAACAATATGCATTTGTGTTGAAGATTTTAGTTATTTAATTTATTGTAAAATATAGCATAGTAGATAAGTTTACGTTGTTATAAACGAGAACATAGGTGGGGACAACTGTTTGCGTTCAAATACAAAATTATTGAATCACTTGATGGAAATGAGATCCATGTAGTGAATCCTCAATTACAAAATTTTCATCGTTTGTTCTTCACATTCTGTATGATTGTTCCAGTTTCCAATTCCTTTTTATTTTCCCTTCTATTCTCTTCACCTCGATCTTCTTAGCCTTGCGCTGCCACGTTTTGCAATTCTGATTAATGTTACATACTGCTGATGTCGACAGACATGAGGAGTATACATCACAACATCTTTTAATAATTATAATCACAATTAACTTCAAATTCTCACAGTAAATTAAAAAAGTTATCAACTGTGCTTTGAACAAACTTAGGAGGTTAAATAGATTGCACGTAATGCAGTTCACTGGCAACATGTAACCGAACAAAAGTCATAATATTCTCGTCAAGACTAGATCATAACATGATATAAATTGTAATCATTACACATATAATTAATCAATAGGAAACCTGTATTGACTTATGATTACAACCAGTATAAAACTTATTAGCTTTTAGAAGTAGATCATAACGAAAATAAATCAATAGAAAAGAATTAAATAATAAAATAAATTAAAGTACTCATTTGTGGATACCACAAAATAATTGACTTGAGTTTGACTTCAGTCTGTTTATTGACTCTGTTGTTACAGTTAAATAAACCGAATTCTTGATTGTCTGTAGTTCTATGGGAAAAGGTAACAAAATTTGTCCAGTAGTTATCCCTTGTCGAATGCAAAAGAAATTGATATAATTATTGAAATAAATCTAAGTATGACCACTTGTTATAACAATATGTTTTGTTGTTGAAATGGTAAGTTACAAGCATTCGTTCATTAAAACAATTAAATGAAATCGAATATATGTTGCAAACTTTTAACACAGATAATTAAAGATAACTGATGTCTCTCTCTATTTAGGTCCACCATTGAGTCCAGTCAATGTGAAGGCAGTCGTCAATCCACCGAACGCGTCTATCAAAGATCAAACGATAGAATTGACGTGGGAACAACCAACCGACCAAGTGTCTGCCAGTGGACCGGTCACAAACTTCTACATCGAATTGAAGCCTGAAGATTCAACTCGATGGCAGGACGTGAGTGCCGACTTCACAATCACTGAACCACACTTCACACTTCCTACTGATAAATTGCAAGAGTTTGTGAGTTATGAGTTCCGTGTAACATCAGAGAATAAAGCTGGCAAGAGTAAACCTTCTTCGCCATCGAACGCTGTTCAACTAGGTAAGTGATAACACTTGTTTCAGAGTTGTATGCATGTGTGTGCAGGTGTCTGTGCGTCCATCTATATGCAGCGAATTCCAAGTGATTTCGATTTAATCTGTCTATTGGCCACGATGAATGTATCCAAATCAGGTGGAATTGAGTTGGAGAGTAGGATGGACTAAGTCCTTACGAGAAACTTGTACTAGTGTGATCACTGTATGTGGCCTATTAGACTGACCTATTTTTATAACATGTGAACCTGTGTGCCCTGTTTATTGTATAACGCAATGATACCGTCAATCAGAGAGCAGCGAACTATCGATTGAACCAGTGACGCATAAAACACGTGCGAGCAGCCAAGAGTCCTGATTAATCCTGCTTCCTTGTCTGGCCCAGCCAGTTGAGTCCAGAACACCAATTTTAGTCTCTGCAATATAAATCATTAATTTCAAACATACGGGGTTTATATACCAATCAAACAGACCACAACGTACCATAAAATAGAAAATAACATTTGTGCAATATTTGGCCAAAAGTGGATGCGAATGAGGGAGATAGTCATTAACAGACAGGGAATAATTCAAGAATGGTAAAACATGTTATAATAGTTCGTAGGTCAAAATAAAACTCATAATAAGAGGGACATGAATATGAACAGTTTAGTTATATAAAAATTACACGATAAAAATATGCTCATAGTATTGGTCCATAAATGGATCCCAAAAAATTACCATTCATTATTCTTATCGGGATATAACACCTGTAAGAATGATCGGTCAGTGATATTCGATGTTCGATGTTGCATAGACTGAAGCAGCAGTACATGCAGCTGTGCGTTCTGATTGTAGAAACCAACTACTGAACGTTCTAGGTTACTTCGTTTTTCCAACTAACTGATTACCAACCAAAGATAAATGGTAAATCATCTGGCAAATATATCAGTGGTCTTTATGACGAGCGAGATAATGAGTAGTTTCAGGTGGTATTGATTTTTCTAATTTTCAATTGCACTTGAATATCGTTAATTTGCACAGAATCAAACTAAAATAATGTGCGTTTTTTTAAAACATTTCAATTATCGGTCAAAATTAAACTTTAAATTCGTGTTGTTGAGATTGTCTAATGTCACTGAATTCATGAATCGATCAGTGTTAGATCACCATTAAATATGTGGAAGCGCTAGACGACCTTTTCTTCCTAGCATGTAACTCCTCAGTAGTTTGTATCCACGATCTCTGACGCGGGATTCGAACCCATGACTTTAGGCCTTGCACGTGAAAGTTTCACTTCCAGACCACTGGACAGGCATCCAACTGTTTTAAAGTCTAACTTCAACCAATCCACGATGTCCTGCAACCATTTTGCACAGACTTGGTTGGGTAACTGCCTCACTCTACAAAGTTGAAATGTATACCAGAACGAAACTGCCTTTCAGGGCTTCCAGGTTTACACTGGTGGTTTAACATTGTCGGTCAAGTTCCTTTTTTTCGCATATCTAAATTTATTAAGTAAGTTGTCGTATATTCTTTATTTTTTTACTAGACCAAATCTTGAGACATACGAAAATGTTTGTTCTCTATACAATATAGTCACAGTTCTAGCTAACGATGAGTCCCAGCTATGACTGTATGGATGACTGTTTGAAAAATTTCATTTGATCATTTTTCCGTAACCATCAACTTATGAGCACCGATGTGAAAAGATAATACCAGGTCACGGAATCTTCGCACTGTGATATTCTAATCAACACATTATTGAGAATGTCAGGATGTCTATGTCTTATTGTTATTATTATTATTATTGCTTTATCACCATTAATAACACTATGTAAATCACTGAAGGAATTTGTTCTTTGTTTTTAAAGGTATTCCACTAGAATTTGTTCGTCCGTTGATTGATGTTACTGTAAATGAGGTTGGTGAAAAACCAGTTGTATTGGAATGTGAATTATCTCGTTCACCACGTGATAAGGTACAATGGTTAAAAGATGGTAAATCTCTAAGCCGTTTACCAAGCTATGTATCAGTTGAAGAATCAAGTGACAAAAAAATTCACTGTATTAAGTTCCGCTCCTTAACTGATGATGATTTGGGCGTCTATACGATAAAAGTAGAAAATTTATCAAGTGAGGCGAAACTTTCAATGAAAGGTAAGTTTATTACATCAGTATATATATATATATATATATATATATATATATATATATATATATCACTCAAGAAATATTCTTGAAAAATCTGTTCATTTGTGAATACACATCAACATGCTTTTCCTTTTATTTCAGTCCCACCAACATTGAGATTATCCGATTCGTTCTCCGATCGAGTGATCATCAAGGCTGGAGGTGCTATGGTGTTCGAAATACCATTCACTGCCAGTCCTAAACCAAAAGTCGAATGGACATGGAGACAGCGAAGTCGACCAGATGGTGAATTGGGACCGGTACAAAGTCCACGATTCAAGGCTGACGTGGTGTCGGGATTGACGTCATTGCCTGTGAGTAAGGTGAAGCGTGAGGATGCCGGTGACTACACAGCGGTGATCAGTAACGAGTTGGGTGAAGTGTCTGTGACGATTCAGATGATTGTGATTGACAAGCCATCCGTACCTCGTGATCTGGAGGTGAGTGAGAACAGTGGTGAGAGTGTGTTGTTGAGTTGGAAGGAGCCCGAATTCGTTGGTTTGTCCACAACGACGACGACGGATGTGAGTGTGAGTGGTGCTGGTGGATTGTTGGAGTATGTGGTTGAGATGCGTGAGTCTAGTCAACGTGCTGGTCGTGGAGTGAGAAAAACGAGTGAATTGAGTGTGAGGATTGACGATCTTCAGATCAACAAGTCGTATGTGTTTAGTGTTGCAGCGAAGAATGATGTTGGTCAATCGGAGTTTGCAGAAACGAAACCAGTTTCAACTAAATTAGATTATGGTGAGTTAGTATTTGTTTACCGTGATTTGCAAGATTTGAACTAATTTCACGGGTAATTTACTTTTCAGTAAATACAGTTAACTTAATAATGATAGATGTTTTATAGATATCTGTTCATGTCATCATTACGTTATTTTATTTGTCATTCAATTTCTATTTTTTATGTCGTTTATAGTAACTGAAAGAGGATAGTTTTGTATTGGATTAAACAGGATTTGATAGATAAATTTTAATTTTATAACTTTCTTTAGGACCTCCAACTCCTCCATTGAATGTTACTGCATCTGTATCTCCATCATATGCTGAACCAGAAGATCAAATGATAACAGTGAATTGGTCCGAACCTGAAACAGCAACAACAACAACATCTACTGGATCATCTCCACTTTATTACACTGTAGAGTATAGAGTAGATGAAGGACGTGTTTGGAATAAATTAGTCTGTGGTAAAGAAGTTACTGGTATGAAATTAGATTTTCCTCCAATTAAAGAAAATTTGAGCGCTGGTAAATCATATGACTTCAGAGTTATAGCTGTAAATAAAGCTGGTACAAGTGAACCATCAAAACCATCGAATTCAATCCAATTAGGTCGGTTTCTGTTCATTTTATCATTATTATTACTAGTTCATATATCTTTGCCTATTACTATGCACTATACAACTTTCAGAATGAATAATTGAAGTATGCGGCTTACTTTTTGTCATTTAAGCATAAAGTGACATTGAGATACCTAAGTTAATTTTAATTAAACCAGAAAATAAATTATATAAACGAAATATCTATTATAAAAAGCCCATTTCACCTTTATTTTTTCCTCTTTATTTATCATCCTAATACCTCCCAGTGATAGTATTTCAAAACATAAAGCCCATTAATTTTGATGTGATTGCACTGCTGATATATGGATTACGTCTGTTAAATCACCATCACTGGTAACTGATGTTCTAAGAGATGGTGAAGATTTTTAGCTCAGATGGATGATTTTGTTCTCAAAGAGCAAAACTCCATCAAGATGTTCTAAGAATTTAATGAATCACATCAGTATCATGATCTATCGTAATACCACTTTCTATAGAACAAAGAAAGTACACTTTCATATAGACTTTCAGCTAGATTACACTGAAGCTTAATAATACTTTATCCCTTCATTTTGTACGTTATCTAGTTTTAACTTGGTTTTCACAATCGCATATAGTAATAGTTCTGAACAATTTGGGTATCTTGTAAGCGTTGAATTATTACTCCATCACTAAAATTAAGCAAAAATCAACATTGCTACTTCAAATATACATCGTGACCCTGAAATCCCATTGATTAGTCAGTATAATATATATACAAATAGCGAAACGATCTTAAAAGATGATTGTTGTAACAAGAACATTTTAACCATTTAACTTCATTTACATTGTAATGGGTTGTCAACTCATTAATTTTACACGGCTTTCTATTTGTATGCACACAATCCTTTATTGTTACTATTCATATTCCGTAATAAAGCATTGTAATACTTCAGTTACGTCATTGTGTGTATTCCTTGTTCGTATATCCTCACGGAACTAATACTTTAAAAATATCATATTTTTGGTATAATATAGAAGTATTTCAACAAGTTTCCGTTTCTTATTTCTTGATCGGTCCTAACATTGAGTGGTCGACATCTAAATAATGTATATTCTTATCAATGCATATTGCCAGCAACCACGATGACTCTGATCGTAGTTTTTTGTAACTTGTACAGTGAAAGGTTGTACACTTTTCAGAAACGCACCTGAATAGGTTTATGCGATTAATAGACATAATGTATCAAAACAAAGGAAAAAACAAATAACTTGCTGAAATATCTAGATGGCATGAACAGGTAGCCCAGATGTTCAAGTAAGTCGCTAAAGATATAGATATACATACGATTGTACAGCTCGATCGTAAATTCATTGAAAAGAGATCCCTTCTCTGAACTTCGTGTTTTTGATCTTATTTGTTGGTCACGATAACTAAACAAAATAATACTTAAGGTGGTTCTAAAGCTCTAATTAATGTTTTTCCAAAACACAATGTGCTGCTTATTACGATAATGAACAGTTTTTTACATAAGCTGTTTGGTTATTTTGCCATTTGTGAAATATCCAAAATCAGGTAAATGAAGTCATATATACAAGAAAATATAGATTTAGATTTTGAGCAATATTTATAATGTCGTAAGTGGTTAGATTAAACTATGTTAAATATGAGCAAATTCGGATAGTGGATAGCAGTGGAATCCAGGACGCGCGTTTCGTCCTATTTGGGGCTCGTCAGCTGGATGTGCCTGCATCTCAGAGTTGATGTTCACTCAAGGACTAGAACCCAGTACCGTTCGCTTTAAATGCCATCACGTTATCCACTTAGCTATTGAGTCCTGATAGACGCTTGCTTGTGCAATGGATTCCACTGCTAGCCACTATCCATCTTTGCTTATAATGCTTGCGAATTAAGGCAATATGGAGGCAATCCGCACAGTATGCACATATACCAATAAGAGACTAATCAATCGCAATCCTAAACATCAATGTAGAGATTCAAGTAAACAATACCAAGAGAATCTATTCATATATTTTTTCTATTATTATCATTATTATTATTTCATTTATTAACAGGTATAGTACTTGAATTTATACGTCAATTAGAAGATTTAATTATAACTAACATTGAACCAATTGAATATAAATTAGAATGTGAATTATCACGTAAACCAAGAACAATGATAGCTTGGACAAAAGATAATAAACCATTAATTATAAGACCAGATGATACTCATATGAAATTTATTGATCAAGGCACAATTCAATCAATTCATTTTACACATTTAATTGATACAGATATTGGTGATTATGCAATACAAGTAGAGAATATTTCATCAAAATGTAAATTAGAAATTAAAGGTAAATATGATACTAATAATGACTTAATCACTTATGATGTAATAATCATGGTCAATACGATTAATCAGCTAATTAGTTTCAGTGGACGAGTTTGTGACATGAAAATAAACTGATTCATTTTCATTCTAATAGTTGAATTCATGAGTTGATTTAATCTAGACTACCATTAAAGTTCTAGAAACACTGATTGATGGCTGTTTCGTCATAGTATGAAACTCTTCAATAGTGCTGCTCCAATGCTTCCAAATTTTCAATGATAGTCTAACTGAAATTGATTCATGAATTCAACTATTAAAAATGTTACTAGAAATCTCAACAAACCCCTATTCTGATAATTTTCATTTGTCATTTGATAATTTGTTATAATTGTTTAGAATAGAAATAATACAAAGAAAGCACCAACCTGACTGAATTCCAAGTCTATGATGTATAGTGCTTATATCTGATTAATTGAATGAGTACCTTTGTAAGAGAATAAAACGTTATATTTTGGAAAACAACCGTAGTATTTATGTAACGATAATTCACAGTAAAATGGATAGTTCAACAAGTCGAATATTAACATATTTTAGTTTTACTTTTACTGATACTTGAGATCATGAGTCAGCTGAAGCTAGATCGCCATGGAAATCCTGGAAGCATTGGAAGGCCGTTTCGTCCTGTTGTGGTACTCTCCAGCAGTGCACATTCACGATCCTTCCTCGCCAGATTCCAACTCAGGACCTGTCCATCTCGCGCGCGAGCGCTTAACCTCTGGATCACTGAGATGGTATCTGACGGTGCTAATGTCTAACTTCAACCAATCCGTGCACTTCTGAGGAGTCCCATAATAGGACTAAACGGCCGTCCAGTGCTTCCAGGTTTTCTATGTTGGTCTATCTTCAATTAACTAATGACCTCAACTATTAAAATTACTATAATATCCACAAAACACCTTCTGATTTTACTGATACCATTAGAAGAAATTTAGAAATTATTACTACAAAAAATTTTTGTACTGATAACGGTACTTGTTGATAAATCATATTTTCATTTACTATCAAAGTAAACTAGCAGTTTATTAAGTAGAAAATTGCGACATTTTTCCCGTTATGACACGATATCATGACAATAATTCGTATCAGAAGGGGTTTCTGTGAATATTATAGTAATTTCAATAGTTAAGATTAAGAGTCAATTGAAGCTAGACCACCATTTAAAACCTGGAATTACTAGATGGCTGTTTCATTCTATTGTGGGACTCCTCAACAGTGCGCATCCACGATCCCGCCTCACGAGATTCGATTCCAGGACCTATACTTTGATTTGATACACTATAAACAGACTGGGTCACTTATACACAGATACATGTTCAAAATCAATAATTGAGAACAAAATACATGTAAGACAATGGTTTATTCAACATAAATTCAATCAATCTATAGCAAAATTAAAGTTATAAGATAAAGATAAGATTTACATTACAAAGTATAAAGTGAGCCTATTTATCTTTTCCCACTAATCAACTGTAGACTTATTTGAAGATAAATAACAGTTAAGATTAATTTATGAATATAATTGACAAGGAAACCATAGGTTTGGTTGACAACAGTATATACATCCACACAGATAGTCAATCAATATGCTTAAACACATCTGGCTTTGCTAATGTTCTAACATGTTATTCGTTTATGTTAAGATCAATTGGTTTGATGAACTTTTGAATTTCATTTTAATAGTGTGCATATGTAAGCATCAACCAAGCATCAGCGATTCGACTATAACGGGATGAGTATTGGAATAGTTAGAAGTTTAAGAACTATTTTTCAAGTTGTTATCATTGACGTTTCAAGGAATAACAGACTTTGTGTTCTCTAAAATCTTCACGAATGTAACCTGAAACAAACTGCATTTATCAAACTAACATCTGTTTTCATATGAATTCGAGTGATGAAAGCCAAAATATGATACATATGTATAGTAAATTTAAGTAAGACCTTAGTGTGCTGTGTTTGCATTGCTTTTACGCTTATATTTCATTACAGAACCTTAAAATTGTTGACTTAGATTAAGCCGCTATTGTCAGCAAACTTATAGTATATTCTGATTTATTACTGGATCTTTTAAAAGTATTTTAAAGTTGTTCTTTTTTCACTCATTATCATTGTTCAAACTATAGGTGAAGATTGTCAGATAGTTGTTTATAATGTATCTTGTTTTCTTTTTTAAAAAAATGTTTACAGCTCCACCAACAATTCGAATATCTGATCAATTTGAAGATCATATTACTTTAAAGGCTGGTACTACAAAAATTCTAGAAATCCCATTTATATCTTCACCAAAACCTAAAATTAAATGGACATGGGCACCAAGTACTGACTTGACTCAAGAACAAACCCCTAGATTTAAACCGGATATAGTTGCTGGTTTAACTACATTACCTCTAAGTCGAGTGAAACGTGAAGATAGTGGAGCATATAAAGTTAAAATATCAAATGATCTTGGTGAAATTTCCATAACAATTCATGTCATTGTTATTGATAAACCATCTCCACCAAGAAATCTTACAATAACTGATGCTACAGAAAAATCAGTCATGTTTAATTGGGATCTACCAGTTAATGTAAATGAAAATGAATCTTTAGAATATGTTGTTAATTATCGAGATGCAACCAAATATTCAAGTCAACCAATTAATGTTTGTGTAACAAAGGAATTGAAAACATTTATAGATGGTCTTAAACTGGGATCTCAATATATATTCTCAGTTTGTGCACGAAATGAAGTTGGTGATTCCGCCTTTGCTGAAAGTCAGGCATTCTTAATGAAGTATTCTTTTGGTAAGTTAATTTTCTTAGGTTTATGATTGTTATAAGCATTATTTGTGAATGGAGTAGTTTATTTGTTTTTTCATACGAAATTACAAGATATAGTGAATAAATTTGTGGTGAAAATTCAGGTGTACGTGTTACATATATCCCATATTTAATGTCATTGTTCCCTTTTTTAATATAGACCCACCTGAAGCTCCAGGAATACCTCAGGTTACTATATTAGAAAGTGGTCATGTTTCACTGGAATGGACACCTCCTTCATCAGACGGTGGTTCTCCGATCACAGAGTATTTCATTGAAAGCATGGATGAACGTCCAGTTGTAAAAGGTCAGCGCCGGACATCGACCTATGGTTCTCGAGCACAGTGGAATTCACTAACTTCAGGAATCATATTTGAACCTAATGTTCAACCGAAAGCTTCAGTAACTGGTTTGTCTCCTGATAAACAATATACATTCCGTGTATGTGCTGTTAATAAAGCTGGTAAAGGGCCATTTAGTCCACCATCAGAATCTTGTTTACCCTTAATAAAACGTAAGTTATTTAACAAAATTATGATTTATTTGGTTTCTGATCAAAATTTCTATAGACAGTCTGAAGTATTTTAAAGGTTGTTAGGGTACTTATCAAAGTACGTGTACAACAGTGACGCAAAATATATATTACTTGTTACTGATTTCTCTGGAGTAAATGATAAAGAATACCTAACATGTCAATTTGGTCATATCTTCTAAAAATGCCGCATTACGTGACTTTATTCATTTATTAAATGTAGTCACCTTTGAAAATGTTACGATTCAAATAAGCAAGTAACTTCAATGAATCATTTTCACGAGATATTTAAGAATTTTTGATGAATAAGACTGTCAGAACTTGGGCGGCATGACAGTAACACTAATATGAATTTATCTTTGCTTCATATAAGTTCCGACTAAATAGTATACACTTTATGAGTGGTTTTATTTATTTTAAAGATAGGCCAATTTAATTATAATGTCAACGAAGGGTTGTGGTAATGGTTGAATTTCAGTAAAATCACGAACCGATCTAAGGTGGACGACCATTGAAAACCTGGGAGCACTGGATGATCACTCCTTCCTAGCACGAGACCCATCAGGAGTGCGCATCTATGACCTCCCAATTGAAAGTCAAACCCTGGAACTTTGATCTCACACGCAAAACCTCTAGATTACTGAACCGTCACGAAACGGTATTATTGTCTAATTTCGATTAATTCGCTATATTGTGTGACCATTTTCCATTTTCTTTGGTCGGTACCTTCCTCACACCCTACAATCTTTTACTCCAGTGATCACGGCTTCTTATTAGGATTTATTTCTCAAAACGAATTAAACGCGTAAATGTTATTTTGCTCTGTCGTCTGAGTCTGCTACTGATATACATGTATGCATGTATGCGAGCCCAGCCAGCTACTTGAGTGAGGAAACCAACAGTAAGCAGAAAGCTTTAAATTAGCTAAACTGAGTCAAGAATGTTTGTTCAACTCACTCATAAATTTATATCTTTTTTTGCTGGTAAATTAAGGCAACATGTTTCTTTCTTTAGAAAAGGAAGCCAATCTTGACTAACAGTATGCACCTATCAGCATCTCTCACTTATCATTTGGCTTATATCTGATCGGCATAGCGAATCAGTGAATGAAAGCAAAATTTACATCGCTTCACGTTTTGTTGCAACCTGTCCTGTGTTTTATGTTCTTTAATTGTTTTTTACTAATTTAGCTCCTAAAGTTCCTGGAAAACCTGGTCCTATAACCGTCGGACCTTTAAATGAAACAAGTGTCAATTTAAGTTGGACACCTGGTACTGTAAACGAAGACTTTGGACCAGCTGATTATTATATAATTGAAGCTTGTGAAGATGATGGTAATGACTGGAAAGAAGTTGGAAAGACAACCAAGCCAGATGATTGTAACTTGAACGTGAACAATCTAGATAGTTCAACACGTTATCAATTTCGTGTTCGTGGAGTGAATAAAGAAGGTGTCGGTGAACCATCAAAACCATCAGAAAGGATTTGTTTAAAGAAAGGTAATTTTTAAAGTAAAAATTTGTGCTCAAACTTGTTTCTTTTTTGTTTCTTTACTGATGTTTGTATTTAACTATAATTGCGCAAAAGGATTTACACTAAGGCTAAACTATTTTAGTGTACCCAGTTAGATAACGACTTTGAATCTTCAATATAAAGCTAAAAAATTAGTACCACTCACAGTGTGTCAAATGAGTAACTTTGAAAATGATTACTTTATATAGCCCTTGGGGTTCTGTAAATGTAGTGATAGTCCATTGTACAACCACTGAGTAGAAATAACATTGTACACATGAAAGTAATTTAAACGTCTATTTCTTTGGACGGATGGCAAAGTAACTCAATTAAGCATTGCCAGTTTTCATTTATTCCCACTAACTTCCCATATGAATCATACTCACACCAATGAAGTTGGATTAAGTTAATTCTTTAGTGCCAAAACAGATCATTACTCCATAACTTCATTTACAAAAGTTTATTCAAACAAATTTAAGGCTATATAAATCGGTTTGCTTAACTATTTGACTTATTATAAATACTCTATAGGCAACCTGATCTTCAGTCTCATTAATAAATTTCTGTACCAAAATATATTTAAGTAAAAATTTATAATGGACATTCAAAATCAGCGAACTATCTAAAATCCTGTACACATTTAGATCTAATTAATTTTTGTGGAGATATATTCTTAACTGAACCAAATTTTATGTTCATGGACTGATAAAAAGGCATAGACATTACAAGGTCGTTTTAACAATTGATAGAATGTTGTATAATAACTGGCAATGATTCATATAGTATTTAAGGATTATTCATATCACTTTATAGAGTAAATTATGTAGTGTCAGGGTTATGATTGTCTGCCAACTTGATCCAATCAAAATCACACCGATCCTAACACTTAATTCAACCAACTACATGAAAGTAGAAGACTAATCATGTATAAGAAGCATATTTGTCAAGCCGAATGAAAGTGTACTAATCCAAGAAAAGACTGTAAGCCATCTATGGAATGAGATGTTCTTGACGAGAATCAAATGGACTATATATATATTTTACTACTGTTGCTATTATTAGTACTGTAGTGAACAAGAACACGACTGGGGACAACTAAATAAATTACAGAACAACTTACTAAAATCTGAGAATTATACAGAAAATACTTGATTTGCAATCAATCAGTTGTATCAAACTTGATTGTTCCTTTTGCAAATATCAGACTATCATCTCAGATTTCATTGTTTTTCTATGTTTTCATACCAAATTGCTTTCCGTTTCCGTTCTTTCCTTTTCAATCTTCTACTAAAATAAATTCTATTTTTGACTATCGTTACATACTACTTGTGTGAATATAAGTAGTTCAAATCACAATACTATTATTTACTATTTTTTAAATCATTTTTAGATGCTCCATTAGTTATAACTAAAGAATTAGAATCAATTCATTTGAATGAAATCCCACAAACAATTGAATATGAATGTCATCTTTCTAAATTACCACAAAAAGTTCAATGGTTCTATAATAATAAACGTTTAGATACATCAAATTTACGTAAATATCGTTTTATTGATAATGGTAAAATACAAAAATTAGAAGTATTAAAAATTACATTAAATGATGTTGGTGAATATTCTATTAAAATTGATAAGTTAGAATCAAAGGCAACATTTGAAATTGATTGTAAGTTATTTTGTGTGTCCTTTTTGATTAGGTAATATCATTATGTTGCTTGATTTTGATTCAGTGTAATAGTTGAATGAGAATTTTTATCCTTTGTAAAATTGGTTTCTATCATGAATTGATGTCAGTTAAGGAATTAGAAGGGGTTTTATGGAGATTTTAGTAGTTTTACAGTTGAATTCATGAGTCAATTGAAACTAGAATACCATGGAGAACCTAGAAGCACTGGACGGCTGTTTCATCCTATTATGGGACTCTTCAGTATTGCGCATCCAGGATTCCGCCTTGCGAGATTCCAACCCAGGATCTATCAGTCTCGCGCGCGAACGCTTAACCTCTAGACCATTGAGCCGGCCGTCATTCAACGATGTTAATGTTTAACTTAAACTGATCCACGAAATTTTGTCACCGATCACCATTGTCTTCAATAAGTTACTATCTCACAACAGACTCGTTTAAACTGCACTGGTCACGGCTTCCCACTAGGATGAAACGGCCGTACAGTGCTTCCTGGTTTTCCATAGTGGTCTAGCTTCAATTGACTCATGAATTCGTCATTAAGAATTAAAGAGAAATAGAGAATTGTTCCTTTCAGGTTTGAGAGTTTTCAAAAATGAACACATAAAACACTACACAATTAAAATTCATAACCTTCATGTATGGCTGAAAGTAGTTAGACATTAATGTGCCATTGTGTTGAAATTCATTGATTCCTTTTTTTGAACTGATGAAATTTCTAATATAGTACGAACACGATAAAATATTATTGGTGATTATTATCATTGTCTTACCTTCGACGTGGCTGATTAAATGGCCAGTTGCTTCTTGTTACACCTTTAAGAACCTATCTGGAAAGTAGTCATTATAAAGAATAAAATTATAATATCTTTGTTCAATTTAACCTGGTTCTCAGTGATCTTTCAAATGATTTCACTTTGTATTAAAAGTTATTTTCACCTTTGAACAAATATCCACAAATTATATATCTAAATAAAAAATTGAGTGAGACTATAATTTATGGACGAGCTTTGAGCGACGCCAGACCGACCTTGAGAGTGTTCACCTGACCACTAGGACCAAATAAGGTTTATGAACCTGTATGAGGAAACAGTTGATAATTAGGGTTAGAAATTAGATTTAAGGTTTGCATCACGAATTGACGTCAGCTATAAGGCCAAAACCCTATTTATCTGAATGAATGAGTGAATTTCGCGCCAAAATCTGAGACCTGTTATCTTAAACGTGATTGGATCGTTCACAAATTATAGTCTCACCAAAAATTGATTAGATTTCTTCAATTCACATTATCTGTCACTAACACAACAGATAAATTCTCACGTTACATTCATAGAAATGATATGAATTTCTACTACAAGGTAGATATATTACTGAAAATAATGATGATAATAATAATACGTTGGTTAGAAACATTAAATATACTTAGAATTGTATTATCAAATTCATTATACATAAGCTTAACAAAATAAAATTAATAAAACATGATTTACTTTATATGAGTGCTGTGATGTGCGGTGTCCAAAAACTGATACTGATACATGATGTGCTACGCGTTAACCACCCTCAACCAACTACTTTGGCGAGAACATTATAGTGAGCGAGGAAGTGCATTGAGCTACCGAATGAAATTCACAAATACTCATTCATATATATATATACCACTTTAATCCTTAGGAAGCTGACCCATTTCTTAGATAATGAAATGCACTTTTCCTTCAGGTCATTTCTGATTACCATCGAATGACCTTCTCATTAGGCTACTTCTTATTGGTTCTTCATATCAATAGATATATTTTTTTGAATTGTAAATAAAACATCTATGAAGATGATACACTTCTTTTGGTTACATGAATCTTCCCATCGGTGCTTAGGACTACAAATGATCAATCATTTTTGGCATACATACGAATTGCCTCGATATTCACATGCATTATAATCAGAGTTGAATTGTGGCTAGCAGTGGAACCCAGGATGCACGTTTTATCATATTTTGGACTCCTCAGCTAACTTTACCTTCATCCTAGAGTTAGTGATCACTCATGGACTCGAACACAAATGCACATATGCCAAAAGGGACTAATCATTTGAAGTCCAAAACATCAGTGGAGATATTTAGATAACAAATACAAATGGACTGAACTTCACTCCATTCTACAAGTCAGTTACAATCAAGATTCAGTACCTAATTGGATAACGCGATGGTGTTCAAATCAAATGACACCGGGGTTGAGTCCCGGAATGATTAATAACTCTGGAATCTAGGTACATCCAGCTGACGAGTCCCAAATAGGACGAAACGCGCGTCCTGGATTCCACTGCCAGCCACTATCCATCTTTGCTAATTAACAACTGTTTAATGAGTGATATTTTCTTTGCGTATTCTTTTGGCAATCATGGTGACTTTTTTAAAGAAAGTGTTTACCAAAATTATTTACGTTTATTCTGTGTTTGTCTATAAAAAACATCCCATGATTTAAATATACAAATAAATTATTTTATTATCTTTCATGTTTAGTACCACCTAAACTCTGTCTACCAGATGATTTCTCTGATACAATCATACTTGCTCAGGGAAATAATCGTGATATAGAGATACCATTTACTTCTTGTCCACCTGCTACCAGTATTGTTTGGTATTGGAATGGTAGTCGTACTTTGCCTGATCCAACAAAACGAACTGTTCCAGATAATGATTCAAAGTCTCAAGCGGTACTTCGTCTTACTGCAGTACAAGTTTCTGATGCTGGAATTTATGAAGCTATTATCACTAATCCATATGGAGAAGCTAAAGCAACCATAACATTGAAAGTTCTTGGAGTCCCTGGTGCAGTAACATCATTGGAAGCACATGTTGAGTCACCTACAGAAGTATCTGTTTTATGGAAACCACCTGAAGATGATGGCGGTAGCCCATTAACAGGATATAAAGTTGAACAACGTCAATTGGCTCCTGAACCTGGAGGTGTTTTACGTTCTCAGGCTAAGGAGTGGAAGTCAATTGCAAATGTTAGTTCGAAATCAAAAACATCTAACGATGAAGAACCATTTGTACATCGTATCACAGGGTTAACTGAAGGAGCCACTTATTTGTTTGGTGTTTCTGCAGTTAATGATTGCGGAAGTGGACCAAGGAAAGAAATTACCGATGGCTTAATAATGAAATCTCCTTATGGTTAGTTAAATTATTGAAATATCTATTCATCTTTATTTAATTTTGTATGACACAAAACCATTATGTATAAAACACCCAAAGAATTCTCATTCAAATTGTGTACGATTAACTATCGAACAATATGAGTTTACCGAAAATGAAAGATTCAAAATCTTATCAACTTCCTATAAGATAGATAAACTTACATTTCAGTGTTCGTTTCAGAGTTAATAAGTTAGTGAAAAGCAGTTTAATATCTGTTAAATAGGATTATTCGTAATCCTTATACTCTACTACTTACTATCAGGATGTAATCATACTTACTTACTTACGCCTGTTACTCCTCGTGAAGGAGCATAGGCCGCTCACCAGCATTCTCCATCCAACCCTGTCCTGGGCAATCCTTTCCAATAAATCGATTTCTGATTGAGACCATGAATCGATCAATGTTAGACCACCATTGAAAACCTAGAAATACTGGATGGCCGTTACGTGATATTATCAGACTTCTCATCGGTACACATTCACGATCCCGCAGGCGGAACTTGAACCCAGGACCTTCGGTCTGCTACGCAAAAGTTTAATCTTTAAACCGCTGAGCCGGCTGAAGGGTTACGCAAGATCGTGGATCGATTGAAGTTAGACAGTGACACCATCAGATGCCGACTTAGTAGTTTAAAGTTTTAGAGTTTGTGCGCTAGACCGAAGTTCTTGTGTTTGAGTCCCTTTGGTACGGGATCGTGGATGCGCACTGATGAAGGGTTCCATACTAGGACTAAACGGCTGTCCACTACTTCCAGGTTTTCAATAGCCATCTAGCTTAGATTGACTTATGAAGTCAACTGTCAAAATTAAATGATCATTAAAAGTTGTAACTTTATGATTTCATTTACTACTACTGAATAATGATAAATAAATGAGATTTCCCACTAATAATTTTACAAAGGAATAACAATAAAATAAAAGATTCCAATAAATATTTCACTTGATTGAAAGTGAAATTATGAGATGGTGGAAAATGATGTTTGTACTGATGATGTCGTTCAAAAGAACGATAAAAGCTCCACGACCAAACCGTCCAGCTCAGAGAACAAAACTCCACCAAAAGTGAAATTATTTAATCAAACATGATCATCTATGAAGAATTGTTCAATTCAAAGATAAGTTTCATTATGGATTAACATAGTGATTTTCAATTATAGAGTAAGCAAAACTATGTTGATTAGAAATAATGATAATAAATATCTCTTTATTCAATGCAAAATAAGTCGGTACATTAGAAAGTTCGAGGGTAGATAAATACTTAAAGTACACATTTTCCGTTACAGCATAAAATACCGACCATGTACCTAACTTTAATCCATACACATGTAGACAATATATACACATGTATGATAGTGTTGTAACGTTATATTTCTTTATTTTTATGTCACAGATATTCCGGAAATTCCCAAACAACTTACTGCTAAACCAATAAATCATTCCACTATTGAATTAGAATTCAAACTACCAGTCACCCATGTGGAAGCGCCTTTAACTAGTGTAATTGTTGAATATCGTCCTAAAAGTGTATCAAGGTAAATACTTTTATAGAAATATTATCAGACGATTATTAATTAAAATAGTTATATATTTATAGTCCGGTTATATTAAACTCGTATTAAAGTCAGAGGGGTTTTGTAAATATTATAGTAATTTTAATAGTTGAGTCTACGAGTCAATTGAAACTAGATCACCATGGAAAACCTAGAAGCACTGGACGGCCATTTCGTCCCAGTATGGGACTCCTCAGCAGTGCGCATCCACGATCCCGCCCCTCGAGATTCGAACCCAGGACCTATCGGTTTCGCTTATTAAAGTATTTCTATATTCTCAGTTAAATGAAATCTTAATTTTTCTAACTGAACAATTTGATGTCACTTTTAAGCTTACCCTAAAAGTTTGTAAAATAAGCTATATGAAATAAATAGCTCTTACTTACAACTATAACTCATTGTGAAGCACATGACCCTGACATAGAATCATCAACCGACTCTATCCTGAGCCATTTCTTCTAGTCACTTCAAAATGTTTTTCATCTTTCTGATGCCTGCCTAAAATCTCGAGGCAATCTGTTTTTCGGTTTACTTCTTTTTCATTCGCCTTTAGTTATTTTTTGATTTGTGATTCAGTTTGATTATTTCTCCACTGCATATTCTACTCACTTCCAGCGTCTTTTCCTAGTTTCCTCTTCATCTGGAGGCTAGTTTGTTCTCTGCCACAGTAAGTTGTTGCTAACGGCATCAGATCAACGGATTTGGAGTATCTTGTGAAGATTGATGTTCTTAAGTATTTATACCTTTTTGGTGATAATTGTAGTAGTTCGCCAAGTATCAGCTCCGTACAACAGAACTGTATTGACGTTTGTATTGCAAATTATGACTTTGGTGTTGTGTGACAGTTGTTTTGAGTTTCAGTCGTTTTTAAGTCGTAAGAATGCTACCCTTGCTTTATTAATCAGTGCCTTCAGATTTGCATCAGATCTCCCTTCTTTATCAGTTATAATACACAGGTGTGTAAAAGCCTTCACCTGTTCCAGCGTTCCTCCATCAAGTGTGGTTTGGTTGATGTTCTTTGTGTTGTATTTGAGGATCCTGTATTTTCCCTTGTACATGTTGAGGCCTACTGATACAGAGGTTGCTGCTACACTGGCTGTCTTCACCTACACTTGTTGTTGTGTATGGGATAGAAGAACTAGATCATCTGTGAAGTTCAAATCGTTTAACTACGTCTAACGTGTTCACTGTATTCCGCGCTTCCCCTGAAATGTGTAGGTCTCCATAATTCAGTTAACAATCAACAGAAAGAGAAAAGTCGAGAATGAGTAAGGCTGTCTGACATTGGTCTTCATTTAAAATACATCTGTACATCTGAAGTATGCTATTTCCACATTATTGAGGTATTAATTTCTGAATCAAATTATGTTGTTATGTGTACTCAAATAATTTTAGTTCTGCCAACAACCTTTGCTATATAATTATTGCAACATAACATATCAGCTAACAATGAAAATATGAAATTTTTATTGCTAACAAACAAAACTTGTATAATTGAGATCATGAACTGATTGATATTAGACCAGCATTGATAACCTGGAAGCACTAAACGACCGTTTCGTCCTACCGTGGGACTCCTCAACATTGCGCATTCAGGATCCCGCTCACGGGATCCGAACCCAGGACCAAAACGGCCGTTCAGTACTTACAGGTTTTTAATCCTGGTCTAACATCAATCAGTTCACGATCTCAATCAAATACCTAGTAATCTCCACAACACTATACTGATAAACCTTATATAAACTTTTTATCGTAGGTAAGAGAAAGTAAGATTTATTCAATAGCTTGTACTTAACAAATTGTCTTATCCAAAAAAAAGTACAATTTCGTAAGTTAATTCTCAATTTATTTACATTAAATTATTTAATAATTAGATGGAAAACCCAAACATTTGAACCATGTTCCATAGTACAAATTGATAAACTTGAAGCAAATACAGAATATGAATTTCGTGTAAGTTGTACTAATTTGGCTGGTAAAAGTGAATCGTCAAATCCTGTTAAAGCTAAAACAAAACAATTGCCAAGTAAGTAAAAAGGAATCACATTTGTTTTCCCTCATTGATATTTAATAAAACTATTTAAATTTTGAAATAATGGAGAATATTTGTAACTTAGAATGGAGATATTTTACTAACTATGATCTCTGAGCTAGATGATTTGATTGTGAAGCTTTAAGAATAATGAATGGTAATTTTTGGGATCCATTTATGGACCAATACTATGAGTATATTTTTATCGTATAATTGTTATGTAACTAAACTGTTCATATTCATGTCCCTCTTATTATGAGTTCTATTTTGACCTATAAACTATTATTATAGGATTTACCATACTTGAGTCATGACCTGTCTATTAATTACTATCTCCCTCATTCACAGCCACTTTTGGCCAAATATTGTACAAATGTTATTTTCTATTTTAATAGTACGTTGTGGTCGGTTTGATTGGTATATAAACCCCGTATGTTTGAAATAAACTATTCATATTGCATAGGTTGAGATTGGTGTTCTGGACTCAACTGGTTGGGCTAGGCGGAAAGCAGGACCAATCAGGACTCTAGGCTGCTCGTACGTGTTTTATGCGTCACTGGTTCAATCGATAATTCGCTGCCGTCTAATCTGCAGTCACAGTTATAACAAACTTATATTGTCCTTTTAAACAACATTATTATCAATATGTACTTGAAAATGAAATGATCTGTTGGAATTTCTTCACAATTAACTAACATCTTATTTTGTTAACCTGGAATTTGTTTAGTTTTTATTATTAACTCTATGATTGTTATCTGCATCACTTTTTTTTGTTGTTTTTATTGACTGGTTTCTCTTTTAACTTGAGCTCTGACATTACAGGTGCCAATTCTTTGTTTCAATGTTTCACAATCAAACCAACCAATTCAGAAATCATTACACCAATAATTGAAGTCAATTTTCAAACCTTTGATTTAGGACCAATAAAATTAGGTAGAATCAACAAATAAAGATTTTTTATTGAAATCTCAACCTTAAACACTACACTTGACACTTTTCCTAAATATTTCAACATATATTCCCTACATGGTGCTATAAAGGTACTTTGTATTTAAGTACAGATATTCTCATGAAAGCCATTAAACAAACGTGATAAAACTAACTGAATATTAAAGATATGCATCGAAGTACAAATAGAGGTAGAAAAGATACCGAAATACACTGTATGCTGAAACGATAATCATCATGGTCATTTCTTTATTCCTTATGGTTGTTATTTTAAAGGAAATGCCAAGTTTCCCAACTAGTCAATGAATCGGCTTATTTAGAAGTAACCAGACTTTAAAGGAAATGTGGACGATGACATTGATTCACTTAATGTAATCTGTCCAGTTTTTCATGACGTTAATAATGGAAGGGGAAAGGCTTTGATAAACCCTAAGAAAATCTTCTGAAGTTAGGAAACTGATGAAACTAGGCGTTCTTAGGAAACATCCAAAAGAAATCTAGGACACAACTGGCTTCGCCTTCATTATCCCGTTCAGATAATGACCGAATTTGTTACTAATTTCAACACGTTTTCTCGAAATCATTTAAATTTTAGGGTCACGTATGATCTAATAAACATCGCTGCTTTCTGTTCAAATACTAACCTCCAAAGTTAAGTGTTTCTTCAATACTTTCTACCTTCTGTTTTCCATCCGGGGTTCAAGCGTAGAAGACTTTCGAGAACTGGAAAGGGATTACGAAGTCGGTACCCAAGCCTTCAAGTGGAATATGTATCGTATCGTATGTCGTACAATCAGAAAATGTTGATAAAACTGAGTGTCTCTCGATCTACAATACTACAAGAGCTTAAAATATGATTACTGACTGAATCACTGAGTTATTTAAATTTATTTATCAATTTTTGGACGGGTTTTAATGAGCCTCCTGAAATACATGTTTCAATGTGTTCCAACAAATATATATATATATTTTCACAGATTGAAATCATGAGTCAGTTGAAGCTAGACCACCGTTGGAAACCTGGAAGCACTGGACGGCCGTCTTGTCCTAGTATGGAACTCCTCAGCAGTACGCATTCACGACCCCGCGCCACGCGGGGCTCGAGCCCAGGACCTACTGGCTTCGCGCGCGAGCACTTAACCATTAGACCACTGAGCCGGCATCCAACGGTGTTAATGTCTAACTTTAACCAATCCACGAAGTTGCGCCACCATATACCATTGTATTCAGTGAGCTGATATCTCACAACAGACCTGGTTGTACTCCACTGGTAACGGCTTCCCACTAGAACTCCAGGAGTGTCTCTTGAAGTCAGTCACTAGTGAGCAGATGATTATTATCAGAAGGGGTTTGTGGAGATTTTTAGAAATTTTCACAGATTGAAATCATGAGTCAGTCTAGCTTCAACTGACTCATGATTTCAATCTGTGAAAATTTCTAAAAATCTCCACAAACCCCTTCTGATATATATATATACCAAGTACAAAATTTATCTTCTATCGGATTCAAATAACTAATACTAATCAAAGTATGCTACAACAATATCATCAACGAAGTGAATTTACTTCTGAAACTCCATATACTAGTCATTGGTTCATAATTGACAAACAATCATTAATCCGTTACTTCTTCCTTACTCTTCCAGTACCATAATCTTTACTGTTAAAAAATGTATTCATTTTAGAACCTCCTGATGCTCCGAAGCTTGACAATGCTACACCAGTCAATACAAACTCAGTAAAAGTCAGTTGGTTTTCTCCAACAAATGATGGTGACAGTCCAATTACGTCATATCAAATAGAGATGTGCGATGCTAAAAATGGCACTGAAGTATGGAAACCAATTGATGCTTTAAACATAGATCGTACGGATCAAAGTTTACTATCTCCAGACGAACAAAAGTCATATGAGTTGATTGTGAAAAATTTAGACAATTCCAAATCTTTCAAATTTCGTGTTATTGCTGTGAATAGTATAGGACCAGGTAAACCGTCTAGAAGTTCACAACCTGTTACACCTGGTAAGTTATTTACTACTTACTATTTCTTTGGTAATAAATGGATGTTTAGTCAATTTTACGATTCATGTAAATGTTATTGAAAAACAAAGAATAATTCAGAGAACAATTATATCTGACAATTTCCGTTATTAGGTTCTACAGCTAGAAATCCATAACTATTGCATTAAAATGGATAGAACAAGACTATTTTATTCTCTTCATAACATGTTCAATCAACTTCTACGTGAAAATTAGTTTTTATCCGTATGGGGTTGTGGAAATTATTACGTTTTTGATTGAGATCTTGAACTGATTGATGTTAGACCACCATTGAAAACCTGGAAGCACTGGGCGGTCGTTTCGTTGAGGTTAGACATAAACACTGTCGGATGACAGCTGAATAATCTAGAGGTTAGGTGTTCGTGCACGAGACTGAAGGCCCTGAGTTCGAGTCCCGCGAGCGGGATCATGGATGTGCATTGCTAAGAAGTCCCACAATAAGACGAAACGGCCGTCTAGTGCTTCCAGGTCTTCAGTGTTGGTCCAATATCAATCGGTTCATAATCTCAATTACAAAGAATTAATTTTATTTCCCTAATATGTACTAGTGTTGTTATGTCTTAATTATCTCTCTTAACATTCTAAGAATTGGGGTTTGTAGATATTGTAGTAATTTTAATAGTTGAATTTATGAGTCAATGTAAAGTAGACCACCATTGAAAACCTGGAAGCACTGGACGATCTTTTCGTCCTAGTATAGTGCTCGAACATTCATTCATTTATGAACTGAAACCCATTCTTTATCTTAATCGACCAGTCATGTGAATTAGCCATGTAGGATAAAGTATCGATTGATTATTCTCATGCAACAGATAGGTTAACACTGCTCATTACATGTAAATTTTAGGGATTTTCATACAAATGTTTTTACAGAATATTTAATCACTATGTATATATCAGGAAGAAATTGTTATTCATTTTACATCTTACCGATGATGTAAAACTAAATAAGACCATTTTGATTGTATACCAATTATTGTACAAAAAGTACAAAAGGAACAAAAGAAGCTTACATTTGGACACTATTTTAATTATAAAACAAAATACTTTGGCTTTTTATTTCGAATAATGATGGTTCCATGTAATATGAAAAGAATTTTGACTAGCCACTGTATGAAAATCATTTATGAGTATCTAATCATAGTTTCACTCGATAAAATAGTGTAATATTGACATTAATCATATTGCAGTAAATGAGAACACAAGTGAGGACAATCGAATGTATTGGAATACAAGATTACAGAACATCTTCGTAAAATCTCAGAACCATACCGTAAATACTTCATTTGCAAATTATCAATTAATCGTCTCAGACTTCATTGCTCTTTCATTTCCACACCAATCATTCTCCGTTCTCGTTCACTTTTCTTCGATCTTCTTAACCTTCTACCGCCAGATATATCACTTTCGATTGATAATACATACTACTTATATCTTTCGACATCAGTAGCATACACCACACTGTGTTGATCTTTGTTGTCAATTCTTCATAGAATAAATAGTAAACCTGGCAGTTACTTTCGTTAACAGTAAAACCCTGATTCGAAAATTGACTATTCTTTACTTTTTGAAAAATAATGACTTAGAAATTTAAATCAACATGTGAATAGTATATCCTATTGGAAATCACAGTGTTAAATTACTTTAGGTTGAGTTTTGTTCCCTGAGCTGGATAGTTTTTTCGTGTAGCTCTCATTGTTCCTCTGAACAACACCAGCACAAACTTCCCTTTTATCCCAAAGTTATTTTTCTGATAATGTTGTTTAGAAGAACAATAAGAGTTCTATGATCAAACCATTCAGTTCAGAGAACAAAAGTCCTTCTAAATTATCCATCTGAGCTAAAAAATCTTCTCCACTATTGAAAATTGAATTACTTGTTCATACGTTCATGTATCATGATTTTCAGTTTATCAATACAAGTTACATAATATTTTATGTCAACCTTAAAAACAACATACAATTCATGAATAACACTATGAACAGATCAATTCTTCAAATGTTTATCATTTCAAACAATGTCATAAATATTATAAGCAAATATGGATAGTGGCTAGCAGTGGAATTCAGAACGCGCGTTTCGTCCTACTTCGAACTCGTCAGCTGGATGTATCTTCATAGTACGCACATATGCCAATAAGAGTCTGATTAATTACAGTCCTAAACATTAGTGAGAAGATTCAAGTAAACAATATCAAGTGAGTTTAAACTTCACTCCACTGCACAAGCAAGTGGCTATCTGTTGTAACGTGTGAGACTGCAGGTTTTGATAAGCAGCGCTTATATCGATCGATCACAGTAACACGGAAAACACGTATGGACGACCTAGTGCCCTGATTGGTCCCGCTTCGCAGTCTGTCCCAGCCAGTTGAGTCAGGAACACAAGTCACAGCCTCTGAGTTATGAATCATTGTATTTCAGACATACTCTATTTATATACCAAACAAACAAACCACATCGTACCATAAAATAGAAAACAACATTTACACAATATTTAACAAGTGAAATAGACATCGACCAATAGGAAATGTACATTTAAGGTCCAAGGCCACCATAGACTTTTCCTCAGCATCCATAACACTATCTAAACTCAATAGCTAAGTGAATAACACAATGATGTTTGAAGCAAATGATGCTAGGTTTGAGTCATTCAGTGAAAATCAACTCTGAGGTGCAGGTACATCCAACTGACGAGCCCCAAATAGGACGAAAGGCGCATCCTGGATTCCACTGCTAGCCACTGTCCATCTTTGCTTATAGTGGTTGAGAATTAAGGCAATATCGAGGCAATACGCACATTATGCACATATCCCAATAAGAGACGGATCAATTACATCCCTAAACATCATTGAGAAGTTTCAGGTAAACAATACCATGTGAATTTCATGTCATAAACAGTTCGTAGCTTTTCAGTACAATATCATTTGATTATATAATCTTGTTATCCTTATTAATACCTCTCATAAAATATCCATAGTTATATGAAAATGTTTTGCCTGAAAAACTTATAGGAATTGAAGTCAATATTATTCGACCATTGAATAATGTTTGTTTTGATGAAATTCCAAAATCTGGAACAAAAGTTGAATTAGAATGTGAATTAAGTCAATCTAATTATCGAGTAAATTGGTTATATAATGGAAAACCAATTGTATTGGGCAAGAAATATGATTTCTCTCCAGAAGGAAATGTTTATCGATTAATTATTAATGATATAACACTTGAAGATATGGGAGTTTATGAATTGAATTATAAGAAGTTAAAAACACAATGTAAAGTAGAAGCTAAAAGTAAGTTTTAAAATGTTAGGATATAAATTTAACTACTTGATAAACGTATAAGTAGTGTGCTTTTGCTTGGTTATTTTATTTATAACTTTGTACCATGCATCTCACTATAACATATGTTGTATATTCAAAAATAATCATCTGGTTGTGATCATCTTCAATGCTAACTAAAGGTGAAAATTTTTCGTTTAATAGTCTTAGATTTCAGGCTAACATAGTTATATTTTATTAATACTACTGTAGTGAATGAGAACACCAATGGGGAGATAACCAAATGTTTTTGAATACATTACAGAATTTTTAAACAAAGATGGATAGTGGCTAGCAGTGGAATCCAAGACGCACGTTTCGTCCTATCTGGAACTCATCAGCTGGACAAGAAAGTGGCTATCTGGACTCAGTAGGTCAGCGGATAACGCGATGACTTTTGAAGCGAACAGTACTGTGTTCAAGTGAAGATCAATTGTGTCATGCAGGTACATCCAGCTGATGAGTTCCAAATAGGACGAAATGTGCGTCTTGGATTCCATTGCTAGCCTCTATCCATCTTTGCTTAGAATGCTTGTAAATTAATGCAATATCGAGGCAATACACACAGTATGCACATACACCAATAAGAGATGGATCAATTGCAGTCCTAAACAACAGTGGTAAGATACAAGCAAACATTACAACATTTCTTGGTAAATTCCGAGAACCACACAGTAAATACCCCATGTGCGAAATGTTTATCAATTGTCTCGGACCACTCGCTCATTGTTCTCGTTCTCTTTTCTTCGATTTTTTCAACCTTCTACCTTCCAGCATCCCAATTTCGATTTATGATAAATACTACTTATATCTGTCGATATCAGTGGCACACACTACACTACGTATCACGTGAGAATCATTCTTAAGGTTTAGTAAACTGTTGAAGTAATCGTGACTTTGAATAATTATGAAGAATCCGGTGTTTGGTAAACTATGAGACAAGATAAATTGTACGATTATCTGTATATCAACCAGTCACGATCTAAATGAAACTTAAGCACTGGGATCAGATTAAAAAGTTGGATATGTATTGGGAAGAATTGATAAAGCTGATAGTCATTGCATTAAAAAGGCTTGTTAGAAACATTTGCCAATCAAAATTAGTTCTATCAGATTGCTTCTAGTGATTAGGATAAGTGAACCCAAGATAAGCAGATACAATCCAGTCCAGATCAGATCGCACAAGTTATATAATTGACCTTTATAAAACTAGAAAATAAAAACAAACCTATTTTTACACTAACTGTTATATCCCGATAAGAATAACGAATGGCAACTGTTAGAATATATTTCTGCATTAATACTATACATGTATTTTTATGGTATAATTGTTACGTAGCTAAACTATTCATATACATGATCCTCGTATTATAAGCTTTATTTTGACCTTTGAACTGTTGCTATACAATTTACCGTTCTTGAGTTATGCACAGTACATTAATTTACTGTCTCCCACATTCACAGCCACTTTTGACTAGATCTTGTACAAAAGTTATTATCTATTTTATAGTATGATGTGGTCTGTTTGGTTTGTATATAAACTCAGTGTACTTGAGATACATGATTCATATCGTGGGGGCTGAGATTGGTGTTCTGGACTTAACAGGCAGGGAGAAGGACCGATAAAAACTCTAAACTGCTGGTACGAGTTTTATTTGTCATTGATCTGGTCGATAAATCACTATTCTCTAATTGGCAGTATCATTACGTTATACATTGATAGGAGCAAAAACTCACAAGTTATAACACTAACCTAGCCCTATATCATTAAATTAAGATTGCGATAAACTCATTTAATCCAAGAAAAAATTTATGATAACCTCGTCATAAATTAATGAACATGTTTTAATCATAAAAAATTTTTTTAGTTCCACCAACACTTCTTGAAGATACTGAAGAAAGTCATACACGTCGTATTAATGTTGGTTCAAATTGTGTATTTGAAGTACCATTTAAAGCTTATCCAAAACCTACTATAAAATGGCTTGCTCAAAATATACCTATTACGGATAAAACAAAACGTTATCAAGTTGATATAGTAGCTGGTTTAACATCATTATCTATACAACGTGTACAAAATGATGATACTGGTCAATTAATTGTTATCATTGAAAATGAACATGGAAAATTAACATGGAAATGTGAACTAATTGTTATTGGTAAGTGATTATTCAAGTTATTTATATTTAAAAGTAATTTAATCTAATAAATTTCACAAATATTCAACCTTCATCATATACTGATATGAATGAACAACTAACATGTCATCAAATGAGATCTATACAGCATAAGCATAATCTTAATCTCTAATTAAAACAACTTAAGTGGCTAAAAATTCATTGTTTATTGATATGTTATTTTTAGATGAATGAATTCAAGTTTTAATAATAAGTTTAGTCAAGTTAACCGCGTAAAGGGATATATACTTGTGATTTAAGAAAAAAGAAGAGATAAATGAACTTTGTCAGGAGTTAACAGAATTTATAAAATTCGAACTACTGGTGGTCATATAATTTGTGAATTATAAATGCAATCCTTTTTCAGGGGACGGGCGTGGACAAAGAAGTTCATGTATACCGCCTAAAAATTCTATTGTACATTGAAACATTTGTTAAGTTTACATTAGTTTCGAATGTTTAGCTGATGATAAAAAGTTTTAAGTTGACTGCTTGTTAGTTATTTTTAAGATGAAGATATGACTTACCTATGGTTGATATTAAATATAAGGCGAAAAAACATTGACTAATGATCCTCAACTTCGTTATTGAATACGCTTAGAATGTAGTTGATTTCAATTAACACAAATGAAAAAAAATTTTTTCAAGTGATGTTAAAAGTTAAATAATAAAATATATTTTTTGGTTAAGATCATGAAGCGCTTGATGTTATACCAACATTAAAATCCTGGATGCACTGTTTGACTGCCGTGGGACCCCTCACTAGTGCGCCCGGAGAATTTGAACCCAGGGTCTTTGGTCTCGCGCGAACGCTTAACCTCCACACCATTGAGACGGCCGGCATCCAACGATGTTAATGTCTAACTCCAACCAATCCACGAAATCGCGCGATAATCTTCCATTGTACTGAGGTAGATACCTGTCTCTACCTGACATGGATTAGCTCCACTGGTCACGGCTTCTCACTAGAACTCCGAGAATTCCCTCACGAAGCTGGTCACTAGTGAGCATATGATGATTATCAGTATAGGGTTGTGGTGATTATTAAGTTTTTGATTGAGATCATGAACCGATTAATGTTAAACCATTATTGAAAATTATTGAAAAAACTCGGCAGTGCACATCCACGATCCCTTTCGTAGGATAGTTAGAAGTATTTGAAACATTTACCTAGCACCTCATAATATTGCAGGATTAAACCCTGCTCCATATATTTCATTTTGTAGTCATTGTATATCATTAATTCTTATAAAAAGAAATATGATTCAAATCATATTACTAACTGATTTATCTTAAATTGACTGTAATCACTTTCAAATCATATGCTAAAGTACCTTACCTAACTTTCAACTTTACACTTTTATGGCATCAAATTGAGTCAACAGTTATCCGTTTCAATGTATATGATCAATTTAAGGGGATTTCTATTCTTATAGTTCCATTTACCATATACTTTTATTATTCTCATTTTATTTTAATTAGATAAACCAAAACCAGTTGAAAATTTAACTGTTGAACCAAGTATAGATCGACTTCATATGATAATGAATTGGAAACCACCACGTAAAGATTTAAATAATCCAATAACACATTATGAATTAGAATATCGTAATTCAAAAAATCGTTCATGGCAAACATTTAAAAATGGTCCATTAGATATAGATGATTTATATAAAATACCTAATAATTTAACAAAATTTGAAATAAAAATTACAGAAAAAGAAACAGCGAATAGTTTAGCACCGAATACAGATTATTATTTTCGTATAATAGTTGTTAATGAAGTTGGAAAAAGTGAACCAACTGAAACACGTTCATTCATTAAAACACCATCATTACCAAGTAAGTTAATATCTTTTATATTATATTGTTTAAAATATTTCTATCAGATGGGTTTTGTGGAGATCGTAGTAATTTCAATGGTTAAGATCATAAGTCAGTTGAAGCTAGACCACCATGGAAAACCTGGACAACTGGACGGCCGTTTCGTCCTACTGTGGGACTCCTCAGCAGTGCACATCCACGACCTCGCCCCCTGCGAGATTCGAACCCAGGACCCACTGGTTTCGCGCGCGAGAACTTAATCACTAGACCACTGACCCGGCGGGCATCCAACGGTGTTAATATCTAACTTCAACCTATCCACAAAATCGCGCCACCGTACACCATTGACTTCAGTGAGCTTCAATTTAATCATGATTTCAACTATTGAAATTCGTAAAATCTCCATCTGCTCACTAGTTACTGACGTCAAGAGACATTTCCTGGAGTTCTAGTGAGAAGCAGTGACCAATGGAGTTCAACCAGGTCTGTTGTAAGATATCAGCTCACTAGAGACAATGGATAACTTCAACTGACTCATGATCTTAACCAATAAAATATTTCTATCATAATAAAATTACTATGTTTGAATTGATTATAAGTTCACTTAATCTGCGAACGGAACAAAAACTCTGTGATCAAAGACTAATAAGCTAACTATTCTGACATGTCTTAGTCTCTCTAATTACAGAGAGAAAAATCCCAAGTTCGAAACCTGGAAATATATTCCTCAAGCAGCTAGAAGCATGAGCAATCACGACCCAATCTAGTTGGAAATGCAATCATTTATATATTGATTTGTACACCTCTTTTTGATTAATAATCAGAATAAATCACACATATGAAAAATACTTTATACAAGAATATTCTATGTTAAAGAATAAAATGTTACTCTAGGAAACAGAAACAAGTACTACATATATTATATATATAATATATATAATTTCAATAGTTGAATTCATGGGTCAATTGAAGCTAGAGCACCATGGAGAACCTAGAAGCACTGGAAGGTCGTTTCATCCCAGTATGAGACTCTTCAGCAGTGCCCATCCACGATCCCGCTTTCAGGACTCGAACCCAAGACCTATCAGTCGCGCGCGTGAACGCTTAACCTCTAGACCACTGAGTCGACCGGCATCCAATGGTGTTAATGTCTAACTACAACCAATCCATGAAATTCAACCACCGTCCACCATTGTCTTCAGTAAGTTACTACCCCACAACAGACCCGGTTGAACTCCGCTGGCCACTGCTTTTCAGATATTACTACAAACAAACTGATAACGAAATTTGATTTTTATATAGATAATGTCAATTAATCCAACGTTTCCATCCATATGATGTTTTTTTATAGAACCACCGAAATTAAAGTATGATAAAACTTTGGAAACGTGTAAAACAACCACTGGACAAAAGCATTCTATACCCGTTAGTGTAGAAGGTGAACCATCTCCACAAATAGATTGGAAATTTATTCCTGACGGTCATCCAAGTGATGAGAGAAATTCACTTCCTAGTGATGCACAAACAGAAGCATCCGGTCCTGACCAAGATGGTGTGAATAAAATTGCATTGAAATTCCGAAAAATATCACGATCATGTGGCGGCACATATATTTTAACAGCTGTAAATAATTGTGGTGAAGCTCGTGCTGAATTTCATGTGACTGTGTTGGGTAAGGAACATCTCATTTTTCTAACTTATAGCCATTATATAATGCTTGGTTTCTACTCCATTAGTTCGAAGTAACTAATATTAAAAACTGGAAACGAAGGCCACAGCTTTACAAGTTCAATTTTATTTCAATATGACGATGAATGGCTGCGCAACTATTCATCTATTGTCTGAGGTGGATACCTGCATCTATCCCATACGGTTTTGACTCCACTGGCCACGTTTTCTCACTAGGACTCTAGGAAATTATCTTGAAGCCAGTCACTAGTGAGCAAATGATGTTTATTATCAGTATGGGGTTGTGGAGCATGTTAAGATTTTGATTGCGATCATGAATCGATTGATGTTAGACCACCACTGAAAACCTGGAAGCACTGAATGATTCAATGGTGGTCTAACATCAATCGATTCATGATCGCAATTAAAAACTTAACAATCTCCACAACCCCATACATATATTATTATCAAAAGGCAGAAGTGTGAAAAACCACTAGGGTCACAGGAATTATTGGTTTTTATAGGTATATTCTAAAGAGTCAGTGTAATATTGTAAAAAAATATTAGAAAAACAAAGTATGGTGAGCTAAATTTACACCATCATGGAAAAGGAATTACATGAAGTCCAAAAGTAAATTAGACCATGATAAGGACCAAGAAATTATGAAAAAGTTTAGATTGTTTTGTTTTTTCTAAACCTTCATTGAATCAATAAGAAAAAGACTTACTTACTTACTTACAACTGTTACCCCTCGTGGAGAGGAGCATGGACCGCCCACCACCACTTTTCATCCAACCCTGATCTGGGCAATCCTTTCCACTTGTTTCCAGTTGATATCCATCCTTTTCATGTCTGCTTCCGATTCTCAACGTAGTGTGTTCTTCGGCCTTCCACTTTTCAACTTACCTTCAGGATTCCATGTTAGAGCTTGCCTCGTGATGCAGTTTGGTGATTTCCTTTATATGTGTCTTATCCACTTCCAACGTCTTTCCCTAATTTCCTCTTCAGCTGGAAGTTCGTTGGTTCTCTTCCACAGTAGGTTGCTGCTGATGGCATCCGGCCAACGGACATTCGGTATCTTGCATAGACAACTATTTATAAATACTTGTACCTTTTTGATGATGGCTATGGTAGTTCTCCACGTTTCAGCTCCATACAGTAGAACTGCTTTGGCTTTCATATTGAAGATTCTAACTTTCATATTGGCTGACAGAAAAAGACATATATTCTACTAGATGAGTTTCTTTTTCGCTAACTAACAACTTTCATCTATGTATTTTATTTTCATGGATAATATTGATAAGATCGATATTTGATTATGCAAATATAAAATCGATAATCGCCTCATGTTTGCACCAATCTCAGATACTGTTTTTTTTCTTCTTTGAGTAATTCTGAACCAAGTTAACTAACAGTAGTATCGAAAGTTTATAGATAAATAATATTATAAAACATCATTGTTTTACAACTGTTTCTTTTTCTCTCGGAAAAATTCATAACTTTAGGTCTACCAAGTGCACCACAGAATCTTATTGCAACAAATCTGTCAAAAACTTCCATTCGTCTAAATTGGTCACCACCTACTGATACTGGAGGTAGTCAAATATTAAATTACGTCATAGAACAAGCTGTAGTTAAAAGTAATTTGGCTACACCATCTAGTGTAGGTTATTGGGAACCTGTAACACGTAATCTTCCAGTACATGAAGCATCTGACGGTTCTACAGGATATATTTATGATATTATTAATTTGGCATCAGAAAAATATATGCTTTTTAGAGTAGCAGCTCAAAATAAACAAGGAATTGGTGAATTTGAAACTATTACAAGTCCTCTTTTAGTTACATCTCCACACAGTAAGTTAATTTTGAAAATTATAATTTTTATAATGTTGGTTATTTCTGTTATAACTTATGGCCTATTGCCCCTAGCAATATATGACGTAATTATACCGCCAATTAGAGAATAGTGATTTATTGACCAGATCAATGACAAATAAAACTCGTACCAGCAGTTTAGAGTGTTTATCGGTCCTTCTCCCTGCCTGTTAAGTCCAGAACACCAATCTCAGCCCCCACGATATGAATCATGTATCTCAAGTACACTGAGTTTATATACAAACCAAACAGACCACATCGTACTATAATACGAGGATCATGTATATGAATAGTTTAGCTACTTAACAACAATACAGTAAATATATATATATATATCGTATTGGTCTATAAATAGTTCTAAAACGTTACCATTTATAACTCTCGCCGGCATATAGCAATTTCAGATTATTAAATCGTTATTATAATTACAGTAGTTTAATGGGATAACTTTGAGGCACTGGACAGCTGTTTCGTCTTATTGTGGTACTCCTCAGCGATGCGTATCCACGATCCCGCTCGCGGTATTCGAACCATCGACCTTCAGTCTCTTGCGAGCGGACAATTTCAATGGTGGTCTAACATCAATCAGTTCATGATCTCGATCAAAAACTTACTAATCTCCACAACCCTATACTGATAATAGGATAACTCTCCAGGGTTCAAAAGGAAGGATATGTAGATCAAGTTATAAAGGAAATATTAATACACTAGGATGCAAGTACATTTAAGTGACAATATACAAAGTAAAATATGTACTTTTTACGATTTACTATTAGTCACTACAAAATATATTAACATTAGAACTTCTTTAAAAAGATATTTATGTTTAAATTATCCATGACATTTCACAGTGAATAAAGTTATCATTTTTCTTTTCATATTCAAGATTTACCCGGACCACCAAAAGATTTAAATGGTACAACTGATAAAGATGGACAAGTTCATTTAGAATGGAAACCTCCACAACATGATGGTGGTGCTAAAATTATGAATTATATCATAGAAAAATGTTTATCATTAAAAGATGCTAATTGGTCTGAGATTAAACTTCCTGATTCACCTAATACAATGCGAATTATACCAAATCTTAGAGGTAATTTAACCTATTTATTTACTATTGAATATTTTTTATAAACTAGAGTTATTTTTCTTAGCTTAAATCACAAACTGGTATAAGCTATACCATCACTAGAAACCAAGAAGCAGTTTCATCCTAGTATGAGACTCCTCTGTAATGCTCATACACAACCCTGTCATTGGGGATCGAACTCAGGATCTTAATTTTTGCGCATGACCGCCTAACCTCCTGATCATCATCTATTGATTAAAACTATGCAAATTCTACAATCTTCACAAACATCTCTATACCGATAATGTCATTGTTGTTATCTTTATTTAATTAACTTTCAATTCTAATTTACTAATTCATATTTCTATTTTTTTCATTTAATTTATATGTATCGTTATGATAGATGGTATCTGCTACTTTCGTGTATCAGCTGTCAATGATGCTGGAAAAGGTTCACCATCTAATATCATAGATGTAGATGTTAAAAAAGGTTCTGGTAAGTACTTATAAGTAAAATACTACTCATCTTACAAACAAGTATTTGATATAATACGCGATTTATTATAATAAAATCAGCGAATGACTGTTATAACAAAAATGATTAAAGAAAACTAATCCCATTTATTGGAAAGAGTCAGTTAGGCTTCACTCCGCTTGGGTCCCCCCTGGGGTTACTGACAGTCCCAAGCCCGGACAATGGAGTAGGGTTGGGCATGGAGTTAGCGATCGCATCCCGTAGAAAACTAACTCGCTAGAAAAACGCTAACCAGAAAAAAATAATTAAAATTATTTAAACTCTGCCCTGAGAGTTAGAAGGTGTTCATTTCGAAGAGCTATGACACCTCACGGTGAAAGCCGAGTTCCTTCAGAAGTCACGAGGCCGATGCCACTTCTGACAACCATAGCAATCACTAATTTAAGTACATGGAAGGTTCGTACAATGTGGGAGACAGGAAGAGTCATCCAAATTGCTACAGAAAAGGCTTCACGTGAATGATACAGTAATTATTGTAGTGCAAATTACCTGAAACTCCTTATGCCATGTAAACAATAGTATGGAAAGTTTAACAACTAACCCCAATTAAGTGAAGTTTGATAAAGAATGAAAGCACACCAGAAGTTTAAGTTATTCATGTATATGAAGCCGATAATACAATTCGCTAGTTTACAAAACACGAAACAGTTAAACTACCGAAATAAATTAAGTCTTATCAACCGATTCACTTATACTAATGGTAAATTTATTAATTATGAAATCAAGTTAGTCAGTTTAATGTTGTTAGATGCCTACCAAATTTAACCTTAAAAATGTTAAGGATTCAACTCCTAACTTGTTAATGCTAATAATACGCTACTTGATATAACCTTGTAATTATTACTCGTGATCCCAACCATGACCAGGTTTTTTTCTTGCGAGCAGATATCCTGATAGTTCGGTTGAATGGCTTGATAGACAACCACCAATTAATTACAAAACGTTTCTTTACCAAGACCTAATGAGCGATGAAAAAAACATTGTGCTTTGATTGAGATCGTGAACCGATTGATGTTAGAGGACCACCATTGAAAACCCGAAATCACTGACGGCCGATTCATCCTAGTATGGGACGCCTCAAAAGTGTGCATCCACGATCCAGCTTTCAGGACTCAAACCCAGGGTCTTCAGTCTCGCGCGAGCGCTTAACCTCCACACCATTGAAACGGCCGGCATCCAACGATGTTAATGTCTAACTCCAACCAATCCACGAAATCGCGCGATAATCTTCCATTGTACTGAGGTAGATACCTGTCTCTACCTGACATGGATTAGCTCCACTGGTCACGGCTTCTCACTAGAATTCCGAGAATTCCCTCATAAAGCTGGTCACTAGTGAGCACATGATAATTATCAGTATAGGGTTGTGATTTTAACTCAAAAAACATACATCAATAAATAAATTGACAATTACAACATAATGCATATTAATTGAAAGATCATAATGTTTACCGAAATAAGGCATTTAGAGTATAAAATTAAAACACTCAACTCATAATCAAGATGACAAGATACGCGTCTGTGAATTTATAGTGCAGTCATTTCTCAGTGTTCAAAATGTGTGCGATATTAAAGATTTTAAGACATTCTTCCTATCACTTAGTGAATGCTTTATATAAGAGCATTATTTTCAGTGGAGATTTCATTTCTAGTTACGAGAAAATGGCATACCAAAAATAGGACATTATACTTTCCATACTCATTTCGAAGATTACGGAAAATATTAGGCGTTTTATTTTGTTATTTTTTTGTGTGTTTGCTAATATTCACTACCAAGAGAGAAGGATCATATTGCACAATATGTGGACTCACCTTCATATAAAATATATAAAGACTATTGACATTTTATAATACTTGAAATATTTCAGGTTTTACAATTACGTAATTTTCTTCTATTCATAAAGATAAACCTGATCAACCAGGTCAACCAACTGTTGAAGTAATTGCAGATGGTGCTGTTCAACTGCGTTGGTCACAACCATTGAATGAGGGTACTGGTGGACCGATAAAAGGCTATGAAGTACAAATTTGTGAAGTTGGTTCAATTAAATGGAAACCTTCTTCATCAGATTTATGCTCAGTGAATGAAATTCGTTTAACTGGATTAAATCCAGCACAAGATTATTTGTTTAGAGTAATTGCAGTTAATGATGCTGGGTTAAGTTTACCTTCTGAACACAGTAGACCTATTCGTCCAGGTGAGTTATAATTACTGAACAATATAATTGTTCGTACAGATTAATTTGATTTTTAATCAGTTTCCTGTTAAGGTGGATCATTACAGAAAACATTTGGAAATGAATATTAAACATGAATATAGTTAAGAACTCATCACTGACATTGAGCACTTTAAATAGTCACCAGAGAAAATTAAAAGATTTCGTATATCTTTCCTAGAGTATCCATTCATTAACTTTTTATAAATGTTTATATATAATGAATATTGTTGAGTTCATTAAAAACTATCCTGAATTGATCATCTACGAACTTTGAACGTCATTTAAAGATAATCACATGTGGTAGTTGATCTTAGTCGAACTGATATATTGTGCAAGAGGTAGCTACTATAATCTTATGACTTTGTGGATAACTGTATCATCTGAAACGATTGGTATAATATCTACTTCTCAGTTGAAATACTACGGATTTTAAAAGAAGATATATTAGGGTAGTGAATTTCATCTCAAACTTAGGGACGATTTCAACATACTTATTTCATAAAGTATTCTGTTTTGTATCTGTCTGTTAAGTATAATCATTTGAGTAAATGATTCATGTTAGCAAACAGTATAACATCGGTTTATACTACTAGTTGTTCAGATTTATGTATGAAAAGATCAGAGGTATGTACTTTGTTATTTTAATCAACTGCTATACTCCCTGTTGAATGTCTTAACGAATCCTCTAATAAATATCAGAACTGAAGTCAATGAAACATTGTGTCACTTTAAGTAATAAACTGAATTATTTATTCTTAGTACAGTAATGTTTATATCGTTAGGACTAATATGTATCTTTATAGCCAAAATACTTAAATCACTTTATTAATATCAACCTATCAGCTTTTTGTTAATCATATCAGGCCTTCACACCAAGTCGGCTTGCATACAGTCCTAATTTCAAGTTAGCCAAATAACCTATCACTTTAAACCTTTCCATCTCGACGAATTAAATATATCGAGTACCAGTATTCATTCATTTGGCTATCATAGATATTTCTTGAGCATTCATATAGTGTTGGGAAGATTCATAATGGTTTGGAATCTAATGATTTAACATGACTGTTCACATATCATTAAATTCTGTTGCCTCCCGTACTGAACTTTGTACAGAATTTTCCTATGTTTACATTTAATAACTTCAAATAGCTATGGCCCTTTATGATATCAGGAGTTCCGGAAAAAAATCCAGTAGATTCAGCTGTAGGTCTTCTGATGTATATCATCCTTTCCACTAACATGTTCATTTCGATAGGCATGCTGAACCTGTTGGTCAGTTGTCAGGAGAATAACATTATGATTTGTCCTCCGCTTTGCTCTAAAACACGATCGCTATCATTTACACGTTCTGTTGGATACTAGGCTTCCGGAATAAATGCATGGGAAATCGTTTAAATCATTACTAATTTCGATCAATTTAATTAACTAGATTCGGTGGTAATTTCTGACTAATTTAACATAACCTCGGTTTCACTTTACCATTAATTTAGGCTTTGAATTTCGTTACAATTAAGAGACCTCCTGTACCAGTAAGAACGCAATTATTGTGGAGTGAAACAACATAACAGTGTTGTCCGGTGAAGTTAAAAACAATGGTTACAGATTGTACTTTAATCTTAGCTTTGTGAATAGTCACTAAATCCTAATCGGATTTTTATTGTACCTTAATACTGGTGTGGAAGAATACTTGATTGTTTTTCCAATTATCCTTTATAAATAAACATTTAACATCAGTTATTTGTTCATGTTTAAATGTTAAGAAATTAAAGACGGATGAATGGCAATTGTATTTTATTTTTGAACTTTTAGCTACTGATGTGGATTTCGTCCGTCCGTTGGAGAATCAATCTATTACAGAGTTACCATCTGATGTTGTATTTGAATGTGAACTCTCTCGACCTGGTATGACATTGATATGGTCCAAAGATGGACGTGATCTAAATTTATCATCACGATGTGTGTATAGCGTTATTGGAGAAGGTGATAAAGCTTTTTGTATTCATCGACTAACTCTTATAAAGGTTAGTCCAGATGAACAAGGTGTATACAATGCGAGATTAGTAACTGGGAAAAAAACTGAAGCTATATTGACGATTGAATGCCCACCAAAAATACTTTATGATGGACCGTTAGAAATACAATTACTCAGTGGAAAAAGTACAGTGATTGAAGTACCATATACTGGTGCACCATTCCCAGACGTTAATTGGTCATTTAATCATGGACCATTACCAATCGGAGCAAAACGTGAATCTCCTATTGCGTCAGTAGATACAGTATATGGATTAACATGTTTGCGTCTGCGTCACGTTACAGGAGAAATTACTGGAAATTACAAACTTCTGGTAAGTTATACAGTTTATTTCTCTCTGGCCCAAATGTATACATATAATACAAAAGTCTTTGGTCCTAAAACTGATACTTTTTTCTTATAGATAAGTAATGAGCTGGGAAAGGCAACGTTAGAACTTATTGTGAAAGTACTAGATGTTCCAGGACCTGTACGTCAATTGAAGGCAACAGTCAGAACCAACCGTCTGGTACCGCATCACTCACATGGCAAGCACCAAAAGAGGAAGGTGGTTCACCAATTATTGGTTATCTTGTCGAAAAACGTGAAGCGAATAAACGTAGTTGGACACCATTTGGCTCTCAAGTTAAAGAACTAAGCTGTGTCGTTGATGGTTTGACAACTAATACAGGTTATTTCTTCAGAGTTATGGCTCAAAATATATCAGGTTGCTCTGAGCCAACAGAAACCGATATATCGGTAGTGATACCATGTTTAACAAGTGAGTTTATAATTTTTCAAATAAACTTTATCGTTTACTTAAAAATTTTATTGATTCTAATGTCGAATGGATAGTTTTGCTGAGAATTTATTGATAGGAATAAAAGTAGAAAATAATTTAATGTATTGACAAGGTATTTTTAACATCTGAATTCACGAGTCGATCTAAGCTAGACCACCAATGAAAACCTGTAATCACTGAACGGCCGTTCTACCCTAGTATTAGAGGTGAGACTATAACTTATGGACGACCTATGAGCGACGCTGAAGTGGCCTTGAGAACGGCCACCTACTGACTAGGGCTAAATGAGGGTTTTAAACCTGTGTGAATGATAAGGATTATGATTTAGAGTTGATAGTTAGGGATAGGGATTAGATTTAGGGTTTTCATCACAAACTGACATCAGCTAAAATGCCAAGACGCTATTTAACAAAATGGATAAAGAATTTCACGCCGAAATCCAAGACCTTTTATCTTGAATCTGATTGGTTCATCCATAAATTATATTCTCGCCAAACTGAACTCCTCAGCAGTGCTCATTCACAGTCCCACACGTGGAACTTGAACCCAGGACCTTCAATATCACATGCGAACGCTTAACTTCTAGATTATTGAAAAATAATCCAATTAAGTCCCATATAAACTTTAACTAAAATAATATAAATGTAACAATACAAGTACATGTATAAACTAGATTACATTAGTATATAGATGTTATGCAATCAATAAATTGTTTGCAAAATACTCCTAGTAAGTTCCATTCTAATGTTTCATATCAAATTTTAAGCTATGTGACATTGAGTAACATAGAACAATATGGTTACTTGGGGAAAATTAATTGATAGAATACATTCATAATATGATTTTATGAATTACACTCTGACAAGTGATGAGGTAAACTATGGAATTCATACCCAGTTAGAATTAATTAATGAAAAGGTAACAACTAAAATTTTTTTGATATAATTCAGCTTAATGCATAGATATTGTTTAAAATGACTGTTGTGATGAAATAGTTAGTGATCCAAAAAATTCCACAGGTATAAATCATACATTGATGACCTGGAAGCACTGGACGGCCATTTCGTATTAGTATGGGACTCCTCAGCAGTGCGCATCCACGATCCCACGGTTGAAGAAACTTCTTAATTAATTAGAGAAGAAACAATCTTTAATCTATCGTCGGATTTCATCTCAGTGAATGTTAATTACTAATCAACATATTGTAGTTAAGAGGGGTGAATACTAATTACAAATAGTTACTTCATTCTTTCAAACATGATGTTTCTAGCTAACCTTATTCAGTTGACATGAATCTGTTGTTTGAATAGTATTGTAATTGTATTCGAGGATTTCCGGGTAAGAAATGAAACCTGAGGTTGAAATGAAAATACATCTTTAGTTGGATTGAATAAAGGGAAAATTATCCAGGATGAAGAAGTATCGAATACACTTAGTTTGTATACATTTATACAGTAGGGATTCATTTTACTTAACTGATTGATATACTTTGTAGGAATACTGTAGTTTGTGGAAGTTATTTATTGTCTATATTTGATTTATGTGACTTTAAATCAAGTATTCTAGTAATTTTAAACTTCAGTCAAATAAATGGCAGATATATAGAGATTCCTTAAAATGATAAAGAGTTACTTATAAAGCAATATTTTTGTGATGTATTTCTTCTTGTTGAAAATTATTGATTTGTTTTATAATATTCAGAACCTCCATCGGCTCCAGGGACACCAGAAGCAAGTGATATTGGTACGGATTCATGCCGAGTCAGTTGGGAACCACCCAGTTCGGATGGTGGTGCTCGACTGACATTTTATCATTTAGAGAAAAGAGCAAATCTTAAAGGTAATTGGGTAAGAGCTTGTGCGGATAAATTACCTATTTTGACGAATGAAGTAAAATCTACCTATGTGACAAAAGTAACTGGGCTTGTACCAGATAATGTCTACGAATTTCGTGTAGCAGCTGAAAATGCTGATTTTATGGTTGGTGAATACTCCAATTCAAGTCATAGAATTTCAACTCAGCTACCATTCTGTAAGTATCCACTTATAACATTTGCTTTCTATAACAGATATGATAACTGTTTTCTTTAGCGACCAGGAGAGTGTTTTCTTAAGTCCAAGTATAAGGCTTTTAGAGTACGGCTGATAAAACTTGCTCGACAGAAGTGGTTAGAAAATCGTGATATGACAGGATAAGACGACATTATTTAGGTCATTTTTTGTATCAATTCTTTATGAATTTCGGCCAGGGTGGCAGATGCGAAGTTCATTCCGTATAATATGTCGAAATCAATATTTTCTTGTATCAATTTCAGGATAAACTTTGTTCTTTATGGCAATTGTAAACTCGTTCATTGCAATAATTTTATCCTATGTATTAATTCAGGTGTACTGTATTTACTGTATGTTACACCCGAATGTAAATTGAATGAATGGTAACTGCTAGGGAATATTTAGTGACTATTATTACATATATTCTTACTAGATTATGCGTATATTCATACTCCTTTTATCATAAGTTTTCATTTGACCTATTGACTAGTATTATATGATTTACCGTTCTTAACTTAATACCAATTTATTAATTACAGTATCCCACTCTTACAGTCACTTTTTTGGCTTAATCTTGTATAATAATTATTTTTCATTTTATGGTCATGAGGTCTGGTCTGTTTATATATAAATCAAGTATGTCTGAAATACACGATTCATATAGCGAAGGCTGATATTTATGTTCTGAACTGAACGAGCTGGGTTGGGCGAGAAGCTACTATAAAGACGACCAATATGGACTCAGAGTTGACTCAATGCTGCTAGCGCTGGTTTACGTGTAGTTAATGTAGCACGGGGAAAATGTCATAGAAAACGATATTCTGATTGGCGATTTTGTCACATGATATTTAACTAGTCATAGAACGCAGTGTACTTTTGCATTGACTGTATATATCCCCCCTTAGTTTTTAAATAGAGTTCAGCCGAGAAAATCTCCGTTTTGTCGAAATCAGTTGCTTAAGCTGTGCATTAGTATCCACGGTTGCTTGGCTAATAGAAAAATAGACAACATTACATCATAAAGTGATTCGAGATTTCAAATGTCAAAAGGGGTTGAATAATAATAGGAAAGACTAGGAGTATGAAAATAATTTACGGGTTAGAATTATGAGAGATAATTGTCCATTCGAAAAACGTAAAGGTTATAATAACAATTGAATAATAATAATAACAATAAAGGATAATAATATCTGGTTACGGTTTAAAACTAAGAAACAAGACTAAAACATACTGCATAAAGGAATTAGAGCCAAGGAAGGATGAGAGGTTGGAAATGTCGTTTTTACGTTTTGTGTAGATTGTTTTGAAGGAAAACTCATTTAAACCAACGTGTCCAGATTTGATCAGATGTTCTAGTATTGAACCGGCGATCGTTTTACATTCTCTTTTTGAAAGCTACAGCTTAAGTAAATGATTTCGTCGAAAAGAAAATTCTCTTCGCTGAATTCTCTTTATTTTAATTCAGTAACACTATGGGTTACTTTAGTATATAATCGATTATAATGTGGTCTGAGTTTGATGTGATTTTGGTTACTGTGATTTGAATGTGAATTGGGGACTTGTTTGGAGACGTGTTTTTGGGAGTCAATAAATCTTCATTAACCAGTCCTTGCGTGTTCGCACTTTGCGTCGTGGAAATTGTGGCGGTTCCCGTCTACAGGTATATGGAATAGGCTTGAGGAATTACGATAGTTTCCAATTTACATGTAAAAGCAGTAAGACAGTAGACTCAACAGAGTCGATACGTACATAACGACAACAACTTCTCAGATATAACAGTTGGTTACTCAGTTATAACAGAGACGAATTTCGAATACATTTCATAGCTCAGCGTTGGTACCTCATTCTTGGCGTCATTGTAAGCTTGGTTAAAGAAAAGATGTAGAAATTAGTTTATGACAATTCAAGAAACGAAAAAATGTAACTACAAATAAAACTGCAGTTAACGTTTTAGGTTTTTTTTTAATCACAAGATTCATCTAAATTTATTAATATTTGAATGATCTGCCGTTCTAATGACTACCTCATCTATCTATTCATTCCAGCTGTACCCGGTAAACCATCAAGACCTGAAATTCAGAATATTACAGAAACAACTATTGGTTTAGCCTGGAAAGCACCATATGATGATGGAGGAGATTTAGTAAAAAAATATGTTGTTCAATATAAAGTAAGTTTGGCATATATAATAAACAAGGTTACTGAAGTTTAGATATTTTGTCTCGATAATTTAGTGTCCAATGAAGAAGCGATTAATGTCTATGACAGTCCATTGATTAGCTGTAGATATACAACAGTGTTTTATTACCTTCGTTATAGTAATGAAAACCATTTTTTACTAAAACTCAATAACAGTGCCTCAGAAATGTACAAGCTTATGAAGTTTCTATTTGTAACTGTACGACTCTATATTTGAAGCTTTTGCATTAAGAAACATGAAATTTACTCTTGATAAAAATTTCCACCCTCAAGAAAATAGCTCACAAAATTTTCCATTTCACATAATTTTGCTATACACATGTTAATGTAGTTACTATCAGTAAGACATGCTGTTACAATCTCGTGGGAAATCATCATTATTAATGAAATTACAACCTTCTTGTGGGGGGAGTGATGTCTGAGTTACAAAGATTATTGCTGACATATTTAAGCCCCATTCGTCGGTTTTCAATAAGATGAACTTATCTCTAATGTCTAAAGTATATTTCTACACTCTGATACATTCCATCATCCTTGACTTCTGGTTTGATTGGCTTTAGGATCGCTGTATTAGAACAGGTTTCGAACAGTAGCGTAAACAAAAACACTGCATATCCGTGAAATCTTCACTACCATATATCTATATATTATATTCAAGTAATTTCAAGTTAATCGCACAGATTCGCTTATTCCAATAACAATTGTAATGATTCATTTCTTAATAACTAACAGATGATGAGTTCTGATACATAAGAAATCGTTTCTGACCGTATATAAGGTTACTTAGGATTATTTCATTTATTTAAAGGGAAAAAATTGTTAGTGAATGGTGCAAAATTTGTTATTTACTGATGATTAGCATCGAGTAAATTCCACTTTGTAGGATCTGATATTCGAATCAATATTAATCGCTAATCGTTTGGTCAGACTTTATCATAGTTGATACTGGTAAGTACATATAACAAATATAAAACTATTGGGGAAGAGTGATGTTTGCTACAAATCCAGCTTCATTTCATTTTAAAGACCGGGTAAAGATTCCCTAAACGGAGTTGTGGATGCGCACTACTGAGGAGTTCCATACTAGGGCGAAATGACCGTACGGAGATTCCTGGTTGTCACGGATGGTCTAACTTAGATCTGTTCAGGATTTCAATCAGATTCACTATGTTATTACTATTTATAGTAAGAACCAGCTCACAAACAACACTTTTCAGAAGATATAAATTATCAGTTTATACGATCAATAAACAAACAAAAAAAGAACAATATCTTTTATGATCTGTAATATGCTGGTTGGTACTGATTGTTAAAGTCTTGTTTATGACTATCAAGTTTTACGTAATCTAAATGTTTAGATACACGATTACCAAAGTAATAGGACGTTTTTGTAGAATATTGATTTATGGACTGTATATGTACACCAAACAAGTATAAGGATACTAAGAGTGTAGTACATTTATTTTTATTCATTTTATTTTCATATTTCTATATTTTGCAATGTTATTACCTAGACTACATCATCAAGTGAATGGAAAACAGTTAGTGAAATGCCAGTTGATCTGGAATTTACTGTAGCTCATTTACAATCAGATGAACAATATGAGTTTCGTGTAGCAGCTATCAATTCAGCTGGTCAAGGACCATGGTCTGATACATCGGAACCATGTAATCCAGCTAAAGCGATCGGTAAGTATATAAATATGTTTATTTACCGACTACGGTTGATGAGGTTATGAATTTTCATCGACTTAGATAGTTGGGCCACGTGTTACGTATGCCTGAACACCAATTATCTCGGCGCGCAATGCTGACTAGTATTGGACACGGTTGGAAGAACGTTAGGGGCGGTCAAACCAAAACATAGCATCAGTCCTTGAAGTCACTAACTTCTGGTCTGAGCCATGTTGGTAGATGCAGATTAATTGGTTGGGGATCGCAAGACGATAGCAACCGATGGTTAGAGACCCTGAATAACATGGCTCAAAATCGTTTGCAATGGCGCAGGTGCATCCACTCTTTGTGTCCTCACAAATTCTGATCTTCTGAATTCTTCATGTCCCTTATTTCCTTTCCAAATTTATTTCACTGTATTATAACACCTTCAAACCCTAATCTTTCGAGTTACTGCTTATACTCTTACTACCTCTACCACTACGGGATTTGAATCGACAACCGCATCTCTGTACTAGTGTGGTATGGCAACTCGAACTGATGTACGTACGTACGAAGTTCTACGTTGTTGATTGACTGACTGACTTGGTTGAGGTCTGCGCTACTATCGTAACCAGTGGTTAGAGACTCTGAATGATATGGCTCAGAATCGATCACAAAGGCGTGGGTGTATACACTCTTTGTCTTTCCTTAAACTGTGAGGTTAAAATTACTTTATATCTTTCTTTCTATGAACTAATTCTTTCTCCGCGTATTATATCCTTATTTACAATCTTTCTTTTATATATTACCACCACTGAATTAACTACATCTATGAATTCATTGTTCATCTTGTGCTAATGAGGTATGGCAACTTGGACCGATGCATATATGTGCCTGGTCCTACATTGTAGCTAACTGACTAACTGAGTTTACAAGCTTCCTATATGCATTGTCTAATAGTTGAATTCAGATCATGTATTAAGCTGCAATTCAAAAAACGTAACCTGGAAACGTTCATTTCCTAATTTTGTTAATAATGCTACAACTAATATATATATATATATATATATATATATATATATATATATATATATATATATATATATATATATATATATATATATATATATATATATATATATAAGTTACTCGGTGTAGACTTGAATATATTACGTAACACATCACCAATCAAAAAACGAACTAATTGACTAGATCCAATGATGAATAAAGCAGTACGAACAGTCTAGAGTCAACTCTGAATTTTCATTTGTTCACTGAAATAGTAAATTCTCGTCTAACCTAGTCGGTTCAGTTGAGAACACTAATATCAACCTCCACTATATATTCCAGGAATACTTGGTTTATATACAAACAAATCAGACTGCATCATACCATAAAATAAAAAATAACAATTATACAAGATCTGGTCAAAAAGTAGCTGTGAGTGTGAGATAAATAGAGAATAACTTAAAACTAGTAAATCATATAATAATAGTCAAATGGAAGCTTAAAATGAAAGGAATATGAATATACATATAACATAATTACTTAATAACTATACAATAAGAATATATATAATAATAGTCCATAAATAGATCCTAGCCGTTACCATTCACTTATCCTTCGTCCATATATGTTAGATATATTTTCATATACTTTAACAAAGCTATTTTTTCTTTAAATTATTAACTATAAACGAAGAATATTTGAGCGAACAATTGTTTTCAATAACTTCATCATCAGGCTCTACAGTTATAAGTCCATAATTATAATATTTTACAAAGGCCAAAAATAAGGCATGTTTTAATGAATTTGACAATGTTATGTGTTAGAAATGGTAAACGTTTGCATCTGTTACAATAAATACACTTTAAAAATGTATTATTTGCAAATTAGAAAGGTCATTCAATAAAGGTCAGAATGATTTGGAGTAAAGTGTCCAGTCTCAATCACAGAATCAAGTTATTATGTTCTGAAGACAGTGTGGATGGCGAAATAGATATACTAAAGGACACATTACGAAATAATGGCTATCCAGATAGTTTTGTTAAAAAATACCTCGTAGAAAACACTTAAAAAAGAAGAAACTGTGACACAGTCAGTAAAAAACCCTATATCTGAGACTAGACTTTAAAGGGGACGTAGTGGGTGATATTTTAACACGTCGACTCAAAGGATCTGTCGAAAGGACGTTTTACGCCGCCAAGCTACACATAATTTTCTCAACTAAACCAGTACTCACACAACTAATCAAGGATAGGTTACCGAAGATGGGCTCCTCCATGTGTGTATACCAATTCAACTGCTCCTGAGGAGCTAGTTACATAGGCCGTACTCAGAGGGCTTTATCCTTGCGTGTTCGTGAACATGTACCAGCATGGTTGGGAAAAGGAGTCACCAAATCGATTAACAGCACCATTCTTTCTCACTTGGTAGATAGTGAACATCATATCAAAATAGATGAAGCTTTCTCTGTTTTATACCAAGTTCCAAAATATCTACCTCAAGGAGCTAGATTGCGACTGCTTTACACAGCCGAAGCCATCTGGATCAACTCCAAAAGACCTAATTTATGCATCCAGAAAAAATATAACCAGCCTCTATGTTTACCCTGGCCTACGACTGGATCACCAAATACCTAGACTGAATATTATAAACCTCTTACCCCTTCCTTCCTTCATTTTATTTATTTTCCTTATTACCATTATTTGTCATTATCTATATCTTAATCTTCATATCCATCATTCCCAATTTGTTGACCGTAATTACCTTGATAACACCCCCCTTATTACATATTCTATCCACACAACAATATTATTATTATCTCAGTTGAAAAAAATTATTTTTTTTTGCATTTTCAATTTTGCAATAGTAGTATTATCTTATTGTGACTGAACAATTTACCGACCTTTATTGAATGACCTTTCTAATTTGCAAATAATACAATTTTAAAGTGTATTTATTGTAACAGATGCAAACGTTTACCATTTCTAACACATAACATTGTCAAATTCATTAATACATGCCTTACTTTTTTGGCCTTTGTAAAATATTATAATTATGGACTTATAACTGTAGAGCCTGATGATGAAGTTATTAAAAACAATTGTTCGCTCAAATATTCTTCGTTTTTGAATATTCTATGGGGATTTTTAAACTATTAACTATAATCTTAATATTTTATGAATATATTGAATTTTAGAATCTTCTAAACCTTCATTAGTCAATCCTTTAAGTAATGTAACAGTATTGGTTGGTCAATCAGTTGAATTAAATTGTGATTTTAAATTAGGTGAACCAAAAGGAAATGTTACTTGGTAAGTTTATAATTCAATATCAATTTTAATAGTTGAAATCATGAATTAATTAAAGCTAAACCATCATGGAAAACCTGGAAGCACTGGACGGCCGTTCCATCCTATTGTGGGACTCCTCAGCAGTGCTCATCCACGGTCCTGCCTCCAACCCAGTACCTATCAGTCTCGCGCGCGAACGTTTAACCTCTAGACCACTGAGCCGGCCGGCCGGTGTTAATGTCTAACTTAAACTAATCCAGGAAACTGACCGACACGTCCACCATTGTTTTCAATAAGTTACTATCTCACAGCAGACCTGGTTGAACTCCATTGGTCACTGCTTCGAATCTCGCTAGGCGGGATCGTGGATGTGCACTGCTGTGGAGTCCCACATTATGACGAAACGGCCGTCCAGTGCTTCCAGGTTTTCCATGTTGGTCTACCTTCAATTAAATCATGATCTCAACTAATAACATTACTATAATATCCATAGAACCCCCTCTGATATTAATTCAATATTAATCATATACATTCATGTTCATTATAATACAACTTGATAACTATAGCCAAGTTGATAATACAACTAGACTATATGTCACATATTATTATTGTTATTATTATTATTCAACAGTTTTGATAAGATTAGATAAAATAAGAAGATGAAGTTTGGTACAACTATGTAGTATATATTGAAAGTAATTAATTGACTTACTAAGACTTTTATATATGATAAATGAAAGATCAACTTGACCAAAGAAAGAGAAAAAGCTAAAATAACATAAAAAACAATATGAATCAAAACATTGGACAATAAATCAGTATTACCAGAATAGGTTTATTGTAAGTAAAAATTGTATTTGAATACATATGGAAGGTTTTAACTTTCGTATGGGTGGATGATGGCTAACAGCGAAATCCAGTTTGACGCGCGTTTTGTCTTGTTTTGGACTCATCAGCTGGATGTACGTGCATCATACAGTTGATGTTCACTCCGGAACTCGAAACCAGTACTGTTCTCTTCAAACTACATCGCGTTATCTACTTAGATAATGAGTCCTGATGACCACTTGCTTGTGCAATGAGATGAAGTTTAAACTCACATAGTATTGTTTGCTTGTATCTTCCCAGTGTTGTTTTAGGAATGCAACTGATCAGTCTCATATTGGCATATGTGTATCGTGTGCGTATCGCTTTGATATTGCCTTCAGTCACAAGCATTCTAAGCAAAGATGGATAGTGGCTAGCAATGGAATCCAGTTTAACGCACGTTTCGTCCTATATCGAGGCAATCCGCACAAGACGCACATGTACCAACAAGAGATTGATCAATTGTAGTCCTAAAACAATAATGGGAAGATACAGGTAGACAATACCATATGAATTTTTGTATGGGCGTTTTCAGCAAACCTAGTTCTTTATCTTATACAACTTTTATATATGAGTACAAAAAGGCTGAGTTGGGCTCACTCTTATGAGCTGTTTCAATTGTGATTGATAATGAAAAAAGTTGAATGTTTATTATCCGTTGCAGCCATCTTGGCATATAGTCAACCAACTTCATATTTAAATCACGATTACTTCGCCTTATGTGTGCATGTGTCCTCAAAAACACGAAAACTAATAAACAAATCAGGAAATAATGCAATTGTTTACATGCTGTTTAGGGTTTTTTGAGAAATATGGACACGTTTCGTAGGTGCCAGAACATAGTAGGCCTCAAAACTCTGTGGCCTTTCCATCGGCTTATGAATTTAGTTGCAAATCTATTATCCACTAATGTTTTGTTTAACAGCTTCTCCTCACCTTCAAAAGTTTTATTTATACAGACACAGTCAATCCTGTAGAACAGAACCTTTATGAAATGTCGTTTGTATTGAAATGGACAATAAATAGGAGAACTAAAGTATTACTCTATCTATGTAGGCTGTCTATAAATAGATTGGCTGGTTAAATCATCTCTTCGACTGATAAGTATATTTAAGAAATGAAGCTGGTTGTTCTTCTCCCTGTTACATGAAAGACTAATGTGATTGTTAACAAGTTTGAAACGAAGAAGAATCAGAGTAGATGTTACTACAATTTACAAAGTTGGTTAGGTTAGATATATTATTTATGTTTTTATTCACTCACCAGTCTGTATAAAATCGTTAAACACTTAACTTGACATTGATGAATGACGTTTCTGGAATGGTAGATGCATTGATATATATATATATGCCATGAAGTGATCGGGCTTTAAAATACTGATCATTGGGTTCAAATATTTACTTTTTTTATACTTCATTAAAATTATGAACCGATCACAGGTAGACTAGCATTGAAAGCCTATATGCCCTGGATGGCTGTTTCGCCCTAGTATAGAACTCCTCAGCAGTGTGCATCCGCGACCTCGCAAGCAGGAGTCGAACACAGGACCTTCATGTGAGAACTGTTTGTGTTGTGATAGCCTCTCTACAAAAAGCAAATGAATTGAACACAAAAATCATGTCACTGTTCCACAGTATCAAAATATAAATATCTAAATAGATGAAAATAAACAAAATATTGTTCACAGTATTTAATAGATTATCACTTCTTTTTTAGGTTTAAAGACGGTAAACCAATAAGAAGTCAAGTCAAGTACTCAACAAGTTCAGCATGGGAACGCAGGGCTAGTTTAAAAATAAATCGTACTAAATTAGAAGATGCTGGTGTATTTAGTTGTGTAGCAGAGAATCCATCGGGTAAAGTTGAAACAACATGTCGTGTAATTGTAGCTCAAAACCTATTTTAAATCTTGAATTAGACAAATCTGCATCAAGTAATGTAACTGGAATTTTAAGTAAATCAGATCACTTAACTGGTCGAGTCGGTGGCTGTTTAGCACTGAAAGCTACTTGTGAAGCTTTTCCAGATTGTGAATCTATAGTATGGTTTATCAATGGAAAACAAATTGATTCAAGTTTAGATTCAGAATTATTATCTCGTGTAATAATTATTGATACACCTACAAGTCGAATTTCAAATGTACCTAAACCTCAAGTTTCCATACTAACTATCAGTAATCTACATCTTTCGGATGCTGGTGAATATGGATGCAGTTCAGTAAATGAAGTAGGAACTGCTCAATCTGCTATAAAATTAATTTTAAACGATCGTCCACAACCACCAATGTCTATTGAAGTAACTGAAACTCGTGGTCAAGACTGGATAGAGGTTAAATGGGAAAGACCATCTAGTGATGGTGGTTCAAAATTAACACGATATATTATTGAACGTCGTGTTATTGCTACTTCTACTTCTAGAGATCAACCTACATCAATTCATGAAACAAATTGGTCTAATGTTGGTCAAGCTGGACCATATGATGATCATTTACGAATACAAAATTGTAAACCTGGGACAGTTTATTCATTCCGTATTTTTGCTGAGAATGAAATTGGTATGAGTGATCCAACAGAAATTGAATCACCTTATCAAATGAAATCATATACAGGTAAATATTATCAAGTGGTCACTTTAGTAAAATGTTTAATTTGGATACAGGAAATAATTGTTGGACCTAACTTTACATAATGATAAATCTATACAGGTTACCGGAATATAAATATGCAATTTACATGGGAGTAAAAAAGCTTTTACAAATTTAGTAAGGATACAAGATGTCGAAATGAAAACATAGATTAATTCCCTTAGTAGATATAGAGAGGTTCCATAAATTCAGCTGACATGTGTAGGAAGTATATAACAAACAAACCTCATTAACTGTATTAAGTTTCACTTTCTACCACATGTGTATGGATCAGTTTAACTGAGTTATTTGAAGCGTGTCCTCAGTCTTACTCACTGAAGCCTTTCTTATTAGATATCACATAAACCTCGTGGAATTTTAGGAAAGGATACTATTTATCTTGATGACTATTTGAAAATTGAGTAAATGAGTCATATTGCATCCGGGTTACTTTACCGATACACCGATGAACTTATCAATACACACAAAAGATTACAAAGGAACCAGACATTAATTAAAGGGTACCATGTATGTTATGGTAGAATTTACAGTTTGTTCTAGCAATTAACCTAAAGATACAAAGGAAACTATTACCGGTTTTTGTTTACCTAAAATTGATATAGCCATTTAAGTGGAGACAGATTTGATTATGACTTGAGGTTTCACATAACAACACTTGTTTACCGAGTAATAAACAAGATGAGTGTTAAAAACTGGATTGACATAGATTATCAGTTAGAAGTAGAGTTAGTACACCTCAGACAATTAATTACTTTCATATAATATGTGAATGTATATGTCCCAAAAATAGCAGAATCCAAGGTCGGTCGGATATAATAAAATATTACATACTGCAAGCCAATCGTTATTCAATTGTCTAATCTACGTTTCACACTCCAAGAGTGGATATCAGTTAGTCTTTCTAGAAACTAAAGTCAACTGTATATCCGTATGGTTTTTGTATTCAATATTGATCACGGATCTCAGTTCAGTCAACGTTGTAAACTATAAATCGAAGGACAGTTGTTTAATCCGACTAAAGGACTTCTCAGAAGTGTACACCTACTACTTACGTATTTAGGTTATTCACAGTGTACAAATAAACAATGGTTATTCTACAATTATGCGCAAACACAGTATTTCTGTCATCTGCACCTATCTTAACAAATATTAAAACTGGTTGTTTCTAAGTCTACAAATCCCAGTTTACCTTAATGTAAACAAGAGTTTAATGAATAGTAAATTATTGCACTATGAACAAACAACTGTTAAATACTGCGAAAGTGAATACTTAATGCTTCAAAGATTCCATGGTCCTACCTGGATATTACTTCCTACTGTAAGTAGGTACTTCACTTGTTATTGTTTTTCAACATTTTTTCGTTTTCCTCCTTACTTTTTATGATGATGATTATCCCATTTTTTATTGTTCGGTATATTTTTGTGACATCCGGTGGAGGACGAAAAGCGAATGTCCGACGCTTTAACCGAGTTGGTGGACACGGATCAGACCCTTAGGTCGAAGTCTCCGGGTGTGGCCCCCTAAGAAAACCACCCGCTTCGCTTTGGGCACCCAGGCAATATCCCAGCCCTCACACAAATCGAATGATTTGTGTGGCGCATATCTATTTGGTGTCTCCTTGTACCAATGTTTATGTATTTAAATAAAATAAAAATAAATATATTTTTGTAAGGTTTTTTTTAAGAGAATTTAATTATTCCTTCCTATATAAACATGCTTATTTATATATCCTGTAGGAGTCTCAAATCGACAATGAATTTTCTTTACATCGATAATTTCTTTCTTTACTCCCATTTAGATTTACCATTACCCCCGACTCATGTCACAGCAGAACGTTCATCGCCAAGAGAAGCTAAAATTCAATGGCGTCCACCTATTAGTGATGATGGTGGTTCTGTTCAAGGTTATATGGTTGAATTACGTGAAACACCAGATCCAAAAGATCAATATACATCAAGATGGACACAAGCTAGTCCGAAATTAATACGATCCGGCACTACCTTAAAAGTTGATGATTTACATCCTGATATGTTTGTTCAATTCAGAGTTCGTGCTCGTAATCTAGTTGGATTTAGCGAACCATCTGAACCATCTGACTGGATTGAGTCTATAGTAAAAAGTAAATTATTCTCACTTTAATTACATCATTTTTTCGGAAAAAAATTTCTTTTTAAGTATGGGGGATTTCTGAAGATGGTAGAATTTTCAGAGTTCGAATTATGAACTGATCTTAGCTAGACCACCATTTAAAATCCCGACGCACTGGACGGCTGTTTCTTCCTAGTATGAGGCTCTTCAGTAGTGCATATCCACGAACCCATGGCTGGGAGTCGAACCTAGGACCTTTGTAACTACTGGTTCAGTAAATTGCTAGCTATGTTTTTCACAATCATTTGTCATAATATTATTTTAAAGGACAGGAAATATTTCTACGCCTTATTACCTGAATAAAGAACTGACAAAAGCTAAAATAATATTTTAGAAGCAATAACTATCCAGAAGAATTCATAGATACGTTCCAATACCATCGGTCAGGTTTCACAGTCTGTAAGTTGGATATATCATACTTCTTAGTTCAACAGTAGTTATTTGATGTGAGGAACAACATATTGCTTAATTAAATAATGATGTGAGTTTGTGATTATGATTAAAGTTAACCATACAATTTTCTTTTCATTCTTTGATTGAGATCGTGAATCGATTGATGTTAGACCACCTTTGAAAACCTGGAAGCACTGGAAGGCGTTATTGTCCTATTGTGGGACACCTCAGCAGTGCGCATCCACGATCCTGCCCGCGGAGTTCGAACTCAGGGTCTTCAGCCAGTCTCCTAACATTAAATGCTTATCTTATTGTAAAGAAATTATGATTTTCGAAACGAATAGTTAAAAAGTACGTATGAAAAGATCTTGATTTCTATGTAGCCCGTTCAATCATAGATTAAAAGAAATTATATACCTTTAACTTTGCATCTCAATAGTAACGAAAAGTATACATTTATTTTTATTTTGACTTTTTCTAGAACCCCGTGAAAGTATAGATGAATCGACGCGCAAAACAGATGACACTACGAAATTACCTAAAGATGATAAGTCACCTTTGGATATTGTGCAGGAAATAATTGCACTTAAAGAAGCTAGTCGTCCGAAGAAAATAATTGATAAAGGTTAGTAAAACTTTATTTGCAGTTTTTGTATATTCCTTTAACTTACGTTTAATAAGTTAGATTAATTGAAAATTTGATTTATAACAAAAAAATGTAATGATATTAATCTAAACTCAACAATATCCATTATCATGTGCTAACTAGTGACCAGCTTCAAGATAGATTTCCTGAAGCTCTAGTGAGAAGGCATGACCAGTGGATTTCAGCCATGTCTGTAGTAAAGCAGTTACTCACTGAAGACAATGGTAGACACAATATCGTGGATTGGTTGAATTTATACATTAACACCGTTGGATGCCAACTCAATGGTGCAGAGGTCCTGGGTTCGAATCCCGATTACGGGATCGTGGGTGCGCACTGCTGGGTAGTCCCACAACAGGACGAAACGACTGTCCAGTGTTTCTAGGTTTTGACTGATGGTCTAACAGAGATCCATTCATCATATCGATCTAAACTCAATAATCTCCATAACCCTATACTGATATAAGTTAAAAGTAAATCATTCATCTTGTGTTGCATAAAAATTGTGAACATTTCAATTTTAATTGATTTACTGTATGACTAAATAAAATTTTTCATTAGATTTACCATATTACTTTAGTTTTCACTCCTGGAAGCTTTATTCAATAGTATAATTCATATTTTGTATGCCCAGACATAGTGTTCCATTCAATTTGGAATAGTTGAATGTCTTCAGGAATAGTTTGTTAGCAGTATTTAAAAAAAGAATTAGTTTCATATACCTTTTTTCTAATATTATATTCTAGATGCACCTCGAATACAGCTTATTGATGAAGATACTTATCGTTTAAGACCAGGAAATAATTTACGTGTCGGTGTACATCTTGATTCTGTTTCCAAAGCTAATGTAGAACTTTTAACAGCAAGTGGCCAACCATTACTTGGGAATGCACTTGGAAGAACTCGTATAGAACAATTTGGAGATGATTTCTATGTGAATTTACGTAACATTAATCTGTCTGATGCAGGTACTTATTGTATAAAAGCAATAAATACAGCAGGTGAAAGTAACCAATTAATCCATTTAATTGTTCTCACTGAACCACTTCCACCGAAATCTCCATTAATAGCTAAAGTAATTGAATGTCCTAAAGGATACTCTGAAGGTGCAACAGTTGAATTAACATGGGGACCATCACCATTACGTGATGGGGAATCACCAGAACTTACTTCACCAATATTAGGATATTGCATTGAACGACGTGAAGGTCAACGTCGACAACAATTTAATTATCCTATTCGTTTGGTTGGTTCAGATAAATTATCTGTAAAAATACCAGATTTGAAACCAGGAATTGAATATGTATTTCGTGTCAGTTCATATAATGATGTAGGATCAAGTGAACCAACTTATTCAGAACCACTTATCATTAAATCTCCATATGGTAAGCAAAAACATTAAGCAATATTATTTTAATTAATAGTTCAATTAAATAACATTTTTATCAAATTGTTTTACTGTTCACCATAATAAAACATCAAACATTTTTGAATTATTCAAGGTTAACATGTCTAAAAATTCATTGAAGCAAATTATTTCGAAAACGTTGAAGTCACTAAACTCACTATCAGGACTCAGTAACTATGTGGATAACGCGATGTCGTTAGAAGCGAATGGCACTGGGTTCGAGTTCCAGAGTGAATATCAACTATGGGATGCAGGTATATCCATCTGACGAGTCCCAAACAAGACGAAACGCGCATCAAACTTGATTTCACTGCTAGCTAATATTTGTCTTTGCTTATAATCACTGTCATACCACCTTATCTACATATAATGTGAAATGAATTCAGTATTTAACGAACAGTTCTACAAGATTTACTTTAAAAAGCATTCTCTGAGTGTATATAGAAAAAAGTCAAGTATAGAATATAGAACTACAATAAAGCACAACTATGGTTACTGATATTCACAAAAGTAACCTTTTAAAGTCGATCAGCTCATATGGTGTACATTCTTAAATGAAAATTGTAATTCATCAATGAACACGTACACATATATTGATAGTCAGTGACTGGAATTGTGTAGATTCTTATCTGGATGAACTAACAATCTAACAGTTCAAAAATGTCTGATAGAGATACTGTGGATAATTACAGTAGGCTTTATATGGTTAACTGTTTAGTCTTTTACTTTGTTATCTGTTTAGATAGAAATACTCCAACATTGTTATTGATATTGCTACGTCCATTATTATTATTACTATTTTATAGATACTTTTGAAATAAGTTTAGATTCTCTCAATTATACTAGTGTGAAGCATACAATCCGAGATTGAACTATGAAATAGTCCAATCACTTATACGATGGTTACGCACTTTACTCGATATCCATTTCATTATCTTATCGCTCATATGTTAAACTAATTCAATACCTTAAATACCTCATCAAACTAACTGACATGTATATGATTGACTAATACAGAGGGTAAGAAAATAGATGACAAAATATATAGGGTTGTAGAGATTGGTGAGTTTCATTGATGGGTTTATGATTTCAACATACATAATTATCTGTCCGCATTCATCAACCAATCGCAGCTTAGTACGATCAGACACAAATCACTTTCCTCGTAATAATTGGATTTTATGTTATCAATATTTTGGCTTCTTACTGTTTATTTTTCAAAACATGCGAATTCGTATAAAACATAATAGTTTTGTTACCATTCTACTTTTTCTAAAATCATTTTCTACTGAGTATACCAAATGATTCTTGCAATTTATAATACCACCAACATTTTAAACTAGTGATATTACTTTCAGTTGATTAAAAGATCTCTATTCTTTTTTTAATGTTTTGGTCAAGGTGTTCCTGATGCACCTAAAGGTCCTTTAGTTTGTTCTGATCTAACGGATTCCTCATTGAAACTTACTTGGTTACCACCTGAAGACAATGGTGGTCTACCTGTGAAAAGATATTATATTGAAATGAAAGATGTTGGTAATCCTGCTGGATGGATACCTTTGGGTACTGTATCGGCAGATTCTACTTCTTATCTGGTTAGTGGATTACAGCAAGGATTCGCTTATCGATTTCGCGTGCGGGTTGCTAATGATGAAGGCCTTAGTGACTGGTTAGAAACAGACAAATCTATATCTTTCCGTCGCCCAGTTACAAAACCATCTCAGCCTGAGGGACCTTTACGAATGCTGCCAGATGGAGATAGAGCCGTCCGTTTAACTTGGAATGCTCCGCTAGACGACGGTGGATCTCCAATTAAAGATTTCATAGTTGAATTATGCCTCGATAGATCGGGAGAACATTGGCAACCTATTGGTGAAGTGCGTGGATTAAACAAACGAATTGAAAATCTTATTCCAGATGGCATTTATAGTTTTCGCGTCAGTGCTCGTAATGAAGACGATAAAGTCGGTCCACCTCTCTATTCAGAAATCTACAAACCAGGTGCGCCTATGACGCCACCTGGCCAACCGGTTGGTCCACTAAAAGCCACATGTATCGGAATCGGTCAAGTGAAATTGGAATGGAAACCTCCAATAGTCGGTGGTCAAAGTGGTTGTGGAGTTCCTGATGAGTATTTAATTGAACGCTATGAACAAAAGAAAGCACGTTGGGCGTACGTAACTCGTCAAAGTGCTTCAACTGGGACAACTGTAGTAGTAAGTAATAATTCGATTTAATAACTATATAGTCCAAATCAGTAACTTCGAAACCCTTATTAATTTAATCATAACTACCTTTTATCTAGGTCTCTAACTTGCAACCGGGTTCCGAATGCCAGTTTCGTGTACGGGCTGAAAATAGAGCAGGGTCTGGTCCTTTCCTCGAATCTGATCGTCCAATCACAGTCATTAGTCCATTTAATCCACCTGGTCCACCTGAAGGTCCAATTAATATCTCAGAAGTTCAAATGGGTGCTAGTCGAGCGGACTGTTCGGCTCGTATTTCTTGGAGACCTCCGTTAGATACAGGTGGCTTACCACTTATTCGTTATGTGCTACAAATGCGTTATGCTAATACTCCAGGTTGGCATAGAGTGACGGGGCTTCAACGAACAATTAGTACGGATGAAATAAGTGATAAATTAGACACTGCAAAAATAGATTTGGCTACTACTTCACTTGTAACTGGTTTAATGCAAGGTCAACGCTATATTTTCCGAGTTGCTGCTGTTAATGAAGTCGGAACAGGTGCATTTTTAGAATCCGAAACATTTGAAATGCCTGAAGATGATAGTAAGTTGAAGTGGCTTGTTTTTGTCTGTTAAAAAAAGCATGAATGCATATTATCACTGTACAGATATTTGGAGCATTGATTCAACCACCATAGTTATTAGTAGTATACTATTTTTCTTTAGATTCCCGAATATGGAAGTATTTTTTTGATGTGAACATATTTTGTTAGGGATTTAAACACCTCCATTAGTGATGATTTGGCTTTACTGCCTTTAGTCCCTGCTCACCAATCAAATGACTTGCATACTTCATTGTATCAATTAAATCATGTAAAACTCGGCTTTTGATTGTAGGAAACGCTTGTAGTGGTAAATAAATTCCCAGAATGAATAATTCTGTAGGTCTTCAACTTTGATGCCGTCTTCCCCACTTTGACTAGACACACCCGTGGCTAACTGCACTTGTCCAGGCACCCGCATTCGATGACGTTTAGGTACACCGTGTTGCGTATCTTGTACGACTAGTCATCTAAGACTACACATACTTCGACAAATCGACCATTTCCAAAATATATCTTCAGAACTCGTTATCCATGACATCTGGTTTGACTGACTTCAGGATCCTCGTACAAGAAGTTTCAGGCAGCAACGTTGTTAATCACTGTACATCTGTGACACCTTTACACCAATCGATTGCCAGCATATTATCATGAGTATCCCCGAATCCTTGGAACGACCATTACTAATATCAGGTATAAAGTACTCTTAAATGTGATAAAACAGTTGATTTTGGCGAATTTTGTCGACTGACAGGACTACGACATAATTTACTGATCGCAACCACCATTTACCTTGTCACGTTAGCCCGTTTGATTTAAGATTAAGTTACAAAAACGCTAGTTGCAGCCAAACTGAAATATAACTAGTCAATAAATTCGTTGATAATTGGTCTGCGCAGCGACGGAAGTCGCACGTTCCCTGTTTCAGAGTTCACAAGATAACCGTTATTTTTGGCTATCGAATTTTCGATGACATGGCACAAAACGTAAATAAATGTGCTGTCATACCACTTCTGATCATACACAGAATAATGATGAATCTATTTGTAAGCCATTTACTGTTTTTATATCAACTATATTTTTATCAGGCTGTAAACCTAAAGCAGACTGGGTTCGTATTGCTGGAAAATCAGCTGATAGTGTAACTGTAGAATGGCTTGTCCCACACGATTGTCGTCACGACCATGGACCTAATCGAGCTCATCACCTAGCTATTGATGGTTTTCGTGTGTTCGTTAGACCAGCAACAACACCTCAGCCGAGCAATATATCTCAATGGAAACAAGTTGCTGAATTAGACCACTATCTTAATCGTCTGGTTGTAGGAAATTTAAAACCAAACCAATTTTATTATTTTGGTGTGGCTGCTGTGAATCAGTCAGGTCAAGGTGAAATCATTTCTACTAAAGAACCTGTTTGTCCAGAAGCTATTACAAGTGAGTATTCATTGTTATCCTTATTATGAATTACTGTATAAGTTTTTCGTTGTATTTAATAAGTAGTAAACTAATGAATGCAAACAAAGCTGTGCTACCCCAATTTTTTCCCTACTTACTGAACAGATGTTTCGAGTTCTGTTGTAGTGAACGAAGACAAATATGGTTAACCAATTTATTGTATTATGTAAAGCCATACGGTACCTTTGTAAAATATGAAAATCATGTATTAAATATATCATTTTCACATCTTCCATCATTTTTCTAATTCTGTCGCTATTCCGATTGCTCTCCGCTTTTTGTACTTCAATCTTCTGCTGATATGCATTCAACTTCCTATTTATACTACATACTACTTATATCTGTTCCACGTAAGAAGCGCACACCACACTATGACCACTTTCAAAAACCATATTATCCTCTATATATATTTTCGAGATCACAAATTCTTAGAAAGATAAATGCATCTAAACAGGTCACCAGAGGTGGGGTTAGGACTGATTTATATTGTTTAAAACAGTAAACTGATAAAATATTGAGACAATGTATAAAACTGTAATAACGCTTGGTTTTCTCCTTTGCATCAAAGGGACACCAATTTGCCTTAGATGAATATCTACACTAGATACTCGGCCAATACCTATCCTACAGGACTTCAGCATGTGACTGGCTTTACTAGAACGTGAGTATCGCTCAACATCAGCAGCTGATAATAAAAATAATTGCAAGGAAAATAAAGAACATATTTATTACCTGTCCGACTATCTACTAGCTGATTAGGTAAACAACCAATCACTATTATTTTCTCCCACATATCAAAAATAAAGTCTCGATTCGTAATACCACATGAATTAAGATAGCATTATACACTAAACGAGCATAGTATAGTGATTGAGTAAATAGCTCTATCACAAGAGTATATTGGAAACACGAGAAACTTGTTAACAAGTTTTGAACGACTTCATTCATAGATTTTCAAGATCCATAATAATTTAATAACTAACAATAGACTCCAGTAGATTAGTTCGAACTATTAGACTTATCAACCATATTATGTAAAGCATAAGAATAAGAATATAAGTTCTGAAATCTTGATTTGATGACACATTACGAATTTATATAATTCACTAACTGTCATTTCGTTGTAATTTTATTTCTTTTTATACAGCTGTACCAAGTCAACCTATAGGACCATTACAAGTATCTAATATAACAGATAATAGTTGTCAATTATCATGGTTAAGTCCTGCAAGTGATGGTGGCAGTCCAATATTAGGTTACAGAATATATAAACGGGAAATGTATCGACGCAGTTGGCAAGAGATTGGACGTATAACTGAACTATCTGGGTTGACTAGTTCAAGACAATTACAATTTCAAGTACAATATTTAATGCATGGTACTGCTTATGAATTTCGTGTTGTAGCTGAAAATAAGAATGGTTTATCTGAACCATTAGATACACAAGCACAAGTGCATCCAGCCAAAGAGACTAGTAAGTTATGAATAATGTGTAAGAATTTTGATCTATGTTCAATCCGTTTATCAGATTCAACAGAAATATTGTATGCAAGTTTGAATAAAGTTGGAAAACTGCTGACTTTTTAGATTGTTTATGTACGGATATACACAAATAACAAATGGTTCTACAATAAATAATAAATAACTTAGTTTAAGAAACTGATAATCAAGGTGACAAACCTAGAGACAACAGTCAACCTACCACAGACAGAAACAAAATAACTAGTTCAAAGATGGGTGGTTAGAAAACAACAGCTGTATCAACCAATCCCGACGTAATGTGATCTTTGACCTTCCTCTTTCCGCTTCCCTTCAGTATTCCAAGTTAGAACTTGTCTCGTGATGCAGTTTGATGGTTTGCGTAATGTGTGTCGTATCAATTTCCATCGTCTTTTCCTAATTTCCTCTTCAGCTGGAAGCTGGTTTATTCTCTCCCATAGTAGGCTGTTGCTGATGGTATCCGACCAATGCATATCAAGTATCTTGTGTAGACAATTGTTTACAAATACTTGTACCTTTTTGATGATGGTTGTAGTAGTTCTTGAAGTTTCAGCTCCATACAACAGAACTATCTTGACTTTCGTATTGAAGATTCTGACTTTGATGTTGGTTGATGAATGCTACCTTATTAATAATTCACACAACAAAATTCAATCAGAAAATACAAAACGTTTGAACTCATGATAAATTATTTGTATACAGAACAAATAGTTAAATTTCAATATTTCATTATTAAGGTAAACGCACAAGGTTATATTGTAGTGAACGAGAACACAAGTGGTGACAATCGAATGTATTGAAATACGAAATGACAGAATATCTTAATAAAATCTCAGGACCATACCGTAAATACTTCATTTGCAAAATATCAATCAATCGTCTCCAACTCTATTGTTCTTTCGTTTCCACACCAATAATTCTCTGTTCTCATTTTCTTTTTTTTCCATCTTCTTAAACTTCTGCCTCCAGATAATTCGCTTTCGATTGATGATACATACTACTTATATCTTTCGACATCAGTAGCACACACCACAATATTATACATATGGAAAGATACCAATATAACTTATAATTCTATCACTAAATGGTAATAATATTAACTTCAATTATTCCTGATGACATCCTAATGAACAAAGTGACTGGATGCAAATAAACAAAATTCCAATCTAATCGTTTTACATTGTATTTCAGCGTCTTGAGTACCGAAATAAAATTCAGTTCTGTTAATTATGTACTATCAACTTCTTGTTATCATGAGAGTACTACTAATTATATAACGAACAGAAAACATTTAAATGACTAAAATATTAAAATAATAAAAATAATATTTTATAGTAATTTATTAACTAGAAATTGCATTTTTGGTGCTTTGAAACTCAATGTAAGTTACTTCTCAAAAGAACAAATAACTTTTTTTAAAAATTAAGGTTAAGATATTGGTCCATTTGTTAGCTGTTAAAAACAGAATAGTTTTAAGTCCTAACAATGATCAATTAATACTTGTCCAAACAATTTAAAGGTGTGGAAATAAAAAAGATAGATAATGGAAGATAGAAAAGAAGGTTAAGACCGTGGAAGAATGAGAGACTGAATAAACTGTCGGACTTGAACTAGTGGATAGCAACAGCCTCTGGTGTACATAAGTTTTCTGTTTTCATTCCTTTTGAGCCGACTCCTCTTAGTGTATGTATGGTTCTGAAAGAGGCCTCTCACAAAATGGAGTGACCAGAACCAACTAGATACTTCAATATTCAGCTTTTGACTGACGTCTATAATCCTTTGGAGAACAAGGAAGGGTAATATCGTGAGATGCGTTTCTAAAGTGACTGCTTCGCGCAGATTATATTAATCTCTCAAAGCGAGCTCTTCAGATATGCATCTCTGGACATTACTCCTCCAGTCCTACGGGAGGTCAGTCTGGAAGATAATAGCTCAGTAGTAAAGTATTACATTACGAAGCTGGGTGTGTCAGTTCGAATCCTACTGAGAGTATCAGTCCCCTCGAAATTTATGACTGGAGAAAATAGAATCTTAGTTATCATTCACTAAAATATAAATATTAATTTATAAATCTTTTGTTCATGTGGTGACTGAACCTCTTTCACTTATTTTATAGGTGTCCCAGGACCACCGAGAGGACCATTACGTGTGCGTGAAGTTCCTGATAATATTGGAACACTAGAGTTGACTTGGTCACCACCATATGAGTTAGGAGGATTACCTATACTTGGCTATCAATTAGAAATACGTCAAGGACGTTCATTTAACTGGAAACCATATCCTTCATCGAATGAACTTGTTGCTTATGGACCTGAATCTAAATTTCAACCGTCTCACATTATTACCGATATACAACCAAATAAAGAGTACTTTTTCCGGGTGTCAGCTGTCAATAAAGAAGGAGTTGGTTTACCACTTACTGCTGATGATAGTTATGTGAAATCTATAAACTTAGCTCCACCAAAACTTGTAATGGGTCGTCGAATTCCCCCCGATGAAGCTGAAGATCAAAGTCACGAGAAACCAATACTACAAGTTTCTTGGGAATGGACTCCATTATTGGCATATGAACCACAACCAATAGGTTTTCAAGTGGAACGACTTGATATTGCATCTCGAGGTGGGAAATGGGAATCGATTGATTTTATTCCTATCAATGATCGTACACAAAGAATTATACTCACCAGTCCATTTCACCAAGTCATGATGGGAGTTATAAGTTTAGAGTATCCACTGTATACAATGAAGGTGCTAGCCAACCGGTTGAGACGGGCGTTGTATTGGCCAGTCTTCCGACAATAGGACGATCTGATTCGACAACGCCCGGTCACTATGTACCTCCCGTTCAATCTGTTTTGCTCAAATCTGATAGTAAACTAGGTTATGAACTTGAGTGGGAGGCTCCAGAAGGTCAAGGTGCTGAAGACATTAGAGGGTATACGTTGGAAGATTGGGATTCAAGGAAACAGAAGTGGGCACCATTAATAGAAATACCAGTAAGTGCGCCTCGACAGTTAGTTTTGGCTGCATCACGCACACCTGACAAGGACTATAAAATGAGAATTATCAGCCATGGGAAAACTGGCAAGTCTATTCCAACGGAATTTGGACTATATCGGAGTCCTATTGAGTCAATCTCATCTAGGCCTCCATCTAGATCATGGACAACACTACCGAGTACATCAGGTCTTCCAATTTCTACGACGTCCCATGATAAAACTCGTCCACGAGCAGATATTGACGATGATTTTGATTTGGAATTGGCCATGATTACTGGAGTTGAACCTGGTTCTGACGAAGTAAATGAGTTCATTCGCTCAAGGCGTCAAATGGTTCAAGATATGACGCAACGCATGATTACACCATCATCCCTAGGGAGACTTAGTTCATTAGAAAAAGGAAGACTGGATCTAGATCGCACTGACAGTTCACTATATACGACTGGAAGGTTGACTTCTCAGTTAAGTATTTCTTCCCCAGCCGGTCTGTATATTTCAGATCAACTAAGAGGAGAAATAGTAGGTCCAACATCTGTTCATCTCATTTGGCCTGAACCAAGTGGGTGGTTAGCTCCAGACAAAATAGCTTTTTATGACATTCAGAAGTGGGAACCTGTTCATTCTAAATGGGTTTCTATTGCCAAGGCTCCGTCTAAAGTTACAGACTACATTTTAACTGGTCTCCGGTCGAATGATGAGAGCGGATGGTGGTTCCGTGTAGTGCCTTCAGGCCGTGATTCAGAATCGATTGGGGCACCTTATCAAATGGCTAAACCTCTTTATCCAAGATCTCAGCATGCTACAGTTCCTTCTTCTGTTTGGGGTGTAGAAATTTCTCCTGTTTTTGGTTTACATAAGATAGATCAACGAACAATTCAAGTTAACTGGATGAAACCTAGCAATGATGGTGGTTCTGATATACTTGGTTATCGTTTACTAATTTATGATGCTGATACTGGTGATGAACAAGAGATAATTGTTTCTCCAAAATTTTTAACTTCTAAAATTGACTCTTTAGAAGCCTTTCATGTTTATAGAATTACAATTACTGCATTTAATCGTATTGGTGATTCTATACCAGTTACTTCAACTGTACCATTACATCGTGAAACACCTGGCCTACCATCCCTACCTTTACCACCCAGTGACTTTCGAGCTGTTTTGACGGATCATTTTAACAAAGAATATTCCAGTTGTATTCTGTCATGGAAACCTCCATCATTACTTCCATCATCACCTATAGATTTTTATGTTATTGAAAAATGGAGTTCACAATCTAAACAATGGATTCCATTTAAAAAAGTTCCGTATGATGTGTATGAAATTGAAATTACTCATTTACTTGATGATGTAGATTATGGTTTTAGAATAAGATCACAAAATGTCGCTGGCTTAAGCGAACCATTATGCTTAAACACTCATATTCGACCAAATTTAGTCAAAGAAAAAGATACTAAAGCGTTACCACCACCAGCTCCTGGAGCTCCATTAGAATTAAAACAACTTCATACTAATCAAAGTATATCAAAGTTAAAGGCAGTGACAGAGACTGCTAACCGTGTGATGGAACTATGCTGGAGTCAACCTACCTTCTTAACAGATGATGTAGGTCCAGTTAGAGGTTATGTTGTTGAGGCTAGAAGAAGAGGTCAGGAAAACTGGGCGCTACTTGGTCGGCTACCTTCTACAAGAGACAGACATTGGAATATTGTATTTGGTCCTCAAATCGGTGATTATAATAGGACTCCAACCCTACCTCTCTCTCGGCTACCCTCAATTCTTACCGACTCTTCTGGCAAGTGGGATATGAGCTTGCCACAAACCTTTTCGAAAAGTTACCCGTCTCCATCTATGTTGCCAGGAGAACCAAAAGACTATGAATTTCGTTTATATTCAGAAAATGAATTTGGAGTAAGTGAACCAATTTATTTAAGACCCAAACTTAGAAGTCCTTCTTTGATTTCTGAACCACATTATAATAGGCAATCAGCTCTTGAGTACTACGAGTTACCAACTTACATATCACCTCCAAGAGGACCAGTTCGTATAGAAACCAGACCGAAGTCTTCTTTATATCATGACAGAATCCAAAGCGATAAAGATGTCACACCAGAAGATTTGATTTTGCATTGGAAGCCCCCATATGATACAACTAACATTTCTGGCTACGAAGTAGTTTACCGCACACCATATGAAATGAAATGGCAACCTATAGGTAGGACAGATTTATCCGACACAAATCTAAAAATACCAAGTTCATTATTAAGTGATTTTCCACAAACTGTTCATGTTGGTGTACGTTCTGTTGGTGATTATATTCCCGGAATGACTGAACGTCCATACTCTGAAACAATTGAAGAAGTCTTGTCCGTTCCACAAAGTGTGTTTACATCATCATCTTACCAACCTAAACCGTATAAAACACCAAAAGATACATTCAGTCTACGGGCTCCTTCAGAGGTTCGTGCCAGTGTTTTCAAATACACTCCTGAAAAAGATAGTCCCGAAGAAGTAGCCTTGGCATGGCGCCCACCCAGTGTGAAATCAGTGGGAAAACATGGTTTGGAAAGTTTGCCAGATTCTTATTTAATTTTAACTAGGGAGTTAGGTCATTCTGATTGGAAAGAAATTCAAACTACACCTAGCAATATCACCAACACCCATATTAGAGCATCTTTGCTACCACAAGGTCGAGATATATATATTGGTGTGGCGCCTGTTCGTGGTATTCAAATAGGACCAATTATGTCTACTTTAGATACAATAAAGTTATCAGAACCTACAAGCCCGGGAAGGCTCTCTTCAAGAAGTTCTTTACCATTCATTTCAGCTGAGCCATTGATTGTTTTACCAGAAGGACCAGATGCAATACGGGTTCAATGGAAACCTACAGAAGCGTTAATTAGTAAATTACCTCAAAAAGGAATTTCAGATTATCGACTAGAAATGAGACGCCCACATGAAATGGACTGGAAGCCTATTCGAATTCCAAAATATCTAGATTCGTTGGATGGAATACTACCCATTTCAAGTCCAATAGAATATAGACTGGATAATCTAAAGCCAGGTGAACGTGTTGAATTGCGCGTCGCTACTCGACCAACTCATTCAGCCCCATCGATTCCTATAACTGATACCTTATTTTATCAGTTCATTCCTCCTTATGGTAAGATTTTTTGGTTTATGTTAGTTGCATTTTTAGTTTTGTATACAAAGTGGTTTGTTTAGTGAAAATGCATTACCGAATGATTGGTTTTATTCAGAATAGTAGTCCTGAACATCTAAATAATCTGAAGCATGTTTTTTCTTACAATATATAATTATCATTAGAAGAACAGTAGAAAATAGATAAACAGTAAACTGAATGGTTATTTCAATTTCAGAAATCCTCAATAGACTTATTTCCAAACCAAAATTACGTCAGTCAGGTCATTTTCCAGCTGTTTTGAACAGAATGATATTGATTATAACTTAATCCCTGTTGACTAGAATCGATCATTCACTACCTTGGTTCCGACTTAGATCATTACTTCCAAGCTGAAGTTCAAAAAATCTATCTAACATTTAGTCTCTAGTGAGTACATAATTATTATTTATTCAGGCGGCAGTGAAAAGATTTCTTATAAATGGATTGAAGCTTAACATACGAATAACTGAATTATGGCTCTATAGATTAATGGTACCCAAAATATCCGGTGAACCTTGAAACTCTTAGTTTTGATCCTATGTTGTGTCGTGTTTGAGTATTGCCAATAAGTTTCAAACTAGAATGACGCAGCTTTCCGATTATTTTTTTTCAAATGATATCAATTCATTACTGAAATTACTTCCAAATTACGCATAATACCACTTGAATAAACAAAATATTATAATTAAGATTTAAATTAAATTTCATAGTATCCTTAAAGATTAGATGATACAAAAAATAGATATGTTTAAACCATTTTTAAGCTGATTATAATTGATGTTACAACCTGCTTCTTGATCTGTGACTGACAAATGAATATTAACAGTTAACATCACTGATAGACCTTAATTACATAACAACTGACAATCAAAAAACACTAGATGGTAGTCTTTTTCTAGTATGTGACTCATTAGCAGTATGCATCCACTACTTCACTGGGTGTCGAACCTTGGACCTTGGGTCTCTCTGAGAACTCTTAAGGTCTAGATCACTGGATCGCCATTCAATGGTATACATATCTAGCTTAAATCAATTAGCCATACTGAAAAACCGTCTTTCGTTGTCTGCGGTGAACGGTTGTTTCACACTCGATACATATGAAATTCACTGATCGGGGCTTCTCGCTAAAACTCCTGGAGTTGTTGCCTCTTGAAGTCAGTCATTAATGAGCACGCAACTGTTATTAGTATGCGAGGTAGTGGAGACTGTAAAATCTTCATACGTTGCATCAAGCACTGATTCCAACAATATTCATAAGCTGCCTATTCTGTCGATAAATGAAAATGAAAAGTGTTTCATAGTACACAAGTTACTCTAAAGCTTCTGTTTTTCTGTGTATTGTTTGAAGTTTCCTGATGACATTATGGAGCTCATCCAAAAAGCTTAACTATAAAAGTCCATTATAAACGGCCAAAACTAAATAAGTCATTTCATCTATGATTTAATGCTTACAACCGTAAACATCCGTCGTCGAGGTTTCTGTCAGTCGAATTTTGGTGAAAAGTTCTTTTTACTGAGACTATAATTTATGAACGACCTTTAAGCGACACCTTAGTGACCTTGAGAATGTCAACTTACTTATTAGGGTCAAATGGGGGTTACAAAGCAGTTTGAAGAATAAGGATTATGATTTACAACCGATGGTTATGGTTAGGAATTAGGTTTATGGTTTTCATCACGAATTGAAATTATCTCAAATGCCAAAACGTTATTTAGACATGTGGGTGAATGAATTTCGCTTCAAAATCCAAGACCTGTTATCGTAAATCTGATTGATTCGTCCATAAATTATGGTCTCGCCGTTGTTTTTTCTTGAATAAAGTTTGTATGAAATAATAAAACATATTTTACTGAATAACATAAATATTTAGACAGTACTTACTAAAATCTTGTTATATAATGTGATAGTTTGATTCATAGCATAAATCATTCTCGGATATTTTTTAAGGGGAGGGAGAAGGCATTAACTTGATAGGATTTTGATTCCTTCTAATGTAAAAATTAAATTCACATTTTTCATGAAATCCCAAATACATTTTATCTTTGTTAACAGATGTACCTTCAAAACCTAGAGGACCTTTAATGATTGATATAATACCTACCTGTTCTCCAATATATTCAAGAAGGCCATCATCTAGTCTAGAAAAGATTGAATCTCCGTTATCATTCTCAACACATACAACACCACACTTGGACTCAAAAGGTATTCAACTTAAATGGCATGCACCCAGTGACACAGGTGGTTTACCTGTCACAGAATATGTGATAGAACGTCGTGGAGGTCCAGTGAAAAGTACCGCAAGTGAATGGATCCCCGTATTATCTGTTTCGGGAGAGACGACTTCAGCAGTGATTCCATTTCCAAGTACTCTGAGTAATGTTTATCCTTACTCTTACCGTGTTCGAGCAGTCAATCGTATGGGTGCAAGCAGTCCATTAGAAACTTTAAGACCATTGGATTTTGAGACATCAATGTCAGATCAACCTAGCAGACCTTCTTCTCGTGTTAGTTACCGGCCACTACCACCCTCTGCACCAGCTGGACCCTTACGATCAGAATTTCTTCCTTTTGATTCAGGTCTTCACCTAGAATGGCAACATCCTCAAAAGAGTTCTTACAAACTAGATGAATCACTGTCTATGCCATCTTCATACGTGATCGAAGCTACTGAGGCTAGCAGACCAGATGCACCTTGGATCGAAGTTGGCCGTGTCCCTGGTACTGTAACATCGGCTGACGTTCGAATTCTGCCTACACCGTATAGAAGCGAGTCGACGGAACGTCCATATACACCAAGCCCATACCATGTACCCCCTACTCTTCTATATCGAATAAGGGGTGAAAATGAATTTGGCTTAAGTGCACCACTTGTGACAAGAATTGAACCACCTGGTTATTCTGTATATGAATCCAAACCTGGGTTCGAGCATCCAAAACTAAGCTCCGGTCGCCTTGAAACTCGTCTACTACCAATGTCATCAGAATTTCAACTGCCTCAGATTGAATTACGCTGGCCGCCTCTTGCTCCAGAATACAGACGACAAACTTTCCCATCATCGGCTGATCACCGACCTATAACCCCTCTCGTAACACCAGATATAAGTTACCTTGTTCAAGTTAGAAAAGCTGAAGACATTGGATGGCAGACATTAGCCACTTTACCATACGGTCATGAAACATTTATTTATCACCCCAAAGTAGAAAAAGTACCTCATAGACCACGGTCTAGTTTGGCCTCAGTCTACAGACTAGAAGATAGACCAATATTTGAAGCTTACCAGTTCCGTGTAGCTCCAAGAAGTCATTTCGGTGTTGGGAGATTCATAGAATCGGATGTGGTCAGCTGGAGTCCGTCTCATTTGCAAGCTGGTGATTATAGAACAGTAAGCTTACCGGGACCTATTTCAATGGAACTTATGGTTCCATCTGTCCCTCAGCCAATAATACCTTCTCCTGAGCGTTTCCACTTGGTTGATGTGTCTACCGAGTCAGCTGGTGAACGTATGCAAAACAGATTGGGAAGTGTAACACTATCCTGGCATCCTCCAGCGGGTATGTCTTCTACCTTACGCTCCACTACAGATTTTGTCGTTGAATCATGGCGTCCAGACAAACAAGAATGGTGGCCGATAGCACGACGACCAGCAGCTATCAGTGCTGAATCTGTACCGGGTAGATATGAAATAACCGTCGATCGCTTACCACTCGGACAAACTTATCATTTTCGCGTTCTAACGGAAACAAAAGATGGTCGAAGTGAACCAGTTATTCTTCCACAACCTGTTTTCATGCCACAAGTAGATAAAGAAAAGAAAGGTAAGTTATCTTCTAATTTGAAGATTATCATTTTATCAAATTTGAGAGTAGGTTGACTTAAAACTGCGACTTAACCTTGACAACGGAATAGAATAGCACAGATATATAAATCATACAGATAACTAAACTGTTCATATGTAAATTAATGGACGATCAAGTGACCATAAATCTTGTCACCAAACTTGAGAACAAGATCTTAATACAAAAATTACTTTTATTAATGCTCATATTTGAACAAATTTTCCTTCAAATTACCAACCAGCTGTCATTTTTATACCTAAATGTTTTAATTGTTTACTATGTTTGTATTTGATTACAAATTGAAATTTAGGGTTTTTTTTTATAACTGGTATATAATATACCATTGTGAGCCAGGGCAATTTTACATTGGTTCTCAGGAGAACTAGACACCGTTCAGACTTTCACGTGACAACCCAAACAGTACAGCTCAATCCCGCTTCACAAGAGAACCAGACACCGTATAGGCTTTAACGCTACAATCTGAATAGTACAGTTAAATCCTGTAGCGCAACCACACAGGTACCAAGCACCCTGGTGGACCAGGTGTCTGACTGAGTGGAAAACAACATCTTCCCTGTTTTGCTTTCATATTTGTTTTTATGACTTAAACTGTCACAACATGAGTACTGAACTGTCATCTAGTTCATCGGCACTACAACTAACGTGGTTCAGTTAGATGAAAGGAATCACCAATCGTCTATATTTTATTTTCGAATATAAACCCAAGAAAAGTATTCTTTGGGAACGGTAGTGATCTTATATATTCTTTTATCATGTTCGCATCGTTTACCTCTTTCTATTAAATGGCTACGTTTACCTCGAGATGCAGAACAGGTTTTGTATGACAGGGGTCATCTAATTTATAGATCGATGAGCGATGTCCTGTAAACGAAAATCAACCCATGAGACCACTTCAAAAAATGCGTGAGAGACAAGAATCGAGATAATTTGAAATTATTTTAGGAGACACAATTTTTCTGTGATAATCTTAGAAAATGAAGTAATAAATCAAACTCTGCCTGTTATCTAGGGAACCTGAGGAGTATAAATGTGCTCCTTCCTCAGCATTAGTCACACAATGTATCTCACAAAAGACTGTTAGAGAATATAGTTGTCAGATTTCAGAGCTCTAGAATGAATTTCCAAGATATTTCAAAGTTCCGAATATTTTTTACCAATGTTTAACATTATAAATGTTTCATCTATTCTTATCTTGAAGCAGCTAATTATGGTCACTAAATAAAACTAATTAACCTCCAGTGCAATAGTGACTTGAATAAACGCTTCAGTCATGCTGAATTGGTTGAATTCCATTTTATTATCGATAAACTATAAGTCTGTACGTAAATTGTTCATTTTTGGAGTCAGCTTACATTTATGAACCCTAGTATACAGAAACTTGGATCTCACATAATACACTTAAGTCTAGGGTCAATATTACACCATTTACGCTAACTACAAAAATCTAATGAAAAGCTGTGCACAGTGTCTCGTTAAAGAAGTTTCTTCACGTCTGATCAAGTTAACATTTTTCATAATATTAGCTATGGCTTGACGATGTAAAGTGTTGAGTATTGAAGACAACGGTACGTAATTCTATTAGGTTTTAATCAAATGTGAATAAAGTTTGCCGCATTTTATCGATTGGAGATATGTAACAGTCGTTAGAAGAATTAAAGAGTATAACTTAATCACAAAATTTCCGGTAATCTAAATACGTCGGTGACTAGTTTCATATATAATGTCAAACTTAGACTTATACTAATACGGAAATACAAATTTGTGGATATACAGATACCAGAGATATTGGCAATAATTCTAATGAGTTCAGGTGTTTAGCACTTTCGTTTTAGTTATTTTGTAATGATTTTTGTATGTGTATTTTCTAAAATTTTCTCACAATAAATCGTTTCTTTTTACATAAACAGCGAAACCAGCTCCACCTTCTCATCTCAGAGTGTCATTACTAACTGGCAGTACAAAAGGTGCTTTGTTAACATGGCTTCCACCATCAACAGTAACATTCTCAGGTCGACGTAGCAGTTTGTCATTACGTTGTCCTCCAACTGGATATATATTAGAATATTGTACATTACCATCCACAGGAAATGAACCAACTACTTGGAAACGTTTGGCAGTATTGGATGCTTGGGAAACATCTTATCAAACAACTGATTTACAACATGAAACTAGATATCTATTTCGTATAATGTCTCGTGGACAGATCACTGATTCACCACGTTCTGTAACACCATCAAGGCTTGGAAAAATTAGTCGAACTACAATTGATTCAAGCGTTCTTAGCGAACCAATCCATTCAGAAATATTTGAAATGCCGAGAAAAACAAGTAAGTTTACCCAAATATTTTTAGTATAGATTTCTACATAACTTTTAACAGATGACCTATTATAATCTTTACTGTCATTCTGTCATTTATAATATATGTGCCCTTAAGAAAATACGTATGATAGTACGTCTACATCTATATACGTCCTGTATCTCATTCACTCTTATAAACGTTGAGTTAGCTATTTCTGCCACTCCAATTATGTATTTTTCTTTTCAACTTTTATCTTCTGCCTGTATTATCGGATGTCTGAAATATACGTAGTTCAAATACTTCCTTATTGAACTACTTATGTCTACGGTATTATTAACAGGATTTACTAACAGAATATGTACGAAGATGAAGATAATTCGATCGTTATCATGTCAACCACGCTCACTAAGAAACTGAAATATATTCGATCAAAGAAATCAGAATTGATTGATATTCTTTGATTATGGATGATCGTAATTGACTAAGGCTAAGATGAATCTCATCAATATAATTGGAAAAATACAGGGAACATTATAAAAGAATAATCTCAGAGGATAAAATTACAGCCCAGAATCATGATTTTCTAGTCCGTAAGTTTAGCAACGTTTAACTAAGAATTGAAATAATAACTACTTGAAACCGTCTCCAGGGTAATTTGGGCACCAAGTTTCATGAGAATATTTATCAATAAAATCTCAATAAGCATATATCGAAATTAAAAACAAATTTTGATTTTGAAACACAGTCTCTTTTATCACATGTAACTATTTCTAATAAATCATGAAACAATATGAATCGAGGGGAACAAGACCAAGGTGCCGAATATTGAAACTTCATAGAACTGAAAAACCATCGTTTTCATAATGTGAAATGAACTTAAAATATTTATATATTAATACTGGTGTGAACATCGATGAATATTTGCATCAAGCAACCACTTAGTGCTGTTTACTCCTCAAAGATACATCATCCGCGCAATATTCAATTATATAAGTTTTATAATGAGAGATACAGTCAGATTGTTCAGACTAATGGCACTGGATTATCCTACTTGACTACGTGATTGTACTTTAATCAGTTATCATCTGACTGTTAGAACGAGAACCACATATAAACCAGAATTCATGCACAATACAAAACAACCATTAAGTGAAACCACAATGAAATGTTAGCGGAACGCAGGTGGGATGAATAATAGTATAAGACAGTATATTAAAATTTACTGTACTGGATATTTCAATCCTCTCTCACTGACCAATCATTCCATACTTTATAACAGTGAAATAATATTCATCGAGTAATTGCGTTACATAATAATCATATAATATCACAGTGAAGAAAGAGGATTATAATAATCAAAGTTGAGATCATGAGTCAATCGAAGCTAGACGACTGTGGGAAACCCGAAAGCACTAGACGGCCGTCTAGTCCCATTGGGGGACTACTCAGCTACGGGCACCCACGACCTCGCCCCGCGGGGCTCGAACCCGGGACCTGCCAGTCTCGAGCGCGAACGCCTAACCACTATTCCAGTGAGCTGGCCGGCATCTAATGGTGTTAATGTCTAACTTCAGCCAGTCCACGGAATTGAGCGACACATTCACCATTTCCATAAGTGAGTAACTATCTCACGACAGACCTGGTTGAACTCCAATGGTCACTGCTTCTCACTAGAACTCCAGGATATACCTCTTGAAGCCAGCCACTAGTAGGCATATGTTGATCAATATCAGAATGGGTTTTGTGGAGATTTTAGTAATTTTGATAGTTGAGATCATGAATCAATTGAAGCTAGACTCATGATCTGCCTTTACGTTAATTCATGATAAATAGAATGCTGAAAACTATGTGTATGATGTTTTGCATTTCTTCAAATTCCTCACTTATCAGAATATAGACAAGCTCATTATTTAACAGTAATCGTTTATGAAATGGATCTACAAAACGATGACCACTTTTCAATTCCTTTTCTTTTTCTAGTTACTGTACCAAAATTAACCGGTGATTTAACAGTGAAATCAACAACCAGTTTATCTTCACTCTCACCATCGGTTTCTTTACACTGGCAACCAATTGACGAACCATTAACAGGATATATAGTAGATTTATATGATTTAAAAGAACCAACTGGTTGGAGAACAATTACACGGATTGATACAACTGAAATACGTCATCCTTTCCATGGTGTTACAGTAACAGGTCTTCTACCAGATCATTCTTATCGATTCCGTGTTATACCATATAAAGATGATTTATTTGGTCGACCATTAGAAACTTTGAAAGCTTATACTGTTCCAAAAGCAGTAGGACATGAGGATAGTGATTATGAATCATTAATTATTCCTCCACCTAGGGGACCATTATACGTGGAAGCGGTCAGTGGTGGTGTTTATCGTTTAAGGTGGCAACCAGTGCAACTAAGAGGATTAACTGACATTATGCATAGACGTAAATTAGATGAGGAAATTGAATATATTATTGAACAACAAACACCGAATCGAAGATTTTGGTTCGAAGTTGGCCGGACTCGTCTTACTGATTATGTATTACCGATTAACAGTGCTACAGTTAGATTTCGTATACGCTCATCATTAGCTGATATTTCGTCAAGTATCGACAAACACACTAACTATTCACTTTCATATGATGGTCTCCTCTCCGAATGGATTCATACATTAGATGACAGTTTACAGTACGAAAATGTACCTCACATTGGGAGTCCGAAGAGACGATTATCTAGTGATGAAGTTTTTGACATTGGTCGAATTGTCCCTGATGGATTACGCGTTCTTCATGTTGGTCCAACTTCTGCCTTACTAGGATGGAATTCTCTTAAAATAGATGAGGATACATTACAACCATACTATCTCATTTTAGAACGACGCATCATTAATAAGTACAAACCAAGTATTTGGGAGCCTGTAGCAAGAATTCGCACTTCTGATACATCATACGAAGTACATGGTTTATCTTCTGGTACAACATATGATTTTCGTCTTGTTGGAATTGAAGAATCAACTAAAACTCGAAGTACAAAACATTGTCAACTTTCAAAACCATTTACAACTCTTGGACAAATTGATTCACTTGAAGATGATATGAAAATATTTTGGATTGATCAACCAAGATCATTTAATGCTATTAGTAAAATTGATGGAACACAAGAAGGTATTATGTTAACATGGAAATCACCTGAAATGCCTAATCGTTTAAATGAGAAATTACTTTATAGAATTGAAGTAAGAGGTTTTAATTTTTCAGGTGAACCAATTACTAATTGGACTAAAGTTATTTCAGAATTAAAAACAACACAATATTTTATTAGTTATAATAAATTAGATAATTTATTTAGTCAATCATCTAATTATCAATCTAGTAGTATATCATCTATAACTAGAAGAAGACATATAAGATCAATTGATTTTGATCAACAACAATGGCAATTTCGTGTATTCGCTGAATTGGATAATAAACAAAGTTTACCAGCTGTTACAATAACACCAATCACATTAATTCCTCAAGCCAGTAAGTATATTTTCCTTTTCTTAATAATGAATAGTATTATAAAGGTATTATTCACTTTATAGTTTTCATTAATAGATTATAGCATGATATGAGTGTTGTTACATCAAATAAATTGATAAGTCTTGCTAATTGAACGCTATATTCGGTTCTTAAACTATTCTTGTAACTCCCGAGCTAGAACTACACAGCAACCTGAACACGAGAGAAAAGACACAAATGTTTGTTTTAGTACGGAAAATATAGGGTTTCTATAGTATTTTAGATGTCATTGGGTTTCCCGAAAATTCTCGAATGCTACTAAGCATAGTAGCAGTATAGTAATCATCCAATCAGAAACTCTACATGTGACTTTTCATTTTCTGGATGTTTCCGTCTAAACATCTAGTGAACGCTGATTGGATAAAATGCTTCTTAGTGTTTTCTGAGCCTTTGTTGGCTTTTGCGAGAAGTTTTCTGGATCACCACAACATAAACAATTTAAAAAAATGATTATTGTAACTTGATTCTAACTGATGTCTTAATAGATAGTATAGATTTATCTCAAGTTCTTTTCAACTGCTCAGTATTCAACAGTATTACCTCATATTAGTTCCCCTTCCTGCAGTATTTCACAAGTTTCGACTTATATTATCAAAATATTAGGTTTTTAAATAAACATCATACTCAGTCCCTACTCAGATTAAAGTTAAGTAAACTATATTCTGAATATAATACTGTTTATTGTATTCATCTATTAAGCCAAATATATTTGTTGGCTTCGTTTTCGGTAAGTTAATTATTCAAATAATAGAAAGCTCTTTAAGCCTTCTAACAAATTTTTTTAATACAATGTATTCAATTAAGGTATTTTGTTTAACTCGATTTTTTTTGGGGGGGGGCTAGCTCAATTATTATGTCACATCTATAACGGCGACCGGCTCCTGCAACTATGTTCAGACAATCGTTTATTCTTAGCAAGAATCAGTTTTAATCATAGAGAGATGTCGTACGACATGGCGACCATCAAAATCTATACAACCCCGGACTCGAATGGACCATATCGCCACCAGCCATTATCGGAGAGTCAAGATAGAAGACTGCCACTCATTCTGAAGATAATGTTTAAACTCTAACCATGTTTTAGTACGAACACACATTTGTTTCTGCCCTTCTGGATGTAGAAAAACCGTAGCAAGAAACCCATCAGAGTGAAAATCTCGTGAACAACTTGAGAAGCATTTGGTTAATCGTCAAACTGATGTTCACTCTAATATGGATTATTCTGATGTCCGAAGAGCCTTGAAAACATCGGCGATATCTGCAAGTGACTATAGCCAAAAGGTTAAGAAAAATTGGTAGATTTCAACAGCGTCTTCTGAAGTGACAGATATTCGGAAACTCATCCTGTCAGACTCCGAACATCATGAGGAAAGAAGGCAAATTATACGTAGACTGCTTTATTGGAGAACTTTGGTCGCCATGCATACACTTCTGTAAACTATATTATTTTCACAAGCTGAAGAGTTCTAAGTAGGATGAAACGCTCATCTTGGATTCTACCGCTACCCACCATCCATTTCTGCTTGAAATGTTTGTGACTTACTGGGGACATTTAGGCAATCCCCACAGGATGTACATATATCCCAAAAGAAACGGATCAATTGCAGTTCTAAACATCGTTAGGAAGATCCAAACAACTAATATATATGAATCACAATTTTCCAAATGGTTTTAAGTCAGCATTTTATAGATTATGCCATCAAATACTAAATAGATTCTTAAAATTGTCTAGTTGTTCGACAATATTAAAACAAGACAAATGGTTCTAGTGTATTGATAATATACTGTTCTTTATACCGTAAACAATGTTTAATAATTTTCTTCATTGTTTACAAACAGAACGAAGTCCATTACGTTTCATCAATTTGCGAGATGATCGCATTATTTATGCTGTTCGTGGGCAAAAATTAGTTTTGTCTGTAGAAGTTGAAGGAGAACCGAAACCAAATGTCTTTTGGTTAGTGATTCATTTGATTTTCTACATATTTTTAAATTAAAAATTTTTGTAGCTTTAGTTTTTCTGTACAATTTAACTATACTACTAATGAAGATTGTACAGTAAACAGATAAAATGTGGTATTGCTGAGAAAAAAACCACAAATGTGTGGTTGTAATCAGTTTACAAAATACTTGGATTTGTATTATGCGGAGTATTTTATTACTGAAATCCGCCAGTTTATCACACTATATTCATTTTCAGAAGAGGTTTTGTGGAGATTTTAGTAATCTTATAGTTTAAGTCATGAGTCAATTGAAGTTAGACCACCATGGAAAACCTGCAAGTACTGGATGGCAGGTTTTTCCTATTGTGGTACACCTCAGCATTGAGCATCCACGATCCTGGCCGCCCAATTCGAACTCAGGACCTATCAGTCTCATACGCAAACTCCTAACCTCTAGACCAATGGGCCCGCTGGGATCCAACGATGTTAATGTCTAACTCCAGTCAATCCATGAAATCGAGTCACCATCAGTCACTATATTCAGTAAGTTACTATCTCACAACAGACCTGGTTGTAAAACCTCTTTCCAACTGACTAGCCATCTATAATCTGAATGCTTTGATGTGTTTCTATTGTATTTGTTCGTTTACATTATCAAAATTATTATTACAAAACACTATACATTATTCACTGTTGAAAATATATTAAAAATTATTTTTTTAATGAAACGTAGTCTTGATTCAAGGCTATTTGTGTTATGTTGTGTTGGAAAGCGATAGAAATCCTTATGATAGAACAATCTAGAATAACATGAATTGTTTATTTATCGATGAATGCCGTTTGTTACCGAATTTCAATAAAATGTAATTTTAAAACTGTTGAGGTGTTTTTTTCCATTCCTTTTTGTTAGCTACTTCTGAAAGTATTATGAAGATGACTACAACAATTTAAAAAAACTATTTGTCATGTGTAACCGACTTGTCAATTTAAAATGGAAAACCCGGAAGCACTGGACGGCCATTTCGTCATAGTATAGGACTCCTTAGCAGTGCGCATCCACGATCCCTAACGCTCAACTCTGATCTAGAGGTTAGGCGTTCGCGCGCAAGACCAATAGGTGCTGGGTCCGAGTCCCACGGTCGAGGTAGTAGGTGCTCACTACGACGGGACAGCCGTCCAGTGCTTCCAGGTTTTCCATGGTGGTCTAGCTTTAATTGACTTATGAATTCAACTATTAAAACGATTTGATGGTGGTTAGAAGTAGTCAACAGGAAACTTGACCCGGGTTTCTTGCTCCTTGGCACTCGTCAGCAAGGTGTACCTGTAATCTTTAGGGAACTGGTACTCCCTGACTGATCCAATCCCATGTCACCCAGCTTCGCAGTCAGACCGACATCTTGTAGGACTGGAATGTAATCACAATTGATTGATCACTGTGTGGTGATCAATGTCATGTGTGTCAAGTCGATAGTATTTGATCTGCACTAAGAAGCACTTAAAATACATGAAATTTATCACCACCCAGTGATCAATCATCTATTATTAAAATGATTGTAATTGATTTACCCATCCAGTTCTCATGCAACTGATTTGTAATATAACTGACTACGCATTAAGATATTTTAACCTTTTCTTATGCAAAACATTTGTTTTTTTCTTACATAGGTATTTAAATCACATACAAATAGATGAAAAAATATTACCTGGTTGTCGTGTGGCTCAAATTGGCGTCGGTATTTATGAATTAACTATTGAACAAGTACAACCAAGTCATGCTGGTCTCTTAGAATGTCGTGTATGGAATATTTATGAGTCAATATCAGAAACATGGGAATTGATAGTTTCAGGTACGTGTCGAATTTTAAAATGAAATATTTAGCTCCACATTAACAGTTATATATATATATATATATATATATATATATATATATATATATATATATATATATATATATATATATATACTACTCCTACAATTACCAATCTCACAAGGAGCATAATTCCCCTCAAGATTGCAGATACTCCTTTCTGACAAGTGCAAACCAACACGAAACCAGAGTCCTAATGTTTTCTGTCAAATACCTTCAAATATGGTTTAGTGATTGAAGTATTCGACTTTCAGCCTCTGTATCTCAAGTCTGAGCCCCGCACCACCTACTTTGCTTTGCGCAACTAGGTGGCATCGTTAGCCATCACTCTCAGAGTGTGGCTCATATCCAAGTACCCGGAGAATAAGTTAACTTAATAAATAATAAGCTACCTAACACAACATACTTATTTACCACAAGAGGTGTGTGGATCGAAACTAAAAGTGCCAGGTTAGGATTCTAGTTACGGGGTTATGGATGTGCACTACTGAAGAGTCTCATAGTAGAACAAGACGCTTGAAAAACGCTTCCACGCTTTTAGTGGTTGTTTAACTTAGATCAGTTTATGATCCCAAAAATTTACTTATTTCGTTTATCCAGTATAGTATATGGGTTTGAAGTTACCATATTCTCATACCAAAAAAGCCTTCTCGTTCCACTTTGATGAAACAAGGTGATTAGCAAGATACAAATATTGAATGCCTAGTGAAATTTTCAAATTATAAGCATAATACTAAATTTTGGAATTATCTTTGGAAAAGAATGACAGTAATAAACGATCCTACTCATGTCAATTATGGTTTAGCATGTATACTACTTATAAGTAGCTCTGCTCTGTTTTAAAAATTGTAAATTTTTTCAAAGTGAGTATTTCGAAAGTAGTTGAACCTGAAAGAAAATGATCGGATAATTGGCCAGATAATGTATGTTTTGAGTCATAGAATTTCTAAAATGCACTTTATAGTACATAACTGATGTGCTGTTAAACGAAAAATTTAATCGTGAAGAAAAACGGACACAAGGATGCAATTCGAAATTAAATAATTTCAATCAAATTATTTTTTTATATTCAGCGGTGCCACGATTCTGCCGACTTGGATGGGCTGCACAACCTCATGAATATGAATTAAGACATGGAGACAGCTGGTATCTACGTGTTCCATTAGAAGGTTTAGACTATATACAAGACCGTGATTGGATTACAAAAGTTTGGTTCGAACGTTTAAGTCATTTGACTCCTGGTCTTTCAGTTGAACCGTTGGAAAATCGTGTTCGAATAAATCTATCATCTGGTTGCCGTTGGGTTGAAGTGGTTGTTGACAAATTGAATCTAGCTGATAGCGGACTATATCGACTATGGATACAGAATCAAGCTGGTCGAGATTACATCGATTTGCGTTTACGTATTGCTGGTAAATTTGGTTTTCAATTACTTTGAATTATTTACCGTTTATTTGTTTGATCTGATTTGCAAAATTTGAGATAAATTACGATTCTTATTCCTATGTCACAATTCTAATGTAGTGAAGAACACAGGGACGAAAATCGATTATATTTAGCACAACATTACAGAGTTACTTGATGAAATAGAAAAACAATACTCTAATACTTCATTTGCAAAATGTTCGTTAATTGTCTTAGACTTCATTGTTCCTGCATTTCCATACCAACTGCTTTCCAGTCCCGTTTTTCTCTCTTCGATCTTCTCAACATTCTACTACCAGACATTCTATTCCTGACTAGCGTTATATACCACTTATGTCGACATACGTAGCACACCACACTACGAACCAAAGGAAGGGTTTACTGCACAGCAGTTCGTCCCGTCCTACTTTATGACTGTGAAACATGGCCGGTAAGAGTAGAAGATATTCGTAGGTTGGTATTATTCGATCATAGGTGTCTTCGAAGCATTGTTCGTATATCATGGGACCATCGAGTAAGTAACGTAGTTGTTAGGAAACGGGTAATAGGTAAGGATGGCAAATCAATTGATGAAGTAGTGAAACTTCATCAGTTGGGATGGCTGGGACACATGTTATGTATGCCCAACTACCAACTGCCCCGACTTGCGATGTTTTATGGTGTAGGAAAAGGTTGGAAGAAAGTTAGGGGCGACCAGACCAAAACATGGCACAAATTCATGAAGTCACTGACAAGTGAACTGAGCCATGTTGGTAGGTGTAGACTACCTGGTTGGGAACCGTGAGATGATAGCAACCGATGGTTAGAGACCCTGAATAACATGGCTCAAAATCGTTTGCAATGGCGCAGGTGCATCCACTCTTTGTGTCCTCACAAATTCTAATCTTCTGAAATCTTTCTGTCCCTTTGTTTTTTTCTCTTTTCAACTTTATTTCACTGGATTATACTCCTTGACTAACATCTTCAAACCCTAATGTTTCCGATTACCGCTTATACTTTTACTACCTCTACCTCTACGCAATTTGAATCGACAATTGTATCTTTGTGCTAATAAGGTATGGCAACTTGAACTGATGTACATACATATGAAGTTCTATGTTGTTAATTGACTGACTGATTGACACCACACTACCATCGTTATGTCGAATAATCTTCTAAAAACGAGCTTCTAAACATACATGTATTGAGTGTTTCTTATGAATCAAATGAATAACTTAATAAAATAGGTTTTATACTTTACAATTCTTTTAATCCCATTACTATTGTCTTGTCACTGTGATGACCCTTTATTATGTGATTATTTGAATAAAACCCGACGAAAACTGAGGCAGGATAGAATAAATTTAAAAGGTGAGATCGTAATTGTTATACATATTAGAAACTGACAAAATGAACCATGTAACAGTTATAGACGGTGGATCAATTTCGTAGATTGGTTAGAAATTAACACCATTGGATCCTGGCCGGCTCAGTGGTCTACAGTTTAAGAGTTCGCGCGCGAGACTGATATCTATCTATGCAATGCAAGTGTATAACATTTTCTAAGTACATGATAAATTTTCATTGAACTATATATCCTCTTTAAGACAGACCATCATGTTACGTTCGATACTTGAATAACGCAGAATACGGTATATAAATACGGCACTCGAACGTATAGAACCCCACAGTCACAAAATCAGAGGATAGCAGGAAGCTACAAAAGTGTTTGTTGGATAAGAATCAGAATGTACAGAAAATCATGCGTATTTATAGATATTAGCGTTTGTTATAATATCATTATAATTCCGCTAACCCGCAAAGAGGCAAGTTATGCTACTGTCCTATTGTAGTGTGCCACTTTGATATTCTAGAAAGCTCCATCACGTTCTGATTGTTTGGAAACTTATCGGCTCTTTTAGAGTCTCTAGAGGCTCCATTCTAATTCTCAGAAGCTATCCCAACACATCAGAATTCTTCTGAGTGTATATCTTACAGTAATTTCAATATTTTTTAGTAAATATCTTCTATATAGGTGTTGACAGTCAAATTTCTGTCGAATTACTTATACCATATATAGCTTCTTAGATATAACTTAAGTGAATGGAGTAAGTGTCGACAATACAGATAACATTTTCTAAAAAATATATCTAAATATTGTATGTTGTTTATCTCTGTAATTCATCTCTCATGTCGTATCTCATATTAGAGTAAAATTTACATGAAGATTACTGGTTATCATACAAAGAATATTGTCAATGTGTAGCCTAACTCAAGTTATGGTATAAACTTACCAGGGGTGGTGTTAGTCCACCGATTATAATTGGTTGCAGACATGTAATAAGTATAAGTACATCTATATATAAGTATATATAAGTACACCTAGATCTGAAAGGGGGGTTTTGTGGAGATTGTAGTAATTTATTAGTCGAATTCATGGGTCGATTAAAGATAGACCACCACGGGAGACCTGTAAGCACTGGACAGCCGTTTCGTCCTAACATGAATAACAGTACACATCCACGATCCCGAGCTCCAACTCGAACCCATGACCTTCAATCTTGCGCGCGAACATTTAACCTCTGGACTACTGGGCCGGCATCCAACCTGTATCTTATGATCCCTTAAAGTAAATAGTAACAGAAAACATTAAAAAGCATTAGAAAATCAATATTCATGATATTTAACTTGTTACAATCATTATGAATGTAAGTAATTATCTGAAACAATTTTATTTCTCATTAGAAATATCTCACCAGAATATTGATTAATCTTATTTTATTTAGATAAACCTTGTGCTACACTACAGAAACCTCGAGTAAAACCACATGGACCTGGAACATTACTTATAGAATGGACTCCACCTCTGATTACTGATCGTTTAGAATCTTTAGTTAAATTTACTGGTTATCGGGTAGAGTATCGTCGTGATGAACCTGGAGAAGATTGGTTCCTTCTTGGTACTACATCTGCTGATCAAACTTATTTTATTGCGCGCAGTCAATTAAGAAGAGGTGTAAATTATCGTTTCAGAGTACGATTAGAAAATTGGCATGGATTAGGACCAGCTAGTGATGCATCAGAACCAGCACAATTACCAGTACATCGGCTTACAGAAGGTATATATAATAAAATTTACAAATACAGTTTTTGTTGTATAAATGTAAATAAATTACTTCTCATTGAAATTATCAACATGTGAATGAAATTGAACTAAAGTTACAAAAATATTTTTTCAATACCAAAACGTTAACATGAAACTTTACTAGACAGCCTTGTCTGACTCCGGTTCTTACTTGAAATGCATCTGTCAACTGTCCCCCATACACGACTTTGCACTGTAGTCCGTCGTATGAGTTCCGGATAATGTTGACAATCTTCTCAAGAACTTCACAGTGTTCACTAATCTATTCTACTCTATTTGTTTCCTATTGATTCGTATCATTTTTCTTCGTCTCGTTAGTAACTCTTGTCATTTGTTGATTTTCTTTTAATAGAATGACACTTTAAGCCTATGTCTATTTTATCTCTTTATTTTTTTATTGAAATCATGAACCGATCAATGTTAGACAACTATTAAAAACCTGAAAGAACTGGACGGCCATTTCGTCCTAGTATGAGACTCCTCAGAAGTGCGCATCCATCTTTATTTTCCCCCTCATTTTCTTCATACTTATCTTAGATAATGTACACCATACACAGATCTTAAAAACTGATCTACATGTCGCTTTTGTTTCACAAAGATGTTTTCTTCGAACCAATAGATCGACGATCTATACATATTGTAAACTAGAACATTATATCCAAAGTGTAATGTTTTACAACTCTATAGTCACATTCAATTTACTGTATACTAACTCCAAATATTAACCAAATTATCCAGTTCAGTCAATTAGTTGACTGATATCCGTTTAGCGGTCAGATCTCTAGTAGACAATTGTTACATTTGCTCAAAGGCTTTCTGTAGATTTTATCCTAACAATATTCATGCACAGAAATTAGGCCGGGATATTTGCATAGGTGTCACAGACTCTAACTTTGATTATAGGTCAACCTATCTAGATCAAGCTAAATATTGTAGTCAGACTAGTCATCCTGAATACTGCGAAAAATGTGAATTTTATGTTGGCTAGTTCAAAGTATTCAGCCAAGGCTTCAAATCTGTTCAGTGCTTACAGATGCTTATCAATGGAAAAGTAAACAACTTCGTGTGTGTATCGAAGACTTAGGCTTTAAATTCTTAGAATTACAGTTTTTGTCTTTGATAATGGCATTTGTTTACTAGAGTTCCAACGGAAATCCAAAGCATAAATCTAAATTAATATAGTGTATAAGCAACCATGAAAATGTGTTCATTTATTATTATTACTCTTATCAGAATGGGGGTTTGTGGAATTTGTAGTAATTTTAATAGTTAAATTCATGAGTCGATCTAAACTAGACCACCATTGAAAACCTGAAAGCACTGGAATGCCGTTTCGTCCTAGTATGTGATCCCTCAACAGTGCGCATCCACAATCTCGCATGCGAGACTCAAACGCAGGATCTTCGGTTTCGCTCGCGAATGCCCAACACCGTTTGATGTTGGCCCAGTGGTCAAGAGATTAAAAGTTTGCGTGAAAGGCCGAAGGTCCTGATTTATTATTGTCTTTTCCAATTACTTAATAATAATTTTTAACCTACTTACATATCTGAGTGAACAGGTTTTTTTACTAATTTCATCATCAGGCTCTACAGTTATAAACCAAAATAAAGCTTGCATTAGTGAATTTGACAATATTCTTTAAAATGATGAACTTTTGCATCTGAGGACATAAATACTTCGAAATTGTGCCATTTGTAAATTAGAAGGGTCATTTAGTAATGGTTAGACTGATTTGTAATAGCGTCAAGCTAGAATCAATGATAGTAATATTAATACAAAGAATCTCGTGAACAAAATGTATGATAGGAGAATGTTATCTCGTTAATGCGGGTTGTAATAATAATAATACCGTTGTGTAAATATAATATGTAATAAGAGGTTCTGTGAATGTTTAGATTAAAAAATATAAACAAAAAAGGAAGTAAGAGAAGATAAGAGGTTTATAATATCCAATTTACGTAACTGGTGCCCCAGTCGTGGACCAAGGTAAACAAAATAGAGGCTGGATATTTTTTTCTGGATACATGAGTTCGGTTTTCTGGAGTTGATCCAGACAGCTCCAGCTATGTAGAGCAATCGTAATCTAACTCCTTTTGGTAAATTGTTTGCAACCTGATACGAAACAGAGAAAGTTTCATCTATTTTAATATGATGTTCATAATCTACCAAATGAGAAAAAATGGCGCTGTGAATAGACTTTGTGACTCCATTTCCCAACCATGCTGGTGGATGTTCACGAACACACAAGGATAAAGTTCTCTGAGTACGGCCTATGTAACTAGTTCCACCTGGAGCAGTTGAATTGGTAATACACACGTAGAGGAGCCCACCATCGGTAACCTATCCTTGATTTCTTGTGTAATTACTGGTTTAGCTGAAAAAATTATATGTAACTTGGGAGCGTGAAACGTTCTTTCAACAGATGTTTGAGTCAACGTGTCAAAATGTCACCCACCTTGTCTTCTTAAAAGTCCAGTTTCAGATACAGTGTTTTTTTTACCGACCGAGTCACAGTTTCTTCTTTATTGTAATGCCTTCTAATAGAATTTTTCTGAAGAAATTATCTAGATATCCATTATTTCATAGTGTTCTTTAGTTTATCAATTTCGCTTTCTACAATATCATCAGAAGATAATAGTCTGATTCTGTGACTGAGACATTTAAGTAAATTTATTTTGTATTGATGAGGTGTAAAGCTATGAAAACGGGTATACTGACCCGTCCAAGTACTCTTTCTAATTACATTTCTTTTTACGGAACTATCTATCCTACTAAAAAGTAGAACATCAAGGAAAACTCTACAATCATCGTTTTCCCCCTACTTTTATATTGTTTTTAGTTTTGGATCTTAATGATATGGAATTCCGTCATTATACAGATGGATCATTCGATTCACGATATGACATTATTGAAGAGTTAGCTCGGTGAGTCAATTTTATACATAGTTGATAGACACAAATAATTATTATAATGATAAATTTGTAAACTTTAAAAATGCTCTGTATCTCTTATTTCTCTGGTTTGATATATACAAGCATACCTCCATTACTTATTCTATAAAATAGTGTTTCTTATAGTAAACAAAGGATTAAGAACAATACTAAAGTTAAAGGTTATCAACTTATTTGATGAATTAAAAATGAACTTGCATTATTCTTTCTCATAACTCTCGCCAGACTATAAACATCCGTCGATAAAACTTTATTGTACTTGATAAATTTGAAGTTGATATCTATTTTGTATCGTACTTCTGAGCTCCTGAGCATTATTATATGTTCTATAATTGTAAGTAAATAGTTGAGTTCATAAGCCAATTAAAGCTAGACCATCATGGAAAACCTGGAAGTATGAGACGGCCGTTTCGTCCTAGCATGAGACTCCTCAGTAGTACGAATCCACGATCCTGCCTAGTGGGATCCGAACCCAGGATCTGTGGTGGTCGGTATCCGATATAATCCTTAAACTTCGTATACAATTCGTCTTTCTAACCGTTCTGTATAACGCCCCAACGGTATAATAATCAGAAGGCAAATACGAAGTGTTGATTACGTTTATTTCGAGACCACACACATATATCCAAATGTACAGATGTGTTAAACAAGCATAGGAGAGTTGTGCCGAAAGGCAAGCAAGCGAGCGAGAGCCAGAGCAAGAGCGTGACGAGACCGTGCGAGCGAGTGAACGATTGAGTGTTCAATATGAATAAAATGGACATATATATACCATGTGAAATGAATGAGTAATCGAATCGAATAAGCGGTTAGTAGTAAGACTAGCAGAGTGAATAAATGCGTAGGCAGTAATCAATATTCAAGCATACGTATTTCATACAAGCTCAAAATAATAATAAGGATACAATAAATTGTTATAGTGCGGATGGCTTTGTCCGCTAAATAAGTTAACAAAAGGGCTTAACTGGGTTAAATGAAAATAAACCCATTTGCACGTGAGTCGCTATAATAGCTCCCCCCTGCAAACAAAGATATATGGAAAATGTCTGTGTTTGCATAAAAAAAATAGTAGACTGAATAGGGTAGAAAAATGGCTTATACAAAATTAAGATGAAGTTAGTGTGTGCTGTACATTTGGTTTGCGCCCGTCCGTGAGGTTACATAAAATAATAGCAAGAAATAGAAGGAATGTGGTATTGTCTTTACATTTTAAACAAAAATTATACGCATAAGTGTAAGGGTACATAAGATACGTTGAGTTTTATAGCGTATAACACGAGCTTAATAATGCATGTGTATACAATGAGGTAGAAGTTATAATTAATATTTAAAATAGTAGATCATTAATAAAAAATCGTAGCAACATATTGTTGGGGCCATCTTACTCTGCGGCCGGATCTTGTTGTTATCTGAGTCTTGTCTTTTTGTTGCGTTAACGTCGTTGATTTTTGGGACTCGTGTTTCGCTGGTGTGACCATCTTAGATGAGTCTGTACTTGTTGATTGATTATCACTATCGATGAAAGCTGGCTTTACTCGATCGATGCTAATTACATCTGTCTTCCCAGCTTTTTCTATGGTAACCGTTTTATTTGTCCTCTCTATCACTTTAAATGGGCCGTCGTAACTCGGTTGAAGAGGTGGTTGTACTTTATCTCTTCTAATGAATACGTGAGTGCTGTTATGTAGTTCCTGTGGTATGAATACTCGTCGTTGTTGTGGTCTGGGAGGTGTTATTTTTAAATCGCTCATGTGCTTTCTCAGGCGTTGCACATAGCCGGTTACATCAGTCGGGACACTTTTACTTGGAGTGAAAAATTCTCCGGGTAACCGTAGAGTAGTTCCGTAAACTAACTCGGCTGGACAACATCCCATGTCTTGTTTAATTGTTGCTCTTAGAGCTAACATTACTAGGGAAGTTTATTAGACCAATCGTTGTTAACGATGACGGCTGTAAGGGACGCTTTTAATTGCCTATGTAGGCGTTCGACCATTCCGTTTGCCATTGGATGGTACGATGTCGTTCGGATTCGTTTAATACCGAGGAGTTCTGTAAGCTGCTGAAAGAGTCGACTTTCGAATTGTGCTCCTCTATCAGTTGTGATAATCGTTGGTACACCGTAGTAAGAAATCCAATTTTCAACTAGGGTTTTAGCTACCGTTTCAGCTGAGGTGTCTTTTATCGGTACTGCTACCGGCCATCGTGTAAACCTGTCGATGCATGTAAAGATATAGTTGTATCCATTTGAAACGGGCAGTGGTCCTACAATATCGATGTGTATATGTTCAAATCTAGTGTCTGGGTGCGAAAACGGACCTACTGCCGAGCTAGTATGACGATGTACCTTAACTTTTTGGCACTTCATGCATGCCTGTGTCCAATTACGTACATCGTGATTCATGTTTGTCCATACGAATCGTTCACTAATCAGCTTTATCGTGGCTTTTATTCCTGGGTGTGACATGTTGTGCATGCTTTCGAATATTTTGTGTCGCAACGTTTTCGGGATAAATGGTCGCGGTCGGCCTGTTGATGTATCGCAAATTACTTTCGTGTTACCAAACCGCACCTCTTCGAGTACTAATGATGTTGAACCACCGGATCTGAGTTTATTTAACTCGATGTCTCTCTCCTGCAACTTTGCTAGACCGTTATAATCAATTCCACTTGCCATAAGTGTGCTTATCGTTGCTCGTGACAATGCGTCGGCCACATCGTTTTCTTGTCCTTTAACGTACTGTATGTCGGACGTGAACTGTGAAATGAACTCCAGTTGTCGGATCTCTCTCGGAGAATAATTGTCTTGCTTTGCACTTAACGCTTTCGTTAGTGGTTTATGGTCTGTATAGACGGTAAAATTTATGCCTTCGACCATATGACGGAAGTGTTTTATTGCTAAGTAGATTGCTAATAATTCTCTTCCAAACGTACTATATCTCGTTTGGGTAGGATTTAATCTTTTCGAGAAAAATGAAAGTGGCTCCCATACACCGTTTACTAACTGCTGCAAAACGGCTCCTACTGCTAAGTTCGATGCGTCTGTCATGACGGCTAATGGTGCTTCGTTCTTTCGTCGTACTAACATCATCTTCTCGTTTAGCGCTCGCTTAGCGTTCTCAAAAGCCTGTATAGCATCCGCTGAAAGACGGAATGTTCGAGTATGTCCTCGCAAGGCGTCCGTCAATGGCTGTAATATTGCTGCGCAGTTTGGGATAAATCGTCTATAATAGTTTATTAGCCCCAAGAATCGTCGTAATTTTCTTTGTGAATCGGGCAACGGATAATTACGAATAGCAGCAACTTCTGTCGGAACTGGCATGATACCATGTGAATTTATCATATGACCTAGGAATTGCAATGATTCCTTTCCAAATTCACACTTTTCCACGTTAATAGTGACGCCATGTTCTTGAAGTTTCGTAAACAACTGTCGTAGATGTTGTAGATGTTCTTCCCTGGTAGCGCTAGCTACTAGTATATCATCGATATATGCGTGAACTCCTGTCAAACCCCTGACGACCTGATCGATGAATCTTTGGAAGGTTTGGGCTGCATTAGTTAATCCGAATGGCATTCGCAAAAACTCGAATAACCCAAATGGAGTAGTTATAGCCGTTTTAGATATATCTTCTGCCGCTACGGGAATATGGTAATAAGCTCGGACGAGATCGATTTTCGAAAATATCGTGGCACCTTCCATATTGGTAGTAATGTCGTGGATATGTGGTATCGGATATCTGTCTGCTATCGTTTGCTTGTTAAGGGCTCTATAGTCTCCGCATGGCCTGATTTCCCCATTCTTCTTCGAAACCATATGCAATGGGGACGCCCAGGGACTATTAGAAGGTCTTATGATACCAAGCTTCGTCAACTTTTCGAACTCTCGTTTCGCGACATTCAACCTTTTCGGGTCTAGCCTTCGTGGTCTTGATTTAGTCGGTGGACCTTTCGTTATAATATGGTGCTGTACCGTATGTTTAAGATCTCTGTTATCGTATGATACCTTCGTCAGATCGGCATACTCGTTTAGAAGCGATCTATATGGCTCGCTTTTGTCTTTTGACACTACTAAATTCATGGATGTGTGATCAGTCGTCACTCCTCTTATCACTACTGAATGGTCGCCGTTCACGAGCCGGTTTCGTCGGGTATCCACTAGTAAGTCGAAATTCTTTAAGAAATCAATACCAATTATAGGTACGGATACATCTGCGATAATGAATTCCCAGCGGAATGAGGTAGTACGACCAAAATTCAGGGTTACTTTTCGCTTGCCATATGTTTTTATATCGGATTTATTTGCTGCCTTAAGCGTTAGCGCTGTATCGATATTTCGTGTTTCGTTACTTACTGGAGGCACGACGCTTACTTCTGCTCCCGTATCGACTAAGAATTGAGCGCCTGTTACTCTATCCTGCACGTAAAATAAACGACTGTTTCTAGGAGCTGTTGTAGTTGTTGCGGCGGTTATCGACAATCGGTGTGGTCGTTTGAACTTACATGGTGGTCTACAGTTTCGAGCTTTATCGCCGAAAGTTTGGTGGTACCAACATATTGTAGGAGCTGAGCGTCTCCTAGAACGTGATCGACTTCTTTCCCTCAATCTACTTTGTGACCATCCTCTTTGCGTATCGCTCTGATTTAGTTTCGTCAGTTTGTGGCATAAAACATTAATCTCCTTTTGTAATGCATCGATTCGTCCATCTACTGTGGTACTATGCCTTTGCGGACTCGTTTGTTTCATTCTCTCATAAATCCTATCGGCTATTTTAGCAATGTTGTCTATATCGACATCGCTGTCCTCAACCGCAAGGATCTGCTGCACGTTCGCTGGAAGTCGTCGTAACCACAACTGATAAAATATGTTTTTATCTACTTTTCTGTCATCGATTATGCTTCTCATATAGTTTTTTAGTTGAGATGGAGTCCTATCTCCTATCTGCACTTGACTGAGAAGTTGTTCGATGGCTTGCCGGTCGCTTAATGAGACGGCTTTAATCACTGCCTGTTTTAATGCGTCGTATGGCTTTTCTATGTCTGGCTTGATTAAAATCTCTCGTACATTATCTGCTACTTCATCTGGAAGTAGCGAGCTCGCGTGGCCAAATTTATCTCGCTGTGTATGAACACGATTAGCTACAAAGTAATGTTCAAGTCTGGTAAACCAAAGTTGAGGATCTGTGACCTTAAAAGGAGGAATAGTTACATTAATGGACCTCACGGACGGCGTTTGGGAAAGTTCTATTGTATCGTTACTTAAAGACATATTCATAAAGATAAAAAATTACACAAATATAATGCGAATGTCACAGAGAAAAGTGAGTCGATAAAAACAATGATAAAAACAAATGGTACAATTTATAACAAAGAACGGACTTACTAAATTGCACCAAAATATCAATTGTTTGTAAAATATCGTTGTTTATTATGAATATTATCGTTATGTTCAATAATGTTTGTGAGATAATGTACGTGTAATTAAAATAATGAGATAATAAATCCACAGTTATAATTATAATCCAAATGATAGTTACAATTGTAATCGAGTACGTTAGATTTTAGGAATTGGATTACGTCGTTGAAGATTGTTTCGTGTTCGCGCGTCGGGATCGCCAATTATGTGGTGGTCGGTATTCGATATAATCCTTAAACTTCGTATACAATTCGTCTTGCTAACCGTTCTGTATAACGCCCCAACGGTATAATAATCAGAAGGCAAATACGAAGTGTTGATTACGTTTATTTCGAGACCACACACATATATCCAAATGTACAGATGTGTTAAACAAGCATAGGAGAGTTGTGCCGAAAGGCAAGCAAGCGAGCGAGAGCCAGAGCAAGAGCGTGACGAGACCGTGCGAGCGAGTGAACGATTGAGTGTTCAATATGAATAAAATGGACATATATATACCATGTGAAATGAATGAGTAATCGAATCGAATAAGCGGTTAGTGGTAAGACTAGCAGAGTGAATAAATGCGTAGGCAGTAATCAATATTCAAGCATACGTATTTCATACAAGCTCAAAATAATAATAAGGATACAATAAATTGTTATAGTGCGGATGGCTTTGTCCGCTAAATAAGTTAACAAAAAGGGCTTAACTGGGTTAAATGAAAATAAACCCATTTGCACGTGAGTCGCTATAGATCTCTCGGTCTCGTGCGTGAACACTATAATTGTATTGTAAAAAATACGCCTTAACCATTTAGAATGTAATACAAGAATTCTCATTCAAAAAGTCAATATAAGTATACGTATATTTGCCTACACAGTTTTAAGTATTGTGATTTCATGCTGATACATGATCTCGAACAATAAATTATGTCAGAAGGGGTTTTTGCGAATATTATATTAACTCCAATAGTTGAGATCACGAGTCGATTGAAGCTAGACCACCATGGAAAACCTGGTAGCACTGAACGGCCGTTTCGTCCTATTATGGGACTCCCCAGCAGTGCGCATCCACAATCCCACCTCGTGAGATTCGAACCCTGGACATCGGTTTTGTCAAACTAGTAATTTAATACATAAAACTACTTCATGGTGTATCATGTCTCTAGAATAAACATATAAATTATATGAAGATATAAGTCTTTCAAGGAATATTACATTTAATGGAGATTTTGAATTTATTGATTGGGATCATGAACCGATTGATGTTAGACCACCATTGAAACCTAGAAGCACTGGACGGCCGTTTCATCCTACTGTGTGACTCCTCAGCAGTGCGTATCCACGATCCCGATTCATGATCTCAATCAAAAACTCAATAATCGCCACAACCCTATACTGATAATTTTAAATTTAGTCTTGATTTTTATTTGATGTGTCCGCAAGTTTTTCATTTTGCTGACCCTCCAAATAAAGATTGTATTGTAGATTGTTTAAAATAACCTCGGAAATCCAAACTTTCTTCACTGATGAATGTTTGAATGTACGGTCAAAGAATTCAGTTTTCTTCTAAATGGCTTCCATTATAGTGATAAGTATATTCCTGAATGGTTTATTTTAGTTAAATTGATAATTATAGAACACTTGGTTATATGGATTATGTATATTGGTTTAATATAAAGAAAATTTTCATTACTAACTTTTGTCAACTGGGTGAATACAAAAAAGCAGAGAGAATCGGATAACTATTTCATTCTAGTTTAAGTTGTGCTTATGCGCACCGCTTAGCAGTCCCAAACTAGAATGAAACGGATGTCCAGTGTTCTGTGGTTTTCTTTGGTCCCCCTAGCTGATATCCGTCCTTGGTAAAAGTACTTAAAAAGTCACATAATAATCAAAGTAATTAGTCCCTCTGACAAATTCGGATAATGTAATTAGAAAACGAAGATTATCAGATCTGTGATATATTAACACAATACAATTTGAACAATCTGATCACATATATACTTGTTAAGAACAATTCTATATTAAAACTAAAGGTCAACTAGGCAAGTGGAAGGTAAAAGGAAACAAAGTTAATAAGGTTAGTATACACTATTTAACACTTTTACGCAATATCACAAAAGCCATGTTAAAATCAATATTATGATCCGTTTCAACTATATGCTTGACAGAGTATGATGAATGTTTGTCATCTACTCTTATTATTCGAAATGTATTGCGTTGATCTATCATATAGTTCTGATAATCTATGTCTTCTCACTACACTATCCAAACAATATTAATTTCTACGTTTTTTGCTGTTGTTCTATTTTATCTTTGCGTTTACTGTATCATTTTTGTGTAATAAAGCAAGTGGTCATCATAGATGACTGAAACATTTTGATGTGATTATTTTTCATCCGTTTTCAGTACTAGAAATTCCGGTCTTTATAGACTTGCTGAACGCTCGACTGGTCGTTACTGGTTAGGTACTATTATAGATACAAGTCCATCTGCAATGACTAAACGTCCAGTTAGTGCTTTAGGTAAACGCGACATCAGCTATCCAGAATTACCTTCGCGTCCAGTTAGTGTTTTGGAAACTGAACGCCCTGTTCGTAGACGTGCTTCTTATGATATATCAAAGTATACAACTAGACATGATATTACTGACTGGGAACAAGAGAAAGCCGAACGTGAACTGAAACTACTTTCGCGTATCCAACAAGAAAACTTTGCACATCTACATGAAGCTTACACAGAAGCTAAACGTACTATTTGTGTAATGGAAGAGTAAGTACATTTAGTTTTGATCGATATATTTCTTTGTTTACTAATTTACAACTAAAACCTGATGTAACTCTAGGCACTTACCGTACTAAAATTATTTACTCACTCATGTATAGGTAGTATCAGTTAGTTATAGTAATAGGGCCCAGCACAAATGTTCGTTAGCCAAAGTTGCCATACTGCATTAACACGATGAAGTTAAATTAACATGCTGAATATAAAAGGCATCAAAATAATATTAGTCTCAATGATAATTAAAAAAGTTAAACATTGAATAATGAGGTTAAGAAAGAATGTAAACAGTACTTGTATGGAAGAATATTTGGACTCGAGAGCTCAAAAAGATGGAGTGGCTATATCTGATTTTGAGGCATTTCATCCAACGTCTTCAACCATTGGTCACTATTATTGGATGGATGATGGCTAGCCGCGGAATCCAAGACAGTCTCGCTCTATTTGAGACTCCTCAGCTGATGTATCTTCACCTTGTTGATGTTCATACAGGGACTGGGACGTATTACTTTCCACTTTAAACGTCTAAAAAGTTATCCATTTAGATGCTGAGTTCAAACAGCTACTGACTTGTACAACAGAGTGAACTTTAATTTATTCGTATTGCCTATTTGAATCTGGGTTCAAGTCCAGGTGTGAATCACAAAATTAGAGTTCAGGTATATCCAGCTGACCATCTCCGAATAAGACGAAGTGTATGCCTCGGATTTCACTGACAGACACAATCCAAATTTATTTAAATGCTTGTCATTTGATTGTAATATCAAGGTCATTCAAACTGGATGCACATATTCCAAAAGTAACTGATCAGTCACAGTCTACAACATCAACAGTAAGATCCAAACCAATAAAAGTGAACCTCGTTTATACATAAAGAGCTGCTTAGCTTGTGAATAGATTTTTGTCTTAATAGCCCTCCTCAAACTTTAAACTGTTTACTTTTTCAACATGAATATTTCTATGCTATTCAAATTATCATATGAAGTAATGAATGTGACATGTTTGAGTCCCTTTAACTAAAGTTTACAAAAGCTAGTGATTGGTAAGTTTGATTCAGAATCATATTATCGACAGATTTAAATGTAACTTAACAATTTATACACAATTGACATACCCATTTTTTAAATTAATATTTTTAGTGTCACATCTGGTGATACATTATGGCATCAATTAGGTCGACGTATTACAGTAACTGAGCATAAAGCAGCGGACATATTACGTCAGTTATTAGATTTAACTGCACAAATACACAAAAGTGGTGGTGTACATCTTGGTTTACAAGTAAGTGTTATTAATTTATGTAGTAAATTAAATTGAAACTATCTTACATTGATGATGTGTAATAGATCTTGAATTTGTTTTTTTTTTCTTCCTAAAACGTGAAATTTAATAAACATCATAAAACTGACGAATAATTTATGAGTATAGGGTTATGGAGATTGTTGAATTTTAATTAAGATCATGAACCGATCGATGTTAGATCGCCATTGAAAACCTGAAAACACTGGACGGCCGTTTTGTCCTAGTATGGGAATCCTTGACAATGGGCATCTACAACCTGCAAGCGGCTCATAATCTCGATTAAAACTCAACAATCTCCACAACCCTATTGTGATAATTATCATGTGTTCACTAGTGACTAACTTTGACAAGTAATTCTAGGAGTGTGAAGCAGTCACCCACCGAAGACAATGCAAGATGGTTGCGCGACAACATGGGTTGGTTGAAGTTAGACATTAACACCGTTGGATCTCGGCCGGCTCAGTGGTTTAGAGGTTAAGGGTTTGCGCATGAGACCGAGGGTCCTGGGTTCGAGCTGGGCGTGTGAGATGATGGATGAGTACCTCTGAATGTAAATTGCTTGTTTTTTTTCTTATTTTAAATTTATGGCAATTCTTTTTTTCTAATTCGACGATTCCCTTTTGGTTAGAATATACCTATCACCAGTATAATACATTTCGTTGAACACTATATCAATAATTTAAGAATGACCGACAATTTTTGAAAAAAAGAATAACTAAGTACTGTAATCATAGCGAATTAATAATCATGCAGATAACAGTAGATTATTGAGTATGGTAGATAGAAAGATGGGGGAGTTAACATCACTTTAGAATGAAGAATTGGAAATATATTCCTTTTGTATACAGAGATTAGGCTGGAGTCAGTGAATTCCCAAAGCTTCTGTATTACATATGCATTTATTGATATGTTTATTATTATTATTATTATTTAAGAGAAAAGGAAAAGTTGAGTAGAAGGGTTTGAAATCAAATGAAAGGGGACTGAAAATAAATTGGTTACTTTAACAAATTTTTCTTATTTCGTTTATTCTTTTTTGTAGCCAGAGAATATCTTCTTTACTGATCAATCTAGACAGCGGATTGCATTGGCTGATCTAGGACAAACGCATGCTTCAACTGTTGATAAACCTGTTCGTTTATCATTTCGTTCTATGGTATATATTCCACCAGAATTAACTAATGCTATGCCAATTAGTAAATCGGCACGAGTTGGTCAATCTGCTGATATGTGGTCATTAGGTCTATTACTTTATCAAATGTAAGTAATAATGTTAAATGTTAAAAAAAGAAGCAATTAAATTAAAGTCATTAACAACAAATTAGCAATTCAGTCAGGTAATATTTTTAGAAAATGTGTGAATCCGAATTGAAGTCGAAAGGCAGTCGCTCAATATCACTTACGGATTGATATTAGACGTTTCAACTCAGTGGTCTAAAACTTAAGCATGTGTGATGAAACTAGATGATCCTGGGTTCGATTCCTATCTATGCTCACTCCTGAGGAGTTTCATGCTAGTGCAAAATAGCTGTTCAATGGTTCTTAGTTTTCGATGGAGATCTGATTAAGGTCAGTTCTTGATGAATACTATAAATCTGACGTTAGTTGAAAAAATGGTTTTCTAAAGTTTGGCATTACTGACCATTGAAATCTAATCCCGTGTTCCAACGCCCATTTGGAAGTTGTAGGAATCTAAAAGCACTTGGTTTAACTATACAGTCAATGGAGGTCATGTTACTAAAGAGTTTTAAACCAGAATGAAACAAGCTGTTCATTTTCTTGACTAGTATAGATTATCTTTATGGCAAAAATGATTTCCACCAGTAATCAATCATTTGACATTACGATAATTATTACATTGATACTGAAATCTATTTCTTTTCAAATAGGACTACTGGTGATACAGAAGGGCCACCTGAACCAGAGAAACTTGAAAAGATGCATTATTCTCCAAAAATGGTTGATTTTACTAAACGTTTACTACATACTGATCCAAAACAACGGATGACAGTTCATCAAGCTTTGGAACATCCATGGATAACAAGTATGACTAGTAAAAAATATGATACAATTGAACGAGAAGAAAAAGAGGATCACTTCAAATCTGTTTCTTCATCAAGACATTATTCATCAAATCTAGCTAAGAATGATGAATCACAAATACAAGATGAAATTCTAGAAGATGATATTGCTGAACGAATAAATAAACGTGCATATACAAGATTATTACGTTGGTTAGATGCCAGTTATGTAAATGACACTGATGATATTGATACAAATGATACATCAAGTATTCGTAAATTGTCAAGAGTTGGATCTATTCATGATTCATATCATCGTTATTATTATGATTATCAAACATCATCATCTAAAGAATCTGAAGAAATTGTTGTACATGCAAGAATTACACCACGTGGTCAAGCACCAGAAATATTAACACCTATGGGTTCAGTAAGTGCTCCAGAAGGTAGTACAACAACGTTACGTTGTGCTGTTTATTTACCGAAAATAAAAAAATCATCACATCTTACAGATCAATTGAGTGATTTACAAATTCGTTGGTCATTAAATGGTCGTGAATTAAATATTGGTTGTCCGTTACCATCATTAAAAACTTCTACGACACAACATTATGTATGTACATATGATACTGAAACAGGTGATATTAAACTTCATATCAATGATGTTACAGTATATGATGCTGGAACATATGAGGTTACTATTATTGGTCGATATGGTCAAGTATCTGATTCAGCAAATTTGAAAGTTTATGGTAAGTAGTGATGGATAAAGTATTTTCTAATGAATATTTATATGGGAGAAAGTTGAACCTTCATTAGATCAACGACAATGTCTTATCTTAAAACAAATAAACATTAAGGTTTAGTGACTCGTAACACAATGTTTAATACAATGAAATGTAAAACTAAAGAGAAATGTTTTTTACTAATGATTATTTAAATATCTGAAACTAGATATACCACACTATAGGTTTGTATTTTTATTTATTTGAACACATAAATATTGATACAAAGGGGCACTGAATACATATGCACCACACAAGTTACTTGATCTGTGTTTGGGCTGGGATATGGGTCGGGTTCCCAAACCGAAACATGTGGTTTTCTTAGAGGACCACACCCGGAGCCTTCAACCTAGAGGTCTGGTCCACTAGACAGTGGAGGAACGTAAGGAGATGAAGTCCCGTGGTAGATATTGACCGAAAAATGGTTCAAAAACACCATTTTTCTCAGGATACTAGAGCCCATGTGCAACATTGGTTTGGAATCAGGTTTTCCAACTCCCCTAGGTGGACTCTCCGTGTCCACCGACCCGGGTAAAGCGTTTGACATTCGCTTTTCTTCCTCTCAATATGGTAAACAACATCCCTGCCGTGAGAAGTCAGTGAGTAGGACTTCCGTGGCAGTGACAGTATACACATGGCCACTTGAGAGCATTTCTAGAGGAAGAGCTGACTCTTGCAGGTGAGATGCAGGACGCGCGTTTCGTCCTATTTGGGATCTGCCTGTATCCGATTTGATGTTCACTGCATGACTCGTACTCAATACTGTTCACTTCAAACATCGTCACTTTATCCACTTATCTACCTTGTCCAGATTTCTACTAGCTTGTGAGATAGAGTGAAGTTTAGTTCACCTTGTATTGGATGTTTAAATTTTGACAATGACGTTTAGGACTGTAATTGATCAGTCGCTTATCCATTTGACGGGTCCCAAATAGGACAAAATGTGTGTCCTAGCCACTATCCATATATGCTTATAACTATTGTTACCTAGGGAAATATCGAGGTGATCCGCACAGGATGCACATATGCCAATAAGAAACTGATTATTTGCAGCCCTAAACATCAATGGGAAGATTCAAACAATCAATGCAACATGAATGAATTTTATGTTGTTTCTTATAGATAAATTAGTTATGATTGACTTTATTTATTTACTTCATGTAGAATCAACAACTCAGCGTTCAACTACTAATTCTGATTTATATGTAACAAGTGAATTAGGCGCACGTATTCTATTACCATTAGTTGATATGACATGTACAACTGGTGGTAAGATTCAAATGAAAGCTAAAGGTGAGTTCCTCTTGTTATTCATGTTCCTCTTATTATAAGCATTATTTTGACCTATGGACTTATCATACGATTTACCATTCTTGAATTATACCCAGTCTATTGATTACAGTCTCCCACATTCACAACCACTTTTGTCTAGATCATGTATAAATGTTATTTTTTATTTCATAGTACGATATGGTCTGTTTGGTTTGTATATAAACGCAGTATGTTCGAAATACATGATTTATATCGTGGAGTCTAAGACTGGTGTTCTGAACCGAACAGGCAGGGAGAAGAACCGATAAAGCCTCTAGACTGCTCGTACGAGTTTTATGCGTCATTGATCTGGTCGATAATTCACTGTTCTCTAATTGGCGGTATCATTAGGCTACACACTAATAGGACACAAAGCCACAAGTTATAACATTGAGTCAGTGAATATCACATTCAGTGAAGTTACGAATATAGTTTTATAGATAATACATAATCCTTTGATTAATCTTATCATATACTTATTGACAGAAATAATTTTGTTCACTATTCATTTTTTTTAGTTTGTGGAATACCAGTTCCTCGATGTACATGGTTACATAATGGTGTCCCATTAACAGCTTCATCACGTAGACGTTTCTATCAAGAAGATATGAATGGTACATCATCGTCAGAATTAATGCTAAAACTTGAAATATCTGAAATTACTACAGCTGATGCTGGACTTTATTCTTTAGTAGCTACTAATAAATATGGATCACAAACATGTTCAGCTGTTATTGAAGTATTTGGTAAGTAGATCACTCTTTCAAGATGTTTTACTTGAAACATACTTCATTGATTTTTATTATTCTCTTATACAATAATTTCATATGTCTGAAATAGATTTTATAACTACACATGTTAGGAAAAAGTATAAATTGGGGATGCAGCTAGTTATGTCTTGCATGAAAGATTAGCGAGGGCAGTTAGTAAGATATTCTATTGTAGCTAATCTTACACTGGGATTTTCTGTTTGGCCAGTATTATTCACTCAAACTAAAGATAAATTACCTGAGTTGACCTCTTGAGTGTGCAACTACAAATCAAACTTTTCCTGAGGAGTTAACTATATTTAGCTTACTACCAGGCAGCTTAACCAACAACTAAGTGAACATCTCTCACTATGGTTTGGAAAGTGCCAGACAAGGACAATACGCAGCTCTATCTTGTCACACCTGATTGACAGTGATCATATAGTAGATAAAACCAAACCATTCCTAGTGATCAATTGCATATCTTCTTCGTTCCCCTAAAGGATTTGATCCAGTCTCCAATAAAATTCATAACCTATAACTCTGATTTATGTGCTCAGAAGAAATTCTCAACACTTCTGTCTCTTTCTTCGTTCGATATAACATAAAAAAACGATATTTTTCACATCCTGTGTTTGTTTATTGTTTTTTCAACCCATCCCGTTTATATTCAACAATCCCTAATTATTTACACACTTCTTATTACGTAATTTTAATATTTTGTGATTATTTTATAGTCTGTTTATCTAAGTTTGATCTACATTGATCTATGTTGAACCATAGACTGGACCTTACTTATTTTATAATTCTTATCACTACTAGTACATCTGCGTTCTTACTATTCATTTATACTTTTTAACTATAATGTGTAATTAAACAATTAATTTCATTGTGATCATCCACTCATAATTAGTCTAGATTGATCTAAAATACTCCTATAAATATCTATGTAAATTCGAATGGATTCTGACAACAATCTAACTAAAAATAGTATGTTGTTAAATCTATTGGAGCGTCTAATCAAACAGTTGAGATACACACGAAATCAAAGTTCACAAAACAGCGATTTGTCTAAAAAAAGGCGGTTCTTTATTGAGTAATATATATACAAATTAGCTACAAACTTCAACTTGTGAGGGATCTATAGCCCCTTGTGCGTCTATAAGTCTGAAATAAAAAAAGCTTCGATAGTGCAACGATAGCCAATAGCTGATAATAGTTTGTCAGCAAGCGAAAAGGGAACTAAGAGCAAATAATATGCAAACTGTTGCATTTAAACGAGGATTAAACGACTATACAAAGACTGAGAATAACTGTTACAGTGATTGAGAGGAAGTACTTATAATGATAAACACAATAGATGTTATAAGTATGTGTAAATATTTACACACGCTACAACATACGCGTAAAAATTGTTAGGAATAAAACTGTTTACTGAACATTGAAAAGTAGTATAAAGCAATACACAAAAGATTTGAAGGGGAGAAAAGAAGGAAAGAGAATGTAAACAGACTTAGCATGTGTTGTATTAATTTTCATAATGGGAATCTTTGAATAAATTAGTTGCATAAACTTCTCTTCAGTGAATTTCTCAATTTTCCTTGGTGAAGAATAATGTTATAAATCAAATCCTTTAATATATATCCTTTTATTTCATTATTCTTAAGTGAATATTGATGTGGGATTTTTGTTGTTATTATTATTACTATTATTCTATAGCTTCTCTTGAGGATGGTTCAGAAGCGCCACATTTTCTTAAAGAATTAACAAGTATTACTGTTGTTGAAGGAAGTGCTGCTCGTTTTGAAACATGTGCACGTGGTCAACCTGCACCAACTGTACGTTGGCTTAAAGATGGTAAACCATTATTAACAGATGGTATACGTTTATGTGTATCACAAACATCAACTGAAAGATCTGGCACTAATACATCTAGTCATACGCTTTTAGTTAAAGATGCTATACCACGTGATAGTGGAACATATACATGTATCGCAACAAGTTCATCAGGTACTGCTATCACTGAAGCAGCATTACATGTTCGTGGTAAGTTGATTTCTTTCAATCTTATTCTAGTTAAACCATTCTCATTACATTGTTATTCATAAACACGTAACTCTAAAGACTTTTGTATTTATATTCAGTAAAATATTGTATTAAATAAGCACTTCACTGAGTAATTGTAGAACAATAGAAGCGCTTACTTTACACCAAGATACACTATTTTCAGTAGCCTATACTTTATACAATACGTTAAACATAAATGACTAGAGGAAAGAATAAGCATTTCTGAACCGAACTCAATTCTATTAGGTTATTTTAGTAAATTCAATCACAAACGACAGGGTTATAAGAAGCCTTCTTTCTTGTAAACTATTCGGGATAAATGAGTATAGAAAACACGATTGGTGATGTATTTTGTTGTAAAACGAATATGTTATATAAACGATATGGATTAATAACACACAAAAGGAAATAATAAATTGTTTAAGGTTTAGTCACAATAGTCGCCTGATTCAGGTTCATCGTTCACATTTTCAAGTATGAAGAATCAGATAACAAGAATGGAAGTTTATAAATTATGAGGGCGATCTATGTTAAAGGTTTTTAAACACATGTTTGTGTAACCATTACAACTAAAAGTAAACCTTCATATAATGATAATTTAAATAATTTGGAGTGTTCATTACTTACTTGTTTACTTATGCCTGTTACTCCCAATGGAGCATAGGCCACCGATCAGCATTCTCCAACCCATTCTGTCCTAGGTCTTCCTTTGTAGTTCTATCCAATTTTTGTTCATTCTTCTCATTTCTGTCTCCATTTCTCGGCGTAATGTGTTCTTTGGTCTTCCTCTTTTCCTTTGGCCTTGACGATTCCATGTGAGGGCTTGCCCAGTGACTCAGATGGGGGCTTTCCTCAATGTGCGTTCATTACATTTAAAATATTAGTTAAACCATATCGTATAATTTTATCGATCATTTTTAATCACAAAAATTTTTCACAAAGGTTTATTCGGTCGTGGAGGTCATATTGGTTCAGATACAGTTAATAGTGGTGGTATTCGACATCGTCATCCTGAATTCACTCGTCGTTTACGTAATCAACAAGTTGATTTTGGCAGTACTATACGATTAGCTGCATCAGTATTAGCTCAACCATCAGCTACAGTGGTTTGGCAAAAGGATGGTATAGAAATTTTAACTGATCCATCGGATGATCCAAGAATTACTGCTAAAGTTAGTTCAATTATTTCATATAGTATCTAAATTTATGTATATTCTAAACTATATAAAGATTAATTTACTATTCGACATCATTTCTTGTTCTCAACACATTTAATCATAAATAATCAGTATTATTTGAAGAAAAATTATCAAGTTCTAAACATCTACATCACACATTATTGATCTCAAAGGATCAGTATTGGTTTTATTTACGACTAGTATTCGTAAACTCATACTGGATCAAATTCAGGGTCTTCATGTAGTGGATGAGAACACAGGCTGAGACAATTAAATGTGTTTCAACACATTACAGAATATCTTGATAAAACCGGAGAACCATACAGTAAATACTTCATTTGCAAAATATTCACCAATTGTTTCAGACTTTGTTGTTCCTTCATTTCTATAGCAAACACTCTCTATTCTCATTCTCTTCTCTTTGATTTTCTCAACCTCCTGACACCAGGCATTCCACTTTCGATTGTTGATACTACTTATATCTGTCGATATCAGTAGAACACATCAGATTCATATCCGATTTGTTTTTTGGATGACTATGTTGAAATTTAATAGTTCATATTTCAAACTCAGATCAATTCACAATCCTATCGTTGATCAACTACTTTAATTATGAACTGTGTTAACGCCACTAATCACAGACTCCTATGAATCTTACAAAAAATTCATTACTAGGGGCATTATTTTGTATTAATTAGCATGGTGAATGAAAAAGAAACTATGAATATTCTGTTTACAGAAGTTGTAGTTAGTATAAATAATGAGCAGTTTCACATGAGTTTGTCATCAAAAAAGCATAAATTACCGTTTGTGTTAAACATTTTGATGATATAATTAGTAAGTGGTGAAACTCTTTTATTTAAACACTGTCATTATCATGATCATCATTAAAAATTCCTTTTTTTTACTATGTAACTGTTAATTTACAGAATCATAGCGGTCATCTAGAATTACGTATTGAAAATGTATGCAAAGATGATTTGGGTCAATATACAGTGATTGCATATAATTCTGCTGGTGAAGCTCGTTGTTCATGCATTCTACAAGGTACAACTAAAATGGAAATACAAGTGCCTAAATTCACTAAAGAACTTCGAGATTATACAATATTAGAAGGTACTAATTTATGTTTAGAAACCATAGCAATCGGTGAACCAATACCTGAATTTAAATGGTAAGTATTAAAAAAAAGATTTATTTCCATTGAATAATTGAACAATTATTTAGTACATTCTTTCATTTATATTAGGACCATCAAGTGAACTATGCTAAACTTAGACATAAAGTACTAAGGAAATTTAACAAATTTGTTAATGTGGTAATGAATCTTCACCAATTAATGTAGTTAAGATGATATGTATTACATATGCTCCACCACTGCTTACTTCAATGCCTAATATTGGTTGGTGTAGAATTAAGTTGTAATAATGTTTTAGACGGCCAAACTAAGACGTCATATCAATTAATGAAGCCATTGAGCTGTGAGAATAGGTGCAGACTATCTGATTGGAGTCAGTGTGATTACCTCAACTAGTTGTTGGATATGCTGGGCGGCATGGCTAAGAATTGGTCTTAGTTTAGAAGATGGATTCAATATTTGCTTTTCTTTAGATTAAAGATGCCACAAGTATTACATTTATTTACCGCTACAAGATCTTAAGTTTCGGAATTGTCTTCTTGTGCGAATTCATTTTTTTTCTCTGATCACACCGTCTACGTCTGATCTTTTTTACTACCATTGATACTGTTATTAATTCTCTCCTACACTCTGATATTTATTTTAATAGTTTCCACTCACCGTGCTAATATGTTTGGTAAATTGAACTGACACAAAAATATCTCAGATGCTATGTTGTTTATGACTGGCTGTTTGTTACTTAGCTAAAGATTAACAGTGATAAGTGTCAATCTTTTAAAATTAGTATCAAGTACTCTTTTTGATCACTTCAGTCCAGTAATGATATGCTATTTATTGTTATTTGATTGTATTAACTGAAAACAATATCTAAATGGAATATTTTAATTATAAATTCGCTTTGATTCTTTCTTTTTTATCTAACGTATAAAATAGGGAAAAAGATGGTTTTGAAATTCTTCCTGATGAATATGGTCCACCACGTATCACACCTGGGACAAATGGTAGTGGTTTAGCTTATTTACGCATTCACAATGTTCGTAGTTCAGATGCAGGTTTGTATCGTTGCATTGCATATAATAGATTTGGTCGTGAAAGAACAACTTGTATTGTTCATGTGGAATCAACTAAACAAAAAGGTGTACATCGATCAGATATGAGGAATGGATCATTTACTTCGAAAAAAGACACAGATTCTTCTTTAGCACTGTTATCTGAGAATGGTATTAAAGCATCACCAAGGGATCATTCAGATTCACCCAAATTAACTGGATATATTAATGTGTTACGTCCATTGCCTAAAACTATTGAAGTTGAAGAAGGCAGTCCTATTGAACTAACATGTCGTGTTGATACAAATTTGCATTACATTCGTAAGTATCATTTTTGATTAGACAATGAACATTGTTTTCTTTAAATTTCAATAATATAACGACAGAATTTAAATATTACCTGCTTGCCACGTTGTACTACTATTATACAGTTTTGCGACCGGTAGGACCGATATTATACTACCACCAGATTGGATACTCGATCGACAGGCTATATACAAACTAGATCTCATTATATCACATACACGATTAACGACTAGTAATAGAGAATCAGGGTATACGCTAGACAATACTTTATTCAAAGAAATTAGTTGCACTCAGTGAGTACAGAGTAAACATCAACAATACGAAGGGAAGTCATGTATATAATGGTCAGTAAGTTGTGCGTTTATTTGTTCACGTTCGGTGACCAATCTCATTTACTTTCACCAGTCACACATCATTAAACTTATCTTGTAGACAAAAGATGCAGTTACTCGGAAAGTTGTTCACCTTTAGATAGTATATAGTCTAAAATTACTTTGTGTTTAGTGAAAAACTCTGACAGGAACTTGAACCTAAAACTTTGAACTAAATCTCTGCAAAGTTAGAATTTTAGAAAGGACTAGAAAAACGCTTTAAAAGATTACTTTCACCTAAACGTTCGGTTTTTAACGAAAATTACCTGTCCAACAAACACTGATTGTTCTTGAATGAATCATTAGGTTAGAATCGAATAGCTTTTAAAGTTTGATTATATTAGCCCACAAATGCCCTGATACAGCCGAGAGTGGGGAGAGTCAGTTTTCCCTCTCGAAATGCTCTCATATGACCACGCGTAAACAGCCACTGCTACGGAAGTCCTACTCACTGCTTTCTCATGGCATTACTGTTGTTTACAAAATTGAGAGGAAAGAAAGTGAATGTCCAACGCTTTAACTGGGTTGGTGGATATGAAGGATCCACCTAGGGGAGTTGGAAAACCCTGATTCCAAACCAATGTTGCACATGGGCTCCAGTATCCTAAGAGAACAAATAGTGTTTTTGAACCATTTGTTAGTCACCATCTACCATGGGACTGCATCTCCTGACGTTGCTCCACTGCTTAATGGATCAGACCTATAGGTTGAAGGTCCCGGGTGTGGTCCCCTAAGAAAACCACCTGTTTCGGTTTGGGCACCCAGGCAGTATCCTACTTCTCACACACATCGAATGATTTATGTGGCGCATATCTATTTGGTACCTCCTTGTACCAATGTTTATGTGTTTAAATAAAAATGGCTGATTCATATGTACTAAGCTTTATTCTCACGAATAAAAGCTATTATACGACATCACGAGTATTTTGATAATAATTATATCTACAATTGGATTCTATTTAAAGTGTCTTGAACTAATTTCTCTTAGTTATATTTATCTGATGAAGTAAATGTTATGTAACATTGAAATAAAATATTTCCCTTATATATATATTTTTATTAAAAGCTACATGGAGTAAATCAGGTCGAACTTTAACATATGATGGTCGTAGAAGAGTCACTCGTAGTAAAGATGGTGAACTTACATTAGCTATTGATCAAGTAATGTCTAATGATGAAGGATCATACACATTGACATTAGAAGCTTCTGATGCAAATGCACCGAAAAATCTAGAACCAATTGTACTTTCTACACGTGTTCAAATTAAATCAAAACAAAGACCACGGTAAATTCAGTTATTTGTATACAATAATAGTTTGTAATTTTACATTTTAATTTAATCACAAATACAAAGATAGTTGAAGTTAACAAAATGTAATTTGATGCTTGCCGAATAATTAGACTTTTTGCATAACGCATGACATCGTTTAGAATGATAACGAAAGCTTTGGGATTAATTAAACCACTGAGTTGGTTGGAGAATGCTGGTGAGCGGTCTATACTCCTCGACGAGGAATAACAGGAGTAAGTAAGTAAGTGATACATGGAAAGTTTAGGAAATAAAACATGTTCGATTCCCAAGTGTATAGTGATCGCTTACTTGGTAGTAACTAATATCATGTTTATCTAGTTCATAGTGGCATTCGAATTCTATCAATCAAACTGTAATGTTTCCAATAAGTTTCAAAAATTTAACATTACATTCACTACCTTTGAATGTTGGGTGGCTGGAGGCTATCGTAAAGAACTTCGAACCTAGATTAATGCTAATCATAGGTAGAATTTGATCACGACTGATTGACGTAGGTTCGAATCCCAATAAGGAGCGTCAATACCCTTAGAATCACAGATGCACCTTACTGGAGAGATCCAGCTATTGAGAAGATCAGGTTCATAGGATTTCATTGGTTGCTTCCGATAAGTCTCACTAATTGAATGCTAGATTCGTTTCCTAAGCTCTTCTAGTAACCTCCAGGCTAGATCTGCACATCGACTTGAAGACGTGAGCAAAGGCGCGAAATATGTAAGAAACACTTTACTCCAAAGGTTCGTCTATGTACAGAAAATCTAGAGTTTTTATAAAATTTTAGATGCTACTAAACATAGTAGCAGCAAAAGTAATCATCCAATCAGAAGCTCGACATGTGACTTTTCACTTTCTAGATGTTTTTGGCAAAACTTCTAGTGAACGCTGATTGAATAAGATGCTTCTTAGTGTTTTCTGAGCCTTTCTTGGCTTTTGTAAGAAGTTTTCTGGATCTCCCCAACAACTTCTAACTATCTACCACTTTCATAAATTTATACAATAACATTTAATAATAAACTAATAAGTGAAAATTCACTGTGATATATAGACGCCTAACCACTTGTGAAAGTGATTTGTTTTGCAGAAATCAATCATATAATCCGGTACAAGTTTTATTTCAAACATACTTTGCTCACCAGTGAACATAACTGTGAAAATTAGAAGTATTTGAATTATAGTACAAACTAAGAATCTCAGGAATAACACAATTGGATCAAGTAGTAGTAGATAAGCACGAACGAATGTACTGTATTTGGAATTCGAAATCAAGTATTCGACAAGTACAAAGGAATCGTTAGTTCATACAAACACCACATCCTCCACAGATTATATGAGAATCCAAATTTCTGCAATCAATTGTGCTCCTTCTTCGTAGGTTCATCGTGTCTGTCCAACCGTGCATTGCATGTAGACTTTGTATGACCTAGAATGTGCTCATTAGTATTAGAATTAACAAGCGAAATCGGAACAGACCCACCTGGGTCCTGGAATTGTATTCAGTCACCATGTCGGTTTTGTACTGAAATCACTGATAACTAGAATTTGAACCAAAGATTTTCCAACACTATCCTCCACCACAAAATAATGTTGGATCTTCATATCCCCAAGTTATGAATAATGTGGCTTCATTTAAAAAATATTTCTCACATTGATTAGAGTATACATTGGAAGTTAATTTGTGATAAGGATGAACAGCAGTTGATGTGAAACCATGTGAATTGTAATCAGAATCGAGCTCATTTAATACTCGTGTTTCGTATTGAACAAGTTTCCCACAAGAAAAGAATGCATTATGAAGACAAATAATATCTGATGACATCAAGATTTGATTCTTCTGAAATACTTCCCTCAAATTTATTAAGATTGTCATTGCAGAGTAAAGGATCATTAGAAAAATCAGCATCTATCAATCCTACATCACGTTTTCGATCATGACTAGGTTCATTCAACATTTTTTCCTCAGATTTGTAAGGAATTTCGTCAGAAATAAGTGAGTCATTACGAAAAACCATATCTGGTACAATAAAATGAGAAAACTGATAAGTCGATTGATTAGAAACTGTTTTCTCACAAGGATTCTGAGTCTCATTTAACTCTGAACTGCTATATGACTCTACACTGTCTTTTAAAATCGTTGATAAGGATAAATAATCATTAGGAACACTGGACTTAATAGAATCAGAATTACAAAACTTAATATTCGTTGCAGCAAGATGAACAGTAGTATTACAAACTGACTGAATATATCCAATATCACCACATTTAAAGCACTTAGAATTACGAAATTTACATGAATTAAAAGAGTGGAACTTGCCACAGAACAAACATTAACCAAACTTGTGCCCATCGTTAGTTCACGTAAACACCACACTAACACTTAATGAATTCTACAAATAAACCAGTTTGCATTTATGAATATATTCATTTGTTTCTTGTTACATTTTTTTTCATGTTTTATCATAGTTATGATACAGTTTCACGTGGATCATCTCGTGCTAATTCTCGAGCAACAAGTGTTTCAAATGGTCGAACTTCTAAAGAACCATAATATCAATCAATTATAAACAAAGATAAATGTTTACAAGACAATATAAGTTACAATAACTATGTATTCATATAAGATATTTGTTTGTGTATTTTTAGTCATCTAAGATATTTTGACCAATACAAATAATTTTGATCTTGTTTCCATAACAACAGTTTATGTTATCGATGATGATTATGAGAATGACTAGGATTCAACTGCTTCTAGATTTAACCTTTTTTTTCCAAAATAAACGATTGTATGTAACATGACAAACAATGATGCAATTAGAAATCTTCAACATTTCGAAAGTTTCGTATTCACATCTATATCAACTTCATGAAGATTATGTACTTGTTTGTCTATATATTAATTTCTGTTAAAACTTGATTAAACTTGATGTATGAAAAATATAATATTCGTTTCTTTTACTTTGTCTAATATAAATCAATTTTTTGTTGCTGTACACATCCCCCTTTAAGTATTAACTATTATGAATACTACTACTGGTACTACTACTACTGCCACTGATACCAATGCTACTCCTATTAGTACCATTTTATCTAATTATCACTTAATGATAAGTTCATTTATTAGTTTACAACAATCTATGTGTAAGAATATCCCTTTTTTGAGTATATCGCATTTCATTAAAAATACCCTGATTCCCCTCTTCCACCTCCCCCTCCCCAAAAAATTCATTTCATTCATCCTTTCATAACTTATTAATTTAGATAATGTTATTTTAAAGAGAGAAACGAATGCAACTCTACCAAAAAAAAGGAAAAGATTCTTGTATTTCCAATGAAGAACACATTATGATTAGTTTCATTTATAACTAAGTAACTATAATCAGAATATTTATCAAGTTTATCCATGAATTTGTTTGTTATTCTTTCCTCTTTAACTTTTATTGGTAATTATTACACATCCTTATATACTACTGATTTGAATTATTTAATTAACCAATTAATGAAATGTTTAAATAAATCACTTGATAATTAATTGACTATTTACTTTTTCATTCAGATCAATTTGGTAGACAAAGTAAGTGTTCATGTTTACAGATGATCGTAGTGTTCTCTAACCTAACTAGTTTAATTGTGATCATTATAAATCATTTAGTGTTTATCAGTAATCATTCATTGTAACATTTTGTCGTTTCTGCTTTACTCAATTATTTACCATCCTGTTGGACAGTTGATTCATGAGTTTGTATGTAATACTTGTTAGTAGAATATGCTAAGCGTTTCGTATATCCCGACAGCGGAAAACGTGTTATAGTTGTATGATTCTGAAGAAGCAACTACCTCCCCCCCCTCCAGATCCTTATTCTGAGTAACAAATATTCTTAATTATCTCGACATGAAAGCCTGATTGGGTAAATAATTTTCAGAAAGTTACAATCTATCTATGTTATTAAAGTTATTTTAATTGAATTAATCCCAAGCCTATTACTTGTAATGTAAAGGAGTGAATAAATCAAACTCCGAAGTAGTTCACAAATTAATCAAAGATATTTTTAAGTGTATTATTTGAACAATCAATCTACTATAAATAATTTTTGTACTGAAACTATATTGTACTATCATATTCTTCGAGTAGATTCTTAAAATAAATTTACGGAATAATCCCGATTAGAGTTATACATTAGATTAAATACTCGCCATGATTAGTTAGGAAAATGGGAAAGTATAAAATTGCGAATCTGTAAGACGAATTTGAAGTGAATGGCACTGGGTTCGAGTCTCAGAGTGAATATCAACTCTGAGATGCAGGTACATCCAGCTGACAAATTCCAAATAGGACGAAACGTGAGTCAAACTGGATTTCACTGCTAGCCACTATACATCAAATTTCAATTATTTAGAAATATTGTCAATTTTTCTATTGGTTTTTATCATTTAAAATAAAAACATGATACATACTACTTATCATTTATGAGATGAAAAGATACTCTTCTTTCTCATTTGATTGAAACTTACAAGGCCTTCACACTTTCAATATATTAGTATATCAGGAATAGGTGCTTCAAAAATGAATTACTTACCTATTCTGACGTATGGTTATATAGTGTATTTATTGAAATTCTTTAACTAATCATATCAGTCATCTGAAAGCAGAGTAGACTAGCTTGTTTGATGATGTTGAGATTACTATATTACTAATCAGTGTTCAAAAGAATGATTAGTCGAAATATCCCGTTCTTAAAAATGTCCTATGCAATTCTGCCCTATACTGTAGAAGACTTGTCTTTTCGAGGTGAGGATGCCCAGCGAATCTATGTGCCTTATCTGCGTTGCATGGAATTTTGACTTAGTATGACTTTGATCCAGTTACCGATGAATATTGAGCTTGGAGTGAACTTATTACTTTTTTCCTTATAAAGACTTTTAAACTGACCTATTACTCTCTATAATAATCGAATGATCTGATCAGTGCTTTGTCAACAGATTGCTGTAGAGATTCTCAGCCTAAGATTGGTATAGATTACACAAGCTGATCACTTTACAATGAACACTAGTTCTCAAAACGGACAAAAGTCTAAACTAGACGACACGACACCATATAACACTGGCTTTCATATTATTGCTCAGATATTGAAATGATACCATCTTTAATTAAAGCGTTACATCATGGTTAGTTTAAATCTCCCTATGAGGGTGAACATAAATTTCCGAATTCTTAGATTAGGAAAAACTTTACTAACTCAAAGCACATCAGATAATATATGGGTATTCAGTGAAACTACCAGTGACGAAATATATTGTCATTTGCCCTGACATGACGGAGAATTAGGAAAGTCCAGCCATATTTCCATTTTGTGTTCGGTCCTATTCTGCAACTCAGTGGCTTAAATCTGTCTCATTAAAATTTCCAGTTCATTGGATGGTCGGTTTGATGAATGGTGTCATCGAGTACGGAATCTGTCATATCTTTTCAAAAGCCATGCCTGGCACCCAAGCTTGCCTCCTTCAGCATTTGAATTTCCATGCAAAACGGACAATACAAAGTTCTGACCGTTCCTTTGGTACTAATATATACTGTACATTATAGACAGATATCCAAGCACAACTTCGTTCTCCATCTCTCCGTTCAAAGATTATTTCATGTGCGCTGATCCGGAACCATGTAGCACAGACATCCGATTTCGTTAGCGTCGGTGTCTCACTACGGAGCAGAGCATAGGGAGAATTGATTTGTCCTTATTAATAGTTTTCCACATATTTTCTCACTAAAACGCACAGCCAGTGATAAGGAACCGGTGTGGGGAATGATGTCTTTTTGTAATCTCCAGCAACTCGCGAACAGGCTGTAGCACGCATGTAATCAAAGTAGGGTCCTAACATCAAGTCAACAATCTCAATAGATGGTGGTGACCGGTGTGGATGCGCAGATCGAGTGTTTAGGCGCAGAGGAGGATGGCTTCGGTAAAGACTTTATGATAGCTCAAGATTTGTCATTTGAAAAATGTATCTAAGTTTACTGACGTCTTGAAGGCTGAACTTTGCCATTGATAACATTCTGGAAACAGCTCTGATCGAAATAAGTACTAGTGGTGTGAACCTGCTACGCGGAGAAAGACTTTTCGGTCTCAAATATGCGAATAATATTGTCTTGATGTGCAGTGATACACAAACTATCTATATCCCACTTATTAAGTTAGGAATGTCTCTAAGTATGGCGTGTTTTGTACCTTCTAGAAATAGAACACTTCCACAAGACTTGGCAGGAACCTGTGCTTGCAATCACTGCTTTTGGTGAGTTATCATTAGTCGAAAAGTTCGTATCCAGGAAAGCTGAGTTTTGGTGGAGTTACAATCAATAAAATCAATCTACGATTAGTGAAAATTAGAACGACCTACACCCAATTGTCCTGTCTTGATATTAGTTTGAATCTATAAGGTCGAGTTTACAATGCGTTAGTGAGAGCGATTCTGCTCTTTGCTTACAAAACATGGCTTTTCAAAGTTGAGGATCTTCAGTGATTGCGTGTTCGACAGTCATTGTCTCCGAAGGATTGCTGACATCCAGTAGCAACTTTATATTAGTAGTACAGAAGTTCGACAGTGCGTATTCAAGTGTAGTGACGATGATCCAACTAGTCTCATCATCTTGAAACACCTGCTTCGTAGCTTGGACGTATCTTACAAATGTCATCCTGGCAGATCCCACATCGTGGATTAGTTACTAATATTCAGACAGAATGGATAAATCAGTCATACTCAACATAGAACCTAGTACATGTGTACATTGATTCAAGTTGTCACACTGCATCTAGTACAGTGAACTGAAAGCATCAGGAAAAATTCAAAAGTAGTAGATATAGCACCAATATTAATGGTAATAGAAAACAATAAGCATTGAAGATACGATTTGAAAATGAAATCCAAATTAATGAAATAATGAATGCACCTCTACCATTGAGGATGATTTTAAGCCATATCATCTAAAGTCTATAATCATTAGTTACGATAATCAAGCGAACATCAACCAGATAGTCTGCAACTATTTACATAGTTTACAATCTAACAATTCGTGTTCTCATGGAATGCTATCACTTTTCGATTTGATGCTCTATTACACCACAATTTACACATTATAAGTAAATAAATAAAATTAACAAATAAATAACTTCAGCCAATCCACGAAATTGCGCCCCCGTCAACCATTGTCTTCAGTAAGTCACTATCTCACAACAGACTTAATTAAACTCCACTGGTCATGACTTCTCACTAGAACTCCAGAAAATACCTCTTGAAACCACGAGGCGGGATTGTGGATGCGCACTGCTAAGGAGTCTCATACTAGGACGAAACGACCGTCCAGTACTTCCAGGTTTTCTATAGTGGTCTAGCTTTAATTGACTGATGAATTCAACTATTTAATTACTAAAATCTCCATAAAACCCTCTTCTGAAAATAAATAACTCAACTGTTACAAATTGGTATTACAAAAAATATATAACAATATTCTTTAAAATTTCTAAGAAATTATCACTAACTAAATATCCTTTTTTGAGAACTTATTTAAAGAAACCCAAAACAAATATAGAACAATGTAAATAAGAGAACAGACTCAACGATGGATACATGTATATATGCGTATGTGTGTGCATATATATATAAGTTAACAACAAGTAACATAAGCCAAAAGATGAAACACTTTGCATAGAATAATATGGATGAAAACCAAAGAAGGAAAAAAACGGCGAGAAACTGTGGAAAGAGAATTCTATTCACAGAGAGACAACATTATTAACAAAATGCATTAAATTAAGAAAAAAAACAATAATCGTTGGATTACAGGGGAAAAGAAAGGAAGCAGAGTCTGGAATGACAACAACAACAGCAACAAAGAAAACACGATAAACATTTACAGGAACTGGACAACTAGTTGTTTTTTATTATTATTTATAAATGAAGTATTTACATAAATGTATGTCAGAAAAATATTATTAAAGTATGATAATTGGAGCCATTGATGCTAATTGATTCAAATTCAAGTGTTGTCCATGGGTTTCTATTAATGTGGCTACCATACTTGGAGTTTTATTTAATAAACACTCAGCGATACCTTCATAATCACGTCCTAATTTACCGATAGCATGACAAGCGAGTTGTATATCCACTGGACTCCAATACGGATCCTATAAAATATATATACATTTCAGAAGAACCAACTAAAAGGTAACGATTATAACAAACCAATTATTTACAATTGATTGATCACTATCACTGAGTATTTATTTATTTAGACACATAAACATTGGTACAAGGAGGTACCAAATAGATATGCGCCACATAAATCATTCGATGTGTGTGAGAAGTAGGATACTGCCTGGGTGCCCAAACCGAAACAGGTGGTTTTCTTAGGGGACCACACCCGGGACCTTCAACCTATAGGTCTGATCCATTAAGCAGTGGAGCAACGTCAGGAGATGCAGTCCCATGGTAGATGGTGACTAACAAATGGTTCAAAAACACTATTTGTTCTCTTAGGATACTGGAGCCCATGTGCAACATTGGTTTGGAATCAGGGTTTTCCAACTCCCCTAGGTGGATCCTTCATATCCACCAACCCAGTTAAAGCGTTGGACATTCACTTTCTTTCCTCTCAATTTTGTAAACAACAGTAATGCCATGAGAAAGCAGTGAGTAGGACTTCCCTGGCAGTGGTTGTAGGCTCGTGGCCACTTGAGAGAATTTCGAGAGGGAGAGCTGACACACCCCACTCTCGGCCGTACCAGAACATTTGGGGGAAACGTCATCGTTTATTTAATTCTTAACGCTGATCGAATTCAATCGATTTGGTTTCGACAAAATTAATACTGGTTACTACTTAATGATGAAGCAATTTAAATAACACAATCCTACAAGAGGTCCGTTGAAGACTAAATAACTCATTGACCAGTGTTCGAATCTCATAAAAGCATCAGTTTCTTCACAATTTCAAGTACATCTCGCTGATAAGAGACAACTAAGAAGAAAACTAGGTTAAGCACAGTTATCTATTGACTACCTCTAACCACCTAAAATACAATAATTATCTATAATGACCAATCATTTACACTGTTTAAGTTATGAATTGTCAAAATATGTTAAAATTCAATTAATATTGTCTAGTGAATATTATTGATCAGGTATTACATGGTCAGTTAACTTTGCATAACTCGACATCATGGTTCAGCTTGTTAGACATTGGATAGTTGGTTGAAAATAATCATTGAAGAAATTGATAATTAGGTCAATAGAGACTTAAAATAACCCAGTTGTAATGTATTCCACTGAGTTACTGAATGATACATAACTAAATCTCCGAGTAACCGTCCATATTTACAGGTAGTTAGGATGAAACAGATGTTATCAGTGAGGATATTAACCTTTGGTTCAGAAGATAATCTGACCGTCTATTGCAACTCATTTCCATAGTTACATTTGATGCAGTGTGTGACTTTAGAAGTTCATGTACGATTGGTTTCATATATCAAGACTAATATTTAAAAAACACTACGAGATGTTTGCATCTTGTCGAATTTCCCTGACTTTCATGTAACATAATCAATAAACACAGACTTTTTATAGGTCCATGACTGATGAAGCTAACTAGCTAGATGGCGAGACTGACAATTAAATGCTAAAACAACTACTACAAGGTATAGGTAAATGATGAAAAAAATCTGAGATTTTACAGTTGACATCACGGAGTGAACTTAGTCAACCGTTGGAAATCAGGAAGCACTGGACAGCCGTTTAGTCCCGGCACGGGACTCTTCAGAAGTGCACATCCGCGACCCCACTGGGGATAGAACTTTGGACATTCAATGGTTATTTAATTAAGACCAGTCTGCGATGTTAATTATAAACTTTAACAATCTCCATAAACCACTTATGTAATAATTAATAAACTGAAGGGCAGAGATTCGGATGTCTGATCATACACTAATGTGAATCCTATCTCATTTGATTGGAATCTAGACAGACGATTAGTACTGTTCATCCTTATAGAATAGTTATTAGTCGTAGTTTTTATATATATACGATTAATAGACTGGACTAATAATGCTGTGAATTGTTATACTATCGAGTTTATAATAGATTTTAACCACATTCTTTTGAATGTTCACAAATCAAATTACAACTTCTACTTACAATAGGCAGTGAAGGAGGTCGTAACGAAGTGATACCATTCAGGAGTTGAGTTTCTCGTTGAGCGAGCTTTAAATAAATCAAGCACAAAGTTAGACATATCAAGAAGGAAGTATCTACACAAAACTAATATGAATAAATTTAAATGAAATCACACTAGACTTATGAAGGAACAAAAGATTAGTGCTATGAATATATTACACATTATAAAATGTAAGCAATAAATATTCCAGTGGATACAATGAGGATACAATAAATTCTCCTAAACTGAGAGCGTTTAAAACATTTAGTTGTCCATGACTCAGTTTACAATTAGGAATGAATTGGAAATGTAGAATCCTATTTCCTTATACTATTCAGTTAAATTCTATACATATAAATACACACCAGCTTCAATCACGGTATAGAAGAACGTGGCATATTTCTGATTTGCTGTCACGTAAATTTAAGCTGTTTACTTTCCAGCTAGTAAAAAGTTTTTAAACAGAATGATGAATATGTAAATTGTGTTACACTTTTCTTTCTCTCTATCTAAAACACATTCTATTTATTATGATTATATAGTTCAGAATTATTTTTACTTCAACATGATATTCAACATATCAAAATAACATAAGTCTAGGCATAACCCACTTAGAATAATTGGTGCAACGATGTGAATGATAAATCAGAGGCTGAAAGTATAGAAAAACAGAAGATAAAATTGATCTGTGTTGTTAAGTTAAATACATGGGTCATTTCACCAAAACCAATATTTCACCGCACTTGATAGGATAGTCTAAAATAGCTTAGCAAAGGATAGTGTATATTAATTACAGTCTATAACCTCCAACATTTAACAAATTCAAGGTAATCATAAAAAAATTAACAATTTTATACATTTACCTCATTCCCATCATCGACCTGTTTACATAATGTCTGTAATGTACTATTCAATTGATCGGTTTCTTGATTATATTGGTCAGCTGTGTAATAACATACTCGAAGAAATTGTCTATGTGAATGATATACTCCAGAAGGTAATGCTGGTCTGTAGATAGATTGGGTTTTTTTTTAAAAACAAACAAACAAAAGAATTATGACAGGCAGTTGAAAGAGGGAAAATGGAAAAACAATACATACGTGATGAGCACCAAAGGGTTAATAATAATAATAATAATAATAATAATAATATTATTATTATTATTATTATTATTATCATTATTGTTAGTATTATTATAAGCAAACATGGATGGTGGCTAGCGATGGAATCCAGAACGCGCGTTCCTTCCTATTTAGGACTCGTCAGCTGGATGTACCTGAATCCTGATATTCACTCTGGGACCGGAACCCAGTACCGTTATAATAATAAGCTAATAGGATAATATTCTCATTTAAGAGACCGATGGACCGATATAAGCAGCTTACGTTTTAGTATAGATATGTATCAATTTCGCACAGACTTAATCGCATGTGTTCAAATGAAAAAATTAGCAATATTTAATTGCACAATAACATTGGATGAATATTGAAGTTCTTGATATTCTCAATCAGATCTCCAACAAGTCGTAAACTGTGCTTTAGGAATGAATGTAAAATTCTGTTGCATTAGCCTTTTTACTTACTTACACCTGTTACCCCTCGTGAAGGAGCATAAGCTGGCCATCAGTATTCTCCATCGAACTTTGTCAATGGGCAATCCTTTCCAGCTGCTATTCATTCTCTTGATAACTGTTTCCGATTCCTTGGTTTTCCTATTTTCATTTTCCCTTCAAAATTTCAAGTTAATGCTTGCCTCATGATACAACCTGATGATTTCCGCAATGTATGTGTCTTATCCACCTCCAGCACATATTTTCCTAATTTCCTCTTCAGCTGGAATTAGCCTTTGTAAATTTCTTTAAATACATTCTCAAATTGTTAAACTATATCCTTTGTTTAGTGTTTTTATAATTTAAACAAATTAATGCGCATAATACTTGTTTGGAATTCATAATACATTTCAACCTTAATTTAATAAAGGTTACTCAATGACCATCACTATAAACAATTGATGGGTTTTAGAATTAAATTTCAAGAAATTAAAACACAGATTATCATTATTAGATTACTGTTACATAATAGAATAAAATCAATATTCCTGGGTTAATTATAAAATGTCTAAAAGTAGCCATACTTTGTAGTTAATCCCAAATTATTAGAGTATATTGATAACTATACATCCATAATACTCACAGTAATAAAGGCGTTAGCAAATGGGTTACTATAAAAAAAGACGCGTATTTATAAAGCTAATCAGTGATAAAAATAAGAGAATAACCTTTCTCAATGGTGTGAAATATGTTCAATTTACTCACTGTTCCTTTGCCTTATAAACCAATCGAAAACGTATTTTCCTAAGCATATGATGAGTCTACACTCTTAAACAAATATTGTAATTTTTCGAATTTAATAACAAATTGTTATTGTTATTACACTAGTCATGTTATTTTGTATGTCTATTACAAACAGTTAGGATATAATCTATTAAAAGAGGGAAAAATGAACTGAAAACCTAAAAAACTTTTTATTATTTTGTTTATACATTATTCAAATAATACCTTATTGTATGTGGTGTGGTAGCAAACAATATACCTCTTCTGGAACTACGTACACCAGGATTAATGCCAGTATGTATTTCAACTAACTTTTTGTTGTTCTCACGTAACTGACCACTATTACTAGAAGTTATAGCGGCTGATGTTACAGCTGCAATCTCTTCTTCAAAACGCGCATGTTTACGTACAGATAAACGATTTGTTGGATTAAAATCATCCGGTAATAAATTTAATGATGATTGGGATAAAATAAATCCTGAAGTGGTAGATCGAGTTTTACCGCCAGCACCATATTGTTTTCGGCGTCTACGACCAGGTCCGTTGGAATCTTTTCTTACTTTATTCTGTTCATAGTCTAATACTTGTTCACTCCCTTCAATATTGGCAGCTACTGCGGAAGAAGATGGTGTACGCACTTCTGCCTCGGAATCCGATTGCATACTTGATGTGCCACCACCACCACAGCCAGTTTCGGTGTCTTGAGTTGATTCTTCCGATTCCGGTAACAATACACAATCATGCAAAGTATCAAAATAACGCTTGATTTCTGCATCGACTGGATCATTCATATCTAAATCGATAGTATATTTCTATGTAGAATGAATATATATAAAGAAATGTGAGGTGAATTCATTCAACTGAATTTTTTATCGAAATTCAAAGAATTCCCCTACCTATTGAGATGAAATATTCAAAACAAAAGGTAACTAATTATCTGTAGATCAAATGTGCTAAATAACGACGGCCACCTTTTCTAATGTTATGCCCAGACATCATGTAAACAATCCTGACCATAGCTGTTGCTCCGAAACGGTGGTCAGGCTTGAATACTGTGATGACTAATCGAGCTACGGTGACTGTAAGACCTGTTTCTTTGGGTCCCTGTTATGACAGAGGGTGTCCAAAGTATGATATAGATACACGGTGTGCTACGCGCTAACCTCCCAATGACTACTTGAGCAAGAACACAAGAGTGAGCTAGAAAGTTTATTGGGCTACCGAATAAAATGTGTACATACTCATCCACGTACATACCACTCAATCCTTAGGAAATTAACCCATTTCTTAGCCAATGAGATGCGCTTGTCCTTTAAGTCACTTCTGATTGCCATCGATTGACCTCCTCGTTAAAGTACTTCTGATCAGTCACAATATGCTAGGTAAATCGGTTAGAGACAGGTAAAAGTGAAGGGAACAAACTCATAACCTGAGGGCGAAGTCATGCTCCTAACTGTGTAGAAGAGTGTGACGACAGTAAGGTGTTTCTTTCAGATAATCAACATCTACAACAATACTGCCTCCTTACAAAAGAAGAACGGGGTCAACCTTAAAAATAGCAAACTGTGATTAATGTGAACCATCTAATTGTTGAGTGTTGTTACATATGATTTCAGAAATTCCTTAAAGCTTGATATTCAAGTATGTGTTTTGAAGGTGAGGAGGATCCACACGAAAAAGACAACTGACAAGTGTGCTTAGCAAAGCTAGATTGTAGCTAGCAGTGCAGTCGTGAAAGCATGTTTTGTCCTATTTCGCACTTGTTAGATGAATGTATCTGGATTTCGGCGATGATGATCATACGGAGACTCAAACTTAATACATCCTGCTTCAAACTCCGACGTTTTATCCGATGAGCTACTATGTCCAGATAGACACTAATTATTCAACGGAAATGAACTTATTTGCAAGCGTTTGTAGTTTTACATTATTCAAGTTAACATATGCAACTGACTAATCTCTGTTAGCATACAAAATGCGAAACAATACTGTTCGCATCATTTTGATTTACTGTAGGACAGTGAAAATTACTCATATTTTAAATAAAACAAAAATGGTTGAACAACTTTATTTAATATGAATCGATAATATCATTGACTAAAAATAAAGTATATGACAAAACTATGATATATTGAAATCTAAGCAACTTTTCGGTTTCTATTCATCTGCACTTACTAAGCGCATATTTTTCTACTCAGCTTCAAGCAATACATTTTGTATGAACGGTACATGATACTAGCTGACATCAATACTAAAGTAACCCCCAAATGCCCTGGTACGGTCAAGGGTAAAGAGAGTCAGCTCTCCCTCTCCAAATGCTCTGAAGTGGCTACGAGCATACAATCACTGCCAGGGAAGTCCTACTCACTGCCTTCTCACGGCGGGATCGTTGTGTATAAAGTCGAGAGGATGAGAAGCGAATGTTTGGCGCTTTAACCAGGTTGGTAGGTACGGAGGATTCATGTAAGAGAGTTGGAAAACCCTGACTATAAACCAATGGTTCATATTGGGCTCCAGGATTCCGAGGGGACAAAAGGCGTACGAACCGATTGTTGGTCACCGGCTACCATGGAAGTGCATCTCCTAAAGTTGCTCCACTGCCTTGTGGATTGGACCTCTAGGTCTAAGGCTCAGACAGTGGCCTTCTAAGAACACCACCTACTTCAGTTTCAGCGCTCGGGCAGTATCCTACTCCTCACACAAATCGAATGAAATGGTATCTCCTTGTACCAATATTTATGTGTTTAAATAAATAAATAAATACCCTATATTGATATAATTATTCAGTGATCTACAATTTATCATATACAGATATAGGATTATACATTTTGAAAATAAACTCACTGAAAATGATTCCTTCTGTGCATAAATTGTTTACTATTTATTATTTATTTATTTATTTGAACACATAAATATTGGTACAAAGGGGCACCGAATACATATGCGGCACACAAGTCATTTGATTCGTGTGTGGGCTATGATACTGCCTGAGTACCCAAACCGACTTAATAGGTATATTTAAATTTACATCCTTTTAAGTAACAACAATGAAAATATGCAACACATGTAAGCAAAACAAACAAAAATAAACTGCATAAGCAAGTGCCTGTCTGGATTCAATAGCTAAGTGGATAACGCAGTGGGTGTTTAATGTGAAATGTACTGGATTCGGGTCTCAGTGTGAACATAAACACTGAGGTGCATGTAAATCCTAGTTTCGACTGCTAGCCACCATCCAACTCTGCTTATAATACTTGTAACCTAATGACATTATTGGGGTAATTCTCACAGGATGCACATACACCAAAAAGTGCTGATCATATAAACGGGAAGAATCAAGCAATCAATACAAATAGACATCGGAAACCAGAATAATTAACAACAAAAAAACAGCACACAACTAACTTTATGATTATTTGTCAGTGTCTTTACAGGGACAGTATCCGGTGGTGGTAAAATGCCTGGGATTAAATAACCACGTTTATACAAACTAGACCATTTAGGTCCGTATAAACCCATTTCATGCAATGTTTGTTGATTGCGTTTATTAAGATAATAGAATAGAATTAATTCATTGACAGTACGATTAGGAAACTTTTAAAAGGAGAGAGAGCGACAACAGTGTAGAAATAGTCAAGTGATTATTGTTAAGTTTGTATTATTAAATAATTAGCGGAATGACAGGAATGAATTAATGCATAAATCATGTAAATAGATGGATTGTGGTTGGCAGTAATATTCAATTCCTCATTAAAATGATATAAACATTATACCCATTGTACAAGCCAGTGGATATCTGCACTCATTAGCTAGGTGGATAATCTATACGGTGTTTAATACGAAAAGTATTGAGTTGGAACCCTGATGTAAACATCACCACAGGGATACAGGCACATTTAAACGACGAGCCCAAAAAAAGACGGAACGCATCCTGGACTCTATTACTAGCCACAAACCACATATTTTACAGGAACTTGAGACAAAATGATTGCACCAAGGGGTAAAGTTCTAGATGCACATGTCCCAAAAGAGACTGGTCAATATTCTGTCGTGAATATCAACAACGGGATAATTCAAACCCTTACTAAATATAATATAGACAGATTTATGATTTAAATAAATTTAAGAGCTATTTAGATCATGAGTGGGTGTAACTTACCAAGTACAAGCTTATGCATTCAGCATTGTGCCTTATTGTTTACGTCAATGATAGTGATACTACCTCCTCCTATCAGCCTAAACTGAAGTAAGTAGAGTGAAGTTCTAACCTGTGACCTACTGGTTGAAATTTAGGTGCACCAATCACTAAGTGGCTTTTTTAAACCTACCTAACGATATATGTATTGTAGTTTCATGTACAACACTTTGTAGTACATTATAATCTTTAAAATACTCACTTATCTAATTATAACGATAAAGGGTTTTACAGTTAAAAAGCACTTAAGTGTCAGATCATGTGAAAAAAACTCTATTGGTTAACTGTTTTAAAAAACCAACTAAATACTGTTTTTACCATAAAAAAGAAGTAAGACTTTATTTCACTGAAAGGATATCTTTTGACTGAACCACTCTTTCTTGTTCTCTATCTCAATGAGTATCTTCCGTCTATGTAAAAATTCCAAATTAATTATGGGGAAATATGTAATATAAGGACAAGTCTATCAGAATTGAAAACGTGACATTTAGGTGTTTGCGCCAAATTCAAATATTGCTTATAGCGAGCAGTAGAAATAATTTTGTATGGTGCTCAAAACGTTTAAAATGATTGCAAAAAAACTACACGTTTCTATCGCAGAGTAAAAATGATAGTGTCAGATGTACCAAACACTCAATTCAGTTTCTGTCGATTGTATATAATAGGTAAACCAACATTATGCTTAAATCACAATCTTGAACCCTCAATTTTAAAGTAGACGTTAACTTGGTGGGACAATATTTTGTGCGCAAATTAATTAGATAGAGTGTCTGACATTGGTTTAGCAAAATTCATTTAATCAGATGAGTATAAACAAATTCTGTATCATACACGATATCAGTTCTTGATGAGAATCTTAATCCTAAAGATTTGGGAGGACAGATAATCTATAACCATAAGGACGAATTTTTTATGTCGTTGCTTTACCGATTTACAGGTAGATTAACTTGTAGAAAACTTCATAAATTCATTCAGTACATAGAACCTGTTTATACTTTGTGATATTGTTGTTTTCTACTCCATAAACCAATCATTTACGAAGGCCAGCTGAAAATTTATCGCACTTGTTTCAAGTTCTTCCTTATACTATATAATTTTGTCTAATTATACTTGTTTACTTCAATAAATAAACCATTACTCCTACCAATTCAGATTTGATATAATCAATAAAGACGAATTATTATCAGAAGGGATTTTGTGGGGATTTTAGTAATTTCAATAGTTGAAATCATGAGTCAGTTGAAGTTAGACCACCATGGAAAACCTGGAAGCACTGGAAAACCGTTTCGTCCTAGTATGGAACTCCTCAGCAGTGCGCATCCACGATCCCACCTTCCGCGAGATTCGAACACAGGACCTATCAGTCACGCGACAGGCGCTTAACCGACTAAACCACTGAGCCGGCATCCAATGGTGTTAATATCTAAAATCTCCACAAAACCCCTTCTCATAATAATCACCTGCTCAATAGAGACTGACTTCAAGAGGCATTTCCTGGAGTTCTAGTGAGAAGCCGTGACCAGTGGAGTTCAACCAGGACTGTTGTGAGATATCAGCTGATTGAAGACAATGGCGTACGGTGGAGCAATTTCGTGGATTAGTTGAAGTTAGACATTAACACCGTTGGATGCCGACCGGCTGTGGTCTAGTGGTTAAGCGCTCGCGCGCGAGACATAGGTCCTGGGTTCGAGTCTCGCGGGGGGCAGAATCGTGGATGCGCACCGCTGAGGAGTCTCGTACTAGGACAAAACGGCCGTCCAGTGCTTCCAGGTTTTCCATGGTGGTCTAGCTTCAATTTACTCATGATTTCAACTATTGGAATTATTACCAATCCATTTGTGACATTTTATGATTTATTAAAATATTAACAAATATATTACTGATTAATGTAGATAAAAATCTCCTTTAATTATGATTATAAATTAAATAGATACTTACAAGTTTTTTTATTTGATGAAATTGTTTATTATAATAATCAACAGATATAAAAAATATTCTTCGTTCAGATATTGTCCATTCATATTTGATTGGACTAAAATTGCATAAATCTGATAATGCATGATCAAAATCAGTTTTATGCCATGTAAGTAAAGCAAGAGCTTGTTCTTCTGAATAACTTGATAAAACAAAGTAATATTTCTCACTTTAATGTAAATATATATATATAAACAAATAAAGATTATATGATAATTTTTGGCATAGAATTGGGTTGAATTTCATTCAGTTAATAATTTTACAATTAATCAACCACTGAATAGTGATCAATAGTTGCTATGTGCAAAGAGATTACGAGATCAACTAAATCGGCGAACGGAAAGAAGACTCAGCTACACAATGACCGAATAAATTAACGATCCTGATACATCCCAGCCCCGCTAACTAGAGGGAGAAGTCCAGGTTCAGAAAAGAGAAAGTGCATTCCACAAGCAGCCAGAAGCATAAACAACAACAACAAGCACAACTCAAGCTTATATACACAGCATAAAAATAATCTTGAGGAACGTCACCAAATGACATATTAAAAGAGACAACGAACCAATGACATTTAAGGTCCTGCCAAGTGCGAAATACAATATGAAGGTGAAAATAGGGGCTTTTGGCTCGAATACAAGAAACTCGAATTTCCAAAATAAAATCACGAAAATAAGATATTTACCAAGTAAGTTCTGGAAATCTAACATCCTCTACAATAGTCTGTTTGTTTAGTCATTTGATCCTGATCGAATTATTTTGATTAAGTTTTTGATTGAGATCATGAACCGATTGATGTTAGACCACAACCTTTGGAAACCTGGAAGCACTGGACGGCCGTTTCGTCCTATTGTGGGACTCCTCAGCAGTGCGCATCCACGGTCCCGCTCGCGGGGTTCGAACCCAGGGCCTTCGGTCTCGCGTGCGAACGCTTAACCAGCTGGACCACTGAACCGGCATCCAATGGTGATAGTGTCTAACATCAACCAATCCACGAAATTGCGCGACCAACTTCCGTTGTACTGAGGTAGATACCTGTCTCTACCCGACATGGATCAGCTCCACTGGTCACGGCTTCTCACTAGAACTCCGAGAATTCCCTCACGAAGCTAGTCATTAGTGAGCACATGTTGATTACTAGTATAGAGTCTGTGGAGATTATTAAGATTTTGATTGAAAGCATGAACCGATTGATCATTAGTCTAAATGACTCAATGTAGTATGCAATATCTATATATGTGGTGGATTGCAATACCAGCCTAATAACTCAGTGATAAAGTCTTACAATGAACAGATCAGGATGTTGCGACTTCTAATCCAGCAAGGACCATTAGATTTCTTAAGACTACTATTATTATTATTAATAATATTATTATTATTAGTGGCTTTATTCAATATTATATTTTGGTACAATATAGAATTCTCAGCATTGTAGATACGCCTTGATGATGAATGGCAACTACTTCCAACCACCTAACAGTTTATAGATTTTTTGTTCAAGAAAAACTTAACAAGCTTTATTACATGTCATCTGAAAGCATTAACTAAAATGGCTTTCATTAAGCATCAATATGAACAGTCAGAAACGATTGGAGACAGAATATTAAAGATTTATTTCATTCAATATAATGTAAATTTTTACGATTGTCAGTAGATGCATGAATATGAAATTTTTTTAAATACATCACTTGTTAACTTATATCATTATGTAAATTGATGTGATTTTTGACGGATCACCTAATGTACACTTGTGATGAAAACTATTTTAAGGGAATAAATGAACTATTAAAAGATTTAGGAAGGCATTTTGTAATTTGATACTGATTATTAAAATTTAAAAATAGGCTAAACTGCTATCAGACACAAGCTAGTGGCTTATAAGGTTACGTTTGAGGTTAAGTACTAACTAAGCTTAGATATTTAACTTTTATTCACAAAATTTAAGTTCAAGTTATTTACTACATTGTCATATGGTTACACATGTCATCATTTCATCAGAGTAAACAAAAAAGCAGGCCTTCTTAAGAGTTTTAATCCACTTACGTAACCATTTGTGGGTTTTTTTGTCATAAATCCATACTTATTGTAGAAAGCATAGAGATACTGTCAAGAATGTTACAACTAAAGCATTTTTGGCTCGAAACAAAAATTTCCATTGATCAATCTTTATTTTAAGCATGGTTTTATTTAAAACAAATCAAATGGTAAAGTAATTAACCTAAATTAACTGAGGTATAAGATATTAATCAATCCACACCACAAGATGATCATGAAACGAGTCTATAAATGGTTAAATCACATAGCATACGTATATGTACTAAAATCTCAGTGTATAGTGGACATTTAGAATTATCTACTAGACAGAGAAGTTAAAATTTGATCTGAGTCAACCACAAAACAATTGAATACATAAATAGATATATTAAGGCTGGTTAGTTTACCCATATTTTTCAGTAGCTGTATTCAAGAATTCCTCTAACTGATTATGGAGACTAACAGGTATTGGAAGCCATAAAGCAACTCCCCGATCTGGTTGATTCAAAACGCTTGGAGGTGGTTCACCATTGAAAAGCGGAAGGTCAGCTTGAAAATCTGTGCCAACTCGAATAATTGCATCTACAAGGTAGAAAAAAGCACCTTCATTGATGTAAAAATAAATTTGTCTGAGATTTCAATTGGAAATTTCTTACGGTTGTGAAACCAAACTGATGTTAAGTTATTTTGATATGATCTAAGCCGACAGAAAATAAGAGAAATGCTAGTTTGCAAACAAATAAGAGGACTAAGTTATATCTTCGTTTGAAGTGGCATTCCCCCAATGTAATAGTAGCTAAGCTCAGAAAAACTCGGATAAAGAATACATTTAATTTCCATTAGACAATAATATTCCAGATTAAATGATCACACAGAAAGATACCGAAGATATTTTAAAATGAACATGTAGAAAACACGTGAAGGAGAAACAAACAAGTGGGGAGTGATAAGATATTGAATACTCTGAGTAAGATAGGGTAAGTATTGACAAATTGTAGTTGTAATTAGTTTTTGTGTTTATTCAGATATTCATAAATGGGACTGTCAATGGTTAAGAATGAAAATTTTAACATCCAAAACGCAAAACTTATGGGACAGTGTATTTCGTGAATTTTTAAGAGTGAAATATAATAATAACAATAACAATAATAATAACAATAATAATAATAACAATAATAATAATAATAACAAAAACAATAACAATAATAATAATAATAATAATGGGAGAAACAATTCAGTTAGGGAAAATACAACCAGAAAGAATCTTTTCAGTTAAAGAAGTAACGACTTCTTTTATGAAGAAACCAAAAATAAAGTTATAGAAGGATTGTCAGTGGCTTGTATTCTAAGCCATTTCTGATAACATCTCAAGCCACTGTATTGCACCATCGTTAAAACCCCAACCAGGACGTTGTGGAGGATCCACAAAAATCAACCATATACAGTTCTTCCGTACCACGACACCATGTTGTGCACTAACCACCCCAGCTTTTTCAACCGATCCTAGCGCCGGTAAATAATGAGCGATGTGACATCCACTGGGACGACTTTCGTAAGACATGACTAATCCACCTAAGTCAGTGTTTCAAGACGGTGACGCCAGTCGAGGTATCGCCACTGTGCCCAAACACACGTTGCCGGACCTCGAAATCACTAACTTGGTGTTGTCCATGGTTGTTAAAAATCATTCTGAGACAAGGATGGCCAAACACATAGCCGTCTGACATTCTTAAATCGGAAAGGCCGTGTTCCACAAACACACCAAAACTACTCTCAACGATGAGTTTTAGATCCAACCTTTTATGGACATACTCGCGAAATTTAACAGAACGACTAAAAAATATATGAAAACTCATCGGCGAACAAATTTGTCGAATAACCCGGTGGCTAAAATACAATGTAGTAGGAGACGAAAATATCAAGTCAGACAGTGGAATTATAGTAAAACTTCGCTCAAAAAGCATTGACTTAAGTTGTAAGGCACTGTGATAACATGAAAGATCATTAAAATGAGTAAAGAAAACAAATCACAATTAATAAACAGTTCAGAATTTCTACAGTTTCCAAGAGATTTGTGCAGTGAAGACTGAATTTACGAAGTCTACACTTCTGTAGGTTGATCTATTCATACCCAGACTTCCACCGACATAACCCTACTTCTTTTAGCATCAAAATAAATCAACACAGGAAATCAGAAATGATCTGAAGATACCTAGGTTTAGAAACTTGTAACCTAGTTATAAGCTAACTCTTGAAGTCATGCTTTACAGCGACAGTATAAGCTGACCCATTGCTACACAGTTTACTCGGAAATCGATATAAAATCACATCCAGAATGCCAGTAAGAGGTTTAGGAGAGACTTAATTTTAAATGTCAGGCAGAATTTTTACTTTCGTACTTTTATCACGCTAAAAATATATTTACCAATCTTGAACATGAACTAATGTAAAGTCCGGTTTTTCTTAGGTTTTGTCTATAATTTGGACTCTTGGTTTATAGATCTTTGATAGAATTTCAAGCAAATTTCAGAGTATTTCTAACAATTTCTAAGGTATGAGATCACGTTTTTAGTTTTCTGCCGTTCTGATATAATTTTTAACTTTGTGGTCCTATGTTTTTCAGTCTATGATTACTAATTTTACTGCTATGGAGAGCGACAGCTTTGTTGGATATTATCACAGGATATATAATAATTCTTATTTATTTATTTATTTGAACACATAAATATTGGTACAAGAGCGCGCCAACATATATAATAATTCTAAGATATATTGTACGAGAAACTGTTATTGGCTTAATATTTCTCTGTTTCGCAAAGTCGTTCTTGATTCAGGAGGCTAACGACTTGTTTTTGATAAAAGAAACTTCGATGAATAATAAGATTGGTACTATGTCTCACAATTACTAATAGAAATTCTACCAAGGGTCACTAGAGGGTTGTTAGTGAACCTTGGTGGAATGCTTATAGACCACTAGGCTAGGTAAGAACTTAGATGTGATTATAATGAAGTTGCTACTTATTAGCCATTCTTGGGGAGCTGATTCCGAAGTGAAACCGTTCCTTTTGGATCAGAACCCGAAAGAACCCAACTTAAATCGTCACGTAATTTAAAGAGCAGTGAACGAGATGGAATCCTATGTATAGAAATGAAAAGTGGAAAACTATCACAATCAACCTTCAAATTATTATCGAAAAGTCTATGGTAGAAAAGTGATCAGATAAAGACTCATTCTGGTGGAGGGGAATACCAGGCTAATGGTCAAGTAAGTAAAAAACCAAATCGTGATTCAAAGGAAACAGAAGATCCAAAAGTGAAGGACACTCATAAGCACTGATGACCTACAAAATCACATAACCAACGGAATTCACATTTACAAGATAAACTAAACAAAATCCGAGTCTATCGGCTAAGACGAAAAAGCCATAACTAACTGAAAAGGATCAGCTTCTACGAACCTTTAAACCTTAAAATCGCTTCATTAGGCATTAGAGTTTGAGTAAATATTATTTTACTGTAAGTCTGGCAATGTAAACAAAATTCATAATATTGGATTCAATTTGCAAGTTAGGAATCAAAATATAGAGATTATACAAACAGAAATGTCCGAGGTTATGAATTCATAATGATATCAAAAGCACATCACATCTACCACAAAGATCTACACATGTAATAGCCGTCTTAAAAAACTTTTAGACAGTTTGATGACGAAATGCCCAAGACTTTAAAGCCATATAGATGAAATCACAGTGAGTATCGCTGTATAATGAAGAACTTGTTTTAGAGAGTATGATATCGGTGAGTGAGCCAAAGTCGACTTTATGTTAACTACAAGAATTCTCAAATGATTATACGTTCAACATCCAAACCTTGCCAATCTTTTCCTTAATATGGTATATACATATACCATATCTTACTGTATAGTTAGATCATAATAACAGAGCGATAACTGCTATGATTCCAGACAATATAATAACGATCTTCGAGGCAATAGCATTGGTTAAAACAATGATTGAGTTATAACTAGTTTTTATTTTAGCTTTCTCGTCGACCAGTCAACGATCAGAACAAAAAATGGCGAGACTCTAATTTAGCGACGAGCCAATCAGAAGCGTTTGAGCAATTTCAAGGTCACAGAGCCAAGTTCAACACGCGATGCTAACATACGGTCGGTTCACAGCGGATTTTAGAGAGGAGGTGATTAATGAGAGGTTGAAACAGATGGGACGGCGAAACTCTAATTTAGGGACGAGCCAATGAAAAGCGTTTGAGCAATTTCAATTATTAGCCAATCAGAAGACAGTATAAAGTAAAAATATATTACAAGAAAGTAATGAATTACAGTGGATATTCTTCTTTTACATGATTTAAAAACTTGTTGAGGTTTGATAAAGGTTCAGAAGTTCTGAATTCATAATGCATATTGCATAGAAACTCGTCCATAGGGTTAGGGTTTGGGGTTAAGGTTTAGGGTTAGATTAGGGTTTAGGGTTAGGTTAAGGTTAGGGTTAAGATTTAGGGTTAGATTAGGGTTAGGTTAGGGTTTAGGGTTAGGTTAAGGTTTAGGGCTAGATTAGGGTTAGGTTAAGGTTTGGGTTTAGGGTTAGGTTAGGGTTTAGGGTTAGGTTAGGGTTAAGGTTTGGGTTTAGGGTTAGGGTTTGGGGTTAGGGTTAGGGTGCTAACATGCGATCGGTTTACATCAAATTTTAAAGACAGGTATTTATTAAAACACGAATTTCAGCGAAGGGATCTCTTTTCAACGAATTTATTATCAAGCTGTACAATCGTATATATATCAAAAACACTTTAATCATCTTATTATATTCACCAAATCCATTGTTATTGTTATTATTCATATTACGTAATCTAGTATTATAACCTTTATATTAACTATATTCACATTTTCTCACGGAATTAGTACTTTTACAAAAACAAAATTTTCATATATATACGATTGTACAGCTTGATAATAAATTCGTTGAAAAGAGATCCCTTCGCTGAAATTCGTGTTTTAATTTTAATGTTTAAATAGGTATTTATTGACAGGCTACAACCCTAACCCCTAACCCTATGGACGGGTTTCTATACCGTATTCATTATTAATTCAGAGCCTCTGAACCTTTATAAAACCTTAACAAGTTTTTAAATCATGTAAAAGAAGAATATCCACTGTGATTCATTACTTACTTACAATATATTCTCACTTTATACTAACTGTCTTCTGATTGGATAATAATTGTCAAGGTCTTTTAAGATTCGTTCAAAGGTCGTCGCTAAATTAGAGTCTCGCCCAAAAAATGTCAAACAAACGTACGGCGCCACACATATGCTACGGTTGACAAATATACGTATATGGGTAGGGATGTAAAACAAGAAATTTACTTTCGAAAGCATCTTGGTCAGAGTTAGAAAATGAATGTGAGAGGCGGCCACGAGTCAACACATTACTCATCTGTAGTGCTTGTCTTCAAGGATGACCTTGAAGTTTGTTATACGCGCGCCATTTCACTAACCAATATTTAAACTCATTCGGAAATCAGCTAACAAATTGACTGGCTCTGAATACTATATAAATTTTATCTCATCCTGATAAGTATACAGCAAATTGACGATGTAGCATCTCCTTATGTCCATGAGTTCATCAATTGCCGTGGTAAAAAAATCAGAAACCTGAATTATTTCATCTTGATTTTTAGATTTCTGACAGGATTTCTCCAGGTAGAAAGTAGATGAATAGTCTTAAAGAAAAAGTCTCTTAGTCTACAGGAATTTAAAATTTTGGTAAGAAAGGCCGTATAAGACCGGATGCGTTACACACCGGTTTCACTAATGTAAACTCCCTAAATATCACCTATTAGTGTAAACCAGAGGTATGGAACAGTCATCTCTTTCCTAAAAACAGAAGTTAGAAAAAATATACAATATTACCGAATAATTACTATTTTAATGTGACTGTGGAACCTCACAAAGTATTGTTAGGAACACCGCAATGAAAATGTACAGATTTATTATTGAGGATTTCCGCTTGAAAAGACTCGTATTTTGTACATTTGTAGTGTCTTACATAGACTTCTTTAGATGCCTACATGAATTAAGCACAATATTTGAATAAGCAAATCAATATATTCTTAAGACAGAATGTTCAATTTCGAATGTGTAAGACTCCGGTTGTATCCCATGACTTACCTTCCTTACCCTCGTTAATTTCTCGTGTCGATCATTGCGAATCTTTCCCGTTTCCAGATCAGTATGTGAGGGTATTCACGTATGTCAATCTCCATCTGTACGTTGATTGAGCGCCTGTCTATTTGCTTGTATACGATGAAATATTTCCCTCATGGAAATGTTGGTTAACGCTCTACCAACTGTATTTTGGATAGAAAGTCGAAAATTAGATAGCGTTCATCAGTTTAATTCTACAGCTTGTTACCATGACTATGAATGCCTGGAGTAAATTCTTCCTAAATGTTTCGTATTTGATCTTTACCAACACACCTGATAAATGGATTAAGACAGCGTTGAATATAAAAAAGCTAAAGAGTCTCATTTTGTTGTATTTGAAGAAGATTAAATCATGGGTAACTTTTGTAAAGTATTTATGTACTGTAGCCACATATATTCTTATTGTTTAACTATTATGTAAGCAGACTGAATATATTTATACTTATCATAACCCTTCATTTGAATAATTCGCTATTATTATACGATTTACCTTCCTTATTCCCAATTTATCAGTTACAGTATCCCACACTCAAAGCCACTTATTGCTTGATCTTTTGAACCTGAACTGAACGGGCTGAGCCAGGCGTGAAGCTACTATACATAGGATCACTAAGGACTCAGAGTTGACTCAAGGCTGGTCGCGCTGGAAAACGCGTTAGTGGGCACATTCGTCTGTGTCTTGATTGGTGATTTTGCCTCGTGATATTTGACTAACCACAGAACATTACACATTATATTCGCCATCAAGCAGTATTCAATATGCTCACCAAAAAACCTGTACAAGTAGGTATTGTGTACCTTGGATGACCTGTAGAATTCAAAAGTTCAAACTGAATAGAGAGCGCCTGCGTCCAATTTTCAGAGATAGGCAAAAGTATAGTTCTTGTGTTAATCATTCAGGGGCAAGAAAGAATATAACCCTATGTGCACCAAAAACTAGAGTGCCATCGAAAACAAAAGTCTGAGAGTCATAGAACACTTTTCTAAGCAAAATAAATAATTTGTAAATAGTCGATTACATAGAAGACGATTACCTATAAATACTCTCCCTAAAAACTGGTGTCCACCTTGGTGCATAAAGACGCTGCACTACGTTTGACAATATATGTATTACCTATGAACGGTCTGCTGACTGCCGTCGTTTCTCATTGGCCACTTATTATGAACGACGTCAAAATTTATGAGATGGCAAAAGCTCGTCTCAACAGTGCGTTAAATCACTCTATTACGTGGCTGATCTTTAATACTGTCTTTCACTTATCAATTTGAGCAATTGCATGCGACGAACTACGAAACAGATAATAAACCATTGCTGTTGATATGTAGTTTGATGGAATTGGAATAACATTGAACTCCAGTACCACGATGACTCAGGTTGGAACGCTCATCTCTGAACGTTGAATGTTGATAAAGAATGGTAATAGTTAATAAAGGAGCAGCTCAAAGACCTGACATTCAAAATACTTATACCTTCTTATTTGCATGTGACTGAACCTTCCTACGGTTTGATAGTGAGGTCGAAACTTTATAACTTTACATTTAAATAACTAAACTCATACTTCAATTACTTATTACGATTTCCCACATTCAGTAGACAAATGTAATGAGCATACATTATCTGAACTTGTAATATTTAACCTTCACTTACTGAAACTCGTTGAAGCTATGTTTTAATTCTTCCCAGTCGTAGAACATTTGCTAAAGCAACCGCTGTTGAAAAAACACCTAGCATGGCAGACACCTTATTCGAACTACATGTTTTACTACTTCTATTACTATTACTGTCCATAGGTAGGAAATACCATTTATTCGACTGCAAAAAATATAAATCATGACAATTGTAGTGATCCGTAAAGAAATGTTTTCCTTAAGAGATCACCCTAAAACAACAATTTGTTCAGGATCAGACGTCTAAATTGTTCATAAGAAATATCTCGGGAACAGGAAGCTTTGCCAATTGAGCTAGATATTTCCATGCCAAAGTAAACAAACAGGACCTACAATTGCATTTTATTGTTGTTACCGAGAATACGGCATTTTTTGAATATAAAACGCTCCCCAACAGAGTGGACAAAAAGGCAGCCCTCAGATGGACAATTACCCAGAAACAAATGAAATATCGGCACTAAAAAAGATAACAAACCTAAAGTGAGTTAAAACGAGTTCTTTTAAATTTCCAGACCTCAACACACAACCCAGTTATGCCAACACTACGAACTCATTTAAACTAATACACGCTCAACAAACATCAAGCATTTGAAATGCAGAACCCCCGTCTGGACAAAGGCACTCAAGGTCAGAGAAGCAGATTTGACCTGGTCTCAGCTTTGCATCCACCCCCTCTTATGTAGCTTTTTAGTCAGTTAAAAAGCCACACGCAACTCTGAGCATTCTACACGACGTGTAGACTTGGAATTTTCAAATGTAATGACTGGTGGATATATATTGCATAAACCCAACTACACAAAATATAGCTTTAAAACCACCAAATGCCTTAAAAACAAAGAGGACCTCCGTAAATCACCATATTTACCACTCCTAGTCTATAACTAAATAAAACGTTTTTCAGAGATATGTCTGTTATAGCGCGGTGTTAGGTAAATAACACGAATATCACGAACTTTGAGGCGTGAAATTAAAACCTCACAAAAATTCTTCAAAATACTTCCTGCACCCACTATACCACGAAAATTGTCACATAATATTCTTAGTGGATGTGATGTAAATTAACTAAAATCAACACCACACCTACTTACTCAGGCCCCATATTTCAGACATATCTAGGTGAATCTCTAATCGTCGGGTCGAATGAAAATGCGTCATAAAAATTGCTATTGATGGAAAATGTCTTTGGCACATCTTACGACTTCAGCATTTTGAGGGAATCTAGTTTTACTAACAGCATACTATCTTTCCATTCTCGTGTGGACTAACGAGTTATCGAAACGAATGATCTCGATGATTCAGACGATGTAATTAATTCTTCTTGGGGAATGAAAACAACACTTGTAATAATAAGTGGTGACTACTGTATTTTCGAGATTATGGTCTTCGATAGCTAATCAAAACATTGGTGCAAAACTTATTTTAGGACTTGACAATACAGTAGGCTAGTTGTCGAAAGTTTCTGAGTATGACTCTTCCCATCAGCTCCCAGTCGAGACGTTTAGAAAGATGGGCGGAACATTTCAGAGAACAGTCCAGCTGGCCTTCAGCGACTCTACAACTACCCTCCATTCCCAGACAGTGTGAATGGAACATTGAAGTAGGTCCCCCAAATCTAGCAGAAGTTCAACAGGCTATAGTTAATCTGAGACGAGGAAGAGCAGCTGGTCCAGATGGATTGGCTCCAGAGGTCTTTAAGGATGGTGGTCCAATTTTAGCGATTAGGTTGACTAATATTTTAGCTAAGATCTAGGAGTTAGACGTTATTCCATCTGACTGGTCGCAATCACTTATCGTCCCAATATATAAGAAAGGGTCAAAATCATCTTGTGACAACCACAGAGGGATTAGTTTAACTAATATAATATCTAAAATACTAGCCTCGATAATTATCAGACGCCTAACTAAGACTCGTGAACTGCAAACACGAGAGAACCAAGCTGGCTTCAGACCTGGTCGTGGCTGCATCGGCCACATATTCACCATTCGTCAGATTCTAGAACACAGGTATACTTATCGACGTCCGACAATGGTGGTCTTTCTTGACTTAGAAGCAGCATTTGACTCTGTAGACCGCGAGATTCTGTGGCAGTGTCTGTCATTGAAAGGCGTACCTCAGAAGTACATAAACCTTGTGAAGGCTCTTTACTCGAACACTACCAATCGAATCAGAGCTTATGGCGAACTGTCATCTGGTTTCGCAACCTCAAGTGGTGTCCGTCAGAACTGACCACTTTCTCCATTTTTGTTTAACTTCATCATAGACCTATTGGTGGAAACAACATTCTCGTCGACTGAATTCTCGGGTATTGATCTCCTTCCAGGAGGTCCACTTATCGACTTAAAATATGCAGATGACATAGTCCTGTTTGGTGAAGACGCTGACAAAATGCAGAGTCTTCTGGTAGCACTAAGCAACAATGCCAGAATGTTTGGAATGTGCTTCTCCCCCCTCTCAAAATGCAAGTTGTTGCTTCAGGACTGGTCTGCGTCAACACCTGAACTAAGGATAGGGAGTGAAGTAGTCGAACGCGTCGACAACTTCACTTATCTTGGAAGTCTGATCAGCCCTAATGGGTTGGTGTCTGACGAAATCTCAGCACGGATTCGAAAACCTCGCTTGGCTTTTGCCAACTTACGTCACCTATGGCGAAGGCGAGATATCCGTCTATCAATAAAAGGACGGGTATACTGCGCGGCAGTCCGTTCTGTTTTAATTTACGGCAGCGAAACATGGCCATTAAGAGTAGAAGACACCCGTAAGCTACCAGTATTTGACCACAGATGTCTCAGAAATATTGCTGGGATTACCGGGTAAGTAATAGTGAGGTTAGACACCAGGGTATTAGGGAATGATGGTAAATCAGTTGATGGGGTTGTGAATCTTCATCGACTGAGATGGTTGGGCCACGTGTTACGTATGCCTGAACACCGACTACCACGACGTACAATGCTAACCGGTGTTGGAGATGGCTGGAAGAAAGTTAGGGGCGGCCAAACCAAAACGTGGCATCAGTGCTTGAAGTCACTAACTTCTAGTCTGAGCCGTGTCGTGAGATGCAGACTACTTGGTAGGCATCCGTGTGACTATCGTAACCAATGGTTGGAGACTCTTGGTGACATGGCTCAGAATCGATCACAATGGCATCGGTGTATTCACTTACTGTTTTCCCTTAAACTAAGAGATTAAAATCGCTTCATATCTTTCTTCCTACGAACTAATTCTTTCTTCCTGTACTATATCCTTATTGCAATCTTTCTTTTATATATTACCACCTCTGAATTAATTACTTTTATGAATCCGGTGTCCATCTTGTTGTGTTAATGAGGTATGGCAACTTGGACCGATGCATATATGTGCCTGGTCCTACGTTGTAGCTGACTGACTGACTGACCTCAGTCCTAGGTGTCCTTTAAACGCAAAACACACTGGGTAACTGTAGTTCAGAAAGCAATCTGACGAGCATAACACACTAGTGATATTAACGTAAAGATATTTCACCTTCCGAGATGGACCTCAATAAGTTTACATACTTTTACATCTCCTAGGTTTTATTTATTATTCTGAATTAGATCGTAAGCTTGTCATTGTAGTCACCTGCTTGCGGTACTCAGAGACAACAAGACAGAGTGCAATTCAACATAGTTAATATAAGATTAGTAATTCATAACACACCAACTAAGATATTTTTGAACTACATAATTAGAAACAACAACACTTGCCTAACATCTATGATCCGAACGAATCAGTTTGTACTTGAACATGTAGAAGATTTATTACTGGGATTTAGATCTATTTATCTATATCGTAATTTTAAAAAAAAATCCCAATACATTCTTATTTAACTACGGCTACTTCTAACCATAAAACTGGGAAAATATATTATTGAATATCCTAGATTATCGTTTCACAAAAGAACACATCAAAGTGATAATCAAATACTCATATGAAACAAAAATAAAAACATACATATACATGAAATGTATTTACACCACATAATCCCAATACTTTTTTTTTAAAAAAAAAGAAACTCAATATACTTTGTTCAAACTTATAAAAATACAACGTACTTTACTAAAAACAGGAACAATAAAGGTGAATAAATAGTTATGGTCTTATTTTAATAAATAATCCCAATGATGGATCAGTGACATGCCATCGTGATGCTTCTAGAAAATTGAACACTTCATCTAAATCATCTACATGTCGTGGACGATCACAAGCTGATGATAAAACATGTGGCTCTACATAATAAATTTTGAAGAAAAAAGTTAAAGGAAAATTAAACATTACAAACTAGTAATGGTTAATTTAAAGCATTCTTCTTTGCTAATGACAAAATAATCTAATTAAAAACTGACTTGCCATAGTAAATACGGTCGACTGGTTTAGTCAGTTAGTCAGTCAGCAACAACGTAGAACTTCGTACGTACATACATCAGTTCGAGTTGCCATACCACACTAGTACAGAGATGCAGTTGTCGATTCAAATCCCATAGTGGTAGAGTTAGTAAAAGTATAAGCAGTAATCGGAAACACTAGGGTTTGAAGACGTTATTCAAGGAGTATAATCCAGTGAAATAAATTTGGAAAAAAAGGGACATGAAGAATTCAGAAGATTAGAATTTGGGAGAACACAAAGAGTGGATGCACCTGCACCATTGCAAACGATTGTGAGCCATGTCATGACTGGTTAATTAAATTATAGTAATTTAAAAAAAACAGTATTGAATAACTATTACTTAAAGCGTTATTTCATATTTCGTGATAAAGGAGTATAATAAGGCCTATAACTATGTATATTAGATTTGTCAGTATACGATTATTTGAACTGTAGTCAAGTGACCACTACCCCATAACATTTAAAATAATAATCTAGTGTTTAAGAGGAACAAATGTCAAGAGAAAGAAAAGCCGGTTTGCACGAAGTTATTTGTATTCAAAGTAATGAGTGAAACGAGAAGTTAATAGTAACACTTTATATCAACACTATTAGATCAATTCATCTAAGAGGAAGTACGTAACTATGTTTTTCAACGGTAAACCTGTTAAGCTGCAAATTGATACGGGGTCTGACATAACACTAATTTCTAGAGAGACTTGGATAAAACTTAGTTGACCTCGATATCAACCTACATATTAGAACGCTAAGAGTGAGACAGGAACTAACATTACTCTTCTTGGAGAAATGCAGATATCTCTCACGTTCAGTGACAAGACTATGACCGGAAAATGTTATGTATCTGGAACCTGTCATACCAACCTATTAGGTAGTGACTGGATAGACAAATTTGGTTTATGGGACCGGTCGTTGAACATTGTCTGCAATATGATTAAATCACCAGCCGAAACAATATTTGGCCGACCAATTAAAACATTTTTTGGTGCTTTGAACCCCAAAGACAGAATGAATGGACTACATAAAATAAGAAAGGGAATCGCCCGAAGATTCGAGAATTTAAAGCAGGTGACTTAGTCTATGCACGTGGTTTCCGGCCTGGAAAGCCAAAATGGATATTTGGATGTATTAAAAAAAGACGTGGGACGGTATTGTATGAAGTGATGGTCGAAAATACACTAATTATTAAACACATCAATCAACTGCGAGACAGAAAAAATGTTTATGAGTCACCTAAAACAAAACCTTTACCAATGGAAGTATTATGTGATACATTTAATATTCCACCACCACCACAAGTTGGGATGAGAAAAAATGAGCTGGAATCAGAAGCTAGCCGAAGATCATTAAGGGGACGAAAACAAACGGGATTTTTTCAAATAGACCCAAAAGTGAAGTCATACGATCAAACTTTGCGAGGGAGGTGACGTGCGGACGAGGATGATAATGATTGGTTGTCTGTTTAGTCAGACATGTAGATAGTCTGACAGGTGTCAGATGGGTTATGTATCCCTCTATCCTTATTATTATTGTGACTCTCATTATTGATTGTTCATTGTTGTTGGATCGTGTCGGGTTGTGGTCAGGCTAATCACGTGTTCTTGATTTGAGTTGTGTTGACGTCCTGTAGTATAGACACTGGTAGGTAATCTAATGTAGATACTCGTTTAAGGTAAATTAACGTCCCATACGTGTAAACGTGGAAACCCATCCGTTACAACATTAGTCGAAGTGAAATCGAGCGTTACAACAATAAGTCATCCGGTTTTTTAGGATCCTGAAGTGCCGCTATCCCGATGGTACAGAATAAGGATTTGTCATCAATACGAGTAGCCAGTGCTGAGATAATTCACTTAGAAAATACGGTAACTAGAAACAAATAAATTCTTGTTAGATAAAAACTTGATGTCTATTTATGTTTCAACGATTTACTGAGAAACAGTGATCCTTAGATTTATCGAGCTACAGAGGGAAACATAATGATAATAATACTGTGAATGAAGTAAACAAAGGAATTCAAAATCACTGAGTAGATAGTAAAATGTGATTACTCAGAGGAATTACAGACACTAGTTCCGACCACACAGAGCGAACCCCTACGGCATTAAAATTGAATATTAAAAGTAAAGTGAGCCCTGAACTACGGTGATTCTTTGCTAGATTATAGTTTCACACAAAAATAAATTGCTGATTTATGGGATGGTGATATAAAATACCTGGGGCATATTCATGTGAGCCGGTGCCTTGCTGAAGTGCTCTAGCATATAAATGTGAGGCAGCAGCATCGACGAATGCATGCTGTTGAACTGTAGCATCGCCTACAAGCGTACCACCACCGGCAATCGATGTTATTCCAGAATTAGCTAAGTCGCCATTTGTAGATGATTCACTGGAATAAAACTGGGCTGCATATTGAGAAGCATAGTACTGTTGATAGTATTGTTGATAAGCTTGATAATATTCTGCTTGAGCTGCAGAATTCCCCGTTACAGCAGCCGCAACTGCAGCAGTGAATGGATCGGGCATACCTAAAAAATGGTAGCGAGCAGTGAAGTCATGATTAAAATGCATAATCCTTAGAAAACATAGTACAAAATCGAGATTTCACTACACCGAATGAAAAAATAAACTTGAAAAAGAACAGCTACGTCTGATTTATCCATATTTTTGAGTGATTTAATGTTCTAAAAACTTAAATTGCTGACAAGTATTATATGTGGAAATCGTATTTTAAAAATTTGTTAGGCAAACATAAAATTATCAGAAAGGGTCTTGTAGAGATTTTACAGATTTCACTGGTAGAAACCATGAGTCAATTGAATTTAGACCACCATGGAAAACCTGGAAGCACTGGAAAACCGTTTCGTCCTAGTATGGAACTCCTCAGCAGTGCGCATCCACGATCCCACCTTCCGCGAGATTCGAACCCAGGACCTATCAGTCACGCGACAGGCGCTTAACCAACTAAACCACTGAGCCGGCATCCAACGGTGTTAATATCTAAAATCTCCACAAAACCCCTTCTCATAATAATCACCTGCTCAATAGAGACTGACTTCAAGAGGCAGTTCTTGGAGTTCTAATGAGAAACCGTGACCAGTGGAGTTCAACCAGGTTTGTTGAGATATCAACTCGCTGAAGACAATGGTGTATGGCGACGTAACTTCCTGGATTGGTTGGATTTAGACATTAACAGCGCTGAATGACGGCCGGCTCAGTGGTCTAGTTGGTTAAGCGCGTGGCGCGAGACTGATAGGTCCAGGGTTCGAATCTCGCGAAGGGCGGGGTCGTGGATGCGCACTGCTGAGGAGTTCCATACTAGGACGAAACGGTTTTCCAGGTTTTCCATGGTGGTCTAACTTCAATTGACTCATGATTTCAACCAGTGAAACATAAAATCAGTCAGTAACAACATAGAACTTCGTACGTACGTACATCAGATAGAATTGCCACACCACATTAGCACAGAGATACAATGGTCAATTCAAATCCCGTAGTGGTAGAGGTAATAAGAGTATAAGCAGTAATCGGGAAAATTAGCGTTTGGAGATGTTATTCAAAGAGTATAATACAGTGAAATAAGTTTGGAAAGAGAAAAAAGAAAGGGACATGAAGAATTCAGAAGATTAGAATTTGGGAGAACACAAACAGTGGATGCACCTGCGCCATTGTAAACGATTTTGAGTCATGTCATTCAGGGTCTCTAACCATCGGTTGCTATCATCTCGCGGTTCCCAACCAGGTAGTCTACACCTACCAATATGACTCAGTCTACTTGTCAGTGACTTCATGGATTTGTGCCATGTTTTGGTCTGGCCGCCCCTACCTTTTTTCCAATCTACTCCTGTACAACAAAACATCGCACATCGGTCAGTCGGTGGTTGGGCATACGTAATATATGTTCCAGTCATCTCAACTGATGAAGTTTCACTACGTCATCAATTGATTTGCCATCCTTACCTAGTACCCGTTTCCTAACAACTGCATTACTTACTCGATGGTCCCACGATATACGAGCAATATTTCGAAGACACCTATGATCAAATACTAGTAACCTACGAATATCCTCTACTCTTACCGGCCATGTTTCACTGCCATAAAGTAGGACGGAACGAACTGCTGCGCAGTAAACACGTCCTTTGGTTGATAGACGGATATCTCGCCTACGCCATAAATGACGCAAGTTGGTAAAAGCTAGTCGAGCCTTCTGTATCCGTGCTGAGATTTCGTCACACACCAGACCACAAGGGCTGATGAGACTTCCAAGATAAGTGAAGCGGTCGACACACTCAACTACTTCACTCCCTATCATTAGTTCGGGTGTCAATGCAACCCAATCCTGAAGCAACATTTTGCATTTCGAGGGGAGAATCGCATCCCGAACATGCTTGCATTGTTGCTTAGAGTGGTCAGAAGACTCTGCATTTTGTCAGCGTCTTCACCAAATAAAACTATGTCATCAGCATATTCTAAGTCAACAAGTGAACCTCCCGGTAGAAGTTCAACCCCTGTAAATTTAGATGAGGAGAGTGTTATCTCTAAAAGTACGTCGACCACAAAGTTGAACAAGAATGGGGAGAGTGGACAGCCCTGACGAACACCACTTGAGGTAATCAATTCTGATGACAGTTCGCCATAAGCTCTCACTCTACCAGTTGTGTTCGAGTAGAGAGCCTTTATAAGGTTAATGTACTTCTTTGGTACTCCTTTCAGTGACAAACACTGCCATAGAACCTCACGATCAACAGAGTCGAATGCCGCCTTAAGGTCGAGAAATACTACCATTGTGGGGCGTCTGAATGTGTGTCTGTGTTCTAGAACCTGACGTAGTGTGAATATCTGATCTATACAACCACGTCCAGGTCGAAAACCGGCCTGGTTTTCTCTAATCTGCTCTTCACGAGCTTTGTTAGGCGTCGAAGTATTATTGAAGCTAATATTTTAGACACTATATTAGTCAAACTGATTCCTCTGTGATTGTCACAAGAGGACTTTTGTCCTTTCTTATAGACTGGCACAATCAGTGATTGAGACCAGTCAGATGGGATTACGTCCAGTTCCCAAATTCTACCTAAGACCTCAGTTAATCTCACTGCTAATACTGGACCACCATCCTTAAAAATCTCAGGAGTAAACCTGTCAGGGCCTGCTGCTCTCCCTCGTTTCAGATTTCCTATGGCTTTTTCAACTTCGTAAAGGGACGGAGGACCTACATTAACTTGCCATTCAGGTTGACTGGAGATCGTGGGAAACCGAAGTGTGGCTGAAGGCCAGTTGAACTGATCCCTAAAGTGTTCTGCCCATCGATCCAATCTCCTGGATTGAGAATGTATAATATGTCCATCTTTCTCTGAGAGTGTTTCGCTAACAGTCGGGTTCCTAATACCGGTTTCCCTAATGAGTCTGAACAGTTGTCTGCTATTACCTATTGTCACTGCCTTTTCCATCTCTTTTGTGTTAGGATGTGCAGAAAAATATACCAATAATTATCACGTTAAGTCTAATGGTGGCCTTGGACTTTAAATGTACACTCCTATTGTTCAGTATTTGTTTCACTTGTTAAATATTGTACAAATGTTGTTTTCTATTTTATGATACAATGTGCTTTGTTTGGTTGGCATATAAACAGAGTATGTCTGAAATATAATGATTCATATCATAGAGGCTAAGACTTGCGTTCTGGACTCAACTGGCTGGGCTAGACAGCGAAGCAGGGCCAATAGGGACTCTAGGTCATTGATCTGATCGATAATATAAGCTGCTATCATAATCTGCAATCCACACGTTACAACATCTTGCTTTCGCTACCCACCACTGTTCACGATCATTGCGTAGACTTCTTGTCAGCTTGCGCTTAAGCTGACTCCGCTCTTTATTATGTTCAGAGCCAGGTGGAATGAGTTTCCGAGCATCTATCAATGAGATAGATGCTGCTGAGATCCAGTGTTACTCCCTAACCTTGTGGTTTACCATACTAGCAGATATCACTGCTGTTTCGACAGCTTTCCGGATATCATTTCATGCTGCCTCGGGGTGGGCATCACATACATGGCTGCCTAACTGTTTTTCTAGTTGTTCCTGAAATATACTCTTAGCTTGACTATCATTAAGTAGGACCCTAAGAGGTTTACTTGCAGCGTCTTTCCTACGTCCAGTAAGACGCAGAGAGATACGTGCTCGTACTAGAGCATGATCTGAATCTAAGCATGTGCTCCAGAATGAGCGACAGTCTTCTATCGAGCCCCTCCATCGGTGGCTGATAGCGATGTGATCTATTTGGGTCCAACGTTGAGACGAATTCGAGGGTCGCCATGTTAAAAGATGTTTTTCCTTATGCTTAAAGTTAGTATTTGCAAGGAACAGGCGGTTATCTGAGCATAGCTGCAACAGGCGGTCGCCATTATCTGTTCTTTGAGCCATGATGCTATAAGATCCACCCAGGTGTCTTTCCCTATCGCTTAGTTTACCAACTTGAGCATTAAAGTCACCGGCCACTATTACTACATCCGAGCGTCTAGCTTTTCGGAGAAGGTCGAAGAGCTTTCTGTAAAACTCATCCTTTACATCATCTGATCTGCAGTCAGTGGGAGAATAGGCAGAGACGACGAAGAGGCAACGACGAGTGTCCCTATCTTTCCGAATCCTTACTGTTCCGTTCAGTCGGACAGCGCACAAACGACTATCTACCGGGATCCAGTCTAAGAGAGCAAGTTCTACCCTAGGACTCAGTGCTATACCTACGCCGGCGAGGCCACGGGAAGCAGAATCAGGGCTTCCAGATACACGAAGTGTGAATCGAGTCGGTTCTTTATTTTGGCATGGTGATATCAAACGAATGACGCTACTCAGATCCTGTATGCGCGTTTCGGAGACGCAGCACACATTGATGGCGCGAGATTCTAAAGTCCTAGCTAAGGAAACCTGTTGTCCTGTTTGGCATAATGTTCGGACGTTAAAAGCTCCTACGTGTAGTTTAGGGCGTGGTTTCAGGAGACCAGGAATAGCGTTCCGCGTACTCGAATCGTTTGCCCTAACGGTGCGAGGTGGTAAAGAGACGTGAGGAGGGTTAGTCATGGAGATAAGAGAGGTATTGGGAGGTGTAGGAAGGATTTGAATGTGACCAACTTGGTCTCGTGCGCTGTTACGGGTATGAGGGCTGATATCACTTCCCGGCTGCCCACACCATGGAAGGGTATTTCTTGAGGAACCTGAAAAGGAAATCGGATTAGTGTTGGTCTTAAAGACCTGGGAGCGTGACCGCAGAGCCCAAGGGACAACTGCTTGAGGCCGGTCGCGCACGGCCCTTTTGTGGGAGGTTTTTGACGTATTAGCTCCTTTCTTCAAAGGGTTTTACCGCCGGAGACGAAAACCCGTGAGGTAAGGTGAGGTGTGACATTTTTAGGGTCGACCTTTTCTAACACCACCCCTCCTTGTGGGAAGGCAGCATCGCTGTAGATGCTGGTTGTCTGATGGAAACACCTTAATGCTGTCACACCCCTCTATAGTCAACAGTACGACTCCGCCCTCAGACCTTGAGTTGCTGCTTTTAGTCTTACCGTTCTCCAGTCAACCTCAGTCAGTCAGTAACAACGTAGAACTTCGTACGTACGTACATCAGTTCGAGTTGCCACACCACATTAGCACAGAGATGCACTTGTCGATTCAAATCCCGTAGTGGTAGAGGTAGTAAGAGTATAAGCAGTAATCGGGAAGATTAGGGTTTGGAGATGTTATTTAAAGAGTAAAATCCAGTGAAAGAAATTTGGAAAGAGGAAAAAAAGGGACATGAAGAATTCAGAAGATTAGAATTTGGGAGAACACAAACAGTGGATGCACCTGCGCCATTGCAAACGATTTTGAGCCATGTCATTCAGGGTCTCTAACCATCGGTTGCTGTCATCTCGCGGTCCCCAACCAGGTAGTCTACACCTACCAACATGACTCAGTTCACTTGTCAGTGACTTCATGGATTTGTGCCATGTTTTGGTTTGGCCGCCCCTAGCTTTCTTCCAACCTACTCCTATACCACTGAACATAGCACGTCGAGGCAGTCGGTCGTTGGGCATACGTAACACATGTCCCAGCCATCTCAACTGATGAAGTTTCACTACTTCATCAATTGATTTGCCATCCTTACCTAGTACCCGTTTCCTAACAACTGTGTTACTTACTCGATGGTCCCATGATATATGAGCAATGTTTCGAAGACACCTATGATCAAATACTAGCAACCTACGGATATCCTCTACTCTTACCGGCCATGTTTCACTCCCATAAAGTAGGACGGAACGAACTGCTGCGCAGTAAACACGTCCTTTGGTTGATAGACGGATATCTCGCCTACGCCATAAATGACGCAAGTTGGCAAAAGCTAGTCGAGCCTTCTGTATCCGTGCTGAGATTTCGTCACACACTAAACCACAAGGGCTGATGAGACTTCCAAGATAAGTGAAGCGGTCGACACACTCAACTACTTCACTCCCTATCACTAGTTCGGGTGTCGATGTAACCCAATCCTGAAGCAACATTTTGCATTTCTCCAGTCAACCTGGCTGGCATGGTAGAACCTACAGGAACATATGTTCCAGCCAATATAGCTCGGTTGGGTCATCACGACAGGCAAGCCCGACCACCGCGTTAAGGTAGCAGCTTCGGTCGGGGAAACATAAAACTGTCAGAAATGACCAATTATGTACGTGAGAGTATAAGTTTACTCAGTTTAGGCAACTCAATGCAATCTTTGGAACCAACTCGACAATATTAGTTACTTAAATGAGTTGTAAGGGAAGACCTAAGTTTAAAAAAACTAAACAAAATAACAATTAGCTGATCATCATTTCTCAAGTCAACCAGAAAGTTATCAAATTGGCTTCTATTTGTTCATACTACGATTGTTCATAACCGATGAAAACACCCCAAAATTCCTCATCTTATGTAGGCTATATGTTGTATAAATTCTTACTTCTGGGGTCACATCTTAGATCTATGTATCTGTTTTTTTATTTCTAAACATAATCTGAGGGGTTGAAGAGTAATACGAGAGATGAAAGTTAGAACTCCTGATGTCTTGTTTTAATTATTAATTACTTATTTAAACACATCAACATTGGTACGGAGGGGGTCAATATAAATATACTCCACACAAACTATCGAACTTTTGTGTTGTGGGATAACGCTCAGGCGCCCAAACCGAAACAGGTGATTTTCTTAGGAGACCACACCCCGAGTATTTGACTTAAAGATCTGATTCATAAGGCAGTGAAGCAACTTTAGGAGTTGTAGTCCCATGGTAATCGGTGACCAAGAATAGGTTAATACGCCATTTGTCCCTCAGGATCCTGGAGCCCATGTGCATCATTGATTTGGAATCAAGATTTTCCAACTCTACTAAATGGACCCTCCGTACCTACTAACCCGGTTAAAGAGCCGGACATTTGCTTTTCGTCCACTGGATTCTGTAAACAACATCCCCGTCACGAGAAGGCAGAGGGTAAAACTTCTATTGCAGTGACTAGATGAGAGTATTTAAACAGGGAGAGCGAACTTTCCTCAACCTCGGCTGCACCAGGACATTTGGAGGCACGTTGGTAAAAAAAAATAGATGTGATACAAAATTTTGAGAAGTTTACGATGAACTATCTATATATTTCCTTCGGCCTTAAATCAAAGAAAATGACTCTCGTTGTGTAATTGAAGGGAGTTATGATTTAGTTCAACTGACTTCAAGTTTTCAAGCAAAATCATTTGAAGAATTGTTTCTCACTAAAATTGAAACCTTTGCCAAGAAAACATAAGCAAGGAATGAAGCACACATAGGTTAATTAGATTTGAGTATTCTGAGTCGGATTTTGTTCAACGGTTTGATGAATGTTTAGAAGACTGGTGATGCATAAAGACGTAGATTAGTAAGGGGTAGAAACTAATCTGATTACATATAAAGAGTTAATAAACTCTATCGGATTAAAAACACTCATAACTGCTAATGACAAACCGTGTTTATTAAGTTTTAATTACTTACCACTTGGAACCACTGAACTCGTCTCAGATGCTGTTGTAGTAACAACCAGACTTCCATCTGCATTATAACGCTTCGGAATAGCAAGACTCACTCGAATCGGTTTATAGCCTAAACCACAATAATTTTGCATTTCAATCAACGCTTTATCCATATCAGATTCAGTGAGGAAACGAACAAAACCGTATCCACGAGACTTGCCATTTGTCATCACAACTATTAATTACAATGATTAATAAGAACACACTTCTACAATGATAGTTACCTTTAGCTGAACGGCATGTTGGGTATTTTTTAAAAGCATTGAATAAAGCAAGATCATCAACATCTTCTGTTAGTTCACCAACAAATAACGAACATTCATTACTAAAAGGATTAATATTATCCAATAGATACATACCTAGAAGTGCTATCTTTCCCGTAACTAGCGTGATTAAGTTTAAATCTTCTGGTCTATAAAAAAATCAAAGTAATCAAATAAATTTAAAATGTTCTTATCCACAAAAAGCGGGTTACAACATGAAGTTAGTTTTCATTACAGAGTGACATCAAACCCACATCAACAGTGAGAACTAGGAAAGACTGGGGAGTTGTATCGTCCTAGTTCGGGACTTCTTATTGACTTATACCACATCAAACCCACAGCTTTCAGGTTTTACCAGGAGTACAACAATTTTAGACCAGCAATGTGTAGGGATACAGTGGTTCACATTTGCAATTGAAATAAACTTAAGATACTGCGCGATTATAACTATTAATTGCAACATGATATCTGTCACACCCGATAAGACTGAACTCAGTAAGTAACAAGTATATTATCGTAGACCACGGCCCAAAAATTAACGCATTCAACGCAAGGTATAGGCTGACAGTTTAAACCGAGTGGAGTAGTCGGCGAGCACTGCTGAATAATCTCAGTGTTAAATGCTACCTGGTTTTTAATGGTTCTCTAACCGATACCAAACTGTAGTAAAAGCTAGCTTCAAATTCAATAATCCACCATCCTAGTGAAAAACAACGATTCTTCTAATAAGATAACAATTATATTGTGATTTTTAAAGGCGATGTAAATAAATCACTTTAATACAAATTATACTGACTTTACTAAACTTTCTTAGTTGTATTTTTGACTGAACGACATCTCACATATTTTTTTACTTATTTATCGATCTCTATGTTATTATTTTCATTGTGCTTCCATTCCTTCCTCTATTTCTTCAAACTCTATCATTTCTCCATTGTGGTGCCCGACAGTGCAAGAATTTATATGTAGTAAGGATAAAACATTAACTTTACAAACATCTTAGAAATTCTTCAAATAACTATTATCTGCCGTTAAGATTAGCCAGAAGGATTTGATGTGACAGGTTTATGAAAAGACACCATGAAATTAAGGACAAATGTACGATGAAAATGTCCACTGATATATTACAACTAATTAGTAGTAGTTCCAATAATATTGAAACTTAGTGGTTGTTAAGAACAACTTGAAGTCTAACTCAGCATAATATATGCATTCATCCTTATTACTTTGGTCTAATAAATTAACAATTTATTATATGAACTTGATACATCTCATGATATTTCGTCGATCTATTCTGAATTTTTTCTACATAAAATGATAGTGATTTCTAAATAGCTTGAAATAGTGCAATGCTATGCCTGATACTACTTGAGTGAAACTGTCAGTTTATAGGTGAGGTGAATTAAAATTAGCCTTAAGTATAACATTAGCAAAACAATGTACCCGGAGATAAAAAAAAACGTCAACCCATTGAAATTCCAGGTAGTGAAGATGAAAAATTAATAGTTCCGCTTTATTCAGATCACCAGGGACATTTGTATAATGAGCAGAAACTAATATGATGACAATAGTGCTGAAGCTGGAAACGCAAATGAATTACTTTTGGTCGTTCATCCATGTCACATCCTATGACAACCCTATTAGATTAATATCATCCACTCATTAGATCACGCAAAACCAACGAAATAAAACCGAATGAAAATCCACTGTTGAAATTCCAAAGATGAATGACGACCCGCAGCATATTTGCGTGGGAACTTGGTTGAAGACCTATCTTAACATACCCTACGGTTGTTTAACTTCATAAATGTTAGTATAGAGTCACTATTTCTTATCCTTAAACGATATCAAAGTGGATAACGACCTCATAAAATCATATTGGAAAGAGATAATTCAAGGCGCTTAGTGAAAAATTCAGTCAAAAACGTACAATTTTGCATGCATATAGTATAAATGTTTGATCATCATGGGGGAATAATCAATTAACTAATTTAAGTATTCATTGGAATGATGAATTTCTCGTGTATATAGAGCAGAAAATGATTTATTGATAAATATGAGCACGATCTTTTCTTGAGACATATTTAATGAACTAATAGTTCTTGATGAAAATCAGTGCTATATGCTCAAGAATCTTTGTACTTACAGTACAGTAATATAAATGTGATAAGACCGAAAGGATTATGATGAAGACGTTATGAAACCCAAATAGTCAAACATGAATTGCGATAATGATCAGAATAAAATGTCATTTGACATTTAGACTTTATTTGTCATGACTCAATTTATAGTAAAAAGTCTGCCAACTGAATGCTAACAGTGGTCTACAAAATATTCCAATATGCAGCCTCATGAAATCTAAAACGATTTGTAAATACGTACAGAAACTTTTATTTAGTTTAAAACTAAGATTAAGCGGACGATTAATTCTAATAAAGCTTACAGGGGCTCCAGGAATGAGCTTGCCATTCAACTTAAGCATTGCATCTCTCGCAGATGTTGAGTTAGCAAACTCTATGAAACCATAACCAAGAGTTTGCCCAGTCGCCTTGTTTCGGATAACTTTTACACTCACTATATTTTCACCTGATGTTTCAAAGGCTCGTTTAATAAACATTTCATCCATGTAAGGTTCCAGCTAAAAAAGGAAAATGAATAAAACCAGACAAAACATACGTCACCCATCCATATTGTATGGGAGAAATTCTGCATATTTTAAGGCAAGTTAGTAGGTATCCTCCTTGAATGTGAACAGGTTTGGTCGAGATTGGATTAGGTTTGAAATTAGTGACAGAAGTTTATTCCAATGACTCCAGAACCTATGAACGGAAATGAGAAAGTATATAACTTAGAAAGCATGTGCCCAAAATGTGATAACTGCAAACAATGTGAAGTTTAAAACAACCAGGCAAAGTTCGTAACCAGATTAAAGAGAGAACCTAGCGTAACTAACCACATAGTGTTCACGTTTTGAGAACTGTTGGTAAAAAAGCGGTGTGTTGACCCAATAATTTCATGAAAAATTCAAACTATTGATGATAGTGTATATTACTTAAATAAACTTGAATGAAAATGCAACCATATGCTGTGATTCCAACTATAAATTAAAATGAGGTAATCAGTGAGAAACCTGAAACTTTGTGAAGTATGGCACCACACCCGAAAGCTAGGTAATGGAGGGTAATGAAACATAACGATGTCGTTAATGACATTAATTTGATCTTGTCTGAGTTAATTTTTACAACGAAATGCCTATGGGCCTACTGTCATATTTCCGAATGCTATCCCTGTCAAAGGTATACACTGTTAAATAGATAGAGATATATAACAAAGTTAGTGCCGGCACCGACTAACCTAGTTAGATGAAATATGGATAGAGGAAATAATCAGGAAACGGCTGGTGTACACTTAAAACTTATAATTTTAATCCAGAAATATTTAGTTAAAGGATTACAAATTATGAAACTCGAATATGCCGTATGAGAACAGACAAAACTCATGGCGGTGTAAAACATAAGTATGAAGGAACACACTCAACAATGTATGAATGTAGAAAATAACACAGCAAATTAGTAAACGAATGACATTTATTTTGTATTCAATGATAATTATTCGTGAATACAAATTAGGCCCCATGCCACATTACTGGTCTCGGTATAATCGACATGACGATTTGAATATTGAGGATCGAGTATTAATAATCATAATACTGTTAATTAGTGCTATAGCTGTAATGACTAAAAAATCGTGCTGTCCCAAATATATCTTCATGCAATATCTCGACCCATGGATACATTAAACTTAAAACACTGAATACCAAGACCATATTATTCACCTATGCGAACATGCGGTAGTCGATGAAACATAACTGAATAATATGATGCGCCTATGACTTACGATGAATGAAATGACCTATGACTGAAGAGAGGAATTAAATGGAGTGCACCTTGGGCGTTTTATACTAGTGACCTTAACTTCTACTAGATTTCCAATATCCAATATCATTGTGACGAGCTTGTATGAATTTGTAGCGGTAAATAAATCCCCAAAATAAATAGCTCTGTAAGTTTTCGACATTGGATGCTGACCATATGTTTTAGTGGACTCATCTAGCTGAAGGCGCTCGGTCAGGCATCCGCACCAGATCACGTGTAGTAACGCCGTGCTCAACATCAACCACAATCGCTAGCCAGATTAGATCAGAGAATCCCGATATATTGGTCATCGCCAAATATACTCTTCCGATCTCCTCGACTCTGTCTTTTGATTTCTCTTGGTGGGAACGAAATATATTAGAAGGTGTTACTGGTAGAAGCGTTGTCAAACACTGAATACCTGTGACATCATCATTGGTGAGACCGTCGTGATCTGGTACACCTTATTGCAACTGTGAGTCTGTTCCTTTTTGGGATTTTTATATATCATTGCCTTTTTTTTTTAAACATTGTGATTTTTTTTCGTGTTTTTCTTGGATATATATATATTTTCCCCTCGTTCATTATCGTACTTCATATTTCATCATGACTGAACAGACACCTAAAGTACTCAAGCTTAAGACCTTGTCCCCACCTTCGTTTCAACTGATGCCTTTCTGGCCCGACAACATCGAAGCCTGGTTTTGCTACGCAGAAGCCGACTTTTCCGAGCACGGCGTGATCGACACACGTGCACAATTCCTCGCAGTAGTCAAGGCACTACCGCGCGAATTCAACAGGTACGTAACACCTAGTATGTTTACTAGTGATGTTTCCGATCCTTACGAAATCTTAAAACGCTCGATTCTTAAACGAGGAGACCTAACCGATCGACAAAGGTTAGATCAACTCTTCAACAATATCGACCTGCAACACGGTTCTGCGACGGACATGTTGCAACGGATGAGAGAGGTTATAGGCCCAAGAACTTTCGACGAAGGTCTATTCAAACAACTCTTCTTGTCAAAACTTCCCCAACAGGTGCAAGCAGTTCTGGTCTCGTTCCAGAACAACGCCTTAGACGAACTAGCTGTATCTGCCGACCGCATTCTAGAAATTACGAAACCTCTACTACCGAGGTATTTTCAGTCAAAGAAAAGCCTCACACGACTCAGAATGACATAACCGACTTATGTCACACACTCACGCGTTATCTTAGTCTTCGTACCGACCGTAAGAGATCGCGCACACCACGTAGAAGCATTTCTCGTAAGCGATCTGTCTCTAGACCACGAGAGACAGATAACCCCGACTGGTGCTGGTATCATAACCAGTATGGAAAGTTTTCCAGAAATTGCAGAAAACCCTGCAATTTTCCCAACACGAAACCGACTGATTCGAAAAACAATTCGGGAAACTTCCAAGCCGGCACGCGTTAACGGCAACCGTAGCCGGCGAACAAAGCCGTCTGTTATTCGTCACAGATGTGACAACGAGAGTTCGCTACCTCGTCGACACTGGCGCAGAAGTTAGCGTTCTCCCAGCAAATCCTAACGACCGACTTCACGAATCGACCCTAAACTTACAGGCGGCAAACGGAAAACCGATCGCTACGTATGGCAAAAGGTACGTTTACCTTAACGTGGGTTTACGCAAACCCATCCACTGGATTTTCGTCGTTGCAGATGTTTCTATGCCAATCATTGGTATGGACCTTCTACAACACCACAATCTGATCATCGACACTCGCAAACGGAGGCTAGTAGACGGAAACACTAATTTGTCCGTTTGCGTAACTTCTTTTACTGGTTGTAGAGTATCCCCAGTCACAGTTAAACATATGATAGACCCACTCTATCAACCACTACTCGATAAGTACCCTGGGATACAACAAACTCAACCGAAACTACCGTGTGTAACCAGCAATGTTACACATCACATCACGACTACAGGACCACCTGTATTCTCTAAAGCACGACGACTAGCTCCTGAAAAGCTAAGGTTAGCGAAAAACGAATTCGATCACATGATGGACTTAGGAATCATACGACCGTCAAGTAGCCCATATGCATCTCCGTTGCACATGGTCCCTAAAAAGGACAGCAACGATTGGCGTCCAACTGGTGACTATCGGCGATTGAACGCGAAAACCATTCCCGATCGTTACCCGTTGCCTCACATTCACGATTTGACAGCTACCTTGAAAGGTACAACTGTCTTTTCGAAAATCGACTTGGTTAAAGCGTATAACCAAATCCCTATGGCTACTGACGACATACCGAAAACCGCTATCATAACTCCCTTCGGACTCTATGAATTTTTGCGAATGCCTTTCGGTCTAAGGAATGCTGCTCAAACATTCCAAAGATTCATAGACGACGTTTTTCGAGGTCTCAACTTCGTACACGCGTATGTTGACGACTGTCTAATCGCAAGTCCGGACAGAGAAACACATCTCAAGCATCTGGACCTTGTTTTCGAACGATTACAAAAACATGGCATAACTGTAAACGTTCAGAAATGCCAATTTGGAACCGACTCGTTAGACTTTCTGGGACACACTATCGATGCTCAAGGTATCCGACCCCTTAGAACCAAAGTGGCGGCCATTCTGGATTACCCAGAACCGACCACCGTCAAGCAATTACGCACGTTCAACGGCCTGGTAAGTTTCTATAGACGTTTCATACCCAATGCGCATCACTTATGAAACCTCTGACCGACCAACTTCGTGGAAATGCGAAATCCATTAATTTGGACGACACCGCACGAAAAGCATTCTCCACAGTTAAGGAACTGATTGCTAAAGCAACAATGCTCGCACATCAGGACACCCGAGCACCCATTAGCATCGCAGTAGACGCATCCGACTCAGCAATCGGAGGAGTCTTACAACAATGGGTTAACAACTCCTGGCAACCCTTGGCATTTTTCTCTAGAAGGTTGCTAGACACCGAATCGAGGTACAGCACATTCGGTAGGGAACTCCTAGCTATGTATTGTGCTGTACGGCATTTCCAACACTATATCGAAGGCCGTGAATTCACTCTTTTCACGGACCATAAACCGCTCACTTTCTCGTTAAGCTCTCCTTCTGACAAGTACTCTCCCCGTGAGTCTCGACAACTGGACTACATTTCGCAGTTTACTTCAGATATTCAACACATCTCTGGAGCAAACAATGTAGTTGCAGACGCTTTATCTCGCATAACTTCCTTGAACAGTTTCCAAGGAATCGACCTTCTTAAACTCGCCGAGCTTCAAAAAGAAGACAGTGATCTTCAGCACGAGTTATCGTCCACAACACTTAAACTACGCATCAAACAGATGGGAACAGGTAAGGAAACCTTACTTTGTGACACATCTACAGGTAGGGATCGCCCAATCGTGCCGAAACATTATCGACGCAATGTCTTCAACACATTGCACAAACTTTCTCATCCAGGTGTTCGTGCAACCATCAAGCTTATAGCAGAACGATTTTGCTGGCCTGGCATGAATAAAGACGTGAGGGAGTGGGCACGCTCCTGTGTAAGCTGCCAAAAATCTAAGGTTATCAGACACAATAAATGTCCCTTAGGCTCGTTTAAAACTCCCGATGCTCGTTTCGACCATGTTCATCTGGATTTGGTAGGACCTTTACCAGATTCAAATGGATACTCTTATCTCTTAACCTGCGTAGACCGTTTCACTCGATGGCCAGAAGCAGTACCTATCAAGGACAGCACTGCTGAAACAGTGGCCCGCACATTCGTCGAACGATGGGTAGCAAACTTCGGTTGCCCTTCAACCATCACTACAGACCGCGGACGTCAGTTTGAATCTGATCTTTTCCGTCGTCTGACCACACTTTTAGGAATCACTCGCTTCCGAACGACCGCCTACCATCCACAAGCAAACGGGTTGGTAGAACGTTTTCACCGACAACTGAAAGCTTCGCTATCAGCTGCAAACGTTTCACAATGGACCGACGCTCTTCCACTCGTCTTACTAGGTATCCGCAATGCAGTGAAAGCTGACATTGGATACACTGCGGCTCAACTCGTTTATGGAACGACACTTCGACTTCCAGGAGAATTCGTGGATCCTTCGTGCTCTTCGATGAACATGGATCTAACCTCCTACACGAACAGGCTTACAAACGCAATGCGTTCAGTTAAACCTGCTTCCACTCGACCTCAATCAACTGATGTTTTCGTTCAACCTGACTTACGATATAGTACACACGTTTTCATTCGTCGAGACTCGCATCGACGACCATTCGAATCAGCATACGAAGGACCCTTCAAAGTTCTTCAACGTGAATCTAAGTACTATATAGTCGATAAGAACGGAACCAACGATAGCATCAGCATCGATCGCTTAAAAGCAGCGTATTTAGAAGGAAATCCTATCCACGTCGATTTTCCTTCGGTACAATCGAACGACACGACTCCGACACTTATAATACCTCATCCGACAACCAACACACGCGAAGATACTTCGACAGTATCCGAAAATAAACTTAAAACGACGCGTTCTGGAAGAAGGGTGAGATTTCCAGAACATTTAAACGACTATTGCACGTAAGGCACTTCTCGACATTTTATATTATTTTTTTTTAAAAAAAAACAATTTTAATATGCTTATATATTTTTATTTCTATTAAAAAAAAAACCAAAAAAAACAATTTTTTAACGCTATTACGTGCTCATGAGTTTATTTTCCTTTTTTTTCCGCCGACCTTGTGTTTTTACGCATATACGAGTGTATTTCGACATGCACTTACATTTTCTTTTTTCTTTTCCAGGACGGCTGGAAAAGAACGATGACGTTTATGAGGATCCGAAATTTTCATTGTACATTTTCTTTTTTTACTATGTTGTACCTCCGTCCCATATAGTAAGGAAAGACGACCAGACGCTGCTAAATTTAGTAAGCTATCAGAAGAGTGTTTACCAACGACAAACTCGTTGGGTTTAAACTTCTGGCTGGCCACGTCTTAGGGTCGTCACTGCCCCACTAGGGGGGGAGTGATCTGTAGCGGTAAATAAATCCCCAAAATAAATAGCTCTGTAAGTTTTCGACATTGGATGCTGACCATATGTTTTA